CCTAATCTATCATCTTCAATAAATTCTTCCAAAATCTCATCTCTAATAAAAACTTCTTTAAACTTTCTTATCATCTTTAACAATTCTCCACTAACTCTCGGGCTTTTTTCTCCATTTTTCCTATAATTAAACGGCAATTCTCAATTTTTATTTCATTATTCTAGATTAAAAATCTACACCTCATTCTTCTACATCTTCTTCTATATTATATATAAACAATGGATATATGCACTTTTTCATTCTAATCTCTTTTTTCATTCTTTTTACAACATTCCCATAACAATCACTCCCAACAACATGATTTTTATCATTTCCGGAACTCTTATTTTCATTCCTTCATTCGGTTTCACTTCTTCCTCTTTCTCTTCCTCTTTTTGTGTTTCTGTTTCTTTACTTGAATCACTCGTACATCTCGTAGGTTTGCATTTTCGCATTGACGTCAATGTCACCGTTGATGTCACTGTAGATGTACTTGTCAACGTACTCGTATGCAACGATGTACTCGTCACCCATGTATCTGTCGTTTGAACTAATGTACATTCTTCCGTTACCTTCCCTCCATCTACCGATTCTGTCGTCGTTGCCGTCGTTGTCGTTGTCGTCGTCGTCGTTGTTGTTGTTGTCGTCGTCGTCGTTGTCGTTGCTGTCGTCGTCGTTGTCTGTGTCGCCGTTGATGTCACCGTATGATGCGGTGTAACTTTTAATCCTTCTATTCCTTCACACAACTCGTCTATTTCTTTACAGACCGTTTCACACTTCGGGCAATCCTTTCTAAACTCGCAGTCTCCTTTCAAACCTTTACATTTCTCTTTCAATTCTAAATACAATTCCAATGCTCTCGCCGTTGCAACAAATGCCTTCTTTTCTGGTTCTGATACTTCTCCACTTACAAATGTTCTCCGAACAAGTATAACATTACTCGTGTTTGTCGTTCCACTTGGTGTTGATCCTCCTGGTGCTGGTGGCCCTGCTGGTGCTCCTGGTGTTCCTCCTGATGGCCCTGCTGGCCCTGCTGGTGGTGTTGATGGTGTTGATGGTGTTCCTGGTGCTGCTGGCCCTGCTGGTGCTGCTGGTGTTCCTGGTGTTGATGGTGCTCCTGGTGCTGCTGGTGCTGCTGGTGGTACTGGTAGTGGTGCCCCTCCTGATGTTGGTTGTGCTGGCGGTGCTAGTGTTGGTGCTGGTACGCCTCCTGGTGTTGGTTGTGCTGGTGCTGGTGGCTGTACCGGTGGTCCCACTGGTTTAGGAACACTGCCATCTTGAGCCTTTGATCCTCCACCTTGTCCATCTTGTTCAGGTCTTGATAATACTAACTTAGCTTCCTTCGCAAATTTTTCTGATTCCTGTTTCGCCTTTTCGTATTCATCTTTCTTCTTCTCTAATTCATCTTTCTCATTATCCAGTTTATTTTTTAGGGTTGGACATTTTTCTTTTACTTTTTTAACCAACTTTTTGCAAAGTTCTTCTTTCTTAGCATCTTCACATAGACTATTCAATGTTTGATTCCCTTCTTTTTTCCATTCAGTACAATGTTTTCCTAATGTTTCTTTACATTTAGTTTCATCGCTTAAACTACCTTTCAATTTATGCGTCAACTCATTCTCCAATTTTAACTTTTCAAAGAATGGCTTGCATTTCTCTTCTAGTTCTAAACAGACTCCTTTTCTACCCGCATTGTTTGTTTTTTTCAACCTATCTGGACAATTTTCTATATATTGATGACAATATGGATCAAACAACGTGCAGAGTTCTTCAACCAATGTTTCATTTCTTTTTCCATTTTCAATTTTTTCTATAATTTTTCCAATGTCCATGTTATTTTTTAAAAAAAGACACTCATTTTCTGTTTGTTCTACCATAAAACTACATGTTTCTTCTCGTAAAGCACATGAAACACTAAAATCTTCTTTTCCTCTTCTAGATAATTCCTCACATTCTTTCTTTAATACTGCCGTACAATTTCCTTGAGTTCTTAATGCATCATCTCCTCTTTTTAATAATCTTTTTTTCAATTCTTCTGTAACTTTTAAATATTCACATCGTCTATTCAGTGTATCACATTTCTCATGATTCAAATATGAATCACTTTCAAGATCTTCGCACTTCTTCTTCAATTCTACACAATCTTCCTTGCTTGGAAAATCTCTTCTCAAATTTAAAACTACTTCTAATTCTTCCGATTGAAGAATTACATCATCTAAAAGTTCATAACATAGTTTAGTCGGTCGATGACACTTTGCAAAGTATCTTCTATCCTTCTTAAGTTTTGTATAATTACCTACTACCGATTTTTGACATTTTTCAAGATTCTCAGTAGCCAATTCTAAATCACCAATAAGCCCTTTCAATCCTTCTTGAAAGTATCTATTCAACATCCTATCTTGTCCCTTTTTATAGCATGCTACTCTTACATTTTCACATGCTTTTCCAATCTCATTCGTACATACACCTTCTAAATGGAAACATTCCGATTCAAACTTTCTACAATCTTCCTTAGTCACCGATTTTGGTACATATTCCCATGAAACATATTTTGATTCATTACTTTCTTCAAATTCCGTAGACAATCCTTTCAGATAAAGTTCTAATTTTAAATTCGTACATCTATCTTCTACTTCTACTAATTCTTTGCATTTATTGTCTTTATCTTTATCTTCACATAATTGTTCTAATTCATAATCTAGGTGTTTAAAAGATTCACAATCTTTTAACGCTTCTTTGCATTTTTCTCCCTCATCTTTTCCATTCCTTCCTTTGATCAACAATAATGTTAAATCTTGCAACGTCTTATATTTTGGTTTTCCAACAATAATTCCTTTAGCTCCCAGTCTTTTATAAAGATTTTCTACTTCAATCTTTTCCGGAAATCTTGGTTTTTCTTTAACCGGACTAAAATCTAATTTTGGTCCTTCATATTCAATCCCTTTTCCCTTACATTTATTCTTGACTTTATCACATTTTGTATTCTTACAACTTGATCCATAAAAATAACACTTTTCAAGATATTCTTGACATTTTTCCACTAATTCTTTATCTTCAAGTTCCGTCTCTAAAGGTTTACAACTATCTACATGTGTATTTTTAAGGTATTTACATGTTTTATCTGAATTAAAACATATAAGCACTAATTCATCACTATATTCACTTAATCCTTGACAAATTTCTTTCATTCTTTTTTTACATTCATTTGTATCATTAACCTTCTCTTTAAGAGCTCTTAAAAGAATTTCTTTTGTCACTTCTTGACGTCTCTGTCCATAACATCTATCTCTCAACTTAACGCATTTCTCTTCAAGATTACTTGGATCTGCTTCTTCTAATAATACACATTTTTCTTCACATTTTCTACAATTTTCATCTGTTATGTCATTCAATGTTTTTTCAAGTTCTGTTTTGAAATCATCCAATTCTTTTTTAACTTTATCTTTCAGGTTTTTGCATTTTTCTCCTTGTTTTCCATCTTCACAAAGTCCTTTAACTTTGGCATCCACGTTCTCTAATTTTCCATCTATTTTCTTCAATTCAGCACAATATTCTTCGAGCTTTTTCTTGCATTTAGCATTATCTTCATATTCCTTCTTCACAATTAAACCCAAAACCTGTTCCTCCTTAATCTCATCATTTCCTGCTGCTTGTCCTGCTGCTTGCCTCTTAACCGGCTGTGCCATCGCCGCCTCTTTCTGGGCGACTTCCTCTACCCATCGCTTGTCCCTGAGTGGCATATAAGTAGGTGAGTGAAAAATAGATCCTGAAATGATTTTAGACGATAAGTATAGGTTTGCTAATTCTTTTAGGATAAGCATACATTTGCTTAATCTTTTATGATAAGCTTGGACTTTACTCTATAAAGCAAAATTGCGGGGCAAAACTGCGGGGCAAAATTGCGGGGCAAAATTGCGGGGTAAAATTGCGGGGTAAAATTGCGGGGTAAAATTGCGGGGTAAATCAAAATTTCAATTCACAATTCTTCATTCTTTATTAAAAATTTATACATCATTCTTCTACATCTTCTATATTATAAACAATGGATATATGTAGACCTTCATTATTATGGCTTTTTTTATCCATTTTATAACATTCCTATAACCATCACTCCCAATAATATTATTTTTACTATCTCTGGAACTCTCATTTTCATTCCTTCATTCGGTTTCACTTCTTCCTCTTTCTCTTCCTCTTTTTGTGTTTCTGTTTCTTTACTTGAATCACTGGTACATCTCATAGGTTTGCATTTTCGCATCGACGTCAATGTCACCGTAGATGTCACCGTAGATGTCACCGTAGATGTCACCGTAGATGTCACTGTAGATGTACTTGTCATCGTACTCGTATGCAATGATGTATTCGTCATCCATATATCTGTTTGAGAAAATGCACATTGTTCTGTTACTTTCTCTCCATGTATTGACTTTGTCGCTGTTGTAGTCGTTGTTGTAGTCGTTGTTGTTGTCGTTGTAATCATTGTTGTAGTCGTTGTAATCATTGTTGTAGTCGTTATCTCCGTCGTCATTAATGTCATTGTATGATGCGGTGTAACTTTTAATGGTTTTATTTCTTCACATAACTTGTCTATTTCTGTACAGACCGCATCACACCCTGGACAATCCTTTCTAAACTCGCAGTCTCCTTTCAAACTTTTACATTTCTCTTTCAATTCTAAATACAATTCCAATGCTCTCGCCGTTGCAACAAATGCCTTCTTTTCTGTTTCTGATACTTCTCCACTTACAAATGTTCTCCGAACAAGTATAACATTATTCGTGTTTGTCGTTCCACTTGGTGTTGATCCTCCTGGTGTTGGTAGTCCTGCTGGTATTCCTCCTGATGGTAGTCTTGATGACCCTGTTGGTGGCTGTGGTTGTGCTGGTGGTAGTGCCGATGGTGGCACTGATTTAGGAGAACTGTTATCTTGCACCTTTGATTCAGCACCTTGTACATCTTTCCCGAGTCTTAATAATAGTAACTTAGCTTTCTTCGCAAATTCTTCTGCCTCCTGTTTCACCTTTTCGTATTCATCCTTCTTCTTCTTTAATTCATCTTTCTCTTTATTCAGTTCATTTTCTAAGGTTTGACATTTTTCTTTTATTTTTCCAACAAACTTTTTGCAAAGTTCTTCTTTCTTAGTATCTTCACATAGACTATTCAATGTTTGATTCCCTTCTTTTTTCCATTCAGTACAATGTTTTCCTAATGTTTCTTTACATTTAGTTTCATCGCCTAAACTACCTTTCAATTTATGCATCAACTCATCCTCCAATTTCAACTTTTCAAAGAATGGCTTGCATTTCTCTTCCAGTTGTAAACAGATTCCTTTTCCACTCCCATTGTCTCCTTTTTTCAACCTATCTGGACAATTTTCCATATATTGATGACAATATGGATACCATAACATGCAGATTTCTTCAACCAATGTTTCATTTGTTTTTCCATTTTCAATTTTATCTATAATTTTTTCACTCTCCATGTTATTTTTTAAAAAAATACACTCATTTTCTGTTTGTTTTACCATAAAACTACATGTTTCTTCTCGTAAAGCACAAGAAACACTAAACTCTTCCTTTCCTCTTCTAGATAATTCCTTACATTCTTTCTTTAATCCTGCCGTACAATTTCCTTGAGTTTTTAATACATCATCTCCTCTTTTTAATAATCTTTTTTTCAATTCTTTTGTAATTTCTAAATATCTACAGCGTCTATTCAATATAACACATTTATTATCAATGAAATTTGAATAACCTCTAAGATCATGGCATTTCTCTTGTAGTTCAATACAATCACTTTCTTTTGGTAAATCCCGTACATTATCCAAAACTTGTTCTAATTCTTCCGACTGAGAGGAAATATAGTTTTTAAGTTCAAGACATTGCTCTTTTGGTCGAAGACATTTTGCAAAATATCTTTTATTGGAATTTTTAAATGTTGTACAGATATCTAATACCTTTTCTTGACAACTTAACATAGTTGCATTGGATTCAAAATTATAAAGAATTCCGCGTAATGCAGGCATAAATATTTTATTCAATGCCGCATTTTCTGCCTTTCTATAACATACTTCATTTATATGATCACATACTTGATTGATTCCATTTTTACAAATCCCTGATAAACGCAAGCATTCCGTTGAAAAGTATATACATTCTTTCCTAGTAAGAGATTTTGGAAGCTTATCCCAGTCTAAAGCACGTGACTCTTTAGTACTAATTTCTGTTGACAATCCTTTTAGATAAGATTTCAGTTTAAAATTTATACATCTCGCTTTCACATTTGTTAATTCGGCGCATTTTTTTTCTTTATCTTGATCGTTGCAAAAACTGTTTATCTCATAACTTAGATATTTAGTATTTCTGCAATACTTTTTTACAGCATTTTCACATGCTTCTTCTATATTATGCATTCCTTCTAAACGGCTCAAAAACAATATAAAATCTCTAAAGCCAATTTTTTCTGGCTTTCCAATAATACTTCCTTTATCTGCCTCTTTTTTATAAATATCTTCTAGTTTAATCTTCTGAAGGAGGGTTTTTGGTGGTTTAAGCGGATTTAAATCCAAATCTAGAGACTTATATGTAATATTTTTTTTCAAACATTCCTTCTCCCATTCATCACATTTTTCCTTAGCATTTTGACAAAATGGCATATAAAAATAACAGTTCTCAAGTTGTTCATGACATTCTTTATTATTATCAAAACTACGACTTATAGAAAGACAGAAATTAAAAGTAGCAGAGCCCAATACTAAACATGAATTACTCTGATCAATACATAATTCCATTAATGTATCAGATTCCCAAGCTAATAGTGAGCAAAAATTATAAATATTGCTTTTGCATTCACTTAAACTAATAGAAGACACTTTTAAAGTTCTTAAAATGACTTCCTGTGAAATAATGGTATTTTTTTTTTTGCTACATTCATTTCTCAATAAAATGCAGTTTTTTTTAATTTCACCCAAGTCAACGTCTTGAAAAAAAGAGCATTCTTCTATATATTCTATACATTTTTGAGCCAGACCCCCATAATGAAGAAAATCCTTAATTTCTTTGGCCATTTTTTTTAATTTTCCTTGAATTATTTTTTTTATCAGTTTGCATTGTTTTTCTTTATTGTTATTATTACAAATTTCCTTAACAGTATTATCCACTTTATTCAATTCTGGATCTATATTCTTTAATTCCTCACAATATTCCTCAAATTTTGCTTTGCATTTGTTTTCATCATCATAATCTTTTTTTAAAATAAAAGCATAAATATTTTCTCTATCAATAAAATTTTCAAACGAAGGATCTACTGCATTTGTCTGAGAGCTCCTAATACTTAAATCTACGTTTTGATTTCCATATGTAAGAGCTAAAAATAATTTAATTAAAAATGAAAATAATCTAAAATATAATTACCAATTAAATTTAATATTGCTATCAGTATAATTTTATTAATCATTGAAAAAAAGTATTTTCTATAGTTTTTGGGTCCTAAACATATAATAAAAATATCTACAATATGCCTTTAAAATTTATGAAATTTAATGGTTATTTTACTAAATGGTATCTAAAAAGATGCGACAAAATTTCACGATTTTTATAAACCCTAAAAAAATATGGTAGAAAGTGTTAAAAATAGAAATCATTACAATTCTTGATTATAAATTTTAAATCTTTATTTTTCTTGTTTTTTTTCTATATTTTTTCTCATTTCATTCAATAATTTTTTATAAAATAGTATATATATATATTGTTTTATCTATTTACTTTTGAAATTTTTTTACAATTCATCCATGTTTTTAACCCTTTTTAATATTATATTATCATCCTTAAGCTCGATATTTTCTTTATTTTTAGCATTCCTTCATTTAAATAATTAATTCTTAAACCTTTTTTTTTAATCGCTACATTGTTTTTAATATTGATTTCATGTGAATCATATTAAGTCTCTATATCTATAATTATTATTTTACATATATTCTTCTAAAATATCTCAGTAGATTAAATAAATTTCTTTTTAAAAAAATTAGTATATCATGATTTTAAATTTTATACATTCATCATAATTAAAAATGTTTTTTTGTAATAAAAAATATCATGAACATTTACTTTTTTAATAGTTGTAATATATTTTTAAAGCATAGATATAGTTTTTGAAATTATTTTTCTTTTCAAATTTTTTAATTTTTTTATAGATTGCTTTATTAGTTTTTTTATAGCTTTTGTCTCTACTTTGATTTAAATTATAAAATTATCTATATAAATCTTCTCGAGACTTCAGCCTCTATACACTAATTTCTTTTTTATCTGGGGATACTATTCTCGTATTTTGCATATGCTAAAAAGCATACCTTTAGAAATTATTAGATAAAAACATAATAATCCTATCCTTTCAGATTTTTTCTTAATATGTAGTTTCACTTTGAAATTTATTGACTTGGCTGTTTTATTGTTTTATCAAAGATTAAATTTTGCTATTGAACATTTAAATAAAGTTTACTTTTTGAATTTATGTTCATTGGAATTTATAACCATAATTAATAAAACCAAAAAATGATAAAAGAATAAGCACTATTGAATATCCGAATATCGTTAAATCTATAATACTTTTTAAAGACTAAATATCTTCCTATCTATAGTTCTTCCTCGACATATATATATAATTCTGAAAAATTCATCATGGTTTCATAACTTTTACAATTTTCTTTTCCTAAACATGTTATTTCACTTTTTCATTTATTGCTTCTCTTATAGTTATAACAGTTGATAATCTTATTTTTAATTTTGACATTAAAACAGAGAAATCTGTAAATCTGTCTACCGGATTTTTAATCTCAAGGGATAACTACATTGATATTTCTTTGATTATTATATTAAGTCTATAATATGGTTATAGGGTTTAAGTTGAGTGGGATTTCTTGATTTAAGTGTAGAAATGCCCAAAAAAAATGAATTGTAGGTTAAAAAATAATGAAAATCCTGATCATTTTATTCATAAATCATTAAATGAAAAGTATATCAGAAAATTCAAGATTTTATGATAAAAAAGAGTATTCTGTAAATTCTAATGATATTACTACGTTAGAAATTTCAGAAGAATCTATAGATATTAAAAATAAGAAAAAAAGCAAACATTTTTAGATTACGTATAAATATCAATAATTATTATTAATGGATTTTTTCAAGATAAAATATTAATTCTAAAGAACTTGAAATGCTTATTGATAAGAATGTCTTGTCCATATTATAAACATTTATGTGAAATATAATAGTATTATAAAAGCCTATATCATATTATATATATATATAATGTTTTGTTTCTTTAAAATTGACTGATAATTGGTATAAGTAAGTTTATAATAATTTAACGTATATAATCATTAACATTTAATTTAAATGATACTGACTTTTTTACTTAAAAAATTATACAACTTAAAAATCATATTAATTCTCTTCCTTTTGTTTTAAATAGTTTTTATATTAAAAATATCATATTTTTTAAAATACTTTACTGAAATATTCCTAAAGACCAATAAGGACTGAATAAAATTATAAAAATGATTTATAATATATATAATATATTTCTTTAACATGTATTAATAATATATAAAAGTAAAAATGATATTCATGTTATGTTTCTGCTTTTTTCCATTAAAAAAATAATAATGTTCATTTTTTCTATTTTTTAAAACAATTAAGCTATCTTTTCTAAAGTACATTGTTTTTTAATATTTTTTATGCTTTTTTTTGACATCCTTATTCCCAATTTTTCATTATTAATTATGGCTTTTTTGCCATAAAAAATTGAATATCTTTTGGATCATCAATATATTCTAAAACTTCATAGGTATTGATCATTTTTTTCTTCGAGATAATTTTAAAACAGGAATATAGCCATCTGGTCTTTTCAGAAATCTTTCTGAAGCTATTCTATATAGTTTCGTTATATTTTTCTTTGATTTCTATAAAATATATTTATTTTTAATTTAATAAAATAATATTTAATCTTTATAAATAACTAATTTGATAAGTTTCTATACAGAAAAATTATTAAAACTTTTCCTAAATATATAATTAATCTATCTACTATTTTTGTGTTAACTTCGAAGACCATTTCAATTGATTTATATATTATTAAAATACAATATTTATTTCTTAATAAACCTCATTTACAAAGATATTAAATTACCGTAAAAAAACAGAAATAAATGTTTAGAAAATTGTATCCTATGGATGAGTTTTCTCAATAATAATTTAATAGGCATATTTCTATATTTTTAGAACTATCTAAATTAAAAATTAATTTTTATTTTAACGTTATAAATCTAAAAATCGGATATAAAATAATCTTTTAAAAGTTCAAAATATATAAATCAGATAACATCATTTTATCATCTACTTAGATAAGTACATTTAAATATTATTCAATTATGCCAAGAATATTTTTTTTTCTTAGCGGCACTATATTATCTTCTTCTATAACATATATATTGCTTTTACAAATGCGTTCAACAACATGTTCATTGTCAGAATCTTTAACACGTCAATCATTTCGGCTTAAAAACCATGATTATTTTTCAAATCCATTATGGATGCCAATGGTATCATCAGCCAATTGGATGGAATTGGTGAAAGAAAGATGGAATAACACTCTTCGTTTTATATCAATGATGCCATTCACTAATATTATAAAAAATGATTTTTTAAACAAAATATTGGAGGATTTTTATTTTACGCTTCGTAAAAAATAAGAAATACTATTTTAAGATATCTTTTATTTTTTAATTTTAGATATATACATTTATAAAATCTACATTTAAAAGATAATTCTAGCTTACTTGCCTTGTTATGGGTTGGTAGCTCAGTTGGGATGAGCATTCCACTGAAGATGTAAAGGTCCCTTATTCAATTCATAGCCGTCCCGATTTTATAAATGTGTTTTTTATGATTAAATATAAACTTTAAAGTCTTCATTGTTAAATAAACTTTTCTATCAATTTTAAATATATAATATTTAAAATTGTGTAATTATTATAGAAATAAAATTTAAAATTTTAAAAATATTATTTTAAAATGATTTTGTCTAATACACAAAAGCTATATAATTATTACGTTAATGTATTAAGTTTCAATTTTCAATAGTTTTATATCATATAAATGCTATATATAGTTTATTAGAATAAGATAATTTTCAATATTTATAATACATTTTTAAATAATATTTTTAAATTATATTTCCATATATAATCTTAACCTCAGAAAAGTCAATATTTTCTATATTCTCTGAATAGCAATAATGAGAAAGGGATAGGTGATAATATCAAAGGGTTTTTAATATTATTAGACCTGTAAAATTTATTGAGCTATAATTCTCTAAAACTTTTTGTTTTAGTTTCTTATATTAATTTTTAAGATATTCAAAAGCTCGAGCAACTCATTTTAGAGACATCTGTATTCAGATATTTTTCTATAAGTAATTCCTATATAGACTTTCCAAGGTCGGATAGTTTAAGATTAGAGCTCATTAGTATAAGATCATTCAACGAGATTTCTAATTTAGTGCACTTGAAACAATAATATAATCTTTGCTGCAATGTATCACTAGAAAAAACTTTTACTAATGTTCTAGATTTCATATGAATAGATAGTTTCTCTTGATTAAGTGTATCAGGATAGATATATTCATAAAAAAATTCTTTTAAATTATTTTTCGTTAAACTTTTCAAAATATTAAGAACCACATTATTTAAATTATAATTATTATATTAATTGTGAATTAATATTCCGAAATCGAAATAGCATAATTCCATATAGATACTACTCCAATATTCATTTTCTTCGAAAAATACGTTATTGGGCCTGAAAGAATATTTAATAGCAACTAGTTTAAGATATTTTTTCAAATTTTTTATCAGTCATGATTTCTATAATTGCCGCTAATCTATATAAATAAACAACTATTCGCTACTCTAGATAAAATGAATCCCTGATACTTTTAATAGCAATATAACGGCTATAAATATCAAAAACCATAAATTATATAAAATCGAATACTTTATCATATTTAATACTTGGAAATGATAGCTTCTAACAAAATATCTTAATTGCCCTTTTGTTCCTAAATGAGCAAACAACGAACTCACAATAATATAGTATAAAAGATAACTAGCATCAACTATTTTGAATCGGTCAGATCTCCAATTTAAAAAGAATAGAAAACAAAAGAATTCAGTTCATCGGAATTTTCTATATCCAATCCATAAATATAGTTACTTTCTAAAAATAAATTAAATATATATATATAGATAGATATGATCTATCAACCTTTTTCAAGAACAAATGATCGTGAATCAAAAGTCTGAAATGGATAAAAAACGTATCGAGTAATTCCTTTTATGAAATTCTAGATAAAATGCAATACATTTTAAAAACAATTAATCATTTTAGTTATATATATTTCTTAGATTTAGAAATACTCTTAATGTCAATACTTCTGCAAAAATTTTAGAAAATTATACTTCATGGAACAGTTTGATATCAGTAAAAAAAATTACTATGCTCAAAGTCAATAAATAACTAGATTTTCAAAGCGAAAATACATTCCAAAACATCTTGAATTCCATAAGAAGACCAATAAGCTTCAGTGTAGAGATAAATAGCAATATCCTAAAAATCATAAAAAATCTCAGATTTAAATTTCTTTTAAGAATTATATCCAGAAAAGGTGAACTGAAATTTTAAAATAGCATTTAAAACATCTTAAACGATACATTTTATCGCTATAAAAAAATATAGATAATTAAAATCCTAGTTTTGTTACATTATAGAAATATGATTACCTGCAACATCTAAATAATATTTTATTTGGAAAATGTTTTCTAATATATTTATATAGATTCTAGAATTTTTAATATAATCCAAACATAATTCAAAACATACTTTACTAATGTTTCTCGTACAAAAGTATTAGAATATTTTGGATCAAAATAATGTAAATAAATGTCTCAAGTATTATTTTTATTAATGCATTCTAAAAAATAAAAATTAATATGTCTTTAGGAGAAGAGTGTGTATCATCTTCCTTATACCAGTAACGAAGAATTCGACTATATTCAAAATAAGGTTTGCATACTTTCTAAAAAGAATTAAATCATGCAACTAATAAATTGTTAGAAGTTATTTTGTCAGAAAGCGATTTTATAATATAATTTTTTGAGATATATATGTTTGAATCAGACAACTTAAGCAAATCATTAATTACTAAATTATTGGTTCTCTCATTGTCAAAAACATGATAGTTTCGTTTTTCCAAAATACCTGCATAAGTGTTCCCGATAAAGGCTTAAGTTTATATTCTGATCCATGCCAATATTCCTTTGCATCCAATAACCAGGTTTGGTGCTAGAAGAGATATAAAGTAAACAATTATTTGGGTGTAATGGATCTGATGAATCTATTATATGTTGTGTATTGTACTCTGAAATAAATGCAGATTTCAAAAGATCTGAATAATCTAGATATGTTTTTTGTATAGTTTCCAATAAAAATACGACACGTTCATATGATGGTATATAGTCTGAAAAGCAAAAATCTATATTATCCAAGTGTAATAATTCATTGAAAATCCACCCTTGAGACCCTTGTTCTATTAGAATTTAATATTATAGTTTTAACTAAAATGAAACAAACCTTTAGGCATGTTCAAATGTTGGAATTTTTCAGTATAGACAGTAATAAAAAACTATTAAGGGAATTAGAAAACTGATATTCTAATTCACTGTCAAGAATAAAATTATTAAAAATTATAGAATATAATCAAGTAAATATTTAAAATAAAAAAGGTTCAGTTTCATATAATATTTTTTTTAAGATTCTGCAGGAAACGTAAGTTCCATTGTTGCAATGTCAAGTTTTGATTTATAGCAATATTGTACCAAATAAACATAAATTTTATAATCATAAAATAAAAAAAGACATATGCCAAAACTCTCATCCGTAAATAGGTTTTCTATAAATTTGGGTCTTTAAATCTCTTCATTAAAAACTTAAAAGAAATCGTAATAACAAATTCCTAATATCTTTCAAGTAATTTTAATATAAAGACTAGTATTATAAAATAAAAATATATTCTGTACTTGGTAAAGTTACACGTTTGATCAAATTAAAATCAAATACTAATAGTAATATTGATAATATTTTTTATTGCATTTCTTTAATCTGTCTAGTTATAGTTCGTCTTTACTACAGTCGACCATAAAAATAATAATCTTCAAATAATCTATGAAAGATTATATTTCAATATCTTCAATCTCATCTTCAATCGCTATTTTTAAAGAATTGTGTTTTTCTTTTATAAAATTTATCAAACCTATGGGTACATTTTTGAAATAGAGACAAATCTATGAATCCATTACTTTCTCTTCTTAATATTAAACAAACCTCATTGAATTTTGTTTCATGTTTATTTTTATTCAAAAAATTCCAATATTATTTTGCTCAATTTCTTCCATAATATTCAATTCTTAATTTAGTGAACACCTATGTAAATTTGAAATATTTATTTCCCTTCCAAAATATTAGAATTCACAATTACTATTGCTGCCAGTTTTAAATAAATTTAAATAAAAAACTCTATTACCTCGGTGTTTTTACATTTCTCTTCAATCTTTACTTTTAATCCACTGCATTTAATCCACTGCATTTTATTTTTATGTATTATTGAACATATCCTCTTCAATATTGTATTCACCATATCAAAAATTTTGTTGATCTTTTCTAACTTTACAATATCTTTTCAACTTTGACATTTATTAGTATTACTATATCTTCCTTGAAAATTAAAGGTAAAAATAATCTTCAATATAAATGAAAATATTTTCTTTAAATCAATTATAGTGTACTTGAAACTTTCTAATTTTTTATTAAAAAATTCTAAAAAATTATTAAAAAAACCAGGGAAAAAACAAGTATACTTAAAAACAGATTATCAAAATAAATAAAATGAATATAAGGATTTCTATTGAAAAAACAAAAAAAAATATCATATCTATTATTTTTAAAACTAAAATCACCAAACAGAAAAAAATTTGAAATAAAAATTATTAAAATGATATAATTAAAAAACATATTATTTCTAAAATTTCATCACCTTTAAATACGACTAAGTAGAATGCCATATTTCCTATATATAACTGCTACTCTTTTTATTAAATTGACTAAATATTTAAAATGCTTGTTTAACAATTACAAAAAATATAAAAAATATATTTTAAATAATTATTCATATTGCTAAAGCTATCCTTATAATCATACAAATCAACTCTATTTTTCGGATCTCATTCAAATATATTACCCCTATTTTTCTAGGTATTTTGATATTTTTATAATTAATTTTCATATATATAAATCCTGTTTTTTCATGTAAATATATATTATATGCTGCTTCCTATTTTTTAAAAGCGATCATTTTCTTAGCCCTATAAATCATAGTAAATATCAAGGGTATTACCCATCATTTTCTCAGATCCTTCATCGGAGGCAAGAAAAAGACCGCAAAAAAACAACGTTTTCAAAAGTACCAAAAACATTTAGAAGCAATTATATTTGCATATTATATTCTAAATATTCAATTTAGAAAAAAAGTTATCTGCGTTTATTACTAAAAGAGATACAATTAGCACATCATTTTTAAATAATATAATAGTAATTAAGGACTTTTGCTGAACAAGATTTTTTTCAAGATTTTATCCTAGTATTTCTTAAAATAGCATATATACATACACTTATTCATAGTATTTGGAACTAAGGAAAGAGATCCTACTAAATAAAATAGATCATTTAATAGTTTATTAGACACTTAATTAGCCCTTTGAATCGACTGAATTTAACTCTGGATATTACTCATTTAATTTGCACTAAAGATAGCTTGCCTATTCCAGGAGAGATATTGGATATATCTGCTTAAAGTACGTTAATTGAGTAAATAAAACATAAATACATGAAATGCAAAGAACCGATATTAAGCAATAGTGATTATAAAAATATGATTCAGAACGATAATAAAAATAAGGGAAACATAAAAGAGGACGAAGGAGATAATTTCACGCCTATTAGAGAATCTGAAAATGGATTCTTAGAAACATCCATAGAATTGTCAAATACACATTTAAAAGAGTTATTGGAAACATTACCAAGACCATATTCAGAAAAAAATGATCATGCAGAGCTTCGATTAACTTTTGGTCTTGAAAAAAAAATAGAAAATGTATTATCTATGAATAAAGAAATTCCGGATAAAAAGTGTACCATTATTGAAACTCCAAATAAACAAATACCTGAGTTAGCTGTCCAGGAATATGTTCCTAGTTCAGAAAATGACAAAATTGATTATTCTTTTGCCAACATGAATCAGGATTTATCATACAAAACAAAGATACAGCCACTAGATAATGACCAAGTGAACCCAAAAAGACATAGTCCAGTATTTCATGATAATGATATATCTTTACTTTCTAAAACAATTCAGGAGACAATCCAGCAAAACTGCCAGCTTCTTTCCGATACACTTAATCCCATTCCCAGTAGCCTTGATCTTCAAAAACTCCTAGCGAGCTTATCTCCTGTTTCTAAGGTAGACCCACAATCAGTCACATTCCAGGCAACTGCAAATAATTCACTCTCTCCGGATCTTTTAAAAGCCTTAAATTCTGTTTCTTCTATAACTGATACCAATATTATTCAGTCTTCGTTGATACAACATCCCAATTACAAAAATGCTATTAGTAATCATGAAGCTCCTTATACTCCACAAGAAGATGCCTTATTTCAGAAATTTCTTATAGATGAGAAACAAATTATGTCAAATACAGCGCCACATGAATTCCCACCAGGATCTCGGATGTTTATAGGTATTTTAGACTCAGATATTCGTAATTTTACTAGATATATTGAACTAATATATATATATTTAAAAGGTAATTTGCCAACTGAAAAAGTAACCAAAAAAGATGTTTTCCGTATTTTTTATCCATATGGACGACTAGGTCAAATTGCATTAAAGCAAGCCTATGGCTTTGTTCAATTTTTTTCATCAGAAGAATGCCAAAATGCAATTAATGGAGAACAGGGAACTATGATTCGTGGGAGAAAGATGCGTAAGTTACACATAAAAAGCAATAAATTTATTCAAATTTCTTTCTAGATTTAGAAGTTTCAAAACCACAAAAACATAGAATTCCTCCTTCTAATGATAAAAAAAACTACCGAGCCAGGTCACGATCTCCAGACATAAGAGATCGATCTCCAGTACGTGAAAGAAGTAGGAATCATGGACGTGGAAATCATGGATATAGTATTTTATATGATCGTGATAATAAAAAAGATCGATATAGCTCAAGAGATGAATTTGGTAAACGACCATCATCTCAATCTCGATATCATAGAGATCGAGGGATCGATTATGGAAAAGATTACAGATCTACTTCTCCTGATCGATTTCGTGATTATTCACATTCACATCAACAAATGGATAATTTTCCTCTTCCTCTTCGGTATGGTAATAACGTTCCAGAATGCCAAATTATTATTACAGATGATACTGACAGGTATTTGTTATGCAGATATTTAATTTTATTATTAATGGATATTAAAGAAGTTTTATTTATTTTGTTGAAAAGGCTTTTAAAGAGAAAGGTTTTCGTATAGATACATTATTTTTATCACCAAGATTACCATTGCCTTCTGTTGTTCAACAAATGATTATTGAAGGGATTATGGCTATAATATTTCTTAATAGACAATTACAATCTCAATCTAAAATTTCAATGCAAATCTTTGATCGAAAAGCTGATAGCTCTGATGTAAAATTTGACGGTAATTAATCAAATAGCGTTTTAGAAACACTAATTATTCTAAAAGAATATGCAAATATTGATGTTCATGTTGCAGTAGTATTAGCTCTTCGAAAAAAACAATCCATTTTGCAATTAACAAATACATATGGAATATCCAATTATAATAATACTAGTTTCCAATCTCAAAATACTCCTTCATTTGGCATAGCAAATTCAGATTTAGCAAATTTAATTGGTTCACTTGATCCAACAACTCTTCAAAAGGTTATTGGGGCATTAACACAGTCCTCTCAACAATTAGCACCTCAAATACAGCATATGCCTTATACAGCTTCTCTACAAATTCCATATCAAGGATCTCCTACCAATCAAAATTATCAAATAAATCCGGGAATTGTGCCTTTAATAACGTCTACAATACCGTCGCAAGGACAGCAACCTGCTCAGCAAGTCCAAGATATTTTAGGACAATTGGCAAAACTTCAAGGACAATAAAGATAAAATTTAGTATTAATTTATAATCAAAATTGCCATATCTTCATAGATAATTATAAAACGTACAACATTTTGATGAATTACAATTATATGGTTTTAACTTTATATAACAATCTTTTTTTTTGAAATGAAAAATTTGCATTATATAAAAGAATTCGTTTATGTATATATAAACATATGTATACATCGCTTTATTAAATGTGATATAAATGGACAAAGAGTTAAATTTAAACGGCCTCTTTTCTCTTAAAACAAGTAGTATCAAAAACGATTTGCACTTGTATAACAAGGCAAAAATTTTGAAAAAATTAATATTATTAATATACAAAATATAGAAATTCCAAGATTCTAAATAATATTAATTCTATATTTAACATAAATATTTGAGAAATGTAGATTAAATATAAAAAACCTTTTTCAGTATAAAAGATATTCGAATCGAATTTTTCTTTTATTTTTTCTTTTTTAAAAAGATGAAATCTAAAGAAGTATCTTCACATCGAAAAGGGATTCCTACAGCTCCCTTTGTTGATAAAATTGAAAATTACGTAACATCACAAGAACAAGTTGAACCAACACTTAGACAATTTCAAAAATTAATTGCGTAAATATTTTCAGCGTTTAAAAAAAAAGAGTAACAAATAAATAGGAAGTATCGTTTTATGGAGATTAGTTTTCAGAGACATACAGCAGGGCTTTTGGAAAAAATTCCAGAGATGGATAAAACTTTGCAAATGCTACGTTTTTTGGAGTCAAAAAAGGTTTTTTTTTTTGATTAAAGACATCAAGTATAATATTTTCAGGAAAATAAAGAACCTTTTGAGACATATTTTGAGCTGGATGACACACTTTATGCAAAAGCTGTCATTCCATCAACGAATAAAGCAGATATCTGGCTTGGAGTATCTTTTTTTAATATTCTAAATTTTTTACTGATAGGTTAAGGCAAATGTCATGATAGAATATCCTATTCCAGAAGCAATTGAATTTCTTTTATCGAAACTTGCTAGTGCAAAAGAATCTTTAAAACAATACGAAGAGGATTTAGAATTTGTTAGGGAAAATATTACAACATTAGAAGTTAACATTGCAAGAATATATAATTGGGTATACTTGATTTATAACGAAAAAGAAAGCCAACATGAATAATAGGATGTAATGCAACGTCGAAACAAAAAAGAATAAAGTACAAAAATTAGCCTCAAAATACACATTAGATTAAGCTCTGCAAAAAAATTATTATTATTATGAAAAAAGAACAAAAATCATAAAAAAACTTATTAGGTATATTCAAAATATAGAATAAAAATAAATTTAAAGGATAATGTTAACGATTTATAGCAAAACGATTGACCTTTTTTCTTAATCTAAACCAACTTTATAGATCTTTATTCAGCATCATAAAAAAATCAACATACCTTATCTATTTTAAAATCTATTTTTACTTAAATCTTAATTATACTCAAAAAACTCTATATCATAATCTACTTTAACTTTATTTGTCATTTTTAGAAAAAATATACTATATATTATCAATTAATTATATAATAAATTAGTTTCTTTACCACATTCTTTAGAAATATAACCAATGTCATATTATTAAGCCAGATTAATCCGCCCTTAAACTACTAGATCGTTGAATTTTTTCGTAATATATTTAGTTTTTTTATAAGAGGATATTATAAATCTTATAAAAGTATTATCTTTTGTTAAATCGAAGAAAAATTACTCTTATTTAATGAAATATATACTATTTAAATTATCAACATATATTCAGCATTTCTTTCAAATAAAACATATAGTATATAAATTCAATTTATGTTTATAATATATAAAACATCTTTATATAAATGGAAATACTAGAGTTTTCCATTGCAAAATTTCTTAAATCCATTGTATAAATACTTATAATTGTTTATGTTTTTTCTTAAACAAAATTTTAAATCCTTGAAGTTCCTTTTAAATATTTAATATCAATTATTTCAATTTTTAGAATAACATAACGGAAGATAGAAAAGGTAGATTATTATATATGATTCTAACATTTATAAAAACTTAAATCCAAGAAAAAAGATAGATTATAATAATTATAAAAGATATTTAAACAAAGATATATATTACATTAACTAATTATCAAACCTAATAGTTTAAACATTCATTTTTAAAATGGATAAAATAAAAAAACAACTAGGTTAAAGTATCCAGAAAAGCTTCAGATGGAATTACAAAAACATATGAGAATAATCTAATGGGAAAACTATAATCATTTAATAACAATACCAATATCTCCATAATTTCCAACATCATGGAAAGAACTTAGTGTATTTATATAACCAACAGTTTCTTCATCCCAAATAGAAAATAAAGAATCCTTCGACAATTTATTAGTATATAAAGATTCAGACAAGACATCAAAAGATTGTATATGATTATCATGAGAAATCCTATCCATTTTATTGTCTTCTAGAAGATTGTATCGAACAAAGGAAAGTTTAGAAATCTCTGGGTCTGTTTTAGGTAAATCATATATGGAATTATGATAATCCCGTCGAAATAGATTTCTAGAGTACATATAAGATGAATAATTGTAACTTGCAATATAAAAAATAAAAACTGCTAAACAGCTTCCTCCTATTAAATCAACAAAATAGTGATGTGTTAAATACATTGTACACCACCATAACCAAAGAACATATATTACGAAATAAGGCGTAGTTTTAGGAAAAATACAACTTAGAAATAATGCCTCAAGAGTTGCATGACCTGAATGAAGTGATGGAAAAGCGCCAAATACCAATGGAGAAGCAGGAAAAGTAGATGTATACAATTTTGTGCCGAAAAAGTTATCAATCCTAGCAAGACCACCAGCAGATCCCCCCATACTATAGTTTGCAAGTTGACTTCCATATACACTTTCATACCCTAGATTTTTTTAGGATATATAAAACGATAACTGAAACATACATGGAGGAGAACATGGAAATACAAGTTGAATAATTACTCCAATTAAATTTAAATATCCGAAGCTTTTCGCGAAAATTGGAAGTGTTCCAGAAGGAGAAAAAAGATATATAACAATCGCAGTAACGAATGGTGCGCCAAAGTGAACAATTCCATATGGAATCCATGCTAAAATATCCAAAAAAAAATGAGTATGATTCGAAAGCAAAGAGCTTAGTCTGGCACCATATAAGATATTTTCCAAGGTAGGTAAAATCGAAATCCATATATGGGGTCTCATAGAAGAAGGAATGAACCTATAAATGATTAAAAAAATATAAAAAAATCCACCTTACCTGCATGCATAGAAAAGAATTAACCATGAAATAATAGGTAGCGAAGGACGAAAAAAGACCCGTGTGATTGGAAATATAAGTAACAATACATAAAGCAAAACGATAAATATTTTGATGAATGCCATACAAGGAAGAATATTTAAGCAGGAAATACAAATAATAGCTGAAAGAAAATACTCGACATAAGAAATCAATAAAACAGACTTACATAATGAAAATAATCTTTTTCTTGAAATAAATTCATTAAAATTAATGTCCTTGATTTTAGTTTTTATACGTGCTCGCATATCCTTAAAAATGCATGAAGTATTTTCCGTCTTCTGAAATATTGAAAATGTTAACCATATAGGATAGACAAGAATACGCTTCATTCTTTGACATTAAATCTTTATAAAAAACGTCGCTTAAGGACGTTTTAGATCTATTAAAAATAGACACTTATAGATAAAGTAATAAAAAAAGAAATATTTTAGCTAGAAACCACCCTAAAGTTTTTTTTCTTAAAGAATATATCTTTTTAATCACTATTTTATATGTTTCTTAATTTTTTTGATTTTTGTCTTAATCCGTAGTGCAATTCTAGTATAATACCATGGCAACCAGGTCGATATTAATTCACTTAAAGGAAATAAGGATTGAATAAAAATATATCTTTTTATATACAATGATTTCTATATAAATGAAAAGGATGTAAATAAAATTCTTTTTAAAAAAAATATTTTTTAAAAAATATTTATAAAAAAATTTAAATGGTTTCCATGACAACTATCCAACCAAAATAAACAAACCAATATCGAGATCTTTCAAGTCAAAAATACGAGACCGGTTCTCGTCTAGTATCTTTTTTTCTTTATAATTACGCATCATTATCCCTTAATTCTTAAAGGGTCGCTGATAGGGCATAAGATTGCGTTTCTAGAGCTTATTTTTTTTTATTTTTTTTCTCTTTTTTATAAATTTCTAGTTGCAGGTCAACTTTTAAAATTTTTCTATGGTTTTAATGCAAAAGAATTATCTAAAAGAAGATCATCTTGATGGGGATTTCTATGAAAAGCGGGTTCTGCCAGAACTTTACTTTTCAAAATGTGAAACTCCGAGTTCAAAATTTTTTTTAGACTATAGCGACCATTCGGAAGCATATAAACCTCAAAGATATAAATATGCTGAAAAAAAAGATAAAGAAAAGTGCCTTCAAGGTGAAGTAAATGAGCTCCTGCTTAATAAGTGCAATATGACTATGGACAATTCGCTGTCATCACCTCTTGTTCCAGTAGAGATGTGTTTATACAAAACCTGCCATATTTTTCCTCCAGTAGTTCGCTCTGAAGCATTAGATCCATCACTTATGGTCCAAAATTTTGTAGATCCTCAATTTTTTTCTGAAAGGGATATCCAGGATGCTTCTAGCATTTCTAATGAAATACAACTGCTTTCTCCTCCATATTCATCTATACAATATGATAAGAATTTATCAGCTAGTTTGGGTCAAAATTTTTATAGAGAACAACATCAAGAAGGGTTAGAAATTTTGGACAATTATTGTTCACACTTGCAAGACAACTTAAAGGACTCTATTCATCATTTGTCTCCCCAAATATTTTCACCACCCATGTCTCCACAAAATAATTCAATTATAGATCTGGGAGGTACTTCTTACGGAATAACATATCTTGATAAGCCATCTTTTAATCAATTTATGGCTCCTGTACCATTAGATAACAAAAATCAACATATAATACCATCATCAAATGGAATAGTCAAGAAATCTATGACATTTGGACGTTTTTCATCTAGGAAAACTATGGTCTCCCTTGAAGCAATATCCTCTTTTATTCAAGGTCCAGAAAAATCGGATGGTAAATTCGTATGTCTCTATAATGGTTGTTTAAAAAGATTTGGAAGGAAATATAATATTCAATCTCATATACAGACACATCTATCAGACAGACCTTATTGTTGTCCAATTTGCCGTGCAAGATTTGTTAGACATCATGATTTAAAACGACATATAAAAATTCATGGTGACCAAAAACCTCATGTTTGTCCTTGTGGAAAAAGCTTTGTTAGAACGGATGCACTTAAGCGACATAGAATAAGAGGCATTTGTAAAGGATCTACACACGAAGGAAAGACAGCATAAAAGAATCATCCTTTGATTAGAAAATCTTTTTTTTCTAAAAAAACTATTTGATACCATTTCTTTCAATATCTAAAGACAAACAATAAAAAGTTATTAAGAACGTTTGTATAATACAATTACAATATATAGTAGGTAGCAAATACATAATGTCATATAATAAGCTAGGAGCAAATGTAACATTTGAATTTACCATAGTTAAAATTTTAAATCTTATTCTTTTATAACCAAAGTTCTATCTCTTTGATTTTTAATTCATTTATTATTTTATAATTATATATATTAAAAAAGTATTATCTTTGTTTCGTTGTTTTCAATATCAAAGACATAAGTGACTCGTCTTTTATTTGCTTTGCTTTGTTCCATAATAGTTTTAAATGATTTGTTTTCCATGAAAATATATTTTGATATGAAATTAAAAAATATTTAGCTTCTTGTAGTAAATTATTTTTAGCTAAATTATTAATCATCATTCTACAAATATTAAAATCCAATTCGCTTAAATGTAATTTATTATATTTTATATTCATTTCTTCGAGATTCTTTTCTTGATTTTTTATTAAAAATCTCCAATGGTTTCTTTCATTCCATACAGAACGCGCAAAATTTATATCATTAAATTTATAGGCAGCCTCAAGTCCCAATTGATAAGTATACGGACCTCTTTCAAATTTTTTTAAATATAAGTCAGAAATTTTTTCTTCCTTTATAGTTATAGAATAATACATATTTTCATAAACATTTTTAAATATAGAATATGAGCCATGATTAATCAACACTGAAAGATATGAATTCATAAGTTGAGCATCCAAAAATGGATATTTATTTTTTTGTATATATTTCATTAATGCTGTAGATTCATCTAAAACATCTTTTGATGTCTGCAAATCAATTTTTAAAAATACGGACTTCAAAATATCCTCAAAAAAAGCATTTCTAGTATCATTCTGCATATTTGTATCTAATTTTAAAGCTAAAATATCCTCTTCTATTTTACTATTAGTATAATTATTTTCTGAATTTCGAATCGGCTTTTTAGGAATATAATTAGCATAGGCTCTAAACAGGCCTTGAAATGCATATATATCTACCTTTTCTAAACTTTCACTTCTATTTTCATCAATAGAAATATAATTATAATGAAATCTTTATACTTTTGAAATATATGTTTTACCAGGATTCTTGCTTTTTTTAAATCACCCATTTTCCCACAACCTTTTAACAATGCAATAAAGGTTTTTTTGTCCATTGAAGTATTATTATCTAATAAGATTTTTGCTATCCTCCATGTTTCATAAAAATAATCTTTTCGTGAAGCATAGGCAGAAATTAAAGCATTATATGTTTCTAAAGTTGGAGTAAGAGACCCCTCTGGATGTGATAACATTTCCCTAAATAATTCGTTGGCACGTTCTGCTTCTCCAGTTAAAGCACATGTATAAATCATAAGTGAATATGTTTTAACATCTGGGAAAACATCCTTTGATCGGTATTTAAGTAAATCAAAAACTTTCCATGCTTCATCAAACAATTGGTTTTGAACACATAAAGAAATTAATGTAGTATAAATAACCTAATAGATTAAAAAAATATTAATAAAAATTAAATAAACTTTACAAGATTAGGATTAATCAGATATTTTTTCATATCTTTAAATAGCAACATTACGTTGTCAATGTCACCAATTTTCGAATACGCCTTTATTAAATGTGCATAAGAATATACAGAAGGTGCAAACCCGTCTAATAAAATATTAATATTTTTCTAAAAATATACATATAATAACATTGTTTCATTTGTGAAAAAGTCCTAAGAGCTCCTTTTACATCACCCACTTGAGCATAACCATCCATAATAAAATCATATGTTAATCTATCAGGCTGAATAGATGCTTTCTATATGAATCATCCGATTTTTATAAATTCTAAGCGAATAGACATACCCTCATCATATCAAAAATATTTTCTGTTAAAAAACATCGTTCTTTAGAGGGTATTGAATATATCATTTTGTTCACTTGTGATGTAGTTAATCCCTCAAGCCCTCCATTGGAAGAAATAATGCTTAATTTCTCTGTCCAAGTTAAATTCGAAGCAGTTTTTTCTAAAGAAATTTTAATCCTTTCAACAAGAATAGGACTAAGAGTATCATTTCCAATAGCTATAGGTAATTGATGTTCTGGTTTGCAAATAAATTTATATAAAAGTTCATACTCGTTTTCTGATAATTTTTTAGAAAAACTCTAGAATAACTAAATAAACCATAAAAAGACTTAATTAAATTTACTATATCATCCGATTTTCTCCATTTCTCTTCATTTTCAAGTCTTGTACGCAATTTAGCAATACATTTCTCTAAAGTCCGAATATTCAATAAAGTCGATTTTTTAGAATGACTTTTTAAATTCTTAGTAGAAAAGAAACATGCAAACGCATTTTCAAGAGATATTCTCCTTCTTAATAATACTTTTTGGACAAATTTACTCTCAAACATAAGATCATTTTTTAAGAAGTATTTCCCTATATTTAACTTCAAAAATCATGAAAAAAAAAGCACATAGACATTAGAAACCCATAAACCTATAATTTCTAGAGAATATCTAGATTAAACAAACCTTTTAGCTCTTATTTAAACTTTTAAAAATAATATGGGTTAATATGAGGTCCAAAAAAACCAGTCACCCGTTAACGAGCCCGACTTCAGGTTAAACACTAACTGGAAGAAACTGCGTCAAAGAGACGTTGTAAGTAAGAGATTATATAAAAATGCAGATCTTCGGTAAAGTTTGAGGGTTTTATTAGAAAAAAACTTATTTTTTAAGTGAAAACACTAACAGGAAAGACAATCACACTTGAGGTTGAGTCATTAGACACGATTGATAATCTTAAAAGTAAGATTCAAGATAAAGAAGGAATTCCTCCGGATCAGCAACGCTTAATATTCGCTGGAAAGCAGCTGGAAGATGGGAGAACTTTATCTGATTATAATATTCAAAAAGAATCTACTTTACATTTGGTTCTTCGTCTTCGTGGAGGTGCAAAAAAACGAAAAAAGAAGACGTATACAACACCAAAAAAGATAAAACATAAGCGGAAAAAGTTTCCTATTTTTTTTTGTTATTTTTATTTAATGTTTTTGAAGGTGTAAATTGCCTATTTTAAATTTTTACAAAGTGGATGCGGATGGAAAAATCCAACGACTTCGTAGTGAATGTCCTCATCCAACATGCGGTGCAGGGGTTTTTATGGCACTTCATAAAGATAGAAGATATTGTGGGAAATGTGGATTAACAATGGTATTTGATAAGAAGGAATAAATATATTACGATCTATAAATTTCTCTTGACCTATCCGAAAACCATATAAAATATCAATATGTAATCTAGCATATTACTTCATTATTTATCATTAGAAAATTAAGATTGTTAATTCTATTTTATTTTTGAATAAATCAAATTTATTAAAATTCTCTAATGTATTTATAAATCTCTTGAAATTTCATACAATAACCCAAAATAAAAACATATAACCTCAGCAAAAACGTCAGATCAGTAGGAGATTCCTATGAACTTAAATTTAAAGACATGAAATGATGTGATTAGAACATTTTGCTAAACATCATAACATTATAAGATAGGAAGATATAAATTATAGAAGTATAGTTAAAAACGATATTCTAATCAAGTATTAAAAGTTTATTTAAAATAATATATATTCTTAAAATAAAAATATTTTAAAGATATATTATCAAAAATGCATTTTTTTCAATATTTTTTTACATACTTATTTTTTAAACTTGAGATGTTTCCTTAAGACTACTCCTTCCAGCCCTAAACAAGTTAAACATAATATAATTACTATAAATTGTTACCTTAAAATTTCGTCTACATTTAAAAGATTAGTAGTAATTACACAAGATGAATGCAACATATGCCTAATGACTCTATAATTATCGTAAACCCCCTCCGATATTGGATCAAAAGGCTCTCCAGTTTTTAAATCTACACCTACAATATGTCCTTGATGAGACTCATCTTTCAATGCAACAATTGTATCTTGTGTATCAAATCCACTATTAGCAGAAAGAGTTTTAGGAACAACCAACAAGGCCTCAGAAAACGCCTGAACACCTAATTTTGTCTTCCCTTTAACATTATGAATAAAGTTTTTTTGAAGATGAACAGAACATGCTACTTGAAAAGCACCTGCACCCGGGACTAAACAACGATCTTCAATTGCATTTTTTACACTCCTAAGACCATCGCGAATTGCATCTTGAATTTGACTAATAGTATGTGCATTTGGCCCTGAAAAGTTATAAACTCAAAAAAATCATAATTCAAATACCTCTTATAAGAATCGTAACACTCTTTGGATCTTTAACTTCTTCCACAAATGTATACTTCTCTTCACCCAATGTCTGTTCATATACTAGCCCAGCCCAACCCAAAATATCCGGAGTAAGGTCATCTACAGAATTTTGAGCAATACCGCCACAAATAAGCTGCAATCTTTCCATGTTGCGTCTTTTTGCGCGTCTTAAAGCAAAAATACCATTTTTAACTAAGACATCTAAAGATAAGGGATCAATCCCTTTTTGATTGATTACAACAAATCCTTTTTTTAGATCATTCCCGCATACTTGTTTCTTCAATTCCACGATCTTTCTTAATTTATTATCAACAAATCTTCTTTCACTTTCAACAAGTCTTTCTCGCTGTTCAGCACTACTGTAAAAAAAACCTGAATTAATCTCCGTTTTTTCATACTCTAATGAAACATTCAAAATAAGAACAAATGCATTTTCAACTTTTTTAATCATATCTGGATGACGAGTACCGTGATCCAAAAGAAGCCCTTTAATAAGCTGTGTATCTGTAGATGTGCGATGTTGCATCTTCATAATCTCAATCATATGCAAATCAATCGGCTCATTTTCTCTTTGGATAGATAAAACTGCATCCACAATAGATGGATATAAACTTTCAACTAATAAGGGATGTAGTTTTGTTGACAACGATGATCGTGCTACTAAAAGTAATGTTGAACGATCCATCTCTTTATCAATTTTAAATTCATCCAAAAACTACTCAAATAAACTCTACCCATATTTTTCACACAAAATATTTACCTTAAGAGCTTCTTTCAAAGACAAATCAAACCCTTCACTTATTACCTTAGGATGAAGTCCCTCCTGAATATAAACATCCGCTTGTTTAAGCAATTCCCCCACTAAAAGACAAATTGATGTTGTTCCATCACCTGTAATTTCATCTTGTGCAACTGCTGCACGCGCAATAATACTTGCTGTTGGATTTTGAATTTGCTAATCCATTTAATTAATATAAACTCATCCTATAAACCATAATTTACTCTATTACCATCTCTGTTAAAAGAACTTTTCCATCTTTTGTAAGTTTGATATTTCCTGCTCCATCCACCAACCTAAAACCAATAAAAACCTGATATTTTCTAAATATATCATTTTAAATATACATTTTAATTGTTCCCTTAGGTCCAAGATTACTTTTAAGGACATTTTGAAGACCTTGTGCTGCTGCCATATTAACCTTTTTTTTTGTTAGTTATTTAAAAAAAAATAGGATAAATACCTGTAAGGCTTGTTCTCGACGTAAAGACTCCGCCTTAGGATTTAGAAAAGTAATCATCCCTCAATAGAATTCTTCACAACCTATTTTTTAATGTTAAAAAACTTTTTTTCAAGTTCGTCAAAAAAAGATATTTTTTATATATAAATAAAGTTTTATCAAAAAAAAAGCTAAGAAAACCAAAGATATAATGGTCGATCAAATTCTTGCAGAATTTGCGACAGGATATGCACTTTTTGAAGTGATTCAAGCGGAGGCAATTGGGGCAAAATTAAGGGAAGTTCAAGAAGCATCACAAGATCTTTCAAAATTTGGAAAATTTATTAAATTAAGAAGTTTTTTACCATATAGAGATGCAGCAAATGCTCTTGAGAATATTAAAGATATATCTGAGGGTATTTTGAGTGAAAAAGGATGATAAAAGAGTTTAATATTTCAGGTTTAATGAATGAAAATCTTAAAACATTTCTTGAAATGAATCTTCCTAAATTTGGGAAAAAAGGACGTATTGTACTTGGAGTATCTGATAAAAATCTTGCAGGAGATATTCGTGCAAGATTTAAAGGAATTGAATGTGATACATCAGAAGTTACGCAAGATTTATTACGAGGAATTCGTTTTCATAGTGAAAAATTATTGAAACAGTTACAGCCAGGTGATCTTGAAAAAGCACAATTGGGTCTTGGTCATTCGTAATTATTTTTATTAAGTATAAAGTGAAAACATTAATAAATTTATAGCTATTCTCGGGCAAAGGTAAAATTTAATGTAAATAAGGTTGATAATCATATTATTAATGCAATTGCTATTATGGATCAGCTTGATAAGGGTATTAATACATTTTCTATGCGTATAAGGTAATTGGGGAATTTCTATATTTAAATGTTTAATTTTTTATCGATTTATAGGGAATGGTATGGATGGCATATGCCAGAACTTGTAAAATTTGTAAATGACAATTATCAATATGCAAAGTTAGCAATTTATATTGGAAATAAAACTTCACTTTCTCAAGATAATCTTCAAGATATTGCAGCAATTGTAAATAACGATCCAATTACAGCTCAAAATATTATTAACACAGCACGTATTAGTATGGGGCAAGATATGTCTACGGTTGATATGGAAAATATTGTGATATTTGCACAAAAAGTAGTAGATCTTGTAGATTATAGGAAAAAATTATATACATATCTCGTTAATAAAATGAATACAATAGCACCTAACCTTACAAAACTCATAGGAGAGGTAATTGGAGCAAGATTGATCTCACATGCAGGAAGTCTTACAAATTTATCAAAATACCCTGCATCAACAGTCCAAATTCTGGGTGCCGAAAAAGCATTATTTCGGTATAATAATATTTTTTCCATTTTATTTATTTACTTTTATATAGAGCTTTAAAAACTAAAGGAAATACCCCAAAATATGGAATAATATATCATTCTTCATTTATTGGACGTGCTGAACAAAGAAATAAAGGACGTATATCACGGTTTTTAGCAAATAAATGTGCAATTGCCAGTAGAATAGACAATTTCACAGGTATAAATCACTACTAAGTTGAACATTTCAGTTACATTTTTAGAAATACCTACTACACGATTTGGGGAAATTTTAAAAAAACAAGTAGAAGAACGGTTATCATTTTATGAATCAGGAACTGCTCTTACAAAAAATAGCATAGCTATGAAACAAGCAATAAATTTGGTTTTATCTGAAAATATTTCACAAAATATATCTGAAAAAGACAAAAGAAATAAAGAAAAGACTAAAGAAAAAAAGAAAGAAAAAGACAAAAAGAAAGAAAAAGACAAAAAGAAAGAAAAAGACAAAAAAAAAGAAAAGAAAATAGAAAAACAGGAAAAAGAAAAGGATAAAGTGAAAAAAGAAAAAAAAAAGCAAAAAAAGGAAAAAGAGAGTAAAGAAAAAAGGTCGAGAGAAGATGAGGAAGAAATAAAATCATCAAAAAAAAGGAAAAAAGAAAATAAAAATAAATAAATATTTTGTTTTATACAAGTGTAATAATTTATATGAATATGGTTATTAAAGATACATTGATAATATATTTGTTCTTTTTTTAATATATGCATTATAATTACATAATGCAGTTTTCAAACCAAAATTCCCATTTCCAATAAGCTGGTCAAGTATATTTGCTACTTGTTCTGCAATATCTGTGCTTATTTGTAGATGAGCAGAAGGCCCATTTGAAGATGCAATAATAGCAATTGCATCTAAATTTCTTTGTTCACACTTTTTAATATTAATTTTAAATTATAGAAAAATATCAGATATTTTACCAATGATAATATAGATGCTTCCATACCAAAAAGTAAAGCAGGAGGTTTTAAAAGCGGACAGAGTTCATTTTCTATTTGAAACGATGATGATGTCGTACGAAGAAAACTGACAGGCGAAAAAACAGCCCATTGAAAAATAGTTGCAAGCAAAAAGATACGTTTAAATTTCAAATGATCAAAAATATAAGAAGAAAGATGATAACACATTTCAGGTGGTATATTATTCGGAAAAATAATAGAATATAAAGAAAGATTAGAATTACTAAAAAGAGCTATTGATTTATTTCCCTGTATTTTTGATGTATCAATGCTTTAATCAACAAAATTACTAACTGTAAATTTAAATAAAACTTCACTAGTATTTTCTCCAGGAAATATTTTTAAAATATCCAAAAACAATTCGCTTGCTATTATAACATTTTTAATATCATTCGGGAATGAATTGACAGATTCTATTATACAGCTTGATATATTTTTCTTAATTTTATCTTTCTTAAAAAAATTATTTTCACCCAAATCTTCATCTGAGCTTGTTTCTGAGTTATCTAAAGAATATCTCTTAGGAGGATCTTCATAGAAATTCTATATTAAATTATTTAAAGTTAAATATTACAAATCTTACAAAATTACCATTTTTTTTTAAAGTTTGAAATATATAGGGTTTAATGAATAAATATTAAAAAACACTTGTCTTAAGAACAATTCAGATAAACATGTATATTAAATCCATTAAATATATAAAATCAACTTAATGTATTTTAAGCAAAAAGACTTTATGAAAAATAAAACGAAAGAATTTTTTTCATAAAATTGTTCTACATTAGTTAATATAATAGATTCAGTATAATGAATCATTATTAGTAGTTTAAAATATAATTATTTATTATTAAGCAATAGAATTTGTTTTTAATATCTTAATCCTATGCTATTATTGAAATTCATTATTAGAATTACTTATTTATCAGAGTTAGAAATTGAAAATATAATTTCTATAGATTCTACTTAAAAATTAAAGCATAATAAAAACTATAAAAAACAGAAAATTTCTATCATATTTTGAAAAAATAAGAATAATACAATAATTAATATTGTAGAAAGCTAAAAATGAAATAAATATTTAATAAATTACAGAAAAATCACAATTGATAACAATGAATTTAACAATAATATTAATCAATGTTAAATTTCATATTAAAAAATCAAACAATGTCTCATTTTTGAAACCTTGTTTTATTTAGTAATCGATAAAAAATAAATGGAATTACCTTGAAAAAGAATCCCAATATAGAGCTAATAATATAATCAGAAAAATCAAGGCATATCAAACTTATTATTTCGAATTAATCATTGCTTTGTCACTCAAAATAATGTTTTGATTTCTGATATTCAGATTATACATCTATAATAACCTAATAAAATATTCTCCATTGACTTTCCTAGTCTTATATAAAAAGAAAAAAAACATTTCTAAACATAAAAATAGCTAATAATCATAATAATTTTGAAATAAATTATTTTTTTTGTTATTACAGAATAAATTCTAATATAAAAAACTTTTTTCATTGTAAATAAACAAAAAATATTTCTATTATAATGTCTAAAATATACATTCCATGATCAAAAAGAAATTTTATAGAAATATTATCTTCAACTTAAAATACAAATTATCCTTATTAAAAAAAAGAAATTGTAGTAAAAATAATACGAAATTTATATTATTAAATGTCTCATAAATAAATCATCAAATACATTTCCATTAAAAAAATAAAATATTATTTTTTTATATGAATTATATTTATCATTTAAGATCAAGTAAAAACCCTTTATTAAACATCATATTTTGATATTTTAATTAAAAATAACCAAAAAATATTTTTTACAAAAACAGATATGGATTTCTTAAAAAAATAATATAGAATTATCTTTTATATAGTTTGTATTTATCTATGTATTATGAATTAAAAATCTATTTATTAAGCACATATAATAAAAAATAATATTCAAAAAACTTTAAAGAGAAAAACCAGATATATTCCGTTTTACATTATGTACACTTGATTTTAAAAAGAGTGTAATTTTTTTTATCATATAATTATTCTAAAAATTATATGAAAATTATTGAAGCTCTGACGAAGATATCAAAAAAATACAAATATTATGCATTAAGTATTATTAGTTATAAAATTCAAGATTAAAGGCTCTGAAATATAATTTCTTTATCAGTTTTCATTACTTCTCCTTTTTTCTTAGAAAAAAAAACTTATTTTTAACAAACTTATTTTTTAACTTAATGAAACCTACATGGCAAACTATAAACTCTAACTTATCAAATGCACTTCCTATTTCATGGAAAAATATGGTTAGGGAATGGCTGAAAGAAGATATACCGAGCATGGATTATGGAGGATTTGTTGTAGGAGAAAAACAGGAGTCAGCTATTCTTTTTGGAAAAAGTCAGGTATACTGCATAAAAAAATATATAAAAATCAAATTTATATACTTTTTAAGGGTATTTTGGCAGGTGTTCCTTTTTTTAATGAAATTTTTGAGCAATTAGAATGCAGGTAAGCTTTTTTCTTTAGGTCGAAAGATATATTGAGTGTTATTGAATAGAGTTGAATGGTTTTTGGAAGAAGGAGAAAATATTCACCCAGTTAAAAAGATCGCTGTTGTACATGGTGCAGCAAAAAATCTCTTACTTGGAGAACGAGTCGCTTTAAATATGCTTTCACGTTGCTCTGGAATTGCAACTAAGTAAGTCATATAACAATGATAAAAGACAATAATAAATTTACAACAGATCTAAAAGAATAGGAGAAAAACTGAAACAACTGGGATATCATGGTATTCTCGCAGGTACACGTAAAACAACACCAGGATTCCGACTTGTCGAAAAATATGGAATGATGGTAGGAGGAGCAGATCCGCATAGATTTGACTTAAGCAGCATGATTATGCTTAAAGACAACCATATATGGTCTAAGGGTAATAGAAATTAACATTATAAGCTCATTCTTATCCTATTTAAAGGATCTATTACAAAAGCAGTTGAAGCAGCTCGTTTAATCGGAGGATTTTCATTAAAAATTGAAGTAGAAGTGCATTCTGAGGAAGAAGCAGATGAAGCTATTTTATCAGGGGCAGATATTATTATGTTAGATAATTTTCATAATAACGATATGAAAATAGTCGCACAAAATTTAAAACAAAAATGGAAAAATAAACTAAATTTTCTTCTTGAATGTAGTGGAGGAATAACAGAAGAAAATATACATGAATTTATCTGTAATGGTAGAAACCAACTATTCAAATGATTTATAAACTAATTTTCATTATAGACCTTGATATATTAAGTACCAGTTCTATTCATCAAAGCGCTAAACATGTCGACTTTTCTTTAAAAATCGACAAAAAATAACATATCTATTTATCACTATTATTTATTTACTAAAATCATATCAATAAATTTATCTAAAATTCAGATTAATAAATGATTTAATTCATAGCTTTAATATCAAATTATTTATCGACTAATCCTACATAAGAAAATATTTTTTCTTGTTCTGAATTTTATCAGGTTTTTATAAATTAATACTTTTATATATACTTACATACATTTATATAGCTATATAAAATTGTTTACTAAACTATTTCGCATTTAATACTCTTGGAAAAACAAAATCTCTTGATATTTTTTTCTACCGCTTTATATTTTTAAAATTTCTATCGCTTAAAGTAGGTTAAAGCTTCTTGCAAATCATTTTAATTTTTACACGTATTCTTCAAAATAAACTAAATATATTAAAACATATAGTCTTTTTGTCAACATTTGACTTCTATAAATACATTTTACAATTTCTAACAGCATTGTTCAAAAGTACTAAATATTTTTACAAAATGTACAATCTTAACCTGGACCTATTTTCAGATGAAAAAAAATAAATCCACGATATTAAAATCAATAATTCATATGCCCTTCCTTTCCCGCTTCTAAAATTCATTAATTAAGAATATAGAAGTAGAATATTCAAAGGGCTATTATTTAATATTCCTACTCACAAGTATTTATATAATAACCCTTTCTTAAAAAAAAGATATATTTAAGTAAAAATTATTATATTAATATTAAAATAGAAATATTTTTGGATTTTTTTTCTCAGGACTTAAAGATTTTTTCATCGGCGGCTTCAACGATAAATTTTATTTTCAAACCAGTATTATGACCAAAAAAAAAATTGGGAAACCTGTCCGAGGAGGTGCTTCTAAGCATTCTGTTAGTATTTATTAATAACATACATTTATTTGTTTAGGCGGAAAATGTTTTTCTACAGAATTAATGCTGAATCAAGATGGGACATTACAATCAGATATAACTCCTAAAACATGGAGAGTAAATCCCATCAGCATGAAAACAATGCCAAGGCATAATAACGCCATTCCAGGAAATCGAAGAAACATCAAGCGATACAACAGATTCGGAAAAAAATACCAATGATTCTGATATATCTAATTCAGAGGCTCAATCTTCCTTTCATGAACGAGAAAAAAGAAAATCAAAAGGTGCTCCTCAGCCTATTATTGAAATTCAAAATCCAAATCGTATAAAAAAGCAGAATTATAAGCCTTCTGAACTTTTAAAATTAGAACCTCAAGAATTAAGTCGGAAAGATCGCGATGCCATTGAAAAGAGAGCAGCAGAAGAACGATATAGAAAACTTCATTCGGAGGGGAAAACTGAGAAAGCTAGGGCAGATCTTGCAAGACTTGCGATTGTACGAAAAGAACGAGAGGAAAAGGCACGACAGAGGAAAGCTGAACAAGAAGCAAAAGAAACTGCTGCACAAGCACGCACGGGAAAATCTTTAAGGCCTAACTAATTTTTTATTTTCAGACTTTTATAAAAATAGTTATATCCGCGATTTAAGTCATACATTAACATATGGCAATATCGAATACATTATAGTTTAATAATGCTATTATGCTCATGCGGACATCTATACATATTTTGGAAACGAATTATATATCTATTTTATCTTTATACTGTTATTTATTTTCTAATGATTTCTTTATATTTTTTATAAACACAATAGCTATGTGACTTCAAAAATAAAAATACATACATTTCTAGTCTATTTAAAACGTTATTTATATTTTTAGGTTTTTATCTATTTTTCCCCTTTACCTGTCTTTTTATCGCTTTACGGTCCTTATAAAACTAAATTAATAATATTGAAGAAAAGACATATTTTTAATAAAAAAAATATATATTAATTACTTTGATCTTCAGTATTTTTAGAAAATATGACAAACAAACATTCTAATCAAAATTCAATGGTTCAAAAAAGTAGGTAAAAAAAAAACAATGAAAATATCTATTAGAACAACCCAAGGGCTTTAAAAAACGAATGAAACTTAACAAAAAACTAATAATATTAATACATTTTATCCTTTTTATAGAAGTTCAAGGGCTGATTTATACATAATAGTTCAATCAAGCGATAGTTTACGACAAAAGAAAAAAAATGAATCATTATCGAACTTAGAAGAGATTATTTCATCATCAGGAAACATGGAAAGGACATTAGAAGATTTGTATTATGTTTTTTCTGGGTATAATTTGTCTATTACATATAATCGTATAATTAAAAATTTTATAGTACACCAGGTGGATCCCTTGTTTTAAAGCAATCTTTGGATGAGGATAAGAAAAATTCTAAAAATGCATCCACTATTTCCTTAAAACTTCAAAAAAAAACGTATAATTCATTAGCAGCACTTGAAGTATTTTTTATATAATTCTTACCTATATTGATTTGTTTTAGAGCGATCTTTATACAGCCGTTACATTATTATTGAACAATATTCGCCCTACAGATACAGATTATGCATTGGTATCATCTTTTTATACATTTTCTCGAAAGCTTTTAATACGCGAACAAAAACACAGTATAACACAGGCGCTTGGTAGCGATGCCAAGAAATACACGCAAGATTCATGTATGTATTATTTGTTTTCATGCATTATCATGAATTTACTATTATATTTAGTTCCATTTAGATCACCTAGCAATGAATGTCTTTTTGTTATCAGTCCAAATGGCCCACTATTTTCTTCATTAGCAGCTAAATCTGTTTTTGATACTAGACCCATTAATACAGGTTAAATTTCTCTATTATTCACGTAAATTTATCATAATATATAATTAGAAGGACGTGCATATATTACACAAGTTATTCCGAATTATTCTGCATCAACTAAATCTATTCAAACGTTTGCTAATATATGCCCCGCTTCAAGTCAATCTGAATCATCTGCTTTAAAAAAGCGAAAACTCAAACATCCTACTTTGAAACTTATACCTTCTGTAAAATGGTTATATTATAATAGTTATAGCTCATATGCACCAACAAAGGATATGGAAACTGCTATTTTTTCTGAAAAACATCTTAATGCAGTATGGTGGAAGCGTAAAAATGAAAAACTTTCCATGAAACAAAAAAAAGAAAAAGATATAGAAAAAGATGCTACTAAACAATCTGATATTGATCAGCCAAGCACTTTAGAACTAGACGAAAAGCTTATTCTTTCATATGAGCCTATAAATATCTCAGATGAATTAAAAGCTTCTAAGTTATATAAAGAATATAATGACGTCAATATAAATGAAATTGGAAAATTAATTCAAACACTTTCTGAAATGCAGTCTTTAAGAATTGCGCGTTCTCAAACGGAGGAGCCGGGAGAATTAGAAGAACAATTAGGTGATTATAGTATTTATACTTTTTTACCCTTTATTTATATTATTAGCCTTCCATATTCAGCAACTTCTTCTTAAGCAAATTGTCTCATTTAATCTTCAGCCTAGAGAACTTCTTCCAAAGCCATTGTCATTATCTATGTCTTTTCTTGTTCTTGGCCCATCTTATACTGGGACATTACCAAATGTGCCACTCATGTCTTCAGCTGAAGAATTTCGAAATCAACATGGATCTTATTCTGAACTTCAAAACTATACTAGAAATGAAGGTTCATATAACCAAAATTCACAAAAGATATCAAATATTCCTATAACTTTACCATCACTTATACGCAATGATTCATATCGATCATTTCTGAATTCTTCACTTTCTGCATATAGAAAAATAGGAAATCGCACTAAAAAATAATGATCTTTTATCTTCAATTATAAACATTTTTAAAAATTATATCTTCTATAACACATTTCACATATTTTTTATACATCTACTTTTAACGTTAACATTAATTTCATATTTTCTACATAAAAAATTCCTTTTCTATCCCTTCTAGGAAATACGTACTGGATATTTAAGAAAATAAACTAAAATACATCTTCAAAGGCTTTTTTTTTATAGAAATAAACTTACTCATAATGGTTCCTTGGTTATATGTCACGTGACACGGACCTCTTAGAATTATCAAAACAGAAACAAAGTATAAAATTTTATTAAAAAATTATAAGATTTTTTCTCTCATATATATTCAAGAAAATGCACCCGCTTTTAAGTATTCAAACACCTCGAACAGATGTGGGTACTGTCAATTCAATTGATGCAGATGAACTTTCTTTTGGTTCTCGTGAACCATCTTTTATTTCACCAACTAAAAAAGAGAATTGGAAATCTTTTAAAGCGTTATCTACACCTGCACCAGAAAGGATACTTTCAGATAGAACAAAGAATCTTATCAACGTGAGACATGAGTTTACACCTTTGTTACAAAGTGCAGCAAAAAAAGAACCATTTTCCTATGTTGATTTGAAAAAAAAGCCAAAATCTGAAGGAAGCATCGAAAATGAGAAATCTGTCAATACCTCTAGGGAAAATAATCCCGAGGAATCTTCATCAAGTATCGTTTCAGTAAAATCTATTATTGAGTTGCCTGAACAAGATCTACTTAAAGAAAAAAATGGTACAACACTTACACTTAGGGAACAGGAAAGGGTAGGCTTTTCGATAATTTATGATTTCAGAAAAAAAACTCATAAAATTATAGATTATTGATACAATGAGAAAAGAAAATTGGGGATTAAAGCTTAAAATTCATTTTCTAAACGATCGCTTAGATAAATTAGCACCAGATCAAATAGAAAAAGCATTGAAAGAAGTATATATTATTTTTATAGTTATTTTATTCTAAATCTTTAAGAACATTGAAAATAAGATACAACAAGCAAAACTTATTCAAGAAATTAAAAAATACAGGAAATCGTTATTAGAATCTGAAAAAAAAATACAAGAGATATCTGTAAATGGACCTAAAGGTGAAAATTTGGAATCCAATGAAATAATTTCAGATCAAAAAAAAATACTTGATAAAATTGCATTAGAAAATAATCAATATGCAAATGAGCTTTTCAAAGCTCAAGAAAAAATAGAAACATTGTCTAAAGAAATCGAAAAATTAAAAAATGGCGAAAATGATATAACTATTTATGAAAAACTTAATTATCTAGAGGAGCAATTACAACGTGCCTTAGAAAAAAACGAAGACATGGTGGCAGAACTTCAAGAAAAGCAGAACAAAATAGATGAAAAAGAAGACGAAATTGTATAGTTCAAATTAAGTCAGATATAATTACTAATTACAATTTTAGGAACTTCAGGAGGAAGAACGAGGTAAACTAAAACAAGTAATTGAAGAATTAGAACAGAAATACCTTTCAAGAGAAAACAATCGAGAAGTTAATGACTACAGTACTCATATAGATTCTTTAAAAAATGTATTTATTATTATTTATACTACTTTTAATAATCATCTCAGGATCTAAATATTGCTAAGAAAAAAATAGACGAGAAAGAAAAAACTATTCAAAAGCTTATTTTAGAGAAAGATAATTCAAACGAGCTTAGCGATGTATATATTTTTATATCAATGATTATTAAAACTTAACTTTAAATAGGAACTTAAAAAGGCACGTTCCGAATTAGACAAAATATCTAATGAGTATTATGAGTTTAAGAATATACATGAAGAAAAAATTTATAATCTAGAAAATTCTTATAACAATCTTAACAATGAATTAAAAATTAAAAAAGGGGAAATTGCATCTTTGCATAAACAATTAGAAACAAAAGAATCTAATACCTTAGAAATAAATAAGAACATGCAGGTTTGATCAAAATATTTCAAAGAATATTTCCTAATTGTCTAAAAAATTCAGGATATTCTAAATGAAAAATATAAGCTCGAAAATGACTTAAAAGAAGCTTACAATAATATTAAGGAATTACATATAAGCTTGGAGGAGTATGATAATAGACAAGAACAATTGGAACATGATCTTAAAGAAAAAGAAGATGAACTTAGTGAGGCTATATTTAACTTAAGATCACTTCAACAAGAACTTGACAGCTCTACTCTAGAATATGAAAAAGAAAAAAAAGATCTTCATAGCAAAATAGCAAAATTAAAACAAAATTGGGATGAAGAACGAATACAATTAACTAATGTAAAATAAAATAATCAACGCTATTTCTAATTTGTTTAGGAAACAGAATTAATACGAGATTCTTTAAAACAATATCAAGAGCGTAGCGAACGCACCCTGTTTGATCTTCAAGAAGAAGTATTTTTATTTTTAAATTTTTTTTTGTTAATAATTTCTCTAGAAAAACATTCTTCAAAATAATCTTAAAGAAATTAAGCAACAAAATTCCAACTTGCAGGAAAATATTAACAAATTAGTTGTAACAGAAAATACTGTTTTAAAAAACAATGAAAAGGCACGTTTTTTTCTAGTTTAAATCTTAAGACTAATTAACATAGTTTCAAGAAACATTACAAAGTCAAGAAGAGCGTCACCATAAACGTGAAGTCCAATTGGAAAACCAGATTAATGATCAGAATATTCGTTATGAAAATCAAAAAAAAGAACTTAACAAAGCTTTGGATGATATGCAAATTTTAAAAGAAGACCTTAAACAAGTTCAAAAATCGGAAGAATCACTTAAAAATGATATAAAGTTACTTAAAATAGAATATAATGAACTTCAACAACAATATACAGAGAAACAAGAAATTATTAAAAACAAAGAGATCCAGACTGCTCAATTTCATGAAGAATATGAAAAACTTAAAACAGACTATGCATCTATTAAGGCTACTCTTAAAAATTTATACGATGAAAAAAACGATTTACTTCTTTTAATAGAAAAGAGCAAATCTGATCATATAGAAGGAGCTGACACTTTATCTTTGAATAAAACTATTAAAATCTTAGAGCACCAAATAGAATCTATTAAATTTGAACGAGATAAACTTTTGAAATCTATCAACTTTTTAAATGAAAGCATCTTTAATTACAAAAATACAGTTTCTGACCTAGAAAAAGAGCGGGATTTTCTTAAGGAAAAACTTGATACTTTTAACATTCACGAAAAAATATTTCCACAATCAGATGAAAAATATTTTGAGTTCCAGAAAAATATTAATATACTGGAAACTCAAATTAAACTTCTGGAAACGGAAAAAAAAAAATTATTAGAAACCAATGCAGACCTTGAAAATAATTTTAATGATGCACTTAAAAAAATAAATAACGAAGAGATAGATTTAATTCATGAATATAAGATTAAAAAGATGGAGCTTGAGGAAATTGTTCATATGAAAGAACAAGAACAAAAGAGTCTAGAAAAACAGATTGAACAACTCGAAATAACTCTTTTAAATAAAGAAAAGATTCACAAAACTAAAATAAAACAGCTTAATGATGAAATATTTCTTTTACAAGATAAGCTTGAAGACCTTAGACTGCAACAAAAAGAATCAATAGAATTAGGGAATTCAGATGAACAAATTATTTCTGATTTACCCAAAAGTATACTCAAATTAAAAAATGGATTATATAATACGGAATTAAAAACAATTAATCAACATAAAAATTATGAAATAAATAATTATGAAATAGAGTTATCAGAATTAAGACTCAAATATAAAAATGCGAATGAAATTATTTCAAGCATGAAGCATGAAGCTTTAACCCGTGAAGAGGAATTTCAGAATAGAATTAATGAAATAATGCTAAAGGAAAAATCGAAATTAACAAGATTGCAAAATGAAAAAGCACAATTAGAATCAAACCTTCTTCGTATGAACGAAGAGAAAGCTATTCTTGAAGATGAAAAGGGACAGCTTCAAAGACAACTATCTCTCTTAGAAACTAACGCTATTTTTACTTCTGAAAACTATATAAATAAAAATGAAAATGCTAAAATTATTCAGGAAAAAGAAGAATTAAAAGAATGTTTAATGCTTACAAAGGCAGAATTAAATGAAATTAAAGGAAACATGAGGACTCGTGAAACACAATTAAAAGAACAATTATATAAAATTGGTAAAGATAAGCATTTTTTAGTTAATAAGATGGAGTTAGCAGAAAAAAAAATTCAAACTATTACCCAAGAAAGAGATGAAATATCTGAAAAAGTACATTATTTGGAAAGACAGCTCCATGAAGATAAATATTTATATAATAACCAAAATTATTTAAAAAAAAATATACGTTTTAATGAACCGTTAGTTTAAATTTATATATTTTTTTTACTAAATTATTTTAGAGAATCAAAAGAATTATATACACTTAAATTAAAACACAAAGCTGAATTAAAAGGCCTTTCAAAACAAATCCGTTATCTTAAAGCTCTGGTATCCAGAGAAGAACAATTCAGAGCCAGTCTTTCATATACTAAGAAATTTTTTCTTATGAAAATTGATAGTTATGAATCTTGGTAATATAACATATATAAGATTTAATCGATTTAATATTTTTTAGTAATCAAGCAAACCTTCGGTTAATTGAAAAGATGGGAATCTATCCTGATCGAAGTTTACGACAAAATCATGTTACATTGAAAATTATAGCCTTAATGATTATTGCAATCAACAGAATGAAGTTAGTTAATCATATATTTGTTTTTTAAATAATTAACATATACTTTTCCAGAAAGTTTTCAATTGAATGGTCAAAACAAGCAAAAATTAAAGAGAAATTATTCCAATCTCTATCATTAATTCGAGCAAATATATAAAACTAAAACCTTAGCATTTATCGTAAATAATTCATGTACATTTTTAATATTTAATTTTGAAAAGTCTTTTTTATATTTTTTTGACCACTGATTCCATAATAGACGCAATATTCAATTTTTTTAACTTTTCAAAATCTCGTACAACACTAATACCACAAATATTCTATTATTTAAAAACGATTCAATCTTAAGTGTTATTACATACCTTAAATACTTCAACCATTATTAGAACGTCATAATTCTTAAGATCCACTTTATGTGGTGCTCCTATAAGAGGTGCAATAGTTCTAATAATTTGTTCTCTTGTTAATTTTGTATGATTTCTAAGATTTGGACGGATAGCAAACTATACAAAATTACTTTTTTTTCATTTATTTATAAAGTTTAGCTCTTTCCTTCAATGGTTCCAGTTTGTTTTCGTGAAAATAAGGTTGCAAAACTTTCTGAGCTAAATTTTGAAGATCTAAAAGTGTTGCAGATGCAGTTAATGTAACAGGCGTCATACGTTTAGACCAACTAACAATACAAATATCTTAATTATTGAAACAAATTTATATTTTAATAAATATACCGGATTCCTTTAATTCCATTCGAAGATATTTTTTCACAAATATAACGAACTATTTGAACAGGATCCAAAGGCCATCTTGTCCTAATAAAAATAACTTTTTTCATATTAAAAAATTAGTTTAGTATAAAAAAAATATTTACCACATGCTGTTTTAATATTAATTGGTTGTAACCAACGCTCTTTCTTTTTCAATATTGCAAGTTCTTGTGAAATTTGATCTTCAAAACTACCAGAAGATAATTTAAATGATTTATCAGAAGATAAAGAAACATCATCCGATTTAATTGAAGATGATATAAAAAGTTCTGGTACTTGTTCATCAAGATACTAGAAAAAAAAATAAGAATAAAAAGAAAAAAAATTAGAAATTACTTGATAAAATAAATCAAGTACTTCACGTTCTGCTTGTTTTTCATGTTTACGTACACAAGTAATAAAGACTCCTGACCAGTTAGGTAGTAGCATTTTTTAAATAGCTGCAGAAAAAGTTAAAAAAATATAGTGTTTAAAAAGCGAATAAATGTATTTTTTACTAATTTTTAAACATTTTTCTTTTAAAGACAATTTATATTTAAAAATAATAAAATATAAACTAAAAATTAGATAAATCTCATATTTTATTAATTGCTTTTTAAAGACTTTTTTAATATTTTTTTTGCAGAAAATCTATTATTTTTTTTAAATTTATGAATCATACACATATTCCAGGCTCCTGGATAGATTCACCTACTGGTCATTCAAAAATTAATCTATTTCAAACAAAAATATCTTCTATGAAGCCATATAATACTGTTCAAAGTCAATATTTGGAAGAAATTAATAAATATTTAAAAAAACCAGAGGATATAAAAGCAGTTGATTCATATATTGAATCATTAGAGAAAGAACTGAATATTTTTAAATTACAAGTAAATATAGTGATATAATGATGTAAATTATGTATTTTTTAGGAAAAAAAAGAAACAGATGAACTTATATATATTAAGGATAAAATGAATAAGAATGCAGAAAAAGTAAAAATATATTGTGAAATAGTTAAAAATTACTTAAAAAATACATCGGAACCATTTTTATGGGAGTCAAAAGAAGAAAAAATATTTTTTGATGAGTTATATACAAGTATAAAATATTTAAAAAATTTAGAAGTATCAAAAACATATCTTTTAATTTTAATACAAGTAGAAAAACTCAGGTTTTGAATAAGAAAGATGATTTAAAGAAGCTAAATCAAGGATATAGTTATTTAATTGAAGAATGTATTGAGACAGATAAGAAAACAGCATTAATATCTTATCATCAATTAATTCAATGGAATTATAATCTTAAAAAATCAAATAAAAATTCAGAAAAACCATTGGTACATTTAGAAATGTTTATTCAAGAAAGATTACGTAGCTCGTGGGATATAATTGAAATAAAATTATGCCAGTATGTATATTTCTAAATTATACAGAAGAAATAAATCAATTAAAGAGATTTTCACAGTCATTTTGAAGAAATAGGATGGCCAGATAAGATTAAAAAAGGAATTTCACCAAGTACAGAATCTTTTAAACGGTTTCAATCTAGTTTTCAAACATTATTGATTCAACATCGAGAAATGTAACTATTCATTTTTTCAATGAAAATACTCTTCTAACATTTTATAAAAGAATTAGAAGTCTTGAAAATAAAGATGAAAATCTTGAATGCACAGAAACTAATAATTCTGATATTTTATTACCTTTTCTGATTATGGTTCGTCCATTGAATATTCAATTTCGTTACCATTTTATGGAAAAAAGAAAAACTGATAGAATTGATAAAGTAGGTAGAATTTTAAACCTCATTTTTTTTAAATCTATCTAGCCAGAATGGTTTTATACATATATATTAGATATCATATCTTCTTGTGCGAATTTTTTTTGCATAGAAGTACAAAATATTATCAATGAAACTCCAGAACATAATAGAAACTCCCTAAATGAGTTTATTACTGCTTTATTAAAAATAGTAGAAGAAAAAATAGAGACATCTATCGAATATCTTTTGATGAATGTGCATGTCTTTTCGCATTTTGTTCATGAAACTATAAAATTCGATAATATCTTACGACATGATTTCGGATATTTTCCATATAAAGGTCAATGGAATGGAATGATTCATATTGCTTTAGGAAATTCAAAAAACTTTATGACATGGGTTGAGTCGGAAAAAAAGTGTAAATATTCTAATATATATATTCATATTTTAACATTCCAGTTTCAATTGAACAATTTCAAAATATTATAGACGTGACTATGTCTCCAAATACATGGGATTTAGATTATGATAGTGTAGGTGAATCCGAAACTAAGCCCACCAATTCTTCCCTTCGTATAAAATGTCTTATAGAAAGTATTACAGGTTAGTTAAATTAATATATATATTTAAATTGTTCTAATATTCAGAACAATATCGCCCTTTAAAAGATTTTAATCAAAAATCAATATTTTTCACCGAAATTCAATGTCATATTTTAAATAGTTATTATGAAAGACTCAAATCTGCAGCAGATGCATTTGAGGTAACTTTTTCACGAATAATTCAAGCAGTATCTGGCAATAAAACAGACAAAATGATACAGGATGTAAAAGGATTGGAAACATTATGTAGAGTATATGGTAGTTGTATCTTTATAGAATCATGTTTATCTGATTGGGATGACGATATTGTAATATTAACTAACTATTTTTATATATCATTTCTTATGGATAATTTTAGTTTTTTCTAGAATTATGGCAAAATTTAACAACAAAAAATAAAACTATTTATGAAGCCAATACAAATTCAAAAAATCCGAATTCCTTATTAGAATATGGTCAAGGTAGTTTGTTTAGCAAAATATCGCTTTTATACTTTAATCTTCATGAACGCACAGAAAAATTAATTATTCGACATTTAGAGCGTGAAATAAAAGAAAAATTTCAGCCATATTTCAAGATGTTAGTACCAAAAAAAAACACAATTATACTTATTATTTACATAATTGTAGTTATACCTGGTCTTCTTTAGAGAATCCTTCATCTTCAATAGCCATGTCATCTCCAGTATCAATGCAAATGGTGGATGCATTAAAATTAGTAAATTCATTATTGAATTTTTTAAAAAGAGCTGTTTCTCATTTAACTTTTCTTCGTATTTATAAACAATTTTCATTAACAGTTGAAAATCTCTTATGGAAAAAAATTATATTAAAAAATGACTTTTCTGAAAGAGGAGGAATACAGTTTACTAGAGATATTTGGGAATTTTGGGCTACCTGTAGCAAATATGTAGAAAAACCGGAGCAAAATATGAAAAAGTTTGTATTATCAAAATTATTTTAAAAAGAATTTAACAAACTGCAGAATTGAAGATGCCACCATCCTTTTATCTTTGAATTCCTCAAATGAAAATGATAAAAAATCCATATCAACTGTTGCTTCTATAATTTTTGATACATACAAAAGTTTTGAAGAAAAAAAACAATATTTAAAAACAATAGGACTTAAACACATAAATATAGCAGAAGCAAGAGATATCCTTCAAAAAAGAATCGATTGTTGGGCGCAGTAATTTCAAAAAAAAATAATATAAAGCTAGATTAACTTTTTTCTACTTTTTTTTTAAATCTTTAATCTCATCCACAAACAACTTCATGAAAATCTTTATTTCTTTCACTATTCAAGAGAAAACATATTAACACTTTTTTAAAAGTAAATCAAATTTCATATACATATATTTGGATTATGAGAAAAACGATAGATCCAGTCAACCCCACGATGAAATATAGGTGAATTCAACAACTAAAAACATAAATATACATGAAAAGTTGAGAAAAAAACATCATACTTTTTGTGTCAGATAAGGAGCAGTTATTTGAAAAAATAGACGTTTCCACATTTTTTTCCCGATTAAACTTCGTAAGGTATAAAATTATTTTTTTATACAAAAAAATACAATGAAAACAACATTTAATTCATTTATGGACTTATCTTATGATGCTCTGCATGAGAAATTTGCTCAACTTCAAATTCTTGAAAAACAGAGAAAAAAGTCCTTAGCTTCAGAATGGTCTGTAACAGAATCTCAAAAAAAAAAAAACCTTTCAAGAAACAGATATTCAGATATTGTTCCATACAATAAGTCCAGAGTTAAATTAATAAATTCGGAAAATGATTATATCAATGCTTCATACATTTTTCTTCCAAATGATAAAAAATATATAGCATCACAAGTATTTTTTTTAAATCTATGAAAGTAGGTTTTATATTGAAAATATTCTAGGGGCCATTAAAATCTACAATATTGCATTTTTGGAATATGGTTTGGGACAATTTAGAAGATCAAGGTATTATTTTAATGCTTACAAAAATTGAAGAACAAGGTCTTGAAAAATGTGCAAAATACTGGCCAGAAGAAGAAAAAGAGTTTATTTTCCCTGAGGTTTTTTTAAAAGTTGAGTTTATTGGAAAAGAGTATGATGAAAAAGCAGAAACTCTTATTCATCATTTAAAATTATCGAGACTTAATAAACCAGAATTATCAAAATATATTAATCATTTTTATTTTAAAAACTGGCCAGATCATGGTATTCCTCAGAATCTTCTACCCTTTATTAATTTAATATCTTTGGTTACTCTCATAAAAAAAAAAAATGATTATATTATTGTTCATTGTAGTGCTGGTTGTGGTAGAACTGGAACTTATATTGCTTTAGATTATTTAATTTCAACACTTTCTACTTTTAAAGTGAATTTTAATGAAAATATAAATGAAGACCCCATCTTTAATATTATTAACCAAATTAGAGAACAAAGGATGCATATGGTTCAGGTATTATTTATATATATAAAGATATAAATGTTTATATATAATAGAGTTTTTCACAACTGGAATTTATCTATAAGACTGTGAAATATTTTCTAAAAACACTAGAATCTTAATGCTAATTTTTAAAAATTATATTATTATATATATAATTAAATGATATATTATTTTTGAATTCATTATTTACACTTTATATTAATTATTCAGAAGGAAATATTGTTTCTTCGTTTTTTGGTTTTTTTGCATCAGAATCATTATTTTTTGCATCTAATAGCTTTTTCTTTTTTTTTGATAAATTTAATGCAACCGTTCCTATTTTTTTCAAAGGAGTAATTATTTTCCCATTAGGAGGAAGACGAAGTTTCTGTTTTATAAACAGGTCTTCATCTTCAATCAATTTGTTTCCACCTGATTCCAATAATTTCGATTTTAAAAATGGTTGTACTAAGCCAATTTGACGTTCAATTACATCTAATGTTACTGGCTCAAATTTTGAAGGAGGAATATGTTTGGTTTCTTGTTTCGTTATATTTCTAAAAATCAAATTAAAGTTATAAAAAAGAACTATAAAAAACTTACACAGGGTCCGAAACGCCTGGCCCTAATTGTACTTTTCCATGCAACAAATGAAGAGGGACCTTTAAAACAATCAATTAAGATGTAGTCAGTCTAAAACTAACTTACCAATAATGAAGAAAGACCAAATTCTTTATCCAGACCGAGTTCTTTAAATCCAAAAAAGTCTTCACCTATCTTTTCGGCAAAATCACCACTTTTCTATTGTTAATTTATTTTTTCCTAAATACAATATACTAACTGAATAAAAGAGTCATTGTTTTCCAAGTTTTCTTCATCAAAATAAGATAATGAAGGCTTCTAAAAACACTTAATATATTTAAAAAAATAAAAAAATACAATTGTTTCATTAAGATACGCCTGTAATCGTCTCTGAATATCATTAAGCTTAGTACTATATCTATCTATCCCATCCTTAATATAAGATTCAAATAAAGAAATATCTGAAATCCCATTTTCATATAGAGCATGCAAAAGATTTTCCTGTTAATTTTAATAAGAAATAAAGTCTATCGAAAAAATACTTCTATTGATTTATCTGACATATTTTCCAAATATAATTTTAATGTTTTCCCTAACTTTAGTAAAAATGAACTTGCAATATCCACCAGAACATCTAAAGCTCTACTTTGATACTCTAGTAAATTTAATAGAACAATCATATAATTTATAATTCTTTTAACCTTCAAATCCCACATGATATAATAACGTAGAAACAAATTTCCCTAATAAACAAAATCCCAATTCTTCTGACATTACTTCTATACAATTAAATAGATTAAAACTTTTATTTTGAATTTCTAAGTTCAAAGGTCTTTGTTCTTCAGGTGTTCTAAAACATGTATAGTATAGCTAGAATAATTAATTATAAAACAAAAAAAAATAAGAACACCAACTGAACTCGCTTGTTGCATCATTTTAAGTGCATATACTTTATTACATAATTTCCTAATACTTCTTAAATCTTCAATATTTTTATATATTTTGCGACAAATGCCTTCTGGAGGAGGCAAAAACCGAGGATTAGATTCAATAAATCTATCATATTATTTAGTTATTTATAAAACAAAAATACTTACAAATAATCTTGAAAGGTATCAGATTTAGAATTATAAAATTCATCATTCATTATAGGGATTCTAGGAAGACCAGAACAAACATTATAAAGAATCAAATAAGAGCTTTCAGACCAATTCTCCTCAACATTATTTTTTTCGGAATCAAAATTTCCAGATAATTCATAATTTAAGTAATTATTTAGATCATTATTCTTAGAACAACCTGTTTCCCATTCTTGAAACTTTATCATTGACTTTGAACTTCTAGATACTGCTACAGCGTTTCCTTTTAACTTATCCCCTTTTAAAAGTTTATGTCTAATAGTCTACATCTAATTAGATAGTTGAAGAAGAATTCAAGAATACTAACACATATCTCTGCACGAACTTTTTTTGTTAAAGTTTTCCATGCTTGATATACTACATCGTCATTATCATGTTCAATTTTTTGAATAGAACTCAAGCTTCCAACTCCATTAAAACTTGATGCATATTCTCTGTTAAACATATTAGCATCATTAATGACTTTTTCAGTATTATTCTTTAGTAACAAAGAATCTGTTTTCATAATATTACTAGATAAATATGTTTCAGATAAATCCATTTCAGGATCTTTGGTTTTAATGGGTTTTGAAGAAAATGTTTTCTTTACAGAAGATGTTCCAGTCTTTAGCTTTTGCAAAGTTTCTAAATCTTATCAAACCATAGAAGTAAATGATATATAATAACCATCATCATAAAGTTCTAAATCATCATCATTTAAATCATTTTTTTCAACATTTGTCTTATTTCTATCATACAAAACAACATCTGGTACAAGCTTAATCAAAGATAACGTCTTTTTACGCATAGCAATTGCATGTTTTCTAAGGAAATGTGCCTTTTTGAGTTAAGTTAATTATTAACTTTTTAAAATAAATAGTTACAGGATCTGCATTATAAATAAGACAATTCGACCAAATAAGCATAAGATCATCGACAAATTCCTTTTTACTATTATATTGAAAATTTCGAAGTTTTTTCATAACAGTCCCCAAATCCATTGGATTTTTAATAACTATAAATTGCTTAAATTCAGTAATATTTTAAAATAAAAATACCATCATAATAATCAGGTGCTTCTCTTTTGCTAACTTTATTTAAAAATGCAGTAGAATGTTCCTGAATTATCAAATTTGTAATATTATAAAAACTATTGTATACCGTATAAGCTTTTAATTCAAGAACAACCTTCTTCGCTGCATCATAAAGCTCATGACCAAGATTTTCTTCAGACGTCTTTTTCATATCAATTAATATTCATAGCACAGAGCTTAACCATTACCCATTTTGATTTACTTTTCCATACTTCAGATAAAAGATTACGCAATTCAAGATCAGAAATAGCCATAACCAATCGTTTACTTTCTATAGCAGAAAGAAGATACTAAATATTAGCCTTAGATGACTTAATTATCGTATAAATATATATAAGACCTTCAAGGAAATATTTTCCATTTCCAAATTTGAAGTAACCTTTTATATTATTAAAATATAAAAATAGTCTATTACACTTACTGAAATATCTTCATCTGACGATATTTCAGCAAAATCTAATTGATCAGATGTCTATTTTCTGTTAAAAACATTCATCTCAAAAAATATATATTACATCTAATTTATGTTCTATCATTGCATCTTTATCATTATCTAATGTATAATAAACACGATTAAAAAATGCTCCTATTTGCTGATTAATCTTAGATGTTTTATCTATATCTTTATCAATATTAATTTTATAAAAAAAATATCATACATTCTTTTATATCTGCTTTTTTAGAACAGCTTGACTGATCCTCTAATTCTTCATCGTACATATCATAAAAATTATCTTCTAATAATCGTACTGTCCCGAAATCATACATTTCATTCTTCCTCTTCTCATAATTATTTAAACACTGTATTAATAAAGATTTATCCACTCCAAACACATCTTTATCATTAAAAAATATAAAAGATTCAATTGCCTTGTCATAAAGCATAAATCTCACACGAAATAAGACTGTTAACTTCTCCAAGATTTCTGTAGATGATGACATTTCTGCAACATTTGGCTTAAAATCAATAAATTCTTTCCAAAGAATTGGATCATCCAGACAACTTAAGAAACATTTCCCCTCTAAAGGAGTCAAATAAGCATACCATTGTTCTTTTTCTTTAATCAAAAGTGCCAAATGTCTTAATAGTTCAGGATCTGTTGATGTCCATAACTTCTCAATTCTAATCATTTTTTAATTTGATTAAGGATTTCTTAACATCTCATAAGATCTATTTAATATAAAACTTAAGAAATCAATTATTTTTTCTAAGATTCCCTTAGATCTTAAGATATTAAAAAGTTTAACGAGCTCGATGTGTTAATATTTTAAAAAATATAAAAAATATGAAAATAATATTAATATATCTTATAAATATATATTTTATAAAAACTATTGTATTTATTTAATTATCTATTAAAAAGCGGCTGATTTTTAAAAGAACGTTGAGGAAGACCTTTTGAAGGTTTAGAAGGTAGGTCAGGCTAATAAATTGGTTAAAGAAATATATAAATAATTATTGAATTTACCTGTTGACTTTGCTCATTTCTAATTGTCTCATCTACAGATAAAATCATAGATGCAGCTTCAGTAGCAGATGAAATAGCATTAATTTTAACTAGACTTGGTTCCCATATAAATTCCTCGAAATTATCAGCAACACCTTCAGATTTAATTGAAACTCCTGCCCATTTTTCTCCTCTAGCATGACGCATACGTAAATTACTTAAAATATCAGTAGAATCAAGGCCAGCATTGTCACATAATTGCCGTGGAATCACTTCTAATGCTTTTGCAAAAGACAAGACAAGAAATTGTTGTTTACCAGAAATTGTTCGTGAATACTCTCTCAAATATTTAGAAATTTCCATCTATGTATTTTAATTTTTTTTTTTTTTTTAATAAAAAATTACCTCACATGCACCACCACCTGCTACAATACTATTATTTTTAATTGTTCTCTTAACAATCATAATAGCATCATGAAGAGATCTTTCTACTTCCGCAATAAATTGTTCAGCGCCTCCACGAAGAATTATAGTACATGTTTTGGCTTTAGGACATCCTTCAAATATATTAAATCGTTCACCACCAATCTGTCTTTCTTCAAAACTTGAGCAAGTTCCAAGATGATGTGGCTCAATATTAAAACATGTGGATTGTATAGTTCCTCCAACTGCCAAAACAACTCTATTTAAATCCTCAGAAGAGACTCTTCCAGCACAAAAAACATCACGATCAGCAAAATATTGAGTTGCCAAATCCCCTATAGGCAATTTTGACAATACAATTTTAGCACCTGTATTAACCAATGCTTCTAATTTTTCAAATATAATTGTCCATTCCGCATCTACGATAGCCTGATACTCCTAAAACAAAACTTATTAAATTCAAATAAAATTTCTTTTTTTTTAAAAAAAATACCGAAACTTCTTCCACTCTAACTTCAGCATTATCTTTTTCAGCTTTAAGTTCAAGCTCTACATTTAAACAAACTATTTTTGGATTTTTATATGATTTTTGTTGTTGTTCAAATCCTGCATAAGAAAATGTTTTTTTAAAAGCAACACCATGAATTAATAAAGAATCCTAAATTAAAATAAACAAAAAAAAAAAAAGAAAGAAAAACATACTTCAACAGAACCACCAATAACCTTTTTAATGCCGATTAACTTCTCATTAAGTTCATCATCAAGAGTTAAAACAGCATCTACAACCATTTTTGCAAAAATACTCTCATAAGAATGAATAAGTTTAGATGACATTGACGTAGCTGCACATTTTATAAGATATCCATAAAATTTTCTATTCATTATTAAAAACTAAATATTTTTAATAGAAATTGAATTAACTCTTTATCAGAGGTCTGTATATTAACAGAAATTTCTTTTATTTTATCTACAGCAAGACGAGATGCCTTTTTATAACCCAAAGAAATAATATACGGACTTGTACCTTCCTCTATAAATGCCCTTGCTTCCTTTAAAAGTTCTCCTGCAAGTACCACAACAGATGTCGTTCCATCGCCAACTTCCGCATCCTGACTTCGCTTAAAAGGCAGTCAATATAATTATATCAAATAATAGATACTCCTCATACTGCAATATCAACAAGAACCCTAGTCGCCGGATGCACGATATTTAATAATTTCATAATAGTTGCGCCATCATTAGAAATCACAATTTGACCTTAAAATTCAGCTAAATTTACCAAAAAAAACATATAAACACCTTTATCATCTACAATCAATTTATCTGCACCAAGAGGACCCAATGTTGTACAAATTGTACTTTGAATAGCAAGAACTGCCGCAATATTAGACAATAATTGACCTCGTCCTTGCGAATCATTCGTCCCCTCCTTAAGAACTAAAATCATATTAAAATTAATCCAAATATTCATTTATTTAAACCTATAATAGGAACATTTTCTCCTGCAAAAGACATCACTTTTTTTTTTCAAGATTTTCTTTAACGTCTTGTTAATCGGTCAAAAAAAAATTGAATAAAAATATAGTATAATCCATATAATCTTAATTATACATAAGTATCTCTACAAATCCAGCCAGTAAACAATAATTTATGTAGATAGTTGAAGAATCTCTTCTAACATTTTAAATTCACAAGAAATAGCTATATTATTAAATATGTTGAAAATATCTTGACAATGATCAAAAGTAGAGGTCCAATTACCAGAACAAGCACAATATTCTTGTATATTAGTTTCTTTCATTTTTTTGCAGCGTTTGCAACGTAAATCCTGGGTTTGATAAATTTTTATCATATGTTGAACTTTTCCAATTAAAACTTCTTCAATGGCAAGTTTATTATATTCAGTAAGACACTGAGTGCATCTTAAAATCGGCACTTTTTTATCTGATTGATCTATTAAAAAATCATTATCTCTACAAAAATCCATATCACGTGAGAAACCACAACTTTGACATATAACAGGAAGTACATAGGAACGACTCGGATTTTGAAAGATAGATTCTGCACTAAATTCACTAATGTCAAGTATTTTTAGTAAATCTCTTCGTAACATTCTTACATCCAAAGAAAAATCTTTTACTAATTCAAAAACAGCACAAATGCATTTTATAAATAGCAATATAGGGTTGCTAATTTCCAAATATGATCCAGGCAAAATGGGAACTTGAAATTCCAAATTTAATTCATCATTTTTGAAGGAATTGATTTGCAAGTGAAATAATTGAGAGGTACGTTTAATCAGAGGTTTAGCAATCTCGTCTAAAATAGTATTTTCGCTCAAAGTCTCCGGCATTTGAGACTTACTTATATGATCCTGAAATTGATGTTGAGTAGGAAATTCTTTTAATGCAGATAATTTCGATTTATACATAAATGAGATAAATTCTGTTACCCAAGCTTTAAATTCATCTTGAAGAATTTTTGGAAGGAAATTAGCGATATGCCAGTGTAATATTGTATCCATATTTTGTTCTTTCTTTATTTCTGAACATGCCATCCCCCCATAATTGGCATCATCCATCCAAAGAAGATAATCCCAGTATTCTTTAATATTAATATCCAGAAAATGGAAAAGAGGCTTGCCTCTAATTGTTTTTATAATATATAATCCATAAGCATATGCATTTTCCAGACTTTTTTTGCTAGTTTGTATAAGAATACGAAAAGTGTTAGCAAATACAATTTTTGAACCAGCTTTTTTTAAATCAGAAAGTAAATTAAGAAATGCCTTTTTCAATATTTTTTGAACATAAATATGAAGCGATATATCATACAAGAATGAATCCGAACTAGAAACCCAACGTATAAAATGCTGTACCATTAAATCAGCATTTGTATTGCCCATACTTGCTTCAGACCACCAGTGTTTAACCAACGATTTCAAAACAACCATAACAGAGCTGGAAGAATTACTGTCAACAAAATTTTCAAAATCATTATGAATACCATTGTCTAAAATAGAAAATTCATCAAATGCTTGTTCTGAAACAGAATCAAATGCATTAACTAAAGCAAAATTTAAGATAGCAGAAATAGTAAGACTTTTAACATCAAGTTCAATACAAACATTTTCATAAGATCCCGGATTGTTAACGAGAGGTATGTCCAATCCTTCTTGTATATATGGCATCCAATCTTTCTCATATCCTCCATAATCTGGAACAGAAGATTTTGACCACCATAACAAATAATTATTTTTTATAAGACATCTTGCAAATGTAACATCAATAACAAATTTTGGATCATCTTCTGACATTTCACAAAGAGGTATATTACTGTATCTAGAAAGCTTAATCCTATATAAAATAAAAACAGACAAATGTAAAAATGATGTTATCAGACTCTTTCCAAGATAAGTCTGCCACCCCAGAGATGGAACATTATTATCATCTTGAGGAAATTTCATTAGAGGAAAATCAAGTAAAATAGGAAATGATTGAGATAATTGATCATATTTTAAAGTATGAACTACAATAGTTGGTCCATGTCTTTCTGTTTGATATTCTCTTAAACAAGTAGAAAAAGATTTATATAATTTTTTCTCATTTTTTAATATAAGAATCTTAAATGTAATGGAATCACTAAATTCAAATGCTGAATCGTTAAATAGGTCTTGAGATTTCCAATTAGACAATAATTCTGTATAAAGTTTCTCAAAATTTGGAAACACTGGAGTTTCTCGAGAATTATCCATAACAAATAAATTAGCTATATGTTTATTTGAATAAAATATAGAAAGAATTTTCCTATTTCCAGCAAAAAAAAGGCTCACAAATATAAAACTCAATTTAGACTTGTCTAAATATGAAATATTTTTATTTGATTTTTCCAGCATTTCTAAATCAAACCCTTTTTCCAATGCCTTTTTCAAACTACCCTGAGTAGTATTTTTAAATTCACATACTGCTCCCAATAGTAATATTGCACGCTCCTTTGTAGTTATTTGAGTCTCAAATACACCATCAATACTAGGATGATTGAAAAAATTTAAAAATAGTTTCTGTTCATTATTATAAATATGTTCTGACATTTTAAGCTCGAAAAGATACGGAAACTGTTTTCCATTTGGCAATACTTTTGAAACCTTTTCAACTTCACAACCTTCTAATTCAAATTCTGGAAAATTAGCAGATTTAAAATTAATATATATAATTCGAGGAATAATTAACTTGATACTATGTAATATATTATTAATTAATACCCAAACTCGAAGTTCTCCTGGAATATCTGTTTGGCGAAATTCTAAAATTTCCCATGTTTTTGTATAAGTATAAATAGCTTTATTATGAAAAAAACTCGAGAGACTATTGTTTATATCAATGTTTGGACCAAATAAATAACGGCGTCTATCTCTAGATTGTTTTTGTATTTTCCATTTACGCTTTTGATATTGAAGCCATAATTTATAATCTTGATCAATTGTTACAGTTAATGGCCCTAGTGTAGAAAAATCATCTTCTCTTTCATTTTCGTTAATTCCTTCAATACTATTAGAAGTTTTAAAAATAGTTTTAGTAGGTTTTTGAAAAGGAGATTCTTCTATATCAGCAAAAGACCTTTTATTAGTATTTGTAATATCTTCCATAATCTTGGGAAGTGCCTTAAAACTTTCTGTAATAGAATGTTGTTTAAGTCCACTAAACCTAGCAGAATGCCGTTTTTGAAGCCATTCAGGGTGAGCAACACGAGGAACTGGATTTGGTACCATTTGCATTGCTGCAGGAATAGTTATAAGTTTTTGTATAACAGAACTTAAACGTTTTAAATAATAATCCCAATCAAGGATTGTTCGAATATCATAGTCAGAAAGATTATTATCACGAAGCCATTTTCTTAAAAAATGCTTTTTTACATTTTCATCAACAGAAAATATAGCAACTGGAATAGCTCTTTCCACAATAGATGCATCTTTAGGTCTAGAAGATATAATAAATTTACATGCCAAACCACGATCTTTAATAATTTGATCACCTAAAAATTCTGCTAAGCGTCTTGCCGTAAATATAGATGTTGATTTCTGTGATCCATACTCTTCTAATGTTCTTGACATACTTCTGTTTTCAGAAATTAATTCAATTAACTCTTCATCAGCTAAAGTTACACCTTTAGTATATAAAATATCAAGCCATTTATTTGCAACAGTTGCAACAGCAGCATAACACTCTTCTAAAGTAGTGCCTTCTAAAAATAATTTAAAAACTTGAGATTGAAAAATCTTAATTAATTTTAATTCTCCTCTACGCTTAACTTCAAATCCTTTAAGCTCAGCAAATGTTTCATCATTATTAAATACTGCATATTTTTTTTTAATTGTTTTATCCTCTTCAGTAGATGCAGGTAATATCATAGCTCTATAAGGACCATCTATTTCAAAAAAAATACTATTCTCAGAATGGATTTCATATTTATATCGAAGAGGATCTACAAGATTATGATACTGATGATTAGTAAATTGTGAATGAATCAGATAATTTAAAATGACACATGGATAAGATATAAAAAGGGTTTTGCCATCAACAAAATTAAAAATATAGTTTTGAGGAAATGTTGATGGCAGAATACACCAAATACCATCGGTGTCAAGTTCGAGGGGACGTCCCACTTTTTCAATTAATTGTCGAGCAGTCTGAATAATTCTGGCACCTGTTAAACATGTAACTCCAGCCATTTCTATAGAATACCAACGAGAGCCTTTTCGCATAACATAACCATAAAACGAATTTAATATTACTTTATGAGCGAGCTGAAGTGAATCATATAATACAACCATTTTTCGAGCTTCATCAATTTGCGAAGGATTTGATGAAGGTATGTTATCAAGACGCAGTTTCCATTGTTTTTGTAAATCTTTAAACTCATAACGTCTATCACGAAAACTTTTAACTGTATCAACATAAAATGGATTCTCTCTTTGACATACTATAGTCTCTCGCTCCACAACTTTAGAATCATGAATCTTACCATAAATTCTTTTACAGTATTCTGTTAATCGTTTTTGAATAATAGAAGATTGTTCTGAAGCAGATAGTTCATCAAAACTTTTTAAGGTACCATGGACTTTTGTCGGAAAAGTTTCATTTCGTAAAGCATGCTTAATCATATTATATTCATCACGCTTTGCCGGGAAAAAATCACCATGCCATGACCATGTCATTTTTCTATCACAAGTTTTCCCAGGTTTATTAAAATCGCAAGTAGCACATCTAGATTCATCAATCATAGAATCGGGTTGAAGTCTGTTTGTAATCATAATATTGGGATACATTGATGCAACATCTAAATGGTAAATTTTAGGATATTCTGTCCTAAAAGGACTTTTCTTGAAATCATCAAGTTGTAAAATTATTTGCTGTTTTATCTAAAGATAATTTAATTTAAAAGCTATATATATATTTGGAAAAAATACTTTATCATAATTAAGAATATCTGAAACTTTTTTTTTAGCTTCTACCTCAATAGTGAATTTAAGAGCAGGATCAAGTTCATTTATAAGCTACAGTTCAATCAAAAAACATAATATAAATACGAAAAAAATAACCTTTTCAATAGTATTCGAATCAACATTAAATTTCTCTTGTATATCATTTCGAAAAACACCTGCTTCAAGACTTTCAACATGACCACCAACATATGTCTCACTTTCTAAAAGATGTCCTTCAAAATGCTTATCATAAGAATCAATATGTTTATTAGGTAAAATAATATTCTTTTTAAATGCTTGAACCTATTAAGATAATAAAATATGCATATATATAAAGTCCTTTTATACCATTAAAAGCATTTCACATAATGTTCCTGTCCCTTTGGATAAAACATCTCCAGGATTTAAAGGAATAATGTTACAAAGAGAAAATATAAAAGGATGCACATATTTCATATATAAGTAATAAGTTGAGACAGCATCTGAAACCGAATATTGAGCGAGAACCTGAGGCTTTTCAATAGCATATCTAAAAGTCTAAATAAAATATAATAAATATAATCAAATATACCTCGTCATTAACTCTGGATCTAACTCAATTGGATTATATCCTAATTTTGCCTTCGTTACTGCTTTTAATCCTTGACTACCTTGTGGTAAATAACTATCTCTTTTAACCCAACGAAAACAATCCATATGAACACAATATGAACTTTGATATTCATCATTCTTATTTTTTGAAAATCCTATCTCATCATACATATTCAACCCATATATAGCACTTCTTGCTTCAATAAAAGGCCAATCAAAAAAATCGCCATTATATGTAGCAATAATAGTTGGCTTTGCATCCTTAATGTGATTAAAAAATCGTTGAATCAAACTTTTCTATCAAAGATGAATAAATATAAAAGTCAATATCTATTATACTTCATCAGGCTCATTAAATATGCAAAAAGGACCCTCATATTCAGGCTTAGGAGTATATTCAAAATTATCTATATCTAAAGATACAATATCTCTATTTGTAATCAAAAATCCCTATATATATAAGATATATTTTATATACATGTTTATCTTACTTGACCATCAATCATATAAGAAATCGTCATAATCTGATCAATTGCTGAATCTGGAAATTTTAAAGGCAATTTCGTTGTCTCAATATCGAAAACAAGCACCACAGGTTCTGCTCTAGCAATACGATCCTCGATTACTTCTATACTTACAGTACCCACTTGAGGATTTACTTGATACCATTTTCCAACACGAATATCTTTATCTATTGCTACACGGACACTATAAGGTACATCATATTCTCTTGCATCAATAATATAGTCTTCTGAACGAATTGAACAAGATGAATGATATATTTCTTGGTAAAGTGTTGTATCTGCTGTTGCCCTAAAAACATTGTCATCATTACCCTACTCCTTCTTATCACAATCTTACGTTACAACCTCATTTAAAGAATCCAATAAATCCATCTTTTTTTTATTTGCTTCTGCCAAAGGTACAAGAACCTTTTGAACACTCATAAGGTCCATTGTATTATTAAAAAATAACTGCAAAAATAAACGGCGATATCCTGAAAGATGATTTGGCTACAAAGATTATTAAATTTCTCACAATAATTAAATATAATAAAACCATTTGAAGATCCTCTTTCATACAACGTGTAATACGAACAATTGTATTAAACATTTTGCGTAAATACGCTTCTACTTCGATCTCACTACCCGTCTATAATAACAAATGAACTTTAATTCATTATTTATCCTGATATACTTTGCAAGCAATAAAAAAATATGGTTCAAACGGTAAAATAACTTTAAACGCTTCTCCATCATCTTGAAGAAAATAAAATGCCATAGCTGCTTTTCCTCCTTGTGTATCATCCAACAATGCTGTCTTTAAACCAATTATTAACTATTTATTAAACATTCATTATTTACTTTCATACCTCATGCATATTAATAAGCCATCCTTCCATAGGTGGTCCTATTTCTAATCTCTCAAATCCCATTCGTTCATCAATAATATTAACCAATTGAAGACGTTCCCAACGTTCATATCCAGATGAAGAGGGTTTCCTATCATTTGGTAGTCTTTTCTGGTATAAATGAGGCTTTTTTCGTGTAGCTTGCCGCCCCATGATTATTAAAGATGTTTTAAACGTCTTAAGATGGAGTCTAAAACCCTATATCTTTTTAAAAAATAGGGTCTATATTATAAAGGTATTTTGAAAATTATAAAAAATACACAAAACCGTCCTTAAATAGATGTTATTTAGTGCATCAGATATAGCTAATATTCATCATATTCCATGTTTTCGGAATGCAATCTTATATGGTATAGCAAGTGGAGTTATATTAGGTACCATTCGTATTATTTTTCATGGTAAAGAAATTGATTTTAATTTGACAACCAATTGATCATAATGTTATAGTACCAATCATAAAGGCATGCCATACATGTGTTATTACATTTTGTTGTATTAGTATTGTATCTTGGGAAGGATGTCGATATCAACGTTATATCGAAAAAAGAAATATAAAAATGAGTGTTGATAATTATCCAAAAGAAACAAAAATAATATCATGAACGATATTTGATGATAAGCCTTCCGGACCTATTTTAGTTTGGTAACAATATGATAATTTATCCATATAAATGTTTAGAACTTTTCATTTGAAATATAACAAAAAAATCAATTTTTTCAACTTTTTGTTCCAACAAATATCGCAAATAATTAATCATAAAGTACTACTAACTATTCTGACTACAAGTATATAACCATTATATAATATAACAATCATATATGAACTTTTTTAATTACAAATATTACTCATTTGTGTTGCAATTACTACCTGTAGTATTATTTCTAGAAAGTCGCTCTTCTTTAAGCACTAATGCTCTAGACAAGGTTTCCAAATATGTTTTATATTTTACAATTTCTCGAAGAAGATATTGAGACTTCTTTTCCCAATTTAACAATGCTTTTGCTAAATTTGGGTGTCGAGGAGAAAACTTTAAATATTAGAAAAATTAATATCAAGAAAAAACATACTGCTTGAAGAATTTGTGGTCTATACGCATTATGTTTTTGAACGTCGTTCTCTAAAATAGTTATATACTTTCTAAGTTTCTATTAATAGTATTAGACTGCATTTAATATCACTTGATAATGAGATATTACTTTCACTTGTTCTTCTTCCTTAAGACTATTAGAAAAAAGAGATACCTGAGGCGTGTTCCATGTCTTTATTATAGCTCTATCTCCTGGTAATTTTAAATACGAGCATTCAGTTTTAATAGGATTATAATTTTTTAATGAATTTTCGTTGTTTTTTGTTCCTTTTCTATTATTCATTTCTTTTAAACATTCTCCCCAACCATATTCTACATTACTAACTCCACCTAATAATGGCTCTTTAGAAAATCTAGCAGCCCAATAATTGGCTGTATAAACCCATTCATTTAACAATTCTTCAGTACCTGCCTGAAAGAAATGTACACAACCATTTGGTAGAGTCAAAACCCATACATATGGTCTAGTAGGAGAATAACCTGGGGATGGTAATGAAGATGCGAGAGTTTGTAGCAATACAAATGATCCAATAATATGTGCATTTTCCTGCATAATATTTAATAATTAATCAAGAATATAAAAAAAATTACAATCCAATTCCCGCCCCCAAGTATTCCTTTTTTTTCCGAAAATTTATTATTGTTAAATTGAAACATTGTTAATCTCCCTTTTTCTAGTACAACAAAACATTCAACCCATGTTCTATGTTTTGCTTTCTTAAAGTTTTCAAGATAATGTTTATGTTTCAAAATACCCTCTTTTGTCCATGGTGGCCCCGATAAAGCTAATTCATTTTCCTCATTAGTATCATAATTATGGCTGAAAGTATTAGATAAGCATGTAGGTACTTTCTTAATAATAGTATTTAAAGTTCCCGCAAATCCTATTGTAGAAAATTGGCAATCATATGTATTAGTTGAATAACATGAAGAATTAAAAGAACAAACAGATCTGTTTTCAATAACTGGAAACTAAAGAATTAAAAAAAAGTTATATATTTAGAATGTTTATACATTACTAGACCTATTTCCAGAACTCCAATCATTTATATTACTTGAAATAGAGCTATGAAAATTATCATAGTAAATTCTAGATAATGTTTTTTTCCTATTTGTCCAGTTTTTAATTTTAAATTTTCTTGCTCCATGTTTTTCTCTTGTCGTTTCAGAGATAGATTTGCATGAAAAGCTGGATACATGGTTGAGTGACATAAGATAAAAGTCATTAGAGTACTTTGTTGTGTTAAATAGTGAACTATTACTTTGAGTGTCATAAAATTGGGAATCATTGAGTACTGGCTGAACTATATTAAAATTCTTAATCGAAGTATACATTTCCTACCAAGATTAGCCTACTCTTTTAATAAAAATACAGAATATACTTTTAGCATTGCTTTTACTTCAAAATAAACTGAGTCACTCAATATCTCATTTAAAGAAATATTAGATGCTTTGTTAACCAAAAATTTATTAGAAAAATTCCTTGAAGTATTTAAATTAGATTTCGTGGTACCAGATAATTGATCAGATAAAACTAAATCAGAAGACATAGTATGCTTTGAAGATACGGGACTACCCATCAAAGACAATCCAAAAAATCCATAAAGATCAAAATTAGGCTTAGGCTTTGATGAAAATATAGTTGACAATGTGTTTTCAACAAATTGGTTTTTAGTCATTTTTTGACCATGAGTTAAATCTGCAACATGTAAATCAGTATTTAATAAAAGAAGTGAATATGCAATAGCATGGACAATATCTAAAAGTAATTAAATAAATCATTAAAATTCATAAAAATGAACCAGGAGTTAGATTAGAGGAAATATTACATTCATGCCATCTTTTTGAAAATGATTCCAATATTCTATCCATTTGTTGAGTTTCAGCTTTCATTATGAGTTTAGAACATAAATGTCTAATAGAAATCCCTAAGAATCCGACAATAATTATTTATTACTTACCTAAGAGCTGTCAATATATCTAAACCAGACCAATCGAATTGATTCATATATAATGTTCTTGCCTGAGAATTTAATTCCATACTATAAATATCAGAAATACTCATTTTGTAAATAAATATTTTTATACCAATCGCCTAACCATGAAGCTGCTTTGACTTTACTAACATATGTTTCTTTTCCATAAAAAATACTTTTTCCTATAATTGAAGCATTATATTTCAACGATTCATCCCTAATAAAGTCATCCACGTCTCTATAACTTGTATTGTCAGATTTAGTTAATGAATCTTTTATTTCTCTATTGGAAATATCTCCAAAAGAATTTTTACTAATATCGAATACATCACGTGCAGAAACAAATGATAATTCTGAATAATCAGTAACACTTTGTCGTAGATCCTGGGAAACATTTGTACCAGGATCTTCAGAATATGAATATATCATATTATTTTGTTTATCCTTAGTAAAAGAGTGAGAATTCGTCTCATTCAATGTAGTAGATGAAAAATTACTAATATTTTCTTTCAAAGTTAAACTACCGGAAGAATCTTCTTTCAAAGAAGAATGATAAACTTCCTGAAGTTTAAGATTCTTCATGGCATTTACATTTTTTGAAAGAATCCATGATGAATTATTATCTAGAAAAGATGAATGCTTGTTTAATAGTTTAGAATCACGATTTTTAACATTAAGAGAACTTGTTAACGGTAAAACTGAAGAATTGGATTTCGGAATAGATAGTTTTGCAGAAGACTTAGGTGTATTTTTACATGAATTATGATTCTATTAATAATTAAAAAATTTTTAATGTTAATAAAAAGCTACCTCTGCATTTTTTCTATTGGAGATGAGAGACTTTTTAAGAACTGCACGAGTTTTGATATTTTTCTACCACCTATTCAGAAAAAACATCAAACATGTATTTTTTTAAACATACAATATCTGAATGAGGTTTTTCTATTACATATTAGTAAAAAAAGATAATTTATATATCTCTTAAGATACCAGAATTACTATTTTCATTCTTTTTACTAGTAAATAAAGAGAGAAGACCATGTTTAGGCGATCCATTTATCGATTGAGCTAAAGAATTAGAATTTGAGCTATTCTCTATACATTTTGATATCGAAGTTCTTGAAATAGATCTTGAAAGAAACTTTGGGGGACTTTTTGTTAAAAAATTTGTTTTCGTTGAAGAATTGGTTTTAAGTAATATGTTATCTTTGTTTTTTTTATATTGTCCCTTGGATGAAAAATATGGATTCGATTGAGAAAAAAGAGGTGAGTCATTAATATCTATAATCCTTTCATGAAGAAACCCTGTTTTCTTTAGAGGCACCGCTGACACACTATAGGTTTCCATAATTTAATACACAAATAATATATTCAAATAGAGCTATAAGTCATCCTAAAATATAAAATACTCGCTAATTCTTGGCAGTTACTATATAAATAAATTGTATCTATTTGAATATATTTAATTACATTCCAGTACTCAATAAGTTCAAATTTTATAAATTTATAAAAAAAAAGATATTTATTCGGCTCAAAAACCTATAAAATAATTAATATTATATTTATTTCAAGAATATATTAAAACTATAAGTTAAATCAAAGGAATTGCTTTAATTATGTATTATATACGCGTCGTGTATGCGGAATATATGCGTATAATCTAAATATCGTTGACGTTTTCACGCTCTCGATCTTCGCTATCTTGATTCTTTTCTTTGAAAACAAAAAAGAATCCTAATTAAAACTTAATTGATTGTATTTCTTAGATAAATATACAGTATTTATATATTTTTTATACACAAAAATAACATTTTTATTGAAATATAATTATATGGAAAATATATATAGGATTTTTATAAAGGTCACGTGCACAATTTTCTAAGGGGGGTATACGAGGCAGTTGTTTTGTAGTTGTATAAATTTATGATTGATTAAGGCTTAAGAAGGACACTTTTATTTTATTTTACTATATTTTAGAATTCTAAAGGGACATAAATTTTTATATTTGAGTTTTTTTAAAAATAGGCTTTTATTTGTATTATTTGATCATAAATATTTATGATTTAAAAACATCTAATTTACTGGAAAAAACATATTTATATAGGAAATGCACGTTATTTTTGTATTATATGATATTTAAAATATCCTTTATTTTTTTTTAACGGAAAATCTTTTTACAATACAGCCTTTAGCATTCAGTTATTATATCTATTGGAATTTTTATTTTTTTTCACAGTATTTTTGAATTAAATAAGGTTATATTATCATTATTATAACATTTTTATCTTTTTTTTGGGGGGTTTACTATAAGATTTTATTTTTTTTTAAAATAATAAAGGTTTTGGATAAAAAATGAACACCAAACCTGTGTTATTGGCATTTCCTGATGAATATACAAGAGCAGAAGATCTAGCATCAGATCCATTGATCACACGTCTTGGAGGATTACCGGTATATTTAATTTGGATCTTGTTTTATAAGTAATATTTGTTATAGATTGGTCTTGATCGATTAACAAAGCCTCCTTTAAAGTTTTCAAAGTGTAGAAATTGTAATCAAATTATGCCTCTTATTTTACAATCATATGCACATATTGATAATATAGATTATGATCGAGTCATATATGTATGGGCATGTTGCCATAGACGTTGTCAATATAAAGAAGGATCAGTTCGTGTTATCAGGGGAATTTTATATCAAAAAACAAAGGTTTGTTACATTTTTAATATATCGAATCGTATTTTTTATGCTTTTTAATTAGAATACAAAAACGAAACATTCTCTAGATGATAAATTTCATCATAATTCTTTAAAAAGTCTTGGAAATACGTTATTTAATTCACCTTTTCCTATGTCTTCTTACCCATCTAATCCATTTCGAATGAATTTTTCCGCAAAAACTGAACAGAATTCATCAGCACGTTCAAATTTACCTGAATTATCAAATATTAAAAATTCTCAAATAGGTTCTTTTTCATATCAAAATGTGTATCAATCTAAAATAAATGAAATTGAGAAAGAAGAATGGCCTCCTGACAATGAAATATTGCAATATCATATAAAAATTCTTCGTATTGTAGAAGAAAATGAACAAAATTTAGAAGAATTAACTGAAAAATTGAAAATTGAAAATTTTAAGGAAAAGTTTGTGAAAGATAATGAAAAAGATCAATGGTCAGGGGAGATATTTGAAAAATCAACATTAGAAAAAGGATTTCGTATGTTTATAAAAAAAATTCGTGCTAATCCTCAGCAATGTGTTAGGTATTATTAAAGATTACTTCTAATTGTATCACATTTTACTAATAAAAGTTAGATATAATAGGAAAGGACAGCCTTTATATTATTCTTTAAAAGATTTATTGGCTAAAAAAATTGAATTTTCTGAATCTGAAAATCCATTAGGAAAATGCCAATTGTGTAATTCTCAAAATGTTTTTGAGCTTCAAATCATGCCAAATACTATCAATATTTTGGAAGAAAATGTATCTATAGGAGATATGCTTTGGGGAACAATTATAATAGGGACGTGCAGTAATGATTGTATTCCAAATCTGAATGACAAAGGTATAGGATATACAGAAGAATGGGTAGGAGTTCAGTGGGAGGAAATGAAAGAATAGCAGAAATTTGATGATGATAAAATATCATATTTTATATTATACTATATAAATTATAATTTTTTTTTAATAGATTCCTCGGTATATCCTTGAACTAAATCTCCTTCTAGAAAGCCGTCCCATCCATTAAAAGACATGCCGCATTCTTCCCCTTTCTTTGTTTCAGTTATTTCCTTTTTAATATGTCGTAATGTTTGTAATTTTCCTATATTACAAATAAACAATTAAAAATTGCAGAAAATAAAAATACCTTCCCAAATTATTTTCTGATCACGCACTATTCTTATCTTTTCATTTTTATTTATAACACCATTAATAACAATACAACCTGCTACAGTTTTTGAAGATTTTTTACTCGTAATATTAAATATTTTAACAATTTTTGCTTCTCCAACAACATGTTTCTTTTCTACTAAAGGCATAAGAAGAGATAATTCCTCTTTAACATAATCCAAAAGTGTATAAATTATTGAATGTGAAATAATTTTAACTTTTTCTCTATATGCAATTTGAGCAATTTTTTTGTCCAATTTTAAGTTAAAAGATATAATATAGCCTATAACATATCAACTCATTTAATAATATACCCTCCTAGAAAACACCTTGTATAAGACTTGCTAGAATAATATCTGATTCAGTAACATTTCCTACATCACTATACACAACTTTAACCATAATTTTATCATTTCCAATTGATAATAAAGAATTTTTTATAGCTTCTACTGAACCACTCACGTCTCCTTTTATAATAAATGGAACTTCTTTAAATTCTTTTTGAGATAAGTCAGTTTTGGTTGTTTTTAATTTATTTTTATAATCTTCTATACGTCTTTTGTTGATTTCTTCAATATTACTCAATTGTTTTTCCTCTTCTATATGTAATAAACGATTTTTAACTACCTTTTTGGCTTGTTCCTTCTTATGGTTAATAAAAAAAAGATTTTATTTTAAATATTTTTACTTCATTTTCCACTTCCAATATATTTTCTCCGATCAATGGAATATCTTTCCATCCCATAACTTCAACAGCAGTTCCTGGTAAAGCAGATTTAAGGGATATACCCAAATCATCTGTCATAGATCTAATACGACACCATGTTGTTCCTGAAACTATATGAGAGCCTAACTTTAAAGTCCCTTCTTTTAATAAAACAGTAGCTAAAGGCCTATAATAAATTGCAAATATTATATAAATAATATAAAACCAATTCTTAATTATACCCTTTCGTTTTCTTAACTGAAGATTCTATTATTACTCCTTCAACATTTCCTTCTATTTTTGACTTAATATCTAAAATTTCAACTAAGCTGGAAATAGCGCATTCTAAATCCTTTATTCCTTGTCCCTTAACATATTAGTAGCTTTCAAAATAAATAAAATCTTAACTGTTATAGCAGATATTAAAACTACTTGTGTATCTCCTCCGAATTCTTCAAGTTCAACTCCATTCTTTAATAAATCTAATTTTAAATCTTGAATATTCAATAATCCTTTATCTATTTTGTTTATTGCCACAATTATTGGAACATTTGCTCTTTTCGCATGTTCTATTACTTCAATAGTTTGCGTCATAACACCATCATCAGCTGCTACAAGTAATATAATAATATCGGTAACTAAAGAACCCCTCTTTCGCATTGACTCAAATGCAGAGTGACCAGGGGTATCTAAAAAGCATATTTTTTCTCCATTAGACATAGTTACTGATAATAGTTTAAAACAAATAGATACTTAAGTAGTTTTAATACCAGAAAAAGCACCAATATGCTGAGTAATCCCTCCACATTCTTTCTTTGCTATTGAAGACTTCCGAAAAAAATCTAACAAAGTTGTTTTTCCATGATCTACATGTCCCATAATAGTAACAATAGGTACACGAAGAGAAAGTTTGAGATTTTCTTTATTTTTTTGACTAATTACAATAAAAAAATGGAAATAACAAATATATCCAACAAACCTATATAATTGAACCATGCTTTTAGTATTTATAATAGGATTATAATTATATTCCATAGCAATTAAAGATGCCTCTTCAAATGTTAAAACTAAATAGAATCAATCATTTTCCTGATAAATTTTAAATAAATTACGAAAATCATAATTCGTATTTTTAAATCCTAAGTCTTTCATCTTTATAGATAATTCTTCTAGAAAAAAAAGTATTTATAAAAATTTATAAAGGAATTATAAGCTTACCTAATTTTAATTTTAATAATTGAGATAAATTAGATATAGTTATAGCATTAGGAAGATTAATGTATGGTTTAAAAGAGGACTTCGTTGGTCTTTTGCTTAGTTTGACTATATTTGATTTTTTAAAATTAGAAGAACCTTTTTTAGATATTTCATTCTTATTAATTCCAGAATATTCTAAATTAAATAAAGATTTGGTATTTTCATTAACTATTTCTGATGATCTTTTTGATTTCGTATCTTTTTTTGTATAAGAATTTTCTAATTTACTATATCTATTTTACTTAAAAATAATACTTATTTTTCTAAAAAATACCTAGAATTAGGTAATTTTGATTTAAAAAAAGAAACATCCATAGATCTTCTCGGTTCCATAAGGGTCTTTTCTCTATTTTTTTCTGATTTTTCCTTAAATGCTTGGCTAATTTCTACTTTTTTGTTGAAATTAGAAGTTTTTAAAAATTTAGATCTTAAGTTTTCCTTCTCAAATTCATCTTTTTTTGAGATATTCTTGTCTTCATAAATATCATCTGAAAGGTGATTAATTGGCTTTAATTCTTTATTTAAATATATTCTTAAATTTTGTATTGAATGAAATTTTTTATATAAAATTTTTAAATAGTTTAATTGATAAAGGTCATTTCTCCCAATATTTGATATAAACATTAGCGAAAACCTTATATGGCAAGGCTATCTATCTTTTTACATAATTTTTTATCTTAACCATTTTTTTGTCGTTAATACTTAATATTTTACTTTAAATATTGTTAAATAAAGGAATTATTTAGATTATAAAATATATTAAAACAAATAAAAAGTTCTTTTCCTTTTAAATAAAAGGTATTTTATTAATCATACCAGATTTTTCCATTGGACAATTCCCAAGATAATATGAAACTTTCCATTTTAATTTTAAATTATCCAATTCATCTTTAATGCCAAATATTGTTGCTAATTGTGTAATACCATTCCTCTGAGTAGGATTAATAATAGATCCAATTTGTTGTTCCATTTTAAGTAAAATTGTCTAAAGAATGTTAATAAATTTTTCTGTTAATATAAAAGTTTTTATTTACTTTTGGAACAGACATTTGAAAATTTAAAGAACTTATTATATCGGTAAATGATTTATTAGAAAATCCTATTTTTATTAGAATGGGAGAATTTGATGAGGAATTTTTGCGTGATATAAGAAAATGAATAACAAGATCTGGAGTATCTAGAACAGAAATATTAATATTTTTCTGCTCATTTGCTCCTATTCCTGGTATTTGATTAAACACAAATTCTGATGCTGTATGATTATGAAATGCTTCATTTTGTATGTTATTAAAAGATATATTAGGTTCAAATGTTTTCGAATTTAAAACAGAATCAAAACTATCATCAATAAGTGATAAAGCTTCACCCAAATTAGTCATTCGTAAGTATTTATAAACAAACTTACATTTTAAATTAACATGTGTTTTTTCATTTGTCTCATTAAAAAGTTCAGAAGAACTCCCATCGAAAGATAGCCCGAGAAGATCATCCAATTCAGAACTTTTCTCTTTTATAAAAGTTGAGTTCGTATGAAGATTTGAATGATCATCAAAATCAATTAACGGAATATCTTTTTTTTCTACAGAATTATTTAAACTATTTATTTGATTACTCAATATAAAAAATATGCTTAAAACATTACATAGGATTTAAGTCGCCATTTTCATTAAAGGCCTTTTCCTCGTTGGTTTTCCCATATTGCAAAATTGTAACATTGATCATGTCATTTAATTCTAAAAGTTTAGATATCGCTTCTGTATCATTCTTTTCTTGTTCCAATATCTTTCGAATCTTAGGTTGCGCATTTTTTATCGATGAAATAAAATCCTGATGATATTTAAAATGAAATTTTTTAGATAGGCATGAACAATTACTTCACAAATATCACTTTTATATATTGTATCCTTATTATTTTTTTTAAGCATCTCTTGAAGTAAAAATGTCTTTCGTCGTATTTTTTCAATATCTTCTGCTACTTTTGCTCTATAATTATTTCTTATGCCTGTATCATAACCTGCTAATATTTTCATTAATTTGTTTGCCTCTACCAAATCAGCTGGAGTTCCTCTTCGAACAAGCTCTTGCAATTTTGCTGATTTTGTCTCCCTATCTTCTTGCTCTAATTCCTCGGCTGATCTGAAATTCTATCATAAATTAATAATCAGTGTGTTTCAAAGAAAGTAAAAATGCAACATCAGGAGTATTTAAAACTGATGCTGAATCATTCTGAATTTCCGGAAACATATATCCTATCCTAAATGAGCTTGTTTCTTTATATATTACTTTCATTTTAACCCTTAAACTGTAATAATCGATACATATCACGAATATTCATCAAATCTTCTTTATATCGACTTGTCAAACACAAAGTTTGGTTCCATTCCGCTATAATTTGAAGAATCTTCGTTTGCAAACGTGTCAAACGATACGGCGGACGCTCAGGAAACTGCCGTACTAACTTATTTAAAAATTCTTTCGTCGCTACTTGTAAATGAAATGGGTATCCACAATTCTTTACACAGACATCCAATAACTATAATCTCTAAAAACAATACCTTAATTATAAGATATTACTCACTGATAAGGCAAGCATTGGTACTAAGGAGCTTCTATTATTTACTTTACGTACAATCATCATTGCCGCTTCTCTTGCCCTAAAAACATCATTTTTAGCCCTTTTTTCTTGCAATTAGAAGCAGAAAATATTACATATTCCCCTTCTTTTGATTAATGAAATCGACTACCTCCAAATTAAATGCTAAATTGGGCTCTTCAAGTGTTGGCGAACATGATCGTTCTATCAAATTACTTAGTCATATTTAAAAGAAAAAGAAGGAAAAACCAATATAAAACAATAATTCTGACGGATTTCTATGAAAATTCATCATATATACGTTGAGATATTCCCCTTATTTTCTTATTAAACTCTCTAAATACTCTAAAAATATAAGCAGGTTTACCGTATGTCGTCGATCGAGTCTTATTAAGGACGTCAAAAAAAATTAGATGAAAAAGAAGATTTATAGGGAAAAAAGAGCTATAAAAAACAAGGAAAAAACATATTCTTATGAAGGAAGACCCCTTTTGAAGATTCCTTTTTTTTCTGGAAAAAATTGACTTAATTTTAGGCAAAATAGAGGAATTAGAAGAAAATAAAAAAATCCCAATTTTATTGGCAATGTGGGTGTGTTTATAAATACAATAGTAGACATATTTTATCTAGAGGAATTTAGGATTTTGGACATTGCGATCCTAAGCGTTGTTCTGGTAGAAAAATGGCACGTCTTGGGTTGATAAAAACATTGAAAATGGGGCAAAAATGGAATGGCATAATTCTTTCGTAAATCTCATATATCTTTATTTTAAATGCTTATATATTTAAGTCATGATAAAGAGTTATTTTTATCTAAAGAAGATGCACCTTTATTGAGAGAAATGGGTGTAGCAGTGATAGAATGTTAGTAAAGATAAAAAGTTAAAGATTGATAGATTATTAGGTTCTTGGCAAAGGATAGACGAAATCCCATCAAGATATATTAGAGGAAGGAATTTTAGAGCATGTAAATCGAGCTTTAATAGCTAATTTTTATTTTTTAATCTATAAAACATAGTACCATACCTTATTGCAGCAAATTCTGTTAATTATGGTCGTCCTTGGAAACTTAATTGTGCAGAAGCCCTTGCTACATGTCTTTATATTGCAGGTAATTGTTTTTTATTATTGATTAACTTTTTTGATCGAAATTAGGTTATCAATCATATGCACATATTCTTCTATCATATTTTTCATGGGGAGAGACCTTTTTTCGTATTAATTCAGAGTTTTTAGATTCATATGCTTCATGTTCAAATAATTTTGATATTAAAATGGCTCAAGATTCATTATTATCATCTTTATCAACAGAATATTTGGAAAATAAACAAAACTCTATTATATTTCCTTCTGAGGACTCGTTTGAAGAAACAAGTCATTCAGAAAATGATGATATAAATTTTCAAAAAAAACAAACTTCTTTATCTCAAAAATAGTCAATTTATTCATTCTGATTTTTTTACCCAATTCATATAATTTATTTTATCAATAAACACGAAATACATGTAATCAATCAACTAATATCAATAAATTTATCTAATATATATAGATTTAAAAACTCTATTTCTAGCTAATTCGAGATTTATTATATTAAAAAGCTATATATATACATATCATTTTAACTAGATCTATTTCTTTTATATTAAGAACATGTTTATTCTTTAGGGTTGGTTGTCATGGTAATATTGTTTACAATCGATCGCAGTATTTCTTTTAAAAATCCGGATTTTATATAAATAGAAATATCTGCCGGGAAGTTTATTTAAAAAAGTATTCTGCACACATTTATTGTTAGAACTTCATCTCAGTTAGTATAAAACAACCTTATTGAGTGGTCTCTTTTAGAATCAATTAAAGAGTAATATCTTAAAAAAATAAGTTGTTAGGAATCTCTAGATTTTTGAAGCAGTTTTAATCTCTTGGAGAAACATTATTTGTAAAAGTATGTTTTTTTAACAAGAGAAATTTTTTTAAATTATATATATCAAAAAGTTGTATTAATATCTCAAGTAAATCATTAAATACGGAAAATTAAAGGATATATACAAGTTATAATAATAAAAAAAGGATATATATTCTTCAATTTAAGAATAGGCGTATTTTATTTTGCATGAAAAACTAAATTAATGCATATATTTCATATTATTGGTTCTAAATAATCTATATATCCTTTATTATCTATTAAATAAAGACTAATTTTTGTTTAATTAGGATATTTTCTTTAAAACTGTTCATGGGAACAAGTAAAGAGGCCATTCATTCGGGAGTAGGCGTTTTTAATGGGGAAAGTCCATCTGCTTATAATCCGGAAAATCCAATAACACTCTTTATTATACAAGTAAAGAAAAGAAATTTAATAAATTTTTAACTATTATTAGTGTATAATTATTATTGGATTTTGCAGATTACTCCATCTTCCATTGTCTCGTTTGAAACAACCTCGAGTTATTGCTGAGATGTAATATTTTTTTTGTTTTAAATAACAATTAATTTTTTAGTATTGCAGGAATCCTTTTAGGGCCTTCAGCATTAGGAAAAATTCCATATTTTAATAATCATATTTTTCCAAAAGACTCCTTAGTAATTCTTAATCTTGCTTCTAATATTGGACTGGTTTTTTTTCTTTTTGTGGTTGGCATGGAAGTGGACATTCGAGTTATTCGTCGGCATTTCAAAGTTGCGCTTAGTGTAGGACTTGGAAGCTTGCTTTTGCCTTTCGCAGGAGGGGTTGCTGTTGCTTATGGCTTAAATAAGGAATTCAATGATAATAAAGAAATAAATCTTGCAGTATTTTTCATTTTTATTGGGACAGCTTTTTCAATTACGGTTTATTTTTATATAATTAAATACCTACTTCTTTAAATTAATATTAGATTTAGGCTTTTCCTGTACTTGCTAGGATTCTTACTGAGTTGAAACTTCTTCAAGAAAATGTGGGCATTGTTGTACTTTCGGCAGGTGTTGGCAATGATATGATAGGATGGGTTCTTCTTGCACTTACAATTGCTCTTGTTCATGCAGGAAGTGGACTTATCTCTCTCTATGTTCTTCTTCTTGGAATTTCATGGGTGCTAATACTTATTTATATTATTCGTCCTATTTTTATTGCATTGGTCAGAAAAACTAAAAGTTTGGAAAATGGGCCAACAGAATTTATAATAGCTATTACTTTTTTTTTGGTTTTAGGTTCTGCATTTGTTACTGATATCATCGGTGTTCATCCAATTTTTGGAGGTTTTTTATTGAATTTATCTTTTGTAATTAATATAATACATAGGATTTCTCGCTGGTTTGATCATACCTCATATTAGTGATTTTGCAGTAAAAGTAACCGAGAAAGTTGAAGATCTTATTACTATTCTTTTTCTTCCTTTGGTAAATTATACATATTATTATATAATTGTTATATATTTACATCTATTCTAGTATTTTGCATCATCAGGACTTAAAACTGATATAACCTTATTAAATGATAAGATTTCCTGGGCATGGACTATTTGTATTATTTTTACTGTAATTATCACAAAGGTTATAGGAAGCTCTTTAGCTGCCCGTATAAACGGCTTATTATGGCGGGAATCCTTTACAATTGGTATTCTCATGAGCTGCAGAGGGTGTGTTTGTTTTTAATTAGAAGAAGAAATATATTTATAATTTTATTTAGTCTTATTGAACTTATCGTTCTTAATGTTGGTCTTACTGCAAATATTATAAACCCTAAGATTTTTACCATGTTTGTTGTTAATGCAGTTCTAACAACATCTCTAACAACACCTTCTGTATTGCTTCTTTATCCTTTATGGTATCGTGAAAAAGTAAAACGATGGCGTGCTGGTAAAATAGATTGGAAAAATATATCAACAAAATTTAATTCAAAAGATGAAAATACTTTTAACAACTCTATTGTCCCAATAACAATTAATAAGTTGATGGTCGTTCTTAATCGTGTAGAGCATCTTCCGCCTCTTATGGCATTTATTCGCCTTCTTTCCCCAGTATCATCAGTAAAGGCTGATCATTCGCCAAATACCTGTTTAGATGCGTTAGATATAACAGAGGAGATTGAAGTGCCTCTTTCTATTCATGGATTACGTCTTATTGAACTAACACAGCGTACTTCAGCTATCATAAAAGTATCAGATAATGGAGAAAGTAATAAGCTTGATCCATTAATGAATGTTTTTCGAACTTTTGTTCGTCTAAACAGATTACGAGTATCTGGCAGCTTAAAATTTGCTTCAGAAGAAGAATTTTCTAGCAGTGTCATAGAACAGGCCAAGGAAATTGGAGCAGAATTTTTAATTATACCGTGGAGTACTGATGGATCTATTTCTGATGAATCTGAGAAAAGTTTTAAACGAATTTCAAGTTCTTTTGTGCAAAAATATACAACTGCAAGACATAATGAATATGTAGAAAGTATTTTTGATAGTGTGCATTGTGGAATCGGTGTTCTTATAGATCGTGGACTTGCTGGAAATATAGTGCATGAAAATTTCGACCCACAGCTATCTGATTTAGACAGGAAAGTATCTTCAAGCTTCCTTACTCAATATGATACTATATCTTATACAAATACTATGTTTGAAAATTCAACTCCAAGTGATGGTAGATATCATATATTTTTTCCATTTTTTGGTGGAGAAGACGATCGGGCTGCTTTAAATATTGTTTTTCAATTAGTTACTAATCCTGCAATATCGGTAACTATATTTCGAATAAAGGCAATCGAAAAAAGTATATCCAATAGTCCACATTGTCTTTCTATGACCAACACCAAAGAATCACATTCCTTTGAAGGTAAAGATAAATTTAGAACATCTCCCTTTTTAATAATTGTATATAGCACCGAAAAAAAACTATAGTGCACATTTGCAACATTTTAATATGCAATTCCGAAGCGATCTTCCTCGACAAGTCTCGATGTCACAAATGCCATTAGAATATGATGAAACAAAATGTGCTATAATATCCGATTCACAAAATTCAGTCCAAAGTGAACTTGATGATAGGTTCATAGAAACATGTATGAATTCTATTCTTCAGAAACATTCATCTCGTGTAAGTCTTGAAATAGTTAATAGCACTGTTCCATTACAACATGCATTATCATTAGCCAAACGAGAGATTTCCAAACATAAGTATTATGGAGGTGGCTCACTTATTATACTTGGACGTTCCTGCAGAAATCCCAATTCTTATATTCGAAAAGATTTAATAAATATGTTAAAAGCATCTGATTATCCTACTGGAGGAGGATCAGGTTTACGAAGATGTCTTGGTGATTCAGCCGAAGCTTTCTTAATTGCTAAAATCAGAGCCAGGTAAATATTTATATTTATTATTCTTTAATAAATACTAATTTTGATAAAGCATATTGATTATTCAGGCGCCATCAAGCTCTAAATCATGTTAAATGTTTTTATCTGCCCAAGAAAATACGTTCTGTAATTATTTTTGGTATTGCTAATTGTATTAATCTGATTTTGGCTAACGATTGAAAAACAAATGATAAAAAAATAGTGTATTATAAATGCATTTGTGTTATTTTATAATGCAAAATTGATTTTTGGTAATTCCAAGTATTTATAAAAATTGTTTTGTATTTTATAAATGTTTTGATACGTATAAATCATGATATTTTATAATTTCATTTAAAAAAAGTCTTAACAGATGTTTTAAAAGCTTGTTTACTTATAGCTTTTTTTTGAGTATTTGCATAATCTTGTATACTATATAAATAAGGACTATTCAAAATAAACCAATCAAATAACCTCTTAAGCATGTTTATTGATGATTCTTCAAGGAATTCAAGTTTTTCTCCAACACCGAAAATCTTTCTACCTCGTTCACGAATATTTTCGGTAGTCTGAACAAAAATATTACCATATGAATCAGTAGGTTCATTTCGTTGACCTGCTGACAGTATTTTTTTCTCTGTCTTATTTTTTAATTCCTGTTCAGCTAAAGACTGAAGAAGTTTCTTAGGCAATGGACGGTCAGGTCCACCAACTAAACATGATAATTAAAAACATTAAATGACTATGTAAAAATACTTAATGAATCTAGTTCAGCGATCGTAATATATTTTGTGCCTGTTATCCATTCCCACGTTGAAATTGTTGCTAAAAACTATGAAAATTATGATACAATATATTTATTTACATACGACGAGGAGGAACTTTTTTTGAATTATCATAAAGAACACCAGAAGGAAATTCAGTAATTCTTATTCCATTTCCAAAAAGATTGAAAAGGGAAAGTTCCATTTCGTTTATCCAGAGATATATATCGCCAAGTATTGTAATAATACTTTTATTTAATCTAAAAATTATAAAAAAATATATTTAAAATAATTATTATACTTATCAATAAATAAATGAGGCAAATTAACAGAAAAAATATAATTTAAATTCGGAAATGAAAGAAATAACACTTTTTTATTATTTATCAGACAAGCAACGGCTACATTTATGCTTTCATGATAAACAATATTAGCTGAAACACATTTCACATTTTTTTCCATAAAATATTCCGATATCTTAAAAAAGCATGAATCAAGTACTTTTACTGAATTCTCTGCTACAATAATAAGATAACTTTCTGAAACAGAATTATTTTTTAAATTGTCAAAAATGCTTGGATAAAGAATATAAGGCCTCATAGTATCTTTAAATATTGAAATAATATTAATAATTGAACCACCTTCGAATAAAAATTCGCCCATATATTCAATATTAAATTTATTTTCACTAGTAAGAAATAAATTATAAAAAATTAATCTTCCAAATGATGTCCCAACTATAAAGAGAACGGTTGAATCTAATAAATTAATTAACAGATATATATAATTAATATTATGTACCATTTTTTTTAAATTTCCCTGTAGTGAACTCAAAAACTACAGCAACTTCCAGTTCAAAATCTTCGCTATCTTCAGCATCTTTAAAAGTTTTTGATTTCTTTTTCTCTGCTTTTATTTCACTTAATTCTATTTGTAAAATAATATTTCGAGTAAATGTATTTATTAAAATGGTTGTTCCAAATTCATATCCACAGGCTATACTAAATTAATATATTAGAAAAATATAATAAAAATGTTTTTAAGTCATACAGTCCTATATTACTTGTCTTCAAAGAAATCACAGAACCTCTATGTATTTGAAAAATCGAAACAGCAGAAAGATTATTTTGATTTCTGTTATTATTTGATAAGACATTATTTTTATTACTCATATAACTGTCTGATTTAAGATCTTTGTTATCATTTTGTTTTGAAGACCTATTAAACACAGAGGAAACGAATGAATCATCAAATTCAAAGGCTTTTTTATCAGGAGAAAACAATTTATATACTATAAGTTCTCCACCTTCGCATCCAATAATTAAATCTGACATTTCAGAAAATTTAGTAATTACTACTTTAATCATATTAGGTGAAAGATTAAGAACTTTAGCTAGAAATATTTCGTGAATTTTCTGAAATTTATAATCTTGAGTAACATTATACAAGCGTATAATGCCATTATCATGCCCAGAAGAAATAATTTCATTATGATAGAATAATTTATGGTGCATTGATCCCTTTCCTTGATAAAGATCATCAGATCCTTCTATATATTTTCTATATCCAAATGAAGAAGTATTTTTTGAGACAAAAGATAACGATATATCACGAATCTTTGGTGATAGCCATTCAAGTGATGCTGGAAGTGATTTTAAGGAATTTAAAAAAATGCCATCAGGATAACTTAATAATTCTATTTCTCCAGATGCTAAAATAAGCATAATCATTTCAGTATTATAATTTCCAAGATATAGAGGAGATATTTTTGGAAAAATACAGATATTGACGACATTGCTTGATAAAAAGTGTGATAGAGCAAGATGTTGTTTAGGCTTACTATAATAATCACTAAAAACAGTCGTTGATGATGACATTGAGGGAGATTGCCCAAATTTCAAAATGTTTAATTCTTTGGAATCTTTATTATTTAAATTCCCTCCAACTATAAAAACAGTTGTATTTTCAAGATCATCATTGCAATTCCATAGGATAAAGAAAATTGGACTGCGTGTATATGCAATCTGAGACGTATCACTTTGTGTTTTCTCTCCTAATGAAATGTCTATTCCAACATCATCCAATGTACGTACATGTAAAGGATGTTTATCAGATTTTGTAGACCAAAATGCAAAACAACCATTTTGATGAGAAGTAAGAAAATGAGAGCCATGTGGTGCCCATGATAAACTTGTTAATTTTGGTCTAGAAATCACAACTTTTCCTGATGAGCCAGTTTCTGGCATTTTTTGAGGAATTTCTAATTCAAAAAAATTTATAGGCACATTTTTTTTAATAGAATATAATACTGCACCATCTGAATATCCGATTAAAATCATTCCAAGATCTTTAGGATGAATTTGAATAGATATAATAGGAGATACATATGATTTAGATGGTACATAATTACAATTTTTTTGGCGCAATTTTTCATATCTTTCTGAATATAAATTACCAATTTTATATGGAGCAATAGATTCTCTATCGATATCCCAGACATCAATTGTTCCATCTTTTAGTCCAATAAATAGCCAGTCAATAGACGGATCTGTTCCGACACATGTTACAGCTCCTCGAATAGAATGCACAGCTGTTGGCATAGTTGATGCTTTATCTAAAGACCAAGAATATATATTATTTATAGAATCAATAGCAATAAGAAAATTATTGTGAAGAAGTAATTGCCGAATTAATAAATGTTTCGGAAGACTATATTGAACTTTAACATTTCTTTCTTTAAATATATATATCTTTGAATCAAAAGTTGCTAATAATCTTAAATCTCAAATAAATAATCTCATAGCTATCTATATTACCTATAGCAAGAAGAGATTGAATGGCATCAAATGTTGCAAGTCGTATACCACTAGAAACACCATAACTAGATAACTTTGCTATTTAGTCATCTTTTTTAACAATCTAAAAAAAAAACCTCATCACATAAAAAAGCCTCTCCATATTTTGTAGGTTCTTGTGTATTTTTATGGCTAATTCTTTTATCTTTTGCGAAAAAAGACATCTTGTACAAAATTAACCTATTTTAACCGTTTTTTCACATTTTATTTTGCTTAAATTCAGAGTAAGTTATAAATTGTAGTAAAAAAGGACAATTAATACTTCTTATAAATAAAAAAAAAAAGATCTTAATGGCTTTTTTAAGTTAATTAAAAAAATCTTTTTTTTTGACGTTATAAACGTAGTTAGAAAAAGTTAGGATAATATATATATATATCTATAAAAAATTAAATAAATTTAGATAAATTAAAACATAATTATATTTCTTAATATTCTGAAACGAAATATTTCAATTTCCTTGTATTTTTTTAAATATAATTTACTCAAATATATACATATATAACTAATTTTTTGTAAAAAAAATAAATATTTATAATTCTTAAAAAAATACATAATTCAGACCTATTTTTTGTTTTCATATATATTTCAGCTATTAAATCATTATTTTATGTATTTTAAATATTCAGTCTTTTTCTCGTTTTATTTGCATGAAGATCGAACATCAAGCATGAACCACCTCTCATGAAAATTTATTATGTTTTTTATAAATACATTTAAATTAATTGTGCCTATTCTCCCTATATTAGTTTTTTATATTCTTATAAAAAACAAAATGAATTCTTTTAAAAATAAAATATATTGATTTTGAAGGATTTCTGAATGATATTCATTCAGAAATATGCATAAATCGTTTAGTAATGACTAAATAAGTAATGGTTATGCTCTAATAATGGATTTTTTTGGGTTTTGGAGATTAAATAAAAGAATTTTTGAATAAAAGGTTGTAGTGGTTTTTTTCTATTAATTAGTATAATTTATAATATATATTGATATTTGAAAATGGGATTTTCAAATCAATCAGAAGATTTAAATACAGGGGAAAGAAAGATTGTGTTTCATTGGAGACGGCATCGAAGATGTTTGGATGTGTATATCAAAAAAAAGAAGTTGAAGCAATGCGATGAGTTTTTAAGGAAACATTTAAAAGATATAAAAAATACAGAAGAAACGAATAATTTAAAGCAGAATTGTTTGGATATGGTTAAAATTCCAATTGAAACAAAGACAAATTTACTTCAAAATAATATATCAATGAAAGAAGCACTAATATATAGTTCTAAAGAAATTTGCGAATGGTTATATCAAAATGAATTTAATATTGAAAATCAAAAGATTTCTTTTGATAATAATATTTTTAATGGATCATTATTAAATCCTTTTAACTGCTTTCGAATAATGGAATTTCTTCCTTTTGAAAGCCAAAGAAAAAATTTAAAGCTTTATCATACGATAAATATACCTTCAAATTATAATACAATGGATAATAATGAAAAATATTATCTAAAGGATATGAAATTATTTATTCAAAAAAACCCCTCATTAATATGCAAAAAAGGAACTGTTGAGTCATTGATTATTTCATCATTAATAAAATTACATGAAGATAATAATCAAAAATTAATGAAATTTTATATTTTTTGGAATAATAGCTTCAGAAATAATAATGATCTTAAAATGGAAGACTTTCATAGATTTGAAAAAACAAATAATTTACATAAAATGTTAAAATATGATGAATATACAGAAAATTCATGGAATAATTCTTCGATAATCTTATTTGATAATGATATGGAATTGAATTTGTTGAATGAATCTAAATTTCTGACATCAAGTTTTCATCAAAAGGAAACATACAATTCCGAAGATTTATTAGAAGCATTTAGAATACCAGAATATTTCGAGTTCGGGCTTTCTGATTCTTCTATTGATAAAAAATCTATTTTTTATGTTATTAATGATTATGATGAGGAATTTTCTTTTTACATCTCACTTATTTCAAAAACTGATCAATTTCAAAATTCTAATTTTTATAAAACAGCATTTCATAAAAGTAAAAATGTTAAGAAAAAATCAAGTTTTTTATATAAAAAAAAATATCTGAGTTATTATTTTAATATCTATTGGAAATTTTTTAGATTTTTTCATAAGAAAATTACATCTATGGGTTTTTCTAATTCTAAAGATTACCAAAATGTTATATAAGTAGTTTATGTTTTTTATCATATGCTAAATAATTTAGTGTAAATGCAATGTTTTGAATAAGGAGACCAAATCTAATAAATCTTTAAATAATATTAATACTTCAAAAAAATTAAATTTGATATTGTCAAATATTTTTAACACGTTAACAGAAAATTGTAAAAGTTTATGGATACCAAAGATTATTACTTTAAAGAATCGTGAATTTACCCTAAAACTGACTAAAATAGTTCAAATTACTAGAGATAGACAAACATTTATAATTGTTGACTTGACTAAATATATAAATGCTATTGACATTAGAAAACAGTTATGTAAGAAACTTGGAATTGTAGAATCATGGTCTAAGTGTCGTATTTTTATTATTGAAATTTATAACAATGAATATGGTTAAAAACATTTTTTTAGAAAAAAAAAACATTTTTAATATATATACTAGAAGAAGAATTGAATGACGAAAAATTAGTTTTGGCAAGATTTTATGCTGATAGTCTTGGAAGTTTAAAATTTTTTATAGAATTATCTTCAAAAGAAATCGATAAAAGGAATAATAATGACATCATTCCTGTTTATTCAACACCTAATAATGATTTTTTTAAAATTTTTTCAAATATTTTATCTAAAAAAACAGATTTGGAGTTTAATAAAATTCAACTAAATAATCCAATATCTAAGTGGAGCGATAATGATATTATATTAATTGAAGATTTAAATTATAGATTAGGTAATAAAATAAGTTATTTTTGAAACAACTGTTTATATTTAAGGAAATCAAGATTTTCATGAAAAATTAAAGGATGAAAATAAAAAAACGAATTTATTTAGCGTTTCTAAGAATGATCAAGGTATTTTGAGATATAAATAATTCAATGTATATATATGTTAATAATTTTAATAGATAATTTTTTTATAAAAAAAAATCAAAACAATATAAACATTAAGTCTGGTCCTCTATTAAATAAAGTTTTCAATTTATCAGAATATTCAAAATTCTTAAATAATATACATTATCATATTAATGACAGAAAAAAGATAAATATTAAAGAAATACAACTAAAACTAGGAAAATCCTGTATTTCCAAAAATTTTTTATTTATTTTAGAAGAAACTTTCCCTTTAAATTTAAAAAGAAAGTTAATAGAAAAATTATTTAATACCGAAAATAAATCAAATTATAGTAAGTTTAATATATAGAGAGACAGATTTTTAATTCTTTTCATAGGAAAAAAAGATGATCTAATTCTTGCAAATGGAAATGAATTGAAAAGAATTGCTTGTGATTTTAAAAATAGTTTTTTTTTTTCTACTGAATTAAACAATCAGCATTCTTATTCATATGATAAGAACATTTATGGTTTTTTATTTAATAAGGAAATTATTCAGAAATTATTAAATATTAAATTTTCTATTACAGAAAATATTTCAATAGCTGATATTGATTCTTATGATAAAAATATCTTTCGAACATATGGATCATCCGAAAATTCATGCAGCAAAGAAAATATTATTTCTTTTAATAATGAACTTGGATCAAAAGAATTATTTCCAGATTTTTTTAACTTAAAATTAAATATTCCTAGAAGTTTTTTCGAAGATAAAATGATATCTAATATTAAAACGTTTTCTGATATAAATAGAGAATCAGCATTTAAAGAATTTATTGATTTATCTGATGACAATTCTGTTTCTATTGGTGGGATAGAAAATGAACAAGAAATGTTTTGGGCTGTAAAACCAAAAAAAATTGCCGATAAAATAACTTCTAATGAATTAAATAATTCAGATACGAATTACTCTTCAAATTATAAATCAGAAAGAAATACTCCATTGAATACGCTAGATATAATTAATATATTAGATACACATAAAAAAAGAATCGTTTTTAATAAATTTTCTAAACCATCTTTAGAATCAGAAAATATTGAAAATAATTTGCATAATTCAATTTTATATAAATCATCAGTAACATTATCTAAAGATATTTTTGAGGAAAAGAATCTCTGTTATAATGATAAATGGGAAATTCGGCCATCTACTCAAGTAGTTTATGATAATTTGGAAGACTTTTTCCCAAATCATGATCTCGATAAGCCTATAATTAATCAATTGGCTGATTTTATTGATTTTTTGGGCATAGATAATATCTCAGACATATTTTTAGTGTTTTTGAGAACAATTTTCTCCGATTACAACTTTAATATTGAAAATTGCATGAAATCTATCAAAATTGTTGCAAAAGAAGCTAGTGAGTCCCAAAAAAAATATGAAAATAATATTACAAATAAAAATCCTATTCCAAGAAAAAAAAGTACAAAATTATGGGGAGTGAAGCTTCAAGAAATGAAATTGAATAAAGATAAAGATGATTACAATTTTAAAAAAACCTGTAGCATAAAGAGAACACGTATGTATTATTGTTATTATATTTATTTTAGTGATACTTTTTAGCAACATTTAAGTGGATAAAAGGTAAGTTGATTGGAAAAGGTAGATATGGAGAGGTATATTTAGCTATGAATGCAACTACTGGAGAGATGTTAGCAGTAAAACAAGTAAAACTTTATCATAATTTAGATAATCAAGACAATGAATATCAAAAAGAACTGATTAATGCTTTAAATAAGGAAATAGAAACAATGAAGGACCTTGATCATCCTAATATTGTTCAATATTTAGGTATTTTTTTACTTAGCATTCCATGAAAAATTCATTATTATTTTAGGGTTTGAATCAACTAAAACAACAATTAGCATTTTTTTAGAATATGTTTCAGGCGGGTCTATTGGGAGGTGTATTCGAAAATATGGAAAAATTGATCAACAAACAATACAATTATTTACTCGTCAAATTTTAGAAGGGTTAACTTATTTACATTCTCAGGGAATTCTTCATAGAGTAAACATCTATTCGATATTATTACTCATTTTAATTACTTTTAGGATTTAAAAACGGATAATATATTATTAGATGTTGATGGAATTTGCAAAATATCAGATTTTGGGATATCTAAAAAAAGCAGTAAATTAACATTATATATAATTAATCTTTTTTACATTGAATATAGAAGAAGTTTATGATAATGATTCTAATATGTCAATGCAAGGGACTATTTTTTGGATGGCACCGGAAGTTATACACAATCAAAAACAAGGATATAGTGCAAAAATAGATATTTGGTCATTAGGTTGTTTAGTTTTGGAAATGTTTGCAGGGAAACGTCCCTGGTCTGATGATGAAGCAATTGGTGTCATGTTTAAAGTATAAATAATCAATTTTTAGCATTTTTTTAAAAAAGTTTTATAGGTTGGAAATGAACACCTGGCTCCACCAATTCCACATGATATTCAACAAAATATAAAAAGCGATGCATTAGATTTTCTAAAATTATGTTTTATAGTGTAAATTTTTTTATATCGTTTAAAATTTTTATTTTTGTTTTTTAGTGATCCAAGTTTAAGGCCAACTGCTCGTCAGCTTCTTAGCCATCCTTTCATAAAAAATGCTGATTCTAACTTTAAATTTTCTGATTCTTCATTAAGTCAAATAATCAAATTAAATTAATCTCTTTTAAATTCTTTTTTATAAAACAAATTAATTTTATATTAAAAATATTCGAGATTCTATTTAAAATGAGAAAACTATCTAAAGTCTATCATTTAATTTTTTAGAGGAACTTCTCAGGTTAGAATAATATCTAAAAATTTATAAATTTTAATATGATAAGAATTTTAAAAAATTAACCGATAAGAGGTTCAAAAAAAAATTTAAAAGATTTTATTAAAAAATATTAATAATTATATTTATAGAAACAGAACTTGATAAGAAGATTAGTTACTAATAACTTTTTAATAAGATCTAAGAATATTTTTAATGTCTGTTAAAAAGCGAAGAAACAGAAAAACGAATATTTTTATCGAAAAAACAAATGAAAATTCAGTTCATAAAGGTAAAGGATATTTAAGATTCTTGAATATGTTAAATAGATATAGAAGAACCTTTTTTTTTCGGAACGCTTAGTTTAGAAGATGAAAAATATTTTAAAGGTGTTGAAGAAACATTGATGACACATCATTTTTCACAAGAAGGTGCCTATAATTTTTTAAATAGCGAAAAAATTTAAAATTTAAGATTATAAGTTATTTATTGATAACACATTTGCAGAAATTGAAGGAAAAGAATTAAAATTAGCAATTCATCCTTTATATTCAAAAACATTAGAAAGTTTACTGCAAATTTTATCACCAATTCAATTAAAAAAGTATTTTCAATCATTAATTGGGAAGTATGGGTATTTTTTGTTATTTAATTAATTAATTTTTTTTAGTTTTAAAAGATTAATTTTTGATTGTTTTGGTTCTCATGTTTGTGAAACACTTCTTATAAGATCAGCATATATTGTTTCTACAGAGAATATATATTCTGTTTTTCAAGATAATAATGAAATACTTGTAACTATGGAAAATCTTATTTTATTTATGTGTAATGTAAAAATATTTTTATTTTTTTTAAAAAATTTACAATTTAAATCTAGGAGATTTCTGATATGCTTATGAAGTTTGCTGATCATAAATATGCTTCATATGTTTTTCGTCAATTGCTTCTTGTATTACATGGATCTATATTTCAAGATAATCTTTCGTCTAAAAGAACTACAAAAAATAAACGAAAAACACGATTACTTAGTCAGACTATTTCAACCAAACAATTAACAATGCCGGCATCATTTTTCGAAAAAAAGAAATCTATATTAGATAATATTGATACTAAATATAGCGTTACTCAAATCAGAAACCTTGCATTTAATCAATATGGGTCTCAAATTATATCTACTTTACTTTTAATTGAAAAAAGTTTAGTTGATAATGATAAAGAAAGAAAGCAGAACTTATTAGAAAAATTAATTTTTGGTGATTTTAAGGATATTTCCTTCAGATCAAATTCTTCAGAGAAAATAGAAAGTGACTCTTTTATGGAGACTCTTTTAAGAGATCAAGTTGGTTCTCATATTTTTGAATCTATAATAGAATTTTCATCTAAAGAAATTCTTTCGAAATTATATGTTATTTATTTTAAAGATAAAATTTTAAGAGTATCTAAACATCCAATTGGAAATTACGTATTACAAAAATTTATTGAGAAAAACAATAATTATAAAATATTGAATGAGATTACTGAGGAAATAGTTATGCATTTTAAAGAATTAATTGGTTTGTTTATTTATTTTCAAAGTAAATATTAATTTTCAAAGATATAGGACATATTGGTATTTTGGTTTCCCTTATTAATGTTTGTTCTCAAATAACTTTAATTAGTACTAAACTTTTAAATGTTTGTTACATTGTTAATACATATATTTATTCTAAGGATTTATTAGGTGCTTAAAGAATGTTTTGGAGGTTCAGAAACACATATAAAAAATAATATTTTTCCTTTAATCTTAAATCTTGATCCAAGAAATGAGAATAATTCTATGAAAAACTTTGAAAAAGAATTAAATAATGATAATCGTATAGTAGACCAAATTAAAGTTCAAGGGGCTCATTTGATTAAATCCCTTTTTAGTCTTCCATATGAGATGTATTACTTTTTAATTGAAAGGTTTTATTTTTTAGTATCCCTATACTTCATTAATATTTACATAGTTTTCTTTTGCAAAATAAAAAAGTAATTCTTTATTATGCAACAAATAAAATTGGATCCTGCATAGTAGAAACCATACTTAAGCTTCCCCCTTTATTAGCTTCTGATAGAAGGAAATTGTTGAATAATTTTTTCGAATCATATGCTTATCTTTCTTGTGATCCTTTTGGATCACACATTGTTGATGCATGTTTATACACATCTATAGGATTAAATAGTTATAGAGAGCGCATAGCTAATGAACTTTTGAAATCTAGAGAAATAATAGAAGATAACTATTACGGAAAAAGAGTTTGGAAAAATTGGCATATAAATTTATTTGAAAATAAATATTCAGAATGGAAGAAAAATATAAATTCTTTTGTTAAAAAAGGACTTTCAGAGTCAAAAGAGGATAAAATAACTAATATCCATATATCAGATATAGATTTTTTAAACGATGCAAATAAATATACAAGTTCTTTATTAACATTATGTAACAATAAACAGAAAGAAAAATTAGAAGATAGATTTAATAATGATCTCGAAGAAATAGGTATGTTATTTAGAAAATACAAAAAAAAAAAATTATAAAATATTATGCTCTTATTACAAAATATTTTAAATATAAAAAAATTAATTCAAATAAGCAATCATTAATGATAAAAATATATGCATCATATTATTTTTTTAATCTCTAAAATTTCAATATATTGATCATTTCTATAAAATTCTATGTATAATACTCATTTAAAAGAAACTAGCACTTAAACAATATTTATAACATAAAGATATGGCATAAAAACAAATACATATATTTAATTGATTTATACGTAATTAAAACAGCCTCTTTTTTGCATTAGAAAGACCTATTCGATTTTTCCCTAGATCATAGATAGAATAATACTAAAAATATCAGGGAATGAATATCAAATAAATGTAAAAAATACCCTACGAAGAAACACATCTCCAACAATCCAAAGAGGACCAGCAGGTGGAGGAATATCCATTCCTATAAATGTGCTTAGACACATTCCTTGAACTAAATATTGATTTTAGTTTGTAAAACTTTTTTCTTTCATAAAATACCTTTCAAAATATAATCATGAGATGATAAAGAAAAATCATGTCCATCCAAACGAAATACAATATCAGGCAAAGTACTTGTCTTGTTACAGTCAATAATATATTCACCAGTCCATAATTTAGTTGCGCCAATTGCATTATTTAAAAGTTCTGAAACGTCTATCATACATTAATTAAAAATAATTAAAATTATAACTTCAACCTGATGGCATCACAATTAAACTCGTTCCTGTGTCCAAAATAATGCCTGTATTAGAAAGTTCGATCATATCTTTTCCAAAAAAAAAAGCATCTAAATTAACTAGAAAAAAATATTAGACAAAAAATAGATAAAATTAAAAAATAATACCTTCCCAATAAGCTTTTCTACGTATTGGAATATACGTTATATTGCCATCAAAATGATTTGGATCAATGCCGCCAAATACACATTCTCCACCTTCAATATCCTTTTCAATAGTTCCTAACCAAAATGAAAAAATAGGTTCAGGAATCAACTGAAAATATTATTATTATTGTTTGATAAAAAGGTTAAAATAGTCTTGATATTTTGCAAGATTTACAAAAAATAGCCAAAAAATAATGCTAAAATCATATATAAAAGCTTTTTTTCATACCTTTTGATTAATCATGTTGTAGAAAGGTGGAACAACGTTATTAACAGAAATAGAACTATATGCAAGTCCAAGAATCCCATCAAATCTCCCAAATGCAAAGGAAAGTCCTGGCTCCGAAATAGCCTCTCCAAAATCCTGAGAGTGAACAATAAGATCCCCAATATGTAGTACATCTTGACTTATAAATCCCGATAAGCTACCTGAGCCATATCGGATTTGAAATTCTGTTCCATTTGCTAAATATGTTGATGATAAAGATGAATCATATCTTTTATGTAGAAGGCATGCAATAGACGTACATTTCGATGACGGAACCCATAAATTAGATGATCCTGTATCTAATACTACCTATATATTTGACAAATATAAATCTATAAATTCCACTTATATTTTATTAAAAACACTCACTTTAAATGTTTGCGGAGGCGTTCCGAGCTTAATTTGTGTATAATCTAATCCTTTTTAATACTCATTATTTTTCTGCAAAATCACATACATTGTGCATTAAACTGCAAAAAATTACTTAAACTTTATAAATAAAATCCATACATACAAAGTTAGTCAGTGAAACTTCATGCAAATCATCCCTTGGTTTTTCCTTATCTACTATATGAGATGTATCTATTTTCGAGAAATGGCTCATATATTTCTCCACGAGCGCTGAAACCTGCACGGTTAAGGGTATCTAATTTTTCGTCAATTAATTATAAAAAACACTTTTTATACCTTCTTATCCTCATTATTAGGCTTTAATTTTATAAGCTTAATCTTTTGAAAACTTGCTAAGGCTGTTAAAGCCCATCCAAGTATTAAAACTTTTAACAACAACATTTTATAAGTTGATATTGTTTCAGCGGCAACCCTTAATGCATGTTTAACCCTAATCTTATTATGATGACTAATATTAGGGTCTAGTTGAACATGGCGTAATAGGGATAGGGATAGGGATAGGGATAGGGATAGGGTTGTATAATATACAATTTACAGAGAAATAAAAAACAAGGTAAATGACTTGTTTTTAAAGAAATATTTAGATATTTAATTAAATATTAATTATAAAACAGTCAAATTTTTACCCAGCAAATTTTTAGTCAAATTTTTATTTAACAAATTTTTAATATTTTTCATACAAAAAGTATTAAAAATTTGTTAAAATATTTTTTACAAATTTTTTTTGGTTATCTTTTATAGATTTTTATATTTTTTAAAAAATGTCATATTTTCTGGTTATTGTCGGTACTAAAGATAATCCTCTTTTTCAAACAGAATTCGGTACTCGTAAAGCAGGTGGAGATGGAGTAGCTCGTGTTTGTTACTATATTTTTATTTAAATATTTTATCTTATAAAGTTTTTTATATAACAGTTTCGTGAAGAAATTCGACATCGGAATCAATTTGTTGTTCATGCAACATTGGATCTCGTTGAAGAGCTTCAATGGGTTTCATCTGGAATGTATGATTTTTGTTTTGTATATTAAAGATTTATATGAATAGGTATATGAAATCGCTGGATACATTTCATCAAGTAATGGTTTCCGCATTTTTAACAGCAGGAAGTAAGTTTTTTTTTTCTTTATACATAATTGAATTTAATTATAGATATTAAATTTATGTTACTTCATGAAATTCGTAATGAAGATGGTATTCGGAATTTTTTTCAAGAAGTTTATGATTTGTATACAAAATGTTTAATGAATCCATTTTATGAAGTAGATATGCCAATTACATCATTTGCATTTGAACAAAAAGTAAAATCTATTGCAAAAAAATATTTGTAAAAGTATTAAATGTCAAAAATATCAACAAATTCCCATATATCTTTTGATGTTGAAACTGAATATTTATTAAAAAGAAGAAAAAAAAATAGTTAAATAAAACTATTTAATACTTGTGAGTAATCTCTAATATTTATTATTTAATACAGAATAGTTGTAGATTTAAGATTTGAAATAGAATTTTATTTATCATTTTATTAAATATTTGTTTATTTAATATTTAATGATTTTCATTATAGAGCAAAGTAAAAGTATAAAATCGCTATTAAATAACTTAATCAAAATCAAGTTAATTGATGTTGATGTTTGGACAAATTGGTTATACAGACATATGGATTACTTTTCATTGTGCATTATTAGAAGATATTTTAAGCGCGCTATCCTTTTTTTTCAAGTGATTATATATAATTTTTTTGAGAGGTTTTTTGCGGAATTCTAGACATTCTTCCTTTAGACATTTCACTGTAAACTGGAATTGCTTAGGGCATGGTTTGTCTTTTAGGTGATTTTGTTGGATTCATATCAAATATCATTTTTTTAATAGAAAGGCGTCGAAAAGATTTAACTGTATCATTTTTTGATCGATCTGTTGTCTTTTGTAGATTTGTTTTTGATAATGATGTATCTGATGTATAAGATGGTTTATAAATCTTTGTACTAACTGGTGTTACAGGTTCATGCAAATGATAGATCAATGATTCATTTTTAGACAATGGTTCAGAAGATGCTAGCGGAATTTCAAAAGATGTATATGGAATTTGAGATTCTGGTAATGGCATTATGAACTTATTCTCTGATGATTTTAATGTTTCTGATATTTGTTTATGATTCTCGTTTGACTTGGATATTATAGTAGGTGAAATCGGTTGTTCTAAAAATTTTGAACGTAATAGAAGTGGTTTTATAAATATGCGACATGATTGAAGACGTGATTCAAGGTTCTAAACGTTATTATATGCTTTTCTCTAGATAAAAAGAGTCAATACCTTAACATGTTTTGACATTTCTTGCATCATTCTAACTGAATGTGATAGTATATGTTTTTCCTTTATTTTTGAGATAGGTATTTTAGGTTTAGGACTAGAAGACAGATCCTCTGAAATCTTTTCTTTCTCTACATCTTCTTCTATTGATGTTGTTATTTTCTGATTAGATATATCGACACGGCGTGCTGGACGTAATAATAATGCTCTAGATATCATTTCTTCTTTTTCTGCCTGTACTTGTTCAAGTTTTTCTTTCACTAATAAAAGTTCAAGTTGTGTATCACGCAATTCATCTTTTAACCGTTGATGTTCAATTTCAAGAGATTTTTGTGATGCTAATTCTGCTTCAAGAAATACATTCTCCTCTATTATTTTATTATATTTTATTTCTAACTCTTCAAATGATGATTGAACTACCCTAAAAAAATTAATAAAAAATATAATAAATCATTTTTAATACCTTTCCTTACGTTCCATTGCATCATTACTTAATTCAAGATCTGTTATTTTTGATTTATTAAGTCGATGTGCTTCTCGAAGTCTTTCAATTTCTTTTTCCATAGCTGTTGTAGATGCTATATTTTCTGATTGTATTTCTTCATATTTCGTCTATTTTTAAAACTATTAATTAAGTAACTTTTATTTAATATTCTAAACCTTCCATTTTTCTACTTCTTTCTTTAAACATGTATTCTTTTCCTTTAATATTTCATATTGTTTTTCCGTATATTCAAGTTCTTGTTCTAATGCATCTTCAAGCTCTTTACTTGTCATTTTAAAGTCATCCAATGCAGTACGCGCTTCTATAACAGCTTTTTCTAGTTCTTTGCATCGTTCTTGATAAACTTGAATATCCCTAAAGCCATATAAATATATTATATTCTCGTACTTGTTATTTTATGATTTTACATCCTATAATTGTCCTTCAAATCACTTATATCGCTATTTACATATGCTGAATCTTCTTTTTTATTCATATTTTCTCCTTCATTTAAGGTTTGAATACTTTAATATGTAATATTTCTATTATTCAGAAAATCTTATTAATTTACTTAAAAATACTGACTTTTTTACCGGAAAAAAGCACTAATCTAGTTAATTGTTATCTTATAAGCTTATAAAAAGGTAAAATACTGTTTTCATAGTGTTTTATATATGTATTTTTATCATATTTTTTTATCAAAAATTTCTGAAGATTGCTCCCTAATCTCAACTCATAATCTTAACTTAATGAAATTAAGTTATAAAATTATTATGGAAATAATAAAAAAAAGGTATATATTTCTTTTAATGAATTAAAGATTATCAATTCTTGAAAATATTTATGATTAAACAGTTTAATTTTATAAGATGCAGAAATTGGTTTTTATTTCATTTAAAGTGAATGAATATACTTAACTTTTTTATTAATTGATTCCTGTTCTATTTTTATGTATTTATTCATAAAAAAAAGTTTAATTATTGATAACAAATGGCTTGAAAGTAAAAAACATGGAATCTAAATGTACATTATTTAAAAAACTGAAATAAAACATATATGTTTACTTACAAGATATAAAAGCCATGCTTTATCAGTAAAAATAGCAGTAAAAACATAAACAACCCATGTGATATAAATTGTATAAAACATATATGCAACAAGTCCTTTTTGATTTAAATCTTCAAAAGAATGAAGAGATTTTTTCTCAGATTTAGGTGAACCCATAGACCATAGTAAAAAAGATAAAGCTGTAGAAAGAAAGCATGAGATAAAGTAAAAAATAAATGTATATTTCGTTGTTGAAGGGTAATAATAGATTAAACGTATTGAAATAAAAAATAAATTGCTTAAAATTCCGCCAATTTTTAATGTTCTTATAGCAGTCTTATTTTTTCGTGCTTGTTTTTTTAATGATGCATTTGCCTAATATTAAAATATGTTAAAATTATAGAATATCTTAAAAAATTGTTAGAATTCACCATATTCTTAATCTTTTTCCCTGTCAAATTAATTATCGTTAAATAATTTTTAAAAATATTATTAAAAAATAAAGGTTAATTAAAAAAACATAAAAAAATTTACAAAATTTAAGGGTTATAAGTTGTTTATGAAAAAAATATTTTATAAAACTTAAAAATGTTTAAGTTGAACAATGATTTGTTTTCGTAATTTATATAATATTTTTGTATTATTTTTCCCAACTATAGCAATATTTTAATGAGAATTTTTTAAAACGAAGATATTATGAAAAATAAAGATGTATAAAATCATTTGTATCATATTAAAATCTGTTTTGGTATTTTTTGAATAAACCATCTTTTAAAGGTAGTTTTTCTTGATAGGTAAGCAAATGATTAAGACTATTTAATAATTTTTCGTTGGGAAAGTATTTTAATGATTTCATTTGTTTCTTGGTCTGACATTTCCTCCAAAACTCTAGAGAATCCATTTAGGACACTTGCTTTATTAAGTTTAGCCATATCTACAATCTCATCAGATATTGTTGTTTTTTCAAATTCTTTAATTAAAGATTCTATATGTTCCTTATTTTTTTCAAGAAGTAAAACAATTTCTCTATCGTTGTTATCCCAATCAAGATCATTATTATAAAGTTGAGATATCCATTTTTTTAAAATTTCAACGCTTTGACGAAAAGAAAGCTTCTTATTAACCTTTTTTATCTTTTGTATTGCGTAATGCTCATTTAAACGCCTACGTAGTCTCCAATAGAAAAATCGTCGGGATTGGGACCATTGTAAACACTGTCTAATTGCACCTTTACGTTCCATTCTGATAGGAAGATCATGCAAATCTGCATATTCAATACTTATTTGATGATAAATAGGAAGAAGTAGTTTTTCTCGTTCATCTATTTTAGTTTTTATTTCAGTTAATTGATCTTGAGATAAATTAGGATTTTGCAGTTGTTTTTTTAGTGAAGCATAAATAGGATCTAAACGAGACATACATCCTAATAATTTCTCTTTACGAAATTTTATTTCAACAAGTCCTTCTGGTTCTAAAATACCAGCACGAGATTTTTCATCTGCGTACATTTCCATCATATCTTCATTAACAGTAGGATCAATGACAACCCATGATCCTCCCCTTAGTTCACAATATGGGGGTATGTAAATGAATATTGGTTGCTTGTATTTTGAAAGAGAATCTACAATATATGATCCATATTTTAATACTTCATTAAACATATCTCTTTGACCACCAGAAAATCCTCGCCAATTTGCCAAAATAAAAAGAGGAAGTTGTTCTCCATAATTAAAATCATTAATTGCTTGTGCTGTTTTAAATGCGGAGTTTGGATACCAAACATTTCCTGCTTCTATAATGTTTTGTTCATAAGATTCAGGATTAGCTGGATCTGCAGGTAAAGTATTTTCTATAGAGCGAGCTTCCACTGCAATAATACCTATAGGAATCCCACCTAATCTTGCACGTCCAATAACAACTGTCTTAGCCCATCCGCTTAAAGTTTCATGAAATGATTTTCTATCAAAGAGTCCACTAAGAAAGCAATTATCATCTTCTTTTCCTTCAATAAGCCATCGAACATCATAAGCACTTTTAGGCGGAACATATTCTACATCTCGATCCCATGAATCTAAAGAAGGCAAAACTGGGACAGGATTATCTTTTTTGTCTGGAACAAATGATAGCCAGTTCATTATTTTAGAAATTCCATTAAAATCATTTTTTGCTGTTAAATGGGATATTCCATTTTTATACATAATTTGGGTACCACCTAGCTGTAAATTTGACGAATACACTTCACAGCCTAATAATTTATTGATCGTAGATATTCCTGTTAAAATAATAGGATGACCTTCTACTTGAATTGTGCGTTGGCCTAATCGAACGAGATATGCGCCAATTCCTTAGATATTAAAATAAATAAAATCAGATTCATCACTACTTTACCTACGGATCTGCATGTAACTAAAGTTATAGTAAAGATATCTTCATAAGTACGAGATGTTTCTCCAGCAATAAGTCCCGCTCCTCTTAAACATTCAACTCCTAATACTTCTTCTGAACCAATTATGGCTGTAATTTTATATCTTTCTTCTCCATTTTCGATAATTTTTTCTGAAATAAAATCTTCTCTATTATTTTCTTCGAATTGTTTGTATATTTCTGGTGTAAAGTATAAATATTTAAATCCTTTTTCTGGATTTTTTGGATCATTCCATGCTACTGAAAAAAGCGATATAAGCTCTTCTGAAAGTCCAATACGTGCGCCAGAATTAGCAGATAAATATATTCGTGGAATTCTCAATTGACGAGCTAAAAGAGTAGCTTTAAAGAAATATTGGTCTTCATCTGGTCCAAATGTGCCTGTCCTAAAGGTAATATCATTAGCAATAAGAATGAATTGACGTCCTTGTGGATATTCTGGAGTTTTTGCTGTAACAAGCCATGCTACCATCCCTATAGAATTTGTTCCAGGCTCTCTAATAACTTCTTGAAGCTGAAATTTATCATCCATCACTAGCTCTTTAACTTTTAGAATATCATCCGGAATTTTACAATTATTATTGATTTGAATGTATTTTTGCCAAGATATTCGTACAGCTTGGCGGAAAATTTCAGGAAAATCATATACTATAAGAATTTTTATAAGTAGCATTATGAAAATATTATATTTAAAATACCATATGTCGTGCCTATAAGATGTGCTTTGTATCTTTTTGGTTGAAGCCATTCTTTAGTTGCATATGGAGTTGTAATAGAACGAAGATGCATAGATCCCTAAAAAGAGTTAATATATATTATACAATTTTTGTTTGAACAGACAGGTGGACCAATAGATTGAAAAATATGATGACCCTTGCTAGTTTTTACTTCTGTATAAAGTTCAAAACATACAACAAAACCAGATACTATGATAAATTGGTTAAAAATAGACAAAAAAATAATCCCAAACCATTTGAAATAATAATTCGTAACGGAGAAGCCAATCCAGTCAAAGAATCGGTACATATAATTCGTATTTCCGCGGAAGTTATTCTCAATCTCCATAAGCGCCGCCCAAATCGCTCAATAAATCCTCCTAATGTTGGTTCAACTTCGTCTGGGGCTAAATTAAAAATCTATATATAGTAAGCTTATAATAAAATATATTTTTCTAATATACGGGAACGAAATTTATAAAAATATGGTTTAAATCCTAGATTTGTATTAATAAACGAATATAAAAACATATAATAAAACAGTATATTCTATTCCAATTATTTCTAGTGCATCCAAAATATCGCCTATTAAATGATTTGTCTCAGATATTAAATATTCGCTATATTTTTTGTTGATAAGTTAGCAATTCATAACTAAATAATGTACCTTGTTGGAATTTCATTTGTTAACTTTCCCGGTCTAACTAACGCTCGAGCTTAATATCATTAAAAAATAAGTAAGAATTGTAGGAATACGTACTAAAAAACCGCTTGTCTCCTGGCGATTCTTTGGCTACAGCTCTATATATATGAATATTTCTATTTCTTGTAAAAACAGGTTCAATATGGAAATTTGATAGTCTTCCAAGTTCTAATTGAAATGCCAAGGCTGGCTCAATATGACGTATACTTTTATCTTCTGCGTATACATTTGCAATTTCGTTAGAAAGGCCTTCTAACTTTCGAAAAGTATAATATAAAGGATATGATGATTCATTTTGGCGACCACAAACAAAAGTAATACGTCTCACTTTATGAATAAGAAGTAATGGAGTATGATCTTTAACTATTGGGCATAAATGATCAATTATTGCTTTGTCATCCAGATTTTCTATGTTGCGAATTAAAACATTAAGAACATGAATAAGTTGCTTCTTTGATGTTGAATTTTTTAATTCGTGAGGTGAGTCAATCTCAATATCTTGTTCATATTCATCTGTATTTTCTTTATCAATGGGCAATTTTTTTAAAGCTCGTGGAAGTTGATCATTTATCTGACCTAATGTTTCTGTAGGTACAATTACTCCGGCTCTTGGAGGTTTTGAGTCAGATATTAGAAGTGACATATCACTAATAGATGCAACCCTTTTAAGTTTCCTGTTTTCTGTAAATTCTGTAGATATTGATGGCAATTGAGCAGCTGTACATGCATTAATTCCCTGACTAGTAGATGATCTTAACTGAAATTTCCATGAAATCATAAACGGTCCATCTGATTCAACATGATATTCTAAGCTTAGAAGTGAGTATGCTCTATACGCTCGGCGAACATAAACTTCAAGTGCAGCTAATGATATCCATGGGTTTTTATGCGCAAAAAAAAATGTCAAGACATCAAAAACAGCATATTTTGAATCAATTAATTCCCTCAGAATATCAAGAACAGGAGTTCTATATTTCAATTGATTATTATTTAACTTTTCCTCAATAGATGATTGAAGAATTTGTTTCATCTGAGAAATTCTTTCACCAAAAGATGGAAGTGAACATTGAATTAAAATTTCTCGAGCTTTTAAAGATACCTTAACTGTATCTCTAGACTCCAGGTCAATAAGTTTCCGTAAAGATGGCCCTAAATATTTCGAAATATCCTCCGATGGACATGTCTTAATAATATCTAATATTGCTGAAATTAAATCGTTTTTTGCGTTTACCTTTGAATGTGACAATACTTATTTATTAGGAATTATAAAATAATGTAAAATGATAGCTACCTATTTCAAGTACTTTATCTATATTATCTTTATTTTCATCTCTTAATCGTAAAATAACATCCTCTTCTCTAATATTCTGTAAATTAAAAAGACTTTCTATTTTCCAATATTCTTCTAGAAGATTTGAAAGTACTAAATATTTATGAACTTTCATTCCATCTTTGTATTTTAATGCAATTTGAAAAAGACTATTTAATTTCATTTTTAATATCTCTATATCATCGGATAGTATATTTCTTCTAATAAATAAATCAAATTTGCGTAATATTTTTTTTCCAGGGAATTCTTTATGTTTTGAATAATTCTTTTTAACAATGTCTAAAAGATGTTCACCTAATTTTTCTGGAATATTAGATGATAATGCAGAAAATTGAAAATGCCATTCTCCATAAGGCAACTCTGGATCTTCTAATACTTCTATCAATTCTTTTAAAGTAGAAATAATCAACAATTGGTTATCATAACCTTGTAATATGTTTTTTAAAATTCTAATTAACTGAACAAATCTTTGAGGAGGCTTATTTCCAATGACTTGCGGCAATCCCCATGATGGTAATGAATCTTCAAAAGGTTTAGCATGCTTTATACGAGATGGATCATCCATTGTTAAAATTCCAAGAATATCGCCTGTTTCTAAAGTAGCTCCTGGCTGTTTTATTAATTGTACTATTCCATCTTCTGCAACGGTGAGTGATAAATACATCTATTTTAGATCAGAATTTATTTCCAAAACCATGAAACATTTTACTTTCATGACTTCAATTTCTGCAAATACTTGTCCTTTTTTTACATGTTCTCCATTCCCCACTAGATATTTTACAAGTTTTCCCGGGGACGGTGACCTTAATTGTGTAGGATCATTCTCCTGTTCTAATATACATGTTTTTCCATTAATACTCATTGTTGTATTTGTTTTATTATCTGACCAATATACCGTATGAGATTTCCCACCCAAAAGTATCAAAAGACCGCCGCCACTAAGACGTCTTGTTTCAACTGTACATTTCGAGCCATTGATAAATAAATTGTATGAATCAGATGAACTACGTGTCACAGTAAATTTAAATTTCTCTTTTAGATAAATAAAATCTACTGAAAATACTGTTTTTAATGTTTCACGACTTAAAACTTGACCTTTTTCAAGACATGTTTTATATTCTAAAATTCGTTCTTTGTTTGCTACATATGCTTTGATAACCGCACCACAGACAATTGCAACCATTTTATCTGGACGTTCTAATGTAAGTTTTTGAAGAATAAGTGTATCTAACCATTCTATAATGACAATAAACATGAATACATATATATAATTTTTCAATATACCTGTAGTTATTGTATTTTGTTCGAAATCATATGTTTCAAGCAATTTAATTAAATATTCCACTGTTGTACGAAAATCCCCTCTAATGCTTAATTCTTTAAGTGCGATTACCATATGTTTTCTGGATTCAGCACGGTTTTCACCAAATGCAAAAATGTGGCCAAACTGAGAATCACTATAGTTATGAATACCACCTGGAGCGGCAACACTAAAATATCCCCATGCATTTGAAGATGAACGAAAAATAAGTTCATGCATCATTCCGCTAGATGGTTTAAAGCCTTCTCCTGGATCTTTTTAAAATATTAATACCAATTAAATAACATAGATAAGTTTTACCTTCAGAAGTAATACGACATGCAGTTGTATGACCTTTGGGTTGAGGCCTTCGTTGTGTTTTTAATGATTTAGTTTTAGAAAAATGAAAATCAATTTCTGTAGTTGTCCAAGGATCAAGACCATAAAATAATCTTATATCTTTAATCTTATGTAATGATAACCCCATTGCAATTTGTAGTTGTGCAGCAGGAAGATTTACACCTGTTATCATTTCTGTTGTAGGGTGTTCTACTTGCAATCTAGGGTTAAGTTCTAGAAAGTAAAATTTATCATCAGTGTGGCTGTATAAATATTCTACTGTTCCCGCCGAAACATAACCAACTATTTTCCCTAGAGCTATAGCAGCTTTTTCCATAGAAGAAAAGGTATCTGGCTTTGCAATTGTTACTGGTGCTTCTTCTATAATCTTTTGATGTCTTCTTTGTACAGAACAATCTCTACCAAATAATGAAATAATATTTCCATATTGATCTGCTAAAATTTGTACTTCTAAATGCCTTGCATTTTCTGCCAATTTCATAATAAAGATTGGTGAGCCAGGAACTTCAGCCATTACTTGCAAAAATGATGATTTAAACTCTGATTTATCTTCAACTTTTCGAATTCCTTTGCCCCCGCCTCCTCTACTTGCTTTAATAATGATAGGAAATCCTATTTCAAGAGCTTTTTCAAGACCTTTTTCCGGAGTATTTATACATGCATCATGATAAACACTATCCTCAATAGAAATAAGTCCGCAATTTTTGTCAATGTCTACTTTTTTTAGATTACTTCCACTCCATAACATACAAGGGATATTAGCAGATTGTGCAATAATAATTGATGATATTTTATCTCCTAACGATCTCATAGAAGATGCAGATGGTCCAATAAATACAATTTTATTTTTGCTTTGAGATAACATTTCTGGTAAACGGGGATTTTCTGAAGCATGACCCCTAATAATATAAATTATTAAATATGAAAGAAAAACACTACCATCCTGCCCATACTGCATGAACTCCCATCCTAAGGGAAAATAGATAAGTTTATACACTTTTTCTTGATTATTTTTACATACCGTTCTGCTATATCAACAATTAATTCTACATTTGCATAATTCTGTATAAATATTAGTAACAATAATAATATAATAATATACAATACATTATTATTACTTCCTCCTGGAACTTCCACATATTGTTCTGCCATTTTAATATAATCTGCATTGACTTTAAGATCTTCTGGTGTTGCCATAACAGTAAATTGGATTGCTCGTTCATTATTAAATGTTTCATATGCCCTAAAATAGATAAAACGAATTATTAGAAATAAATATATCTATTACCATTTCCTAATAGATCTTATCTCCTTGACTGCTGCAATTCCATTATTAGCAATTAAAACTGATGTAATTACTGTGTGTCCTCCATGTGCTGCAACAAATTCCTTAACTGGACCTGGAGACGCTTTTTCTAATGAATTCCCTCCTTCATAACATGTTATTTAAAGGTTTGTTTCTTTTCCATTTTGCCATTTTTTACCTAAAAAATTAGACAAAATTTCCACTCTATTTTTCATCTAATTATTAAAAATAATTATATTATAATTTCCTTAAATTCAAATAAAGATATAAATATCTATTTTAATCAAAAGTATACTCTTTTCCTTCACAAAAAAAGGCTGAATATCTTTAAATAATTAAAGTTGATAATGATTTCCCATTAAAAATATGAAAAAATAACATATTTTGAAATGAAAAAAAACAATTAAATAATAATAGTATTTTTTTCTTTTTTTTTCATAAAATTTCCCGAATTTTACTCTTTTATAATCCTTATTTTCCTAAAAAAAATTATTTTTAAGTCGGTTGAACTTTATCGTTTCGACATTGAATTTTTTGTCTTAAATATATAGAAAAATAAAGGTAAAAAGTAACCTATTCATAAATTAATATATTTATCTTAAAAAGATCTAATCAGTTTAAAAAAACAGCCTTAAAAACCCAATTAAAAATAAATTTTATTTCAATATATGAAAAAAGTTTATTTTATATATAAAAAAACTTTTGAATAGTCTTTCCACGAGGAAAAAAGTCGTTTTCCTTCTTAGAATTATCTTTTTATTCCTTTTATTGAAAATATTTCTTTTTCTACTATATATCACGTGACTGTTACTGTAGTAACCTATGTTTATGTACGATTTATTAAAAATTGAGGTTTGAAAATTTATATATAATGGAAGAAAAAAATGTGAGTTTATATGTTTTTTATGAAAATATTCTGATCAATTATGTTTTTTTGTAGCAATCAAGACTTCCCCAGCCCTTGTCGAGAATGGTATCTCCGATAACTAAAATAAAGACAAATCCTCTGGCTGATTCTACATCATCAGTTAATATTATTCCACAAAGAAATGTCTCAGGAACCAAGAGATCTCTTAAAGATTTAGAAATTAATGTGTCTGATAATTCTAAGAAAAAAAATACAACTGTTTCTGAGAGAAAAACCCTTGTAGAACGGGCAGTTGCACCTCGAAAGCCTTCTGGGAGTAGTAATAATAGATCGTCTGTCAATGAAAATAATAAATCTGTATCTGTTTATCAAAAGACTTGTCAACCTGGCCTTAGTCGTTCATTAAATGGGGGACATGTACGATCTGCTTCGACTCTTGGAGGCAATTTACCCAATACAATGTTGAATTCTCAAACGATACAACGATCAGGTACTAAAACATTAGGAGATAGACCTAAACGTCCTGCTTGGGATACTAGAGGTAGACTTGAGGATATGGAGATTGCATATTCTGAATTAAAAGAACAAATCTCTATTGGGAATGCAGAAAAGGATGCAATTATTACTGCGCTTGAGAGTGAACGTCACAAGTGTAAGTTTATTTTTTTCTTTCTAGCTGTTTTTTCATAGAGATTAGTAAATGAATTAGAAGTTGTTAAAAAGAGTTTGATGAATGAATTAGAAGAAGCAAGATCCTTTTTATTAACACGAAAGCTGGAAATGGATGAGCAATTGAGTAAATTAAGATGTGAAAATTTAGAGCTTGAAAGAAAACTTGATGATGAACGCCGTCAATTTAGAAATGAAATGGATGATTTTGTAAGGAAAAATAGGGATGAAATTGATTTACTCGAAAGGAAACATAGAGACGAGATTAAATCCTTAGAAAAGACATATAAAGAAGAAATTGATGAAATCAAACAAGATGGAAAGCAGAAATTGGAATCTCTAGTAAGTTATTATAAAAATGAAATGGAAATGATGGAGAAAAAACATACAACTGCAATAGAAGAAGCATGTTCTCAAAGCATTCTGGAGTTGCAAAAATTTAAAATAGAGAGTGCGCTTGAAAAACAAAAAGCCGATCTGGCATTTGATGCAAAAGAAAGAGAATTACAGATGACTAAAATATCTTTGAATGAGGTCACTTCTGATCTTGAAAGGGAAAAAATCTTAAATGTTTCACTTCGTGTAAGTTGTATATATTTTTAATTTTATTTTTAATTTTCTTTAGAATGAAATTAATGAAAAATGCGTATCCAATCTAACTCTTGAATCATCTGTATCTGTTTTTCGTACTGAGATTGGAAAATTGGAGTCCCAGATTGCCTCGCAAAAGGCCGATATTGAAGAGTTTTCTCGTTTAGCTAAAGATGCACAGGAGGAAAAAGAAATATATTGCAAAAAACTCAGAGAAGAAGAAACATTTCGTAGAAAGTTACATAATCAAATTCAAGAACTTAAAGGGAATATTCGTGTATTTTGTAGAGTGAGACCATTTTTAGAGCATGAAAAGCCTGAAAACGGTGCAGTAGATATCAAATATCCTGACGAATCAAAAGAAGGAAAAGAAATTGAGATATTTGGACAAACAGTAGAATCATCTTTGGGATCTGTGCATTCTAAAAGCTATCCTTTCTCTTTTGATAAAGTAATTAATTTAATTCTTTCATTTTTATTAAATGATATAGGTTTTTTCTCCTAAATGTTCAAATGACATGATTTTTGATGAGATTTCTCAGCTCGTGCAGAGCGCATTGGACGGGTATAATGTATGTATCTTTGCATATGGACAAACTGGTTCTGGGAAAACATATACGATGTGTGCAAAAGATGGTATGATTCCACGTGCTGTAAATCAAATTTATAATACTGCTCATGCCTTATCTGAAAAAGGTTGGTGCTATTCTATGGAAGGACAATTTCTTGAAATCTATAATGAGCATATTAATGACTTACTTGGTCATCCTGATGAATTTGATAAGAAAAAACATGAAATTCGACATGATCCTAAAGAATGCAGGACAATTGTTACTGATTTAACCACAGTTGTCCTTGATACCCCTTCTAAAGTATCTTCAATACTTAAAAAGGCTTCTAATAACCGATTTGTTGCTGCAACACATGCAAATGAGCGATCTAGTCGTTCTCATTCAGTTTTTATTCTTACACTTTATGGAACCAATAGTATAACAGGTGAAACATCGCGTGGTACTCTTAATCTCATTGATCTCGCCGGATCCGAACGTCTTTCCCAAAGTCAAAGCATTGGAGATCGTCTCAAAGAAACGCAAGCTATCAATAAAAGTCTCAGTTGTTTGGGTGATGTTATATCTGCTCTTAGTAATCCCAAGGGACATATTCCTTATCGCAATTCAAAGGTTTTTATAGCTTTCTTATCATCCATCTTGATTAATTTCTTTCATAGTTAACATATTTGCTACAATATTCGTTAGGAGGCCATTCGAAAACCCTAATGCTAGTTACCTTATCGCCATTACTTCAACATTTATCGGAAAGTCTTTGTAGCTTGCGTTTTGCGACAAAGGTTAATAATACTGTGATTGGAACGGCTCGTAAGACGAGTAAAGTGCAAAATGTATCTTTAACAGATGGTTAAAGAAAATATTTAAATTTTAATTCATATCTTTTAATAAAAGGCTCCTAAAAATGTATATAAAATGTCCATAAAATGCTATGGAGTCATGCAAGTACGTATTGTGTGGAAGAGCATGTAAATATCTGAGAATTATTTTTTATCTTTTCTTTTAAAGAATAATTTGACTTATTTAAAAAATTGCAATTCTTTTTCAGAATATTCTTCATAATTTTTACTTGAAACCTGCTTCTTGTCTTAAGCGGTTTACATGCTTCCTTAATTCTGCCGTAAGTAGACTACGAATATTATCATGAAATATTGTTGATTTTGTTTGATCTGACCCCAATTTTTTCCATGTTTCGACAAATGGTTTCAATTTATCTTGAATTGGTGCACCAAACCTTGCTTCAATACCTTGGCCAAGACGTGGAATCCAGCGTGGAAATCCACGGGTTTCAGGCATCAGATATTGCGTTCCATGAAAAAATACCGGAACAACTGCTGGTAATCTTGTACTCCGTTGTGCTGCTTCAAGAAAAAGCCGCGCAACTCCCCATTTAAATATTCCTAGAGCACATTCTGGCTGTTGATAAACTTTTCCTTCAGGAAAAATATGAACCCAGGCACAAATTGGGTCAGAAATCAGTCGAATAGCATCATCTATACTTGGCTGAAATGGTCCTGCACCATAACGAACAATAGGAAGAGTCTGTCCAAGAGAAAAAAAGAGAGATGCCGATCGATTAGTAAAACAAATATCGGATGCTGCAAGAGACCATCGAATACGTGTATTAAACCATGTTCGAAAAGGAAATGTTGCCCAGAGAAGAGGATCATCGAGTCTACCATAAATAAGTTAATCGATAACCCCCAAAAAAATCGATAATACACGCTAAGATGATTTGATACTGAAGAAGAGTTAAAGATGAAAATTTAATTTTAAAAAATATAGAATAATAGAGATCTTAAGAGGGTATTATATGCATAGATTAATCCAATTATATGCACTTCAGTATCTAACTATACTTTTCAAACATATAATTTCAAGACTTGCTCTGATTTTTTCCATTTATATCCTTTCAACATATATTTATTCCTTAAGTCTTTTTTAATCCATTGACCTGATAATTTATATAAAGCATATATAAATTTATCTTATAACCCTCATTAAATTATTCTTTTCTCTTCATTCTTTTTTATAATATTTATTTCACACCTGTAATAAGACCTTGTTGATATCTTGTTGTTTTAAGTAGGTTTAAAAAAGCTTCTCCCCCAATTACTTTAATACGACGAACACCATATATCATGAATATTCGAGAAATTAAAGCCACACCAAAAATAATAATGCGTGAAAGAAAATTCCATGGTTTTCTATATGAAATATCTTTCCTAAAGAGAGGACGAATAATCCAATGTGAATAAACAGGTAAATGCATAACTAGAAGTATAATATTAATTTTTAAATCCAGAGTGTTGCTGCGGCAACATATCGCTGTCTGGTGAACTATCGCAATACCTAGCTTATCCCTAGACTTAAATGATGTTAGTCCCCTAACCCTAAGCAACTGAACCTTTAACTTCAACCCTGACCCTTGCCCTTGCCCTTGTTGATAACCCTGATAGTAACCCTAATAATAACCCTAGTAATAACCCTAGTAATAACCCTAGTAATAACCCTAATTCTATATATTAGACCCAACCCTTTACTGTTTTATTTTTCTGCTCGGTTTTTTCAAATTCAAGAAAATGGAATTTGTTCAAACATTTGGCCGTAAAAAGACTGCAACAGCTGTTGCTCATTGCAAAGCAGGTAGAGGCCTTTTTAAAATAAACGGATCTCCTATAGATCTTATTAAGCCAGAAATTCTTCGTCTTAAAGTAAGTTTTTTATATAAAATAGATCTTACTTATATCATTAGATTTATGAGCCTATCTTAATTGCAGGTCCAGATAAGTTTTCTAATGTGGATATTCGTGTTCGTGTTTCGGGCGGAGGCCGTGTTTCTCAAATTTATGCTATTCGGTATATTTTTTTATACATAGATATTAGCTAAATGTATTTAGTCAGGCTATTTCTAAGGCAATTGTTGCTTATTATCAGAAATATGTAGATGAGCAGAGTAAAATTGAGTTGAAAAAGACATTAGTGAGCTATGATCGAACACTACTTGTTGCAGATCCAAGACGGTGTGAACCTAAGAAGTTTGGAGGGAAGGGAGCTCGTTCAAAATATCAAAAAGTAATATTTTATACAAGAATGAGGGAAAATATAAAACTAATTTTAAATTTAGTCATATCGTTAAATTTTGTGTTATGAATTGCATAATAATTTTTATAAACAAAATTTTAAAATACATATATATTATTTTTATTTGAACTATATTTAAAGTCTACGACCTCTTCGTCCGCCTTTTCGTCTAGTTGAATCTGTTGGTATCGGAGTTACATCTTCAATTCTTCCTATTCTCATTCCAGATCTTGCAAGGGCTCTTAATGCCGATTGAGCACCTGGCCCTGGTGTTTTTGTAGATGTTCCTTTAATTAATTAATATATATATATATATATTTCTATTGTACCTCCTGCTGCACGTATTTTAATATGAAGCGCTGTAATACCTAATTCTTTACAGCGAGCAGCAACATCCTGCGCTGCTAGCATAGCTGCATATGGAGAAGACTCATCTCGATCTGCCTTAACCTTCATTCCGCCTATTGAAATAGAATTAAATATTAAAATAAAAAAAAAAGAAGATATAAATAAATATGTATTTATGAAATGATGCCTTTTTTTCTTTTTTTTCTGGATAAATTTTTGACTTTAAGAAAAGTTTACATATTTATCCCCTTTTTCCCCGTTTTTTCCTTATCTTAAAGAAAAAATGCATACCTGTGACACGTGCGATTGTTTCCCTTCCAGATAAATCAGTAACATGAACAAACGTATCATTAAAATTTGCAAAAATATGTGCAACTCCAAAAACCCTAAAATCTGTCAGAAATTCATGTTTTTTTTTCTAAAAAAAAATCTAATAAATACTTACAGCTCCCCCTCTTTAATTTGAGGTCCTACTGATGTTTGTTCTACTGATGATGATACTTTTTTCTCTTTTGGTGCCATAAAAAAATATCTTAAATTTTTTTCGACTTGAAAAAAATAATATGGAGAAAGCTCAAGACAGATAGGCTTTTTAAAAAAAAACAAAAATAACATATTTTAAAGGGTTATCTTTTATTTTTAGTATTAAATAAGCATGTTTCATGAACTTCTTATTCTTCTTTCATCATATTCTTCTCATCAATTAGTTTCAATATTTGACTCTTCACCTTGGATTCATCCTTCAGAGAGAATTCTTGTTCATTCTCTCTGTAAATTGGCTCGTCAGCATAGTTTCCTGCGTCAGAATAAAAGGATATCATTGGAATTAAAAAAATCATGGATAAATATAGTTTATATGGGAATTTGTGAGATTTGTGAGCCTTTTATGAAGTTAATTCTTGAAATTGAAGAACAAATTCTTTCTAAAGATTCTATACTTGTTGGTGGAAAAGATAATATTTCTCTTTCACAAATAGAAATTATGTTTAAACCATGGTATAGAAGAATGGATTATTTAGAACATATTGTTTTACAAATTAAAGAAAATTGTAAGGAAGAAGAGATAATGAATGAGTTAGAAGAAGATATGAAAGCAGGGTATAAAGATATTGAGAATATAGCAAGATTTTTGTTATGTTTAATGCAGAAATCATGGGTTAATAGGATGATTCCATGGATGTTTTGGGGAAAAATTCCATTAAATGAAGAATTTTATATTTCTGTGATTAAAGAAAAAGATTTGGAAGAATATAGATATGATATGAAGAAAGTTCCAAAATTTGTTTCTGAGAAAGCAGCATATGATATTTTTACGAATGGAAAAGCAATTTGTAAAATGGAAAATGTATTGAGAGATGAATTTTTTGAGCATTCTGTTATTTCTGACAACATGAATTTGATTTTGACATTAGAATATCCGATTTCTTTGTGTTTATTTGAAAATGTTATTAAAAAAATTAAGGAAAATTGTTCTAAAAGCATTTTCAAAAATATTATTTCAATAAATATGATTACGAATCTTATTAGGCTATTATGTGACTATTATTTAATTCAATACTCAGAATTTGCTTTTTATTTTCTCAAAGAAGTTTTTAATAAGCAGAAAGTTATAAAAATGTCAAAACAAACACAAATATCAATTATATTGATTAGGACATTTAAAGAATTAAGTAGATTTGAAGAAAATTTAAATCTTGATGACAATATTCCAAACAGACGTATGCTATCGCTTTTAATTTCAAAAGATTCTGTACATAATACGTCCTTTTCTGATTTATTAATTGGAGTTCCTATTATTCTTTCATTTTCAATACCATGGCCATTAACTTTATTTTTTTCAGAAAAAGATGTTGAAAAGTATAGTGATATTTTTTCATATCTAATTGCTATTAAACAAGCACGAACACTTTTATCTGACTTATGGAGGGAAAGGCGGGTTGTTGCTAATCCAGATAGAATTAAACGTTCTTATTGGGCCACTGCTAATTATGTACTATATTTTTTAGATGGTCTTTGGGCCTATTTTCAGGTAGTTTTGATAATCAATTATTAATTATCAAATAATCATTTAGGCAAATGTTATTCTAACTGAATATGAGAAGTTAATGTCCTGTTTTTCTGATGATTTTAGTTATGATCCTGAATCCATTCAAATATGTCATCAGCAATTTTTATTCAGTTTAACTAAAAAATTATTTTTGAAAAATGATAATTTTTTAGCAACTTTAAAAAAGATTCTTTTATCTGTAAACTTAATTGCCTCTGTTATTAATTCTTGCTTTGTAAATAATTATACAGTTCCACAACAGTTTGATGAAAACCTTATTAGAGGTTTTATTAAACAAATTATTCGTATTATAGAAGAAATAGAGCATACTGATGTTGATTTGAGACTAGTAAATCATCTGCTCTTAAGGATGGAATTTTAGATTACTGTGTAGAAAGATTCTTAATATTTTTTTAATGTGTTTGATATTTATAGATACTTTAATTATTCAAACTTCTGAGATAAATTTTATATTGTATCATAAATAATTTTTAACTGTTTAATCTTTGAGACAGTTCTTTTTATTTATTAAATTGAATATAATATTGATATTAAATAACTTACCATTAACAATCTTCAAAATGGCTTGGGATGTAAGTGAATCAGGATATTCTTCCATAAAATTTAAACCTTCATCACATGCATTTCGCATTTTAGGATCTAAAGGAATTTCACCAAGAAAATTGATATCCATTTCTTTTGAAAAAGCATAAGCGCCGCCAGTATTTGCTTTAAAAATATGTGAAGAATTCTAAATATTTATTTTTTAAAGCTTTAAAAAATAAAAAAACATACATGACAATGTGGACAAATAAAAATACTCATATTTTCAACGATTCCTAATATAGGTAATCCTATTTTTCTGCAAAAGTTTACTTCTTTACGAACATCAAGTAAAGAAACCTCTTGAGGTGTTGTTATAAGTATAGCACCATCAATTCCATTTTCTTTTAAAAATTGTACTATACTCATGTGTTCATCTGATGTTCCTGGAGGTGTATCAATCAATAAATAATCTAAATCAGACCATTCAACATCTTTTAAAAATTGTTTAATTAAGCCATTTTTTTTAGTTCCACGCCAAATAACAGCATCTTCCTCACTTGGAAGCATAAATCCAATTGACATAACACTAATATTGTCTGTTATATATACAGGTGTCCATCCAGAGCCTGATGAATGAATTCGTTCGGTATTGCAACCCATTATAGTTGGAATTGATGGGCCACATAAATCAATATCAAGAATACCTACCTTAATATATTTATATTAAAAAGATATTTTTTTAATAATAAATCATTTATTTTTACTTGTTTTTTATCGGTTGATAAACACCATGCTAATTGAGCTGTAAACATACTTTTTCCTACTCCTCCCTTGCCACTTAAAATAAGAATTTTTCTTTGAATTGATTCCATCCTTTTTTTAATACAATCAATATCAGGATCGGGCAATGGATTCCTTGTTAAACATGCTTCTTGATTAGGACAACCTTTACATATAGATGCTTGACCGGCAGTTTGTGATGATGTTCCCGGACTAGAAAAAAATAGAATCAGAAATAAAAAATAGTTTTCTGTTCTCTTTTACCATTCATCTGGTACATTTTTGAATTTATCTATACTTTGTGATATTTGAGACATGATGAAGTTAGCGAAAAATATGAAAAAAAGATAAGAATATTGAATAAAGTAGATAATTAAAAAGAAAGAAAAAAGATGACAAAAGATTGATTGAAAAGTGTAGAGAAGTATTGATATTAGATGTATATTATGATTTTAAGCTTTTAAAATGAGTTATTGTAAATATTAATATAATAATACTTACTGAACGCAAATATAGGGAACTTCTACATCTTCTCCTTGTTCATCATCTGCACAAATTTCTAAAAGAATTGTCTTTTTATTTTCCAAAACAGGTTTTTTTGAAACAAGTTCAATAAGTTGTGTTAATCTAATATTATTAATAATAATGTTTTTGAAATTATTTATTTTAGATATAAACCTCATTGGTCGTCTTTCTTGATGTTTTTTTTCAGGAAAAAACGATGCATAAAGAAGACTTACGCCACTAGATAACATTGTAATTGTAAGTCCTTCGTTATTTTTAAAATGGAGAAGAAGTTCTTGGAGAGTAATATCTCCATAAATATCAAACCTATATATATTTATAAAATTTTTTATTATCTTTAAGTTATTTACCTTTCCCATATTTGAGATACTTCTTTATTGTTATACTTAAGTTTAGGAGATGCGATTGGTTCAGAAAACGTAATAAAAGGTAATGCAAGATTTAAAAATGAATTCCTGTAGTCTTCAAGTTTATTTTTCTTATCAATTATCTTATATAACTCCAAGCAAACAAGGCCTGAGACGAGAGCAGTTGTAGTAGCAATGGCAGGACTATAAATATATTAATTATGTTATTTTTAATTTTGAAAAAAATTACATGATTTTTCCTGCAATAAGTTTTGTATTGTAGCGAGTTGTTGTCTCTATTCCATAATTTAATGCTCGAAGATTAGATGCTGCTGTAATGAAGTCTATATGATAGTTTGTCTATAATAATTAAACATCTAAATTAATTCATCAAAAGTAAATTACATCATCATCTTTCTCAAAGCTGTTCTCTTATCAATAAAATCAAACTGCTGAAAATAGTCAACTTACATAACAGGATTGAGTCTATAACCGGCCAAGGTTGATGGAAGAGGTAAACAACTAATAAGATTATTTAGTTCACTAGAATCTGCCTTAGTCCCTATCTCAATATTAGGATCAGAATCATTTTCTTGTATTTTTATGCCAGCTTTTGGTGAAAAATCTGGCACTATTATATTATCTAAAACTCTCTTATAAATTCCTCTGTCTACTTCACCTTTAAGTCCATAATTAAAAGCATGCAAATTAGCGCCTGCAATAATAAAGGCTAAGTGTTGTTCATCATTTATATCAAATATAAGTGGAGTAGGAACTCTTTTAGGACCAGACCAGAATGGCACGCCGTTTGAAGTAATTGAGTCTCTCGGAAAATTAAACAAAAGCTGTTGTATATCGTTATTAAATTTCTTCTCAAATTCCAATCGTGCCCAAACAATGCATTCCTCAAAAGTCAAAGGTTTAGATGTCACAAGGTAGCTTTGTATTATTTCTAAAATATCTTTTTGGCTTCCACTTTGTTTTAATAATTCCTGAATAAAATTAGGCTGACTAAGATATAAATTAACGTTTTCTGCAGGTTGTCTAAAATATCCTTCGAAAAGATTTCTAGCCCACTAAAATATTTGAATTGATCAAAATATATAGATCGGATTACTTACAGAAATAGTATGTTCAATTTGATTTGGAAAATTCTTTATAGTACATATGGGAAAAGATTTTTCTGAAGGATCTCTAGATGAACTATATGATTCTGTTAAATAGGGATAAATAACTTGAGTATTTCCTTTAGTTCCTAATGTTCCTGATTCTAAAAGAGGTTTTCTGTAAAAAACGCATTTTTGATCTACATATATCCTAGTATTAACATTATCTAACGCATTTGTAACACCATCTAATGATTCGAAAAAATCTGCATCAAAAAGATTTTCAGTTTCTGGGCAAACTCTTTCTGTATATGTTACAATTTTTTCTGTGATTTCCGGATTCATTTGAATCACTGCAGCTGCTGCACATTCTGACTTAAGTTTTCCAACGTCTTTTGATTTGAAAAGGAATTGCCTGTTAAGATTACTTTTTTCAATAGTATCCATATCAGTAATATATATTTTCCCCTTGGGACCTGTTGAAAGGCCTAACATAGCCCAATTTTTCAGCATTTCACAACCAATGGCTCCAGTTCCTACAAGAAATTCTCTAAAGTTTGATATTTTTTGCTGAAAATCTTTTCCAAATACAGCAATTTGACCATCATAACGAGAATTAATCTAAAAGAAATAAGTAAAAGTAACTACATATAAAACATACAGGAGAACAAGATTCTTCTGTTAATCTGCATGAAGTTGGAAGACTTTCTAATGAATCAAAATACATATATTGTTGGATAGGAGTAAATTTTCCACTAATAGCTTTTAATGCTTCTTGAGCAGCTAGCCCTCCAAAAACAGCTGCCATAGGATTAAGATCCCCTCGAGCTTGGTATGCTACCTCTTTGATTACTCTTTCATCTAATTTCAATTCTTTTGAATATTTAGAAGATATGATTTTTGCAATAGTATAAACAATTTCAGCATCTTCTTCATTGCGTGATTTAGGAAGACGTCTATAGTCTTCTAAAAATGAATATAATGCTTGAAATGCTATATGAAGTAACAATGGTCTGTCTAATTTAGAATAATCATTTGTCAAAAAGCTAGGAGAAACAATAGATTCTCTAAGAGATTTAAATTGAATTTTTTTCGACATTTTTACTTGAACAAATATTCCTCCTCCTTTATATTCCCCAATATTATCAATATTCCCTATAGAAAATGAATATGGACCTAAAATGTTTGAATTTACGAATTTTAAAGAGAAAAAAATTAACCTTTCACCTGAATCTTTCTTGGGGAAGACATATTTAATGCTTCCATTCCTTTTATCTCTTTAAAAGTGACATAGTCTCCATCTTCAAGCCCATGTCGTGTTTCATCAAGAACAGTAACAATACCATCTTGCGAAATTGAAGAAATAATACCCATAATTGGATTTTCTCCATTTGTATCAAAAATATAGAAATCCTTCCCAAAATCACAAAATATATACCCAAACAACCCACGAACATCTGTAGAAATAAAATATATCCCATGTTCATGTGTATAGTCGTTTATTTCTATCTGTCTTTTTAATGAAGTTTCTGTTAATATAACAATCTTAATCTTAATATACCTAAATTAAAACTATTAAAATATTTTTACCTGAAATTTATCCAAAACATGGTAATTGAATTCCTCTTTCAAAAAATTAACAAGAACATAACGATTTAATTCTGAAAGATATGGAACTGAAACTTGATCTCGAGGTTTTCCAATATCCCTATGTTTGAAAAAGAACTTTTCTAAATATCAGAACATTCCTTTTCTTTTATTTATTTTGATTTACCTGTGACGACATGTCTTCTATTTGTATAGGAGTAGGATCATATAATGTAATGTTTTTTACACCTGCAAGGCATATATTTTTTGCTAATAAACATTTAAAAAAATAAATAGCATATTTCCAGAATAGACCTATCTCGCATCCAAGTCCTTTTAACCCGACAATTAAGACATTTGATATACTCATTCGTTTCATTGCCTCATGTCCCAAAACATATCTTTCCACATATTAAGAAATTATAAATGCAAATAAGTACTTTCATACAATTGTCTTGAATACAATCCTTCATCAATGAGATGATCTACAACGTCCAAAGGCTTTTGTTCATCAATCTGCATTTTAGACTATAAAGACACATTAGTAAACCTTTTTTTCAGCTGAAAAAAAGAGGGCTATTATATAGAACCAATCAATTCATGGATTTTTATTTTAAATTGTTGTAAAGCATAAGGAATGGCTTACCATTGTTATTTTTCAGAAAAACTTTTTTTTGACGTACGATTATGGGACGAGAAGCGGTTAACAGACAGGAAAAAAGGCTAAAAAGAGGTTTTATTTGCGAAAAAAAAGATGTCAGAACGTAGAAAAACTACTGGAACAGTTATTTCAGATGTTCCTGTTTTTTTTGAGGATTTAAATGGTGAAAAAAGGACTAAAATTGAGCGTATAAGGCCGTTACATGAGTCGAGGAAAATATGTGGGTTTATAGGGAGAAAATGGTTAAAAATGGCTAATTGAATGAAGATTTGAAGATGGGGTTGATTACTAAGGCAGATGGTTCAGCTTATCTTGAACAAGAACGGATAAAAATGGTTTCTGCAGTGTAAAGATTTTTAGAAAAAAATTGGAAGAAATTTATTGGTTTTTAGTTATGGTCCTCAGCAATTTAAGAAGGCTACGTCTTTTCATTCTACTGCTCGTCTTAATTGTGAAGTTAAATATGCATCATTTGCGTTAAAACAAAGATATTATCATAATCGAGAAATAATTGAGAAAAATATGTCTATGCATCTTGAGGCAGCCATATCTCCTTCAATTCAGTTGGATATTTTTCCTAAATCTATTATTCATGTTTATGTTTTTGTCCTTGAGGCAGATGGAGAATCATCAACGTTTGCAGCAGCTATCACATGTGCTTCTGCTGCTATTGCTGATGCAAGTATAGAATGTATAGATTTGGTTACAGGATCAGCGGCAGTTATTAATAAAAAAAATTGTCTTGTAATGGATCCTACAGATGATGATGAAATTGAAAAAATGTTTTCTATAGTTATTGGATATATGGCAGTAAGAGACGAATTAACTGAATTATGGTCATATGGCTTAGGATTAAATTCAACGGATGAATGTAAAATAGATTATATTATCAATAAATGTATCTCTATGGCATCGGATTATCGGTTTGTATTAAATAATGCTATTATGCAAAAATTGGAGGAACAATTGCGTTTAAATGAATTGATGCAAAAATAATTTTACTTTTTTGTTTGTTTTTTTTAGAAAAAAGATTTTTGATTCATATCAAAAATATCACATTTTTTATATTATATATTTTCGAAAATTGAAAAGATGATTGGTTATTATATAATGTAAATATTTATTACTATTGAAAACATTTAAGAAATGTTTTTATTCATATAAAAATACTATAAAATTTTGATATTACACTGGCTCAAAATACAACATAATAGAATATTCTTTTTAAAGAAAAAATGTCTACCGCTTCTCAAAATACTGAAAAAAATAATTGGAAAAAAATAATAGAAAAGTTTAAAAAAGAACCATTAGTCCCTATAGTTAGACTTATTTATTTATTACGAAAGACTATTTTTAATTCATCAATAGGGAATGGTTGCAACATGTCTTGCACTTTTTAGTGCGGCTATTGCTATACAACAAAATAATAAAAGGCTTGCAAATCGCATGTTTCGATACAGAGTTTATGCACAAGGTTTTACAATAATTTCAATGATTGTTGGAAGCATCTATTATCGACATCTTAATTCATCCATTCTTTGATTTATAATTTTAGATTATCTTGATAATCTCGATAATCTAATCTTGATAATCTCGATAATTTCAAATTTTTAATAAATAAATTACAAATTTATAAACAAAATTATTAAATAGGGTAAATAGATTTATCTTTTGGTTTATTGTTTTTACTTGGTTTCTCCATTTTTTAATATTTTAAAAAGCCGGTCTTTCATTGCTTCGATTTTCAACCTCATGAAAATTTAGAATCTTGTTTTTTTTTTTATAAAGGTATGCAAGGTGCAGTGCTTACGCTATGGGTTCACGACAGGTCTTTTTCTAATCATGATGTGATTATTAATGAGGATCTTGTTCCGGGTTTAAGTGCATCATCAGCTATTGAAATCCGACAAACAGGTTATGAATCATCTCCAAAATTGTTGGGATTAGGGGGAAAACAAATGGGAATAAGTAGGAATTCTAGACGTCTTTTTGCTATTCCTACGTTTTTAGAGGGGGACTTGAAAAAAAAGCAATCAAATTTGCAGGTTAGTTTTAAAAGAATAAGAAAATTTGGATTTAGAGAAAAAGATTTCTATTTCAACGACGCTCTCAGCAGCTTTTGGATTAAGAAATAGAATATATGTAAAAGTGACTATAGTTGAGGATAAAATGTCTATTTCAGCGGATTATATTGTTATTTATTTTAAAGATCAATATATTTCTAGATCAGATATGTGGAATTTATCACAAGATTTACAAGGAAAATGTATATGGAAAAGAGAGAAAATGATTTTTTCTGGTAGTCTTAGGGCAGATATTAGAGAAATATGGATAAATGGCAAAAAAGTATATCTTAAATTTTTTTTTAATATATATTAATGATAAAAGAAACATTCTGCTTATGTTTCGACTAAAACTAAACCAATATTTCGATCAGAGAGCGCAAAATGTTTTCTTTTCCTTCAAATGAGTAAGGAAATGTGGGAGTTTGAAGAAGATGGTGAACTTTTTTTTGATAAAGCGATTGATGGATTTCTTCCTGAGCTTTTTAAAAGATGGAAAAATATGGGTACACGCCATAGTGTTACAATTATTCTTTTTACTAGAGTTTATTACGATGGGATAGGCCCTTTTTGTCTTTCTCAATCTCAGGAAAATTATTGTTCATCTCAGGCCCAGAAAATTATAAGAAATTATAAAGATTATTATGAGACATGTTCGAAATATTCTCAGGATTTTTTTAAAATTGTATTCGATAATGTATTTTCAGGTGAATGTATGACAACTATATCTGAATTAAAGCAAGAACTTCAAAAATTCAAGAAAGATGTCCTCATGTATGAAAGAATTAATGAATTATCTCATGAAAGCATGGGTTTGGTTTCTGCAAGTATGTCATATGCGTTACAAGGAAATGTTCTTGAGGCTATTAATATTGTAACAAAACAATTTTGTTACGATTATATTGATCATGATCTTATAAGAACGGGTGCAAGTATTGTTATTGTAACACCAGGAACTGGCCATTTTGAAGTAGACGAAAAAATGTTAGAAATTACCGCAAAAAATCTTATTAGTACTGGTATAGAAATTGATTTTATATGTTTGAGTAAACCTCCGCTTCATATTGTTCCTTTATTTAGATATAAGAAAAAATCTTCTAATGAAATCAACAATTCCCAGGATGCAGATAATATTTCAGTATATCCTTCTTCTAGTTTAAACTTAAATATGTCGAATAAAAATCTTTTTAGTTCTTTACATCAACATGAATCATGGGTATATGCAGTTCCTTACTTTTGTCAAGTTAGTTATTGGAATTATAAAACAAAGAAAAATACTAGTTTTGTTACAAGTTGCAAAATGCATGAATTACAAATGATGGGAATAATGGAGAATGAAGCTAGTAAAATTGCTATTGAATATTTACCTGAATTTGATTTACTTGATGATGGGAAAATATCATCTTATTGTGAAGAATATGATGAAAATGTTTTTAGAATTAATAGAAAGGATAATAATTCTTTAAACAATGAACATTTAGATGAGAAGGAAAAAATATTAAAGAATCGTAGCTTCTCTCAGAAAACTGATCTGGAAAACATTTCGACTTTAAATGATGATGTAAAGAAACAGGCGAAATATAAAGAGTCTGATAAAGAGCCTTTTTCTGTGCATAAAAAAGTAGACAAAGTTGCATCTAAGGCTCATACTCTTTCAAAAAGATATTTTGTACAAAATATTCTAAGTATGGGAGAATTATTTAGTAGCCAATATTTAAAAGCTCTCCCAAGCATTACTTCTGTTTCTTTTCTAGCAACACAAAAAAAACCTACTACTAAGAAATTGACAACAAAAAGTAATCAGTTAGAATCTAACGAAACAGATTTTTTAATTTCTCAAAATAATCCTCAATATCCTTATATTTTTCAGAGTAGATTGGATTCTAAAAAGGATTCTATAAAAAACAAAATTAATACTATTATGTCAAAACAGCCTGAAAAAATCATGGATATCAGAAAATCTCTTTCTTTAGAAAAGTTTCAAAAATTAAAACCTGAAAAGGATTCATTTTGGCAGATTATTCAATATCCATCTAATCCTTTATCTAATCCACCTCCTTCGGATGTATATTATAAAAAATGGAAAGATGCTCATCCAAAACAAAGAAATATAGAGGAAGTTAATTGGTCTTCAATTTGTAGCCCTGCTTCTTTACCTCTTTCAACAGATCTTTTTCCTAGTGCTGAGGAATTGCGTGAACTTTATCAAGATTATACATATACAATTACTATTGACCCAGAAAAAGTTAGTTTTGATCAGCATTCCCTTCTAATAGAACTTATAAATTTACGGCTTAATCAAGGTTTTCAAATAGTTATTGGAGATTCTGTTTTAGCTGATGATCCTAAGTCAATCATATTATCTCAACATTCTCCAGTGTGTAAATTAAATAAAAAGAATACTCTTCAGGGGCCTTTGGATAATTTTTATAAAACAATATATTTGGCACTTGATAATTATCAATTTCACAAAATAACTGGGGATTTTTCTGGATATAATATTCAAGTAAAGAGATTTATTAGAAAATATAGTCCTATTGGACCAATAAATTATAAATATCATACTTGGTTCTTATCTAATAGTGGGTATCAACCTAGAAGTATTACTTTTTCTTCTCATCCGTTTGAAAATCAAAATTGGAATTATGTTGATCAATTAATAGCTGGACAAGAGGATAATTTAAGTGATTCAATAAAGTATTGGAGATCTCGTTTCGTTTTAATTCCAGTGGATATTAAAACAATGCCTGTTCACCAAATTTTAACTTATTTTAATGCTAATAGTACAGATGTTTTAACTGATGAAGAAATTCGCATACTTGGCATACTTAAAATTTATGAATTAATAAAAAAAGGCCAATATCTTAATTCATTTGAAAGAGATAGGATTAAACATACATCTTGGAAAGATGGTAATAATATGGATTTAATTTTTATTACTTCAAATATACCTGCTTTTATTATTCAAGAAATTGAAAGTTTTGATTCTGAATATAATTTTCAAAATAAAGAAAATTCGAATACTGGAAATGAAAAATTAAAGACACTAGATGCAAAATTAAATAGTATTGCACAGGAAATACAAGGTCCTAGAGGCATTAAATTTCAAGATCGTCGGTGGCATTTGAAATTATATGAAAATTGTTTCATTGGTATGGATATGGTTACATGGTTACTAGAGAATTTTTCGGATATTTCAACAAGAGAAGAAGCAGTTTATTATGGGAATGAGTTGCTTTCTAAAGGATTATTTGAACACGTTAATAATGATCATCAGTTTTTGGATGGATATTTTTTTTATCGATTAAAGCCTGAATATTCATCATCAAAAACTCCTAAGTGCTGGTTTGGAACGCGTAAGATTACTCCTATTAATGCTGTTTCTGGAAATCTTTCAAGATCAGATTCTATTGCATCAAATTATCAAATTTCAACATCTACTAAAAAAATTCAGAAAGTAATATTAAGCAAATATTTGATTTATGATGTTGATACGCAAAAACAAAGTTATAGGCCTGAATGTATAAGATTGCATTATGATAGAATTTATAATCCAAAATCATGTTATCATATTCGTTTAGAATGGGTTAGTGTAACATCTCGCTTTGTCGAAAATACAATACAGTCTTGGAAAAGAATTGCTGAGAAATATGGTCTCAAACTTGTTGAGGTTCCTATAGATGAAGCCTGTAAAATTAATGATAAAAATCCACTTCAATCTACTATTTCGATTAAATTAGTGCTACCACCTCCTCCTGTCCCTCATTTAATAAAATCAGATGAAATTTTGGGAGAGGATCCTGATTTTTGGTGTATTCTTTTATTAAGGAAGTTTGATTTTGTATTGGATTTTGAGTCAGCAAGTAAATTCCCAAAATCTATTGATATCACATATTCATGGGGAAAACCTTCTTATAAATACTCTCAGTATATTCATAGATCAGGGGCAGCTATTGCTCAGATCGCTGATGATAATACTATTTTATGGTTAACAAATCAGTTATATTTGTCAAGAATTGGGTTTATGGTTCATGCCCCAAATCAATATAATATTGAATCACAACGAAACATTAAAGATTTAACTCTAGAATCAAATAAGCTCTGTGCAGATTTTATAAAGTTTTGCTCTGATAAAGTTTCTTTGGAAAAATTTTATGAGGAAATTCTAGCTAAATATACATTAAAACAAGAAACTAATGAATCTGAATAATAATTTTATGACATTATTGTTTATATTTAAAATAGTATTTTTTCATATGATAAATTTATATAAAAAATTCATTTGTATAAGGTGGACTGTTATTAAAAATATTTTTATAAATTTAATACTGAATTCTGAAGAATTTCAACATATTGCTTATTTTCTTCTATTGATTCCATCCTAATTTTATTAATTTAATATTTCATAAGACTGTTATAAATACCAACTAGTTTTTATAAGAATATTGATGAGATTTGAATACAATTCCTGGTTAGAAATATTTAATTCTTTCTCAGTTAATACCATATATAATCCTTCTGCTGCCCTAGCTCTAATCTAAAAATAATGATTTTAGATAATTAAAAATAATTAATCTTACCACGGGATAAGAATGTTGTAATAGTAATAAAAGTTCATTTAGGGATTCTGATGCTATTTTTATAGATAATTTCGAGATCTCTACATAGCTTTTTGAAATTAACATATTATTTTTTTTCAAAAAAGAACCTACGTTTTGATTGATAATGATATCTTTTGGATAGATTTGCTTTTATATGAACTTTTTCTGATACAGTTAAAAAGGTGTTCAAAACTAGAACTATTTAAATAATGTTTAAATATAGAATTTGACCTACTCAAATTTTCCAACAAGAGATTCAAATATTAGCCTTTCAAATAGAATATTACAAAATATCATGAAACATATCATGAAATTATTATTAGTAATATTTGAATCACAAAGTTTCAATAATGAATTGCTAAAATTTAATAATGTTAAAGAATTACTTTGATTTTTTTCAATTGGAAGATTAATTAAATAAAATATTAAATGGTGCTCAATTTCTTTCGTCTATTATCATATTAAAAACATGATGTGTATTTTTATGAAATTACCAATGATTCGTTTCCATTAATACTATTTATTAAACCTATAAGAATATATTCTTGATATTCTCTAATGCAAAGTAATTGAATAATATTTGGTATTACATTCCTAGGAATCCTCCAGTCATGAATTCTAGTTATAGTTTATTATTTAAAAAATAATCATAATCAGCTTACCTTTTAAGAGAATTTTTAATTAATTCAATAGATTGAGAAAAATATGATTTTTTCATATTTTGACATAAATTAACAATATTAAGAAGTTGAGAACCTGCTACAACCCTTAGACTATCAAGTTTTTCTACAGTTTGCCTTAATAAATTCCCAATAATGGAATGAAATATTGCATCGGTTAAAAAATAATCAATATTATAATCAAAAGCTAGTTCAAGAATATAAAAAATAGAGATCATAGATTCCTTTCTGACCCAGGATCCAACATCTCCCGCAAATCCTGTAGAATAATCATTTAGACCGTTTAAAAATAGCTGAGTTAATTTGTCTAAATGTAAATATTGGATATCTAGATATAAATTAGTGAAAATAATAGACACTTTAATAACCTACTAAATGAAGACAATGATGAATGTTTTTTAGAAGAATATAATATCTCTCCTAAAGCTTTAATTGAATTTTTTTTAAACGTTATATCAGACAATGGTGTTATCTATGATTATTAAATAATTTTAATATGAAATTATTTGTTTTTACCTCTATTAAAACAAGCACAAGAAGTTCTAGTATATCTTGATAGTTTTCAAAATATTCAATTTTTCCTAATACACAGAGTAATCCATTTGTAAAAGTATCTTGTTTATTAAAATTGGATTTTATATGTATAATAAATTCATTTAATTGTAGACGAAGATCGAATCTTTTAGCTAAAGAACTAACCGCTTGACTAGCTTCATAGTGAATACTATCAATTTTTAAAGAACATTTTATATAGTCCATCCATTGTAATAAACATGCCTCTTTTGCATATTTTGTATTGGATATTTCAATAATATATCGACAAATTGATCCATAAATATCAGGATAAATTCTAAGGGTATTTTTTGGTAGCATTTCTTCACAAATTAATTCTTCAAATTTCTATATTAATTAATACATAGATAAATAAAAACTGGTATAATTATACTTGAATTATATCTGAAGGAATATCTTTGTACTGCACCTTAGTAAGTATTTTTGCTAATATTTCAAGAGTTCCATGCTGCATAATAATATCTTTTTTTTCAAAATTCATCAACTATAAAATTTAGATAATATAAAAAATATATACAAAAAAACCAAAACTGGAATAGCTTTTGAGACAATTGATGGGTTTATTTCTGCTATCTTTCCTAAAATCTGAGATGATAAATCTCTTATTTTTTTATCATAATGATAGGCCATTTTTTCAGTTAAATAAGAAATTATTAAATCTTGATATTCATTAAATCTAAAAATTATTGAGACTAGAAACTTAAATATAACTATTACTTAAATAGATGAAAGCAAACATTAAGATAAGAATTTCTTTTTGTAGCCAATGTATAAAAATTCATTTCTTTAATAATTTCAATTCCATGAGGAAATATTGATTCTCCATATCTTCCAACGCCCTCTTGATATGCAGAACTCGCTGCTCGTCTAACATTTGTTTCTTTATCGAATATAGCAACCATTAATAATGATTCTGCGAGCATTGGAAATAAATGTATTACATTATCAATTGAATATCGGCGAAATATAGACCATGATATATAGCATGCTGCATCTCTTACATTATTTCCAAGATATTGAGTTCCTCTCCTTTGTTCAAAAGTTAATGCCTATATATAATATTAATAAGATAGCTTAAAATAACTTAATGCAACTTTTAAAAGTATTGGTAAAATTTCCCTTAATCTATAAGGCAATAATAAACCTCTTCTGCAAAATTCTGCAATTGTCATAGATACGCCATGCCATACTATGTCATTAGAGGTTTCTATAGAATAGGAACCATCTAGATCCTTAATTGATGAAATAACTGTTGATATTACTTGATTAGCATTAGACTCTGGAATATGAGAAATAATTTTGCTAATTCCTTTAGCAGATGAATATCTAACAATTGTACTGGTGTCTGAAATATTTTCTAGTAATAAGTATAAACATTCTTCAATTGCTGGATGTAGAGCCACATCATCAATATCTGCCGATAACTCCTGAATATCAATGCCTTTTATGCCCAAATTCTTAGCTAAAGAATTTTGTTCTAAAAATAATAAACATTTACTACACGTATATAGATTTTTAACCTATTTTATGAATCCATGATGCTTCGTGTGGTTTAAGAAAACATAAGCAAACCCGTTGAAATAATTTTGTTGTTAAATGTCTTATCTTGTCATTAGAATGTTTATTTCGTGTTATTAGTTGCAATAATAAAAATGTATCATTTGCAATTGTAAGTAGAAAAATTCTGTCATTTGATTTGAAAATATTACATAATGAGGATAACAATCCAATTTTCTATAATTTTAAGGAAGATGCTTCATTTTATAAGATATTTTTACCATAAAATCAGATGTTGTTTCTAATATCCAAGTATCTCGTATCCATGATATAAATGATGGCAAATGTAATTTATAGGTATCTTTTCTAGTAAGTAGTCTTCCTACCAAAATAGAGGCTGCATCTCGTTCTTTTCCAGATATAGAAAGATACCGTTTACATAAAACTAATAAAGAATCAATAATGTTCGTATTTCCAGATAAGTCTGAGTTAATTCTTGATAAATCAAACGGTATCATACAAAGCAATGATAACCATAAAAGCAGAATATACCTAGTAATCCATAATTCTGTATCTTCCTGAGGTATATTTTGCATATAAAAAAGAATTGATTCAAATAAATAAAAATCATTATAGAAATATTTTACTAAAATTTTAAAAAATATTTGTAGAAAATTTATACCTACTAATAGTTTTAAATCCACAGATCTTTGTATATATATATAATATATAACATAATCTATTTATATATAAAAAAAAATCACAAGATACTTTATTTTTGATTTCTTTTATAATAACATCAATGACTGGATGAATAAGATTTTCTAATTCTGAATCTAATAGCTCTGGCTGCTCTTGAAAAATATTTAGCTAACCAAATATGTCAATAAATATCTGAAATATTGTATAAAAAAATTAATACTGGACAAATTATTTTTTCAACATTCCAATTAATGTCTATAAAGCTCTTCAAAAACTCCAAAAGGTCTTCTTTGAATTTTTTAACAACTTCTTGGCCATTTTTAAGTGCATAAATTTCTTTATCATCTTCTTCCATCTTAATTTCTTATTTAGCCAATATAATACAATAAATAAATCCTTTTAACGTCTCATATTCAAATAACCTAAATATCTACCTTGAATTAACTGTTGAAAGTCCCTTAAATCCTAATTACTGTTTAAATCATCAATTTTTATAAATTGATTGATGGTATTAATTCTTCAATCTTTATTATGATTTTAAAAAAAATAATAAAATATAATATTTAAGAGCAAATACTCTAATCAGATTTTGAAGCAGATTAAGAATATCCTTTAAACCTAAAATAAGTTTCTTTTTTTTACAAGTCTTATTATTTAAATATTTTGATAATTTAAGAAAAATAATAAAAGATATTGAAAAAGATGTAAAGGATGATTTTTCTTATAAAATATTAAGAAATTATTAATTATTTTTTTTCAGTGTATATACTTTTTTAAAATCCGTTTTTTTTTTGGAGCCTAGGAATATAAACGGGAGCCTTTATTAGATATAAAACATAAGATAAACGAAAATAAATATTGAGGATGACTTATATAAACATATACGTATTTATTAAGGCCTAATAAGTTATGCTTAGTTGGCTTTTTCCGAAAAAAATAGACTCATTTTTGACTGAAAACATAAACAATGATACATTTCAATTACTTCATCCATTTCCGTAGGAAAAAGATGTTTTTTATGAGGATTTTATTGACAATTTGGAATCTAGGAATTGTTTTGGTATAGAAAAGTTAAAGAGCGACGATATTCGGGTTATTATAGCTCAAAATATTGATAATAAAGCGAAAACGATTCTTTTTGATTCAGAAAAGATATGTGAGAAAGAAATAGGCTGTTCTCAATATATAAAAGCATGTAGAAATGAAGAGGGTTAGTATATTATCTTTTTTTTTTGAGATTTTATTGGCTAAAAAAACAAATAAGGAATAAAAAAAAATTATTCAAATGTTTTATTATCTGATTTAAATAGAAATACATATTTTAAACAGGTATTTTTTATTATTTTTAAGGTATTTTTTCTTAGGGATTGCTTTTTAGACTATATCTACTGAAATGATATCCGATTTGATGTTTGGTACAGTGCCTATGACGTATCAAGGCACTATTACAAAACTTCATCCACTTTTTTCATCTGGAACGTTTTTTCATTCATTTCTTTTGACTAAGTTGTTTACGATTGAATCTGATGCATCATTTTCAACATCTAATTCTAATAATTTTTCTGCTTCTGACCGATATAATGATTCATTAACTGATTTATCATTAAAAGATTCTTTATTGCCTAATATGACGTCTTTTGAAGAACATAAAAAAAATGTTTTATTGCGGAAGGAATCCGAATCGCTATTTACATTATCAAGATTAGGATCTTGGGAATCTTCTAAGTCAATAATAGATCAATCAAAAAAATATCCATTTTTGACAAATATTCCTAAAATGACTGGGATGTCTCGTGAATCATTTAAAAAATCTAAGCCCTATGTTTATGCAATAGGCATTATCATTACTTTAAATATAAATAGTGGGGATTTTCAAGATGGATACCAAATTATTAACCAATATTGGAGTATTTTAAATAATGCTGCTAATGCCTTACAGCGGTCAGTTTTTTCTGTGATTTCGAAAAGTTTAGAAAACGTCAATTGCGTATTTTATAAGGATTGTGAAACTTTAGAAATAAGTCGTATTGCCTCTGATACAAATAGGAGAAATTTTATGATGAACAGCATATCATTATATAATGATACTATTATTTGTGCAGTTTTAAAGTTTAAAGAAAGAATACTTACTGCTATTTCTGCACCTTTAGTAATTCATATTCCAAAAAGAACTGAACAAAAATTTAAAGAAGAATTTAAAGCTTTGTTTAGAGAATTAGACAACAAACCATGTAAATTGTATGTATATATTTTAATATTTGGGCCTTTTTAATTTTATATAGCTTTTTTTCTGTTTTACTTACTGCAATACTTTCAAGTCATATGGAAATTACTTCTGATTTTTTATCTAGAGACTTAACTGAAATATTATCAGAAAAAAAATTGGAAAATATTGTTATTATTAGCAAAAATTCTTCTCTTGCTAGACGTATTATATATGTATTATCTGGGCTTATTTTTCATGATTTACGTAATATTCAAATAATCGATTATTTATGGCCATCTGAAGGGCTTTTATGTCTTTCTCGAAATCATTTACGTCCATGTAGATCAAAAGAGTCTTTACCTAAGCAGATTTTTGGGTGGGATATACCATATTGTTGTCCCCTTTCTAAAGTGCAAACTTATTCTATGTCTGCTTCATCAATTGATAGCAAAATGTCTTCCGCTTCTACATCAGACTATGCAATTCGTCAGTCTAATGGTCTATATGGATCTAGACTTGGTAGTTGGTTTAGTAGTTTTTTGACTCAAAAGAATCATGAAACTATTGTAGCCAATAATTCAAATCTAAATGAGGATAGTGATTTACAATCTCATATGAGTGGATCATTTCATGACCAATGTTCAAGTCTTACTTCAGATGATGAGGATATGATTAAATCTTTAACAAAAGTTTCTGCTAAATTAAATGACAAAGGAATTATAGAAATTGATCCTTTAAATACTGTTACTGAATTTGAAAATTCATCCCAAGTTATCGATTTGAATTTTCATTCCACGCCATATATTACAGGATATTTAGATTCTATTCATTTCGATTTTATTCTTCAGGCATGTCCTCCATCTATAAATCTTGAGTTGCAAATTCAAAATCAACTGAAGCAAAGAAGTATAGATATACGTGATTCACTTCACGAATTTAAGCCATCTGAAGATATTGTTTCTATTCTTGTTGCTGATTTATCAAATTGTGCAATTAAAAAGTTTACACTCCAAAGATCTCATACGGATTCTTTATCTTCAAACATTGATGAAAACATCCAGCAAATGCATAATGAGCATCGTATATTCAATGAAACATTAACTTGTATAGATAGTAGTTTAATTGAAAATATATATAATTATATCTTGGTTAATTAAATCCTTTGGAAATAATGTTATGATTCTTATTTATATTTTTAAGGTTATATATTGAAGATTTTCTGCAGTTTTGAATAAAGTTGTTGATATAATTATATATTTGTATATATTAATTTTTATTTAATATAAATACATTTTATAGTCTTATTTTTTAATTTAATTCTTTCCAATAAATGGTATTTGGATTTTATTTGAAATATTTAAATTAACATATATATTACTATTTATATAAATATTTTTTGTTTTTAACAAATTATTTTTAAAAAAAAAGGAAATATTTTGTTTTAGATCTTTCCAAAATTTGAAATATAATTAAAATTATATATATATTTTTAGTTTTCATACAAAAAACAATCTATTTATTAAATTCTCATTTTTTATATAAAAAAGCAAAATTTATCAATCATCTATAAGAAATTGCTTGTTTTATTTAAAATATCAAAATAGTGTAAAAATAGATTTTTCTTATAATAAAAATCATTTATCAAAGATTCCATTTAAAATCAATTAATAATACAAACCTCAATTTATATTAAAAAAACTATATTTATTAATAAAAAATCTAGAAATATTTCATTATTAAAATAATTTATCATTAATTTATTCATAAATTTAGACAATTCATAACCTTCTAAAATGTATTAATATACAACAAAAATATTTTTATTATATTTTTTAGAGTATCAGATGGTAGTGCATGTTTTTTCTCTTCATAAAAAATCACCATATTTAATTTTTCCTCATTTACTCTTTTAACAATAAAAACTTACCAATATACAACAATCTACAATATTATATACTTCTAATATAATTTTTAATATTTTAAATTTTTGAAAAAATTTATCTATAAATCTTAATATACCCTTTAATTTTAAAAATATCCTCTTTTTCAATATATAAATTATATCTAAAAAATGTCCTCTTTTATTTAAAACATCAATAATTCATTCATTCTAAATTCTCTAAATATATATTTTTAAATACATCATATAACCACTTGTTATTTTTATATATCTATAAATTATTCATTAAATATACATAATATTTAAATCTTTTTTTTGATATAATTTATATATTTTGATTGTATCAGAGACTATTTTTTTTTTATAGTTAATATTGTTATATTTTGTCGTCATTGATCGTCATATATAAGTACTAATATTTATTAAAATTTTGAATATTACTAATAAGAAATAGAGAAAGATATTAAAGACACATATAGTGTCTTATAGGATCTCATGGAAAGGCCATGTTATTATTTTAAAGAAAGAATTCTTTGTAGCAATGAAGCACTTTTTATTATTAATGAATCATCTATGATTATTTCAGTAATTCGAAAAAATATAAGAGATATGACAGGAGGAGCATCTAGTATTCTTGGAGAAGCTTTTGGAGGAGTACTTGATGAAGTTTTGAGTGTCGATAAGGTTCAAAATGGGCGTAAAAATTGGATTAAATCAATGGTATGTTTTTTTATTTTGGAAAGATTTGAAAAGAATTTATGGGATTTAAACGTTTTTTCAAGATAAAAAACGTGAGATAAATTTACTTTAATATATATAATATGTTTTTTTTGAACAAAAACTAATGAAAAATAAAGGAAAATTCATTATTATATAAATATTCTCGACTTAAATGTGATTTAATTAAATGCAAAGGTGATTTATTATAAAAGAGGAAAAAAAGGATAAGATTAATGACATAGAATTAGATGTATCATCAATAGATACATTATTACTTTTAGATCCATTTATATATACAATTGAGAATTCATCGATTGAGGCATCAATTAAATCTCTTGCACTTAGTTCTATAATGAAGTTTATTTCCTATGGAGTTATTAATAAAAATTCTTCAGGTCTTTCATTAGCAATTAAACGACTTATATCAGCTCTTACAAGATATATATCTGAAACACTTGATTTATTATATGATGAAACGGTGTTACTTAAAATGTTTAGATTGATAGAACAAATAATAATAAGTGTCATTGGAAGATTTATTTGCGATTCAATTATTCCTGAAATAATTGAAATATGTTTAAAGGTATCTTGTCGACTACATTTAAGTAAGGTTCTTAGAAAAAGTGTTGAAATGATAATGTTATCTGTAATTCAAACGATTTTTGGAAGGTTAGTCTATTTTTTTTATTTTTTTTTTTCCTAAATATACTTATAGACTAAAAGAAATAACATTAAAAGATGAAAAACTATCATTTATGATAGTAAATGATCAAGAAGTTTTGTCAAAAAATCAAAAATTTGTGTCTAATAATAAAAATTCTAAAACATTATCATCAGAGAAGATTAATTATAAAAATGATTTTTTTTTAGAAAACAAAAATGATAATATAAAAAATGGAGAACAGATTGATGAAGGTTAAACTATCTAAGTTTATATTTTTATTTATTTTCATTCAGAGATCGTTCCTTATGGAATTATATCAATAAAAAAAGTCTTTTATACTTTAATATTATTACTAGAACCACATAATAGACAACATACAGATACTGTACGTATTATAGCATTGCGAATGATTAATACTGCTATTGAAGTTTCAGGACCAGTGATAGAACATCATCCAGATTTGTGTCGTTTAATCACAGATGATTTATGCAGATATTTATTTCAACTTATTCAATCAGATAATCTTTCTATCATATTTCATTCTTTTCAAATAATTTCATTACTTCTACATATGATGAGGCCTTTTCTTAAATTTCAACAAGAAGTTTTCCTTAAATATGCTATGTCCTGTTTTTCTAATCACAATGATATTAAATATCCATCAGTTGGCCATATATTATATCAAGAAATGTTAGATACACCAAAACATAGACATTTCATATCCGGAAAGGACATTTCTATTTCAACAAAAGAACAAAGAAAACTAGGGAATGAAGAGTCTAGAGAAGTAAATATACAAGAAATTATCATGGAATGTATTCTTGGTTTAGTTCGAATACCCAGCTTTATTAATGATTTGTTTGTAAATTATGATTGCGAAATAAATATGTGTAATTTATGTGAGGATCTTATTGATTTTTTTATTAGTGTAAGTTGTATTTAAGATTTCGAAGATACGTAATGTATTTAGAATATATTTTCTGATCCAATGATTTGGTCAAAAACGAATATACCATTATTATCTTTACAAGCAATATTAATATTGGTAGAATATATATCTGAAAGATTAAATATAGAAGAAGTAGGCTACATTTTTTAGTTTATATATTTTAAAATCTATTAGAATAAGGAATCTTTAATTCATAAGTTCCCATCTCTAGAAACTCTTTTGGAGAAGAAAAATAAAAAAGCAACAATAATCCAAGGATCTATAAAATTTAATGAAAAACCAAGAGAAGGAATAAAATATCTACAAAATAATGGAATTTTAGATAAGAATGCTAGTTTTGAATCAATTGCTTCATTTTTAAAAAATACAAGTTATGTCAACAAAAAATTGCTAGGAATATATCTTTCAAAATTGGAAAATTCTCAGGTTTTAGACTGTTTTATTAATACATTTGATTTTCGAGGGGTAGATAAAATTACAATTCATTAATATTATTTATTTAATATCAATATTTAGAAACGTATTGAAGAAGCTCTTCGTGAAGTTTTGTCATTTTTTAGATTACCCGGTGAATCACAACAAATAGAACGAATATTGGAAAAGTTTTCGAATAAATATTATGAAACTAATCCGGGTAATAATGTTTTATTTTTAATATTTTTAATCAAAAATATAGTTGAAATAGAAACAGCAGACGCAGCTTTTGTTTTAGCATATTCGATAGCTATGTTAAATGTTGATTTACATAATACTCAAGTTAAGGTAGATTTAATTTGTATATTTATATCTATATATGTTAAATATTCTATTTCAGAAACGAATGACTATTGAGGAATACACAAAGAATTTAAGAAATCTCAACAACAACAAAGACTTTGATCCTGAATATTTGGTAATTATTATTTTTTTTTTTTTTTGTTAAATAAATATAGAAAACAATTTATGAAGCTATCCGTTCTAATGAGATAATTGTTCCTGATGAACACAATAGCCAATTAGGATTTGAGTATACGTGGAGAAATCTTACAAAATTATGTATTAATAAGGAATTTCGAATATATAATACCAATATCTATGATCAATATATTTTCGAAATTACATGGAAGCCTATTATTAGCTCATTTACCTATGCATTTATTTCTTCAACAGATGATAATGTTCTTTATTATGTTGTCAATGGGTTTGGTCATTGCTCCAAAATTGCATCACAATATAAAATGAGCGAAGTTATTGATTACATAATATCATGTCTTTTAAAAGTGATATCTATTGATGATAATGAATTAAAAAACATTTCTACTAACTTACTAATAAATATTGATGGCAATGATATTTATGTAAATCCTTTTTCAATTAAATTTGGCGAAAACTTTAAGGCACAGCTTGCAGCTATTGTTTTATTTAGAATATCTAATGGAAACGAATCATTGATTCTAGAAGGGTGGAAAGAGGTATTTTTACCATGAAATTTTTAGTTATTAATTTTTAAAGATATTTAAACTCCTTTTTATATTTTTCATTAATCATTTACTTTGTCCATCCTTTACTCAAATACAAAATTATATTTCAATTCCACCTATTACTATTACATCCAAAGTAAAAAGTGGCAAGAAAATATATGAGAACAGATCCCTTGGATTATTATCAGCATTGTCATCATATCTTTCGGGATATGGAACTAATGATGGGTTTATTGCATCGGAAACCGAAATTGAGTATGCAATATCTACAGCTGAATGCATTAAATCGTGTCATATAGAATCTTTATATAAAAATATGATGTTTTTACTTTTTTTTTAAGGAAAATTATCTAATAATATTAGGTCGCTTGATTTAGATATTACAAAACAATTAATCGATATTTTACTGCAACCATTTTCTCAGGATTTATTTATGATGTTAAATTTAAGAAATTCTTCTCAAGATAGCTTAAAAAGTAATTCATCAAATAATGACTATTATTTAAAATACGATGAAATCATTTTATTAAGAATGGAAATAGCTACATGTTTTGTTTTACGTGATACATCTTCTTTAAAAGAATTTTCTCAATTAGTGACTCGATATCTTTTAAATTTCATTAATAATTCGGAAAAGATTCATAATATAATAAGAGAAAGATTTATTATATATTTATTACGTATAGTTAAAGAAGATATTGATAAAGATCTAAATCAATTAAAATTTTCTTCAGTGCTTCATTCATTAGCATCATTAAATGATGCTTTTATAATTGAATATGGACTTAGTATTTCTAATGGAATTTTAGAAATCATCAAACTGTCAAAAAATCAAGAATATATCAACTCTGGTCATTTGCTTAAACTTCTTTCATTAGTTCAAAAGAATGAAGTGGCTATTCCTGTTACTTTTCAAATTGTTCAACATTTATCATCCCAAAAACTTTCAAAAGAAGGTTTTCAATCAATTATTTTTTTATTAAATCAGATTATAAATTACACATCAATAAATAAAAAACATAATCTTGAGAGAATTAAATTACTAATTTCTGAAGAATCTCAAACGTATAAAAGAATTTCTTTATTATTAATAATATTAATTTGTTCTAGATTAGTTCATTTTATAGATTATGCAACTCAATCAATTAATATTTTATATCAACTTCATTTAAAAGCGTTGTCATTATTTCCTGATACCGAATTAGACTTTGAAGAGGGTAATTTCTTAAGGATTTATTAAATATATTAATCTATTTAGTCTGGAAAATATTTTGGGCACCTATTTTTAATATATTTCAAGAACAATGCACGAATATCTTTTATGAAGTGAGACAAGAAGCATTTACATGTCTTCAAAAATCACTTTTGTCCTCACAATTTTCTAATGATAAAAATTTACAATGGATTCTTGTGTTCAAAGAAATCTTATTTCCATTAATATTTCGTCTTTTGAAACCTGAAATATATCAACTTGATCTTCAAGGAATGGCACAGGCACGAATACAAGCAGTAACTCTTTTGTGCAAAGTTTATCTTCATTATTTAGTAAAATTGTCTAAATACGATGGAATGCTTGACTTATGGATTAGCTTATTAGATATTATAGACAGATTAATCAATAGTGGTCAACCAGATCATTTGGTAATTATATATATATTTTTTTAAATCTATTAATATTATATAGACAGAAGCTGTTCTTGAATCTCTTAAAAATGTTTTATTAGTGATGAATACATCAGGTTATTTAGTGCCACCATCAGACTCAAATTTAGTATTTTCCGAAAATTTGAATCATAGCAACAATCAATTTCATTGTATACTATGGAAGGAAACATGGAATCGTATTAATCGTTTTTTGCCGCATCTTAGAGAAGAACTATTTCCTACAGAAATTCATTCTAATTAATAATCCAGCAGAAAGATATATAGAAAACAATTATTCTTATGCAATATTTAAAATTTTTGGAATATCCAAAAATATTTTACATTTTATCAAAAAATATAAACAATTTTTATATTATCTTTGCATCTCGGAAAATTAATTACATAAACAAGCATCAAAGTCATTTAAAAATATATTATTGATTATTTAATTAGAAATTTACAGATTGGTTACTCATTAATATATGATATGAAAGTATATTATTTAGAGTCCGGACTGGTGTAGTGGTTAACATCTGTCGCTTTCACCGACAAGCCCGGGGTTCGATTCCCCGGTCCGGAAAGCTATTTTATATTTAAGGGCTAATATGATCGTAATTAATATAAATTCAGTCTTCCTCATTTTTTTAATTTTAAAGTTTCAAAATTAATTTTTTAAGTCATTTTAGAATTAAAAAAAAAACGTATAAAAATAAGTACATACTCTGAGATTTATTTATCAAAAGTTTAAGAAACACGAAAATACTGAGTATTAAAGACTTTGTACCAATTCTTTTATTCATTAATATTTTTTTTATTTTTTTTAAAAAAATAATATAATTATTAAATGTTTTATTTTTTTGGATTTCAATAGCCAAATCATATTAGAAAGATAAAGATTATCCTTTTTTAATAATAGCATCTTCATTTTTAAGGATATAGTGTTTTAAAATTTCCCCAAATATTACAAAGTATAATTAATCCTTTATAAAACCTTGATAAAAATTGTTAAAGATCGTTTTATAAAAAAATTACAAAAATAAAAACCCATGATAGCAGTTTATAATATAACGTTAAGAGATAGATGTGGGAAATGAATCTAGAAAATCAACTTCAGCATTCGGATGAATCACATAAACTTTTCTAATTGGTTTTTCAGTTTCGCTTTCGATCCCCTCTCCATAGAGCTCCATAATATAATGATCCTATATTTATTTTTAATTATTTAAAAAAATAAGAGTTTATTTATACTTTAACAAGTTTCTTTAATACTTTCTTTATTAAACTTTCTTCAACTATTAACGCATCTTCTGTTAAAATTTCATTTTCTTTTTGTTCTAAATACCATTGAACCAAGTCTTCCTCTTCTACTCCCTCTACATTTTGTTCTTCCTCTTTTAATCGTTTAATAATCATATTTAAAATAGATATATATTTATCATAAGTTATTTTTGTTTTTTCCTTCTTAATAGGATTTACATTTTGTATTTCCGTGTTGCCTACTTCTGATTGTTTTATATCATCATCTAGACCTATATCATCCCTTTCAATATAAATTATACTTTGACGTAGAAGATTATATGCTTCTACAACAAATTTTGGTGTAATATCTTCTACGCAATTTGCTCTTGCAATAGCTTCACTGAGTCTTATCAAACTTTCTAATTGACGTACTGTAATTCGATATGAATTCTTGCCCATACCTTGTGCGTCATCTATTCTAAGTTCCTTATATCTCTTAATTAATTCAGTTTGAGCTTCTGGAGTTAATTTCGGTTTAAATGTTCGTGCATAACGAATATATCTTTGCAATTGTTCAGTAGAAAATTCAGATTTTACAGAATTATCTCGTAACCTATGTATATCTACAATATGTCGTGCTAGATTCGTATCTACTGCCTCATTACATTCATCAAGAATGACAAAAAACAGATCAAATCTTGACATAATCGGCGGGGACATTTGAATATTTGCTCGAAGAGTTGCTTTACGATTATAACGTCCTCCTACTGGATTTGCAGCTGCTAGAATAGATGTTCGTGCATTTAAAGTAACATGGATCCCTGCTTTAGCAATAGAAATTGTTTGCTGTTCCATAGCTTCATGAATAGCAACTTGATCTGAAATATCCATTTTATCAAACTCGTCAATTGCACATATTCCATCATCTGCAAGCATTAGAGCGCCTGCTTCTATCGTAAATTCTCCTGTTTCTTCATCTCTAACAACGGCAGCTGTTAACCCTGCAGCAGAAGATGCCTTTCCTGAAGTATAAACTGTACGAGGAAGAAATCCGCATACATATCTAATATTAAGTTAGGATATTTTTAATTTTTAGAGAAAAACTACTTTAGAAATTGAGATTTTGATGTAGATGGATCACCAACAATACATATATTAATATCTCCTCTTAAATTTATACCTTCTGGTGTAATTTTATGCACACCACCCATAAGTTGTAAGAGAATGCCTTTTTTAATAATTTCATGACCATAGATTGTAGGAGCAATACTATTAACGAGTTTGGAATAAATGCGATCTGTATGAACCATTTTTTTGAGTTCATCAATTTCGTTTTGTGAAAGAGAATTCAAAAAAATATCTTGTTCCTTTTCCTGAGTTTCTCCATGAATATCTGGAACAGAAATATCTCTATTGCTAGTTGATTGTGCCATGCAAGCAAGAAAAGCAAGTCGATAGGTTAAGTCTCTTACACCTAATGTTTTAAGTCCTGTTATGCCTTCAATGGCAAACCCATCCCGAGTTCTGCCAGATCCTCGAGTATCTCGCATTGCTTCTGGACGTACACCAGGAAGACCAAGTTGAGATATATCGGGAATCACAATCAAGGATCCGGTAAAAACACTTTTATCACCTGCTTTAACACGTTCAACAATTTCTCCGCGCAAAATGACATCTAAACTATTGAAAAACTCAATTCATAGGAATATTTCTTTTTAATACTCACGTTCGAGGCATACTTCCAGCTGGTATTTCTGAACTGTTTTCTTGAATCCTAACTTTTTGCCAGTCAACAAAAGTAGACTGAGAAATATTTAATCGCCAATGTTTCTGATTTCGACATATTTCATTCGGACATTGAGATGGCTATATTCGTTTGATTAAAATCTTCATTTTCTTTTCATTAATTACCTCTGTATATCGAAAAATTTGCTCTACATTCGTTACCACTGCCTTACATGCTTCACAAATAAAAGTTGCACGGCTTAATTCAGGCCTAACTTCACTCGTACGTGTAACTGTCCCGGAAATACTAATTAGCTTGCCAATACGATCTGTCCGAAGATCTCTAATTTTTGAAACCAATGGAAATCCATAAAATGCAATATGAAATGTTTTATCAGTCGAAATTTTTGAAACATTTGTTGCTTGAGAAATAGCTGTACGATAATATGTAGGTTCATAACGTTCTACAAGTCGATGAAGAGCACGAATCAAAAAAGGAAGAAATCTAAATATAAAATATTAGTCGAGTGAAAAAAATAAAATAAAATTCCATGTTTAAATTATATAAAAGCATCAAAAAAACCCGACAAAACCATAAAATAAGTCTTGCACTAAGAAAATAACTGAAAAACCTCGCCTAATTGAAAAAATTCATATATATAGAAAATTTATAAAACATAATATATCTATATAATTCAAAAAATAGGCGCACATAAGAAATTTTCCAGCTTATTTATCTTAAAAATATCCCTTCGAGATCCTTTTTTAAACATACCGATAATATTGTTCTACAAGTGCTTCTGCAAGAGCACTGTTTTCATAATCAAGAAGATGCATATAATCAACATAAAGCGTAGTTATTTCATAACTCTTCATTCCATGTATCTGTTCCAAATAATATTTTTTTCTTGTACCAGAAACTGGGTCCGATTCAATATAACTATATTGATTCATGAATTTCTTCTTTTTTTTTAAAAAAAAATATCTACTTTTCAACAAAACTTTCAAAACTTTCACGTACTTTTTCACCCGTAATATCCGTTACTTTTGGAATTGCTGTTGATTGAAGACGACGTCGTTGAATCTGTAAATGACTTGATGTTTCATCCACTTCTGTATGAAATGGAACTGTTGCTTGACTTGAAAAATCAATTGAACTCATGTTGTTAGAAAAAAGACATTAATGAACCCTAGTTTCAAAGTCTATTTAGTATTTTTATATATTTTTATAAGAACCCGTTTGACCTATAGACCTATAATGTTAACTCGATCCAATCATCTTAAAAATAAATAATAGAAAATAGAATATAAAACATTTTTAAAGTATAAACCCCTTATAAATGCGTCATAAACGTTCATTAATACTATATATATGCGTAGTATATGCGTAATATATGCATATATTTTCCTATAGTTTTATCGATACAGTTTAATAATATATATAGATAGATAGCTAGATAGATTGATATGGACTGATTGATGTATCTATTTTCAAGAGTTAATCTATAAAATATATTAGTTAAAATGAATTGATAGATGGTTTAAAAAATATTACGTTTTATATTTCATAAAATGGGATCTTTTCAAATGCCCTCATGGTCTAGTTGGTTATGACACGGGTCTCATAATATGAATGTTGGCAGAGCAACAGTTATCCCGGGGTCGTGAGTTCGAGTCTCACTGAGGGCATCTATTTTTGATGAATTAAATATAATTCGTAGAATGAATTATAAATAAACCTATAAAATTTTAATTAAAATAATATTTTAAAATTTAAAGGAAACTTACTTATATAAAAATAAGAATTTGAATTATAAATAAAACCAAATAAAATCTAAGGAAAATGGTAGTTCTATTTAAAATTGAAACCTAAATCAGAATTATTTATAAAACCGTTAAAATCAGTATTTTTATAGCTAAGCTAGTTTAATTTTATAAGTATCACGTGATAAGAGTGATTCACGTGACCTGAACAAAATTATCTCAATATATATAATACATGATTAATATTAGTGACTCACTTGATTGGATTTCAAGTATGCTGCCAGAAATGGCAGTATTAGAAGAGGTGTTACGTTGCAGGATTTGTAGAGATTTAATGCAAACACCATTAATTACGGGATGTTGCCATACATTTTGTTCACTTTGTATTCGTCGTTGTTTATCTCAAAAACAACAATGTCCGTTATGTCGTCAACCAGAACAAGAGAATAGATTGCGTAGAAATACGTCAATTGAAGAAGTGATTGAAATTTTTGAACGGATCAGGTTATTTTAGTTTAATTTAATTACGCCGTTTGATGTATATAGACCCGGTTTAATGGCATTGGCTAATCCGTTATCTAATACGGAAATTAAATTGTCAAACACAGATTCAATTCCTACAATTGTTAAATGCCCAGTATGTTATCAATCAGTTGATTATGATAAAATTCACATGCATCTTGATATATGTTTAAATCAAAAAAGTAACACTTCTTTACAAACGTAAGAAATATGAAAATAAAAAAAAGCCTTTTTTACTTTTATATTGATATTAATTATTAATATAGGGAGATTTCTCCGAAAACAATACCACATGCGTATTCTAGGTTACCAAAACTTAATTATGCTCTTCTTAGCGAATCCAAACTTCGATCCGAACTGAAATCTCTTGGATTAAAAATATCTGGAGATAAAGCAATGCTTCAACGAAGACATACTGAATGGATTAATCTTTGGAATGCAAATATTGACTCTAAGACGCCTGTTAGTAAACGAATACTACTTGAGAAATTAGATGCCTGGGACCAAATGCAATTAAAAACTACTACTATGAAAAATATTTCAGATAAAGATTGGATTCAAACATATAAAACAGATTTTGAAAACCTTATTGAAAATGCTCGACAATCTAAAAAAAGAAAAGCCGATACATCACCAAAAAATGAACCGCCAGAGACTCAATAAATTTACAAATTATTCGAATTATGCTATATATTCTATTATTCAAATAATTGTGTCTCTTCAATGCGTTTGCTAGTAATATGAGGTATTAATGATGGTACCTCTAAATCCATATCTGCAAACATGTTGTTAATTATTTCTATTTCTGCATCTTCTTTTGGCTTTTCAATAACTTCATTTTTTAAGGCATCGCATAATTTTTCAAACTCTTGTTCAATTTCTATGTCAGAAATATTGTTTAAATTTGCAGTGCCTAACGTATCTCCAATACAATCAACTTCATATGATAATTCTTTGAATTTCTCCATAATGTCTTTGACATTTTCAATGTCGGCTATTTCTTTTACTAAATTTTCTAACACTTCAACTCCGGCTTTCATTGAATTTAAAATATCCAAATGAATCACTGCTTCATCAATTTTTGACAGAATTTCTTTCACTTGTTCTAGAGATTGAAGTCTTTTATTTAATGTCAGCTCTGACGCTTTTTTAGAACGTAATTGGAACATCGCAAGCGTTTTATTTTTTGATTGAATTGCCGTTTTGATCGATTCATCTAAATGTATTATATTTTGTGTAAGTGTTTGTGTCAATCGTTTCAAACGATAAAAAATCGTTTTTAAATTCGAAATAAGATGATCAGTTTCCGTAATATTTAACACTCTAGCATCACTTTTTCGCCTTAATTTAATTATCTATTATCAATAATTAGTTTTCAGTATTTCAATTTACTAAACAAGAATTACTTGACCATCTTCACTTATAGTGGCCTCCTTTTTATTTCTTGATAAATGGTAAATCATTATTTTCATATCCAGTTCAGAAAGAATACGAGAACTAAATATTTTATTGGAAAAACATCTAACCAGTCCATCAAATGAATAAATATGTTCACTATACATAATTTTATCCTGTACAACTGTAAGAAATGCATTTTCCGCTCTTTCAACATGCTCAAGAATTATACAACTTGTATCTAATTCTGCTTTTTTTAATATATATTTACCGATTCTTCCTAAACTCCATGCAACAAAATTCGACATATATGATAATGCATAGGAATAAATACAATCTTTTTTCTTAAAAAAATCACACAAACGAATCCATTCTCCTTTTTCTAACGAATATTCCTGTTTATTCCATCAATTTATATATTTTTTTGTTTCAGTTAATTTAAAACCATAGTTTCTTTTATTCCCAATGGTATACCATATTTTGGCGAATAAAGAGAAATAGACAGACGGTTATCACAATGAATAACAAGGTAATCACATGTCCATTCAATTTTTCCTGCCCAAACTGCATCTTCTAGTGCACTTTTCCATGCATTAGTATTTGCTTGATAACCTTCAAAATTAGAGTTTTTAAGCGGAAAAAAATCAGAATAAAGAGATGGAAGACGAGATGATGTAAATTCCGTGTGATCTAAAATATATTTAAGGAGAAGACCGGTTCTTTTATCCTCTTCTTGACATTTTTTTTCCTGATAAAATGAGTCGCTCATATCAATGTCGTTAGTAAAGTCGAGGTGGTCCTAAATTAAGGTACAATAGAAAAGTATAAAAATAAAGAAAAATACAAGAGAAGATATGCATATGCGTGTAGTTGAATACGAAGAATAATTCGGTACTTTATGATTTGTTAAAAGAAAGAAATCAAAAATCGTTATAAAACAATAGAAATAAAAATATTAGAATAAATAAGATTAAGTATATATTTGATCATGTAGAGTAGCTGTAAATGCATTTATTTCATTCCACTGAGTGTCTTGATAGACAGACATTGCTTGGAGAAAAGATTGTTGAGCCAATTTTTTTTTACCAAGGGTTAACCAAGCTTCTGTGGCAAGAATTTTCCATAAAGCAGCCTTTTTACGACGAGATCCATAAGAGAGTAGACCATATGACCTTATAGTTCCAAAACAATATGAAATTCGCTCAATTAGAAGAGCATTAATAGTGTTTCCAAGGATACCAGTTTCGAGAATTTTTATTAGCCATTTAGCGGCATTGTTTTTTGCCTCATTAGATTGTAGAAACATAAGTTCAGAAGCAAAGATAACAGATCGTAAAGCGAAGAAAGGTGAGGAAGACTCCGATAAATAGGAATATAATGATGCGTTTAACATAGAGTCGATTGTTTCAACTTTGATCTTTGTCGTATATGAGGGAAAAAGTGAGCAAAGCGCCAACATTTCTTGAACTCCTGCATAATATTTCCATGCTTTATCATTTAAGAAATCTTTTTTTAAAAGTTCATATATAGATTGCGCAAATTTCCAGTCACGTAACATAAAAGCATAATCTGCAAGTTTTCTTAATCGTGCTTCAGGAGAAGATAAATCATAGGATAAAGTTTTAATATTATAATTACTATTATTATAAAAAGAAGATTGATTACGAGCAGTACCGGTGCTGAAATAGCGTTTAGAAACGTTGAGAAGTTTTCCTGCAATTCCCCTACGAGATGCAGCGACCTTATATATAATTATTAAAAAAAAAAATGTATGTTTAATAGAAAAATTTACTTGTTCATTCCATAAATCAATTGATTGTTCCATAGCTGGAATAATACTTCTAGATATCAATTCTTTAACAAATGTACGAATAGCAGAAACATCCTTCTGACTTAAAGCATAGAATTCATCTAAAAAGTTAGTTAAAAAAAATAAATATTATAAAAATAACCTTTAGTCGTATCAAAAGATAAATTCCATGGATCTTTTGGCACTCGTATATACGCTTCTTGAGATTTATCTAAAGATTGATCTGAAGGAGATAATCTGATAAGATATGAATGAATACCAAAAGTCTGTTTAATAGTTTCAAATACTTGTAGCGATCTAAAAGATAAGAAAATATTTTAAAAATATTAACTATACTTTTCAAGATCATGACTATCGTCATGTAGAAAAAGACAAGCTGGCAAATAACTAAAATCAATATATGGAAGCATTGGAGGATGTAGTTGTAAATGTTGAAGTGACTCAAGTGGTTTCGAGCTGTGAGATGATATTGCAAAGACACAAGCAATAGGATGGCTAAAAGATTCATGTACTGAAGGAGGAAAAGATGCTAAAAGACGACAATAAAAATGAAAAGCTGAAGAAATCTCAAGCGATTGCTCCATATTTTCCGGATTTTCATATGTTTTTTCCAAATCTCTTTCATTTTCTTTTAAAATTTTTTCCTCTTTCATATCTTTCATTCCATAACTAAAAACATTCATATATTCAGATACCTTCCCTTCCATCCAGTCAATTTCTTCTTCCATAGATTTAATTTCCTCATGTATTTTTTTATCATTCAACAACCGTTGTAGAGGAACAAAATGTACTCCAAATACTTCACAAAGTACATTTCCTTCCGAATGGCGAATAAGAACTGTTTCTCCCTTATTTTCCTCGAATATAGATAACATTTCATGTACACATCCAAATCCCTTAGCCGATGCCAATTCATTGGCATCCCCAGATGCTAAAACAGCAATATTAGGAGAAAATCCACGCAAAAATAACGGGAGAAAAGAGTTTTTCTGGTATTTTTCTGATAAATGCGTTATATATCCATCTTCAGATGCTCTTTTTTCTGAAAAATTACCCATAAAATAGCGATTCATTAGCCTCACTCATAAATTGGACGTTTAACTGCTTGGTTGTCATGGAGACTCACTATAGCAATAGTTTCCTAGACAACTCTAGTACACTTAAGATAATTGCTATGACAACCTCATCATATCTTCAACCTCTTCAACTTTTTATATGTTTATCTGCAGATTTAATGCTATAATTTGGAGAAAGTATGGGTTTATTCTGAGAATAAGTAGATTCAAAAGGAATAATATTGAAGATTTTAATTGGTATTTTTCTAAGTTTATGAGATTGATGAAAAAAAGTTATTTTTCGAATGAAATTTCAAAAGAAATTATTCTTAATGAGAGAGAAAATGAGCTAAAAAAGCTACTTCTTTTAGTTTCTGAAGATTGTAGGCGAAGAGGAAGACCAGTTATACTTAGATTTGCTGGTGGCTGGGTCAGAGACAAGGTTTTTTTTGTGATTTAAGTGAACGAAAGAAAAAGGCTTATTTCTAAAGTTACTTGGGCTTGAAAGCAATGATTTGGACGTTGTAATTGATACTATGTCTGGATATGAGTTTGCATTGTGTTTAAATAGATATCTTCGTAAGAATAAGGCATTTCAGATAGGATATTCTCATGTAGCAAAAATTGAACGTAATCCGGAGAAATCAAAGCATTTGGAGACAGCAACAACACATATAATGGGGATTGAACTAGATTTTGTAAATTTAAGAAGTGAATCGTATTGTAAGGATAGTCGTATTCCTATAATGGTAAATAAGATATGATAAAAAGATAAAAATTTATTATAAATAAGGAATTTGGAACCCCAGAAGAAGATTCTTTGCGTAGAGATTGTACTATAAATGCATTGTTTTATAATCTTCATACATCCGAGATTGAAGATTTTACAAAAAGAGGTCTTGAAGATATGAAATTAAAGAGGATAGCTACACCTTTAGAACCATATCAGACATTTGATGATGATCCTTTAAGGATCTTAAGATGTATTCGATTTTCAAGCAGGTTTGGTTTTGAGATTGATTTAGAAACAAAGCATGCTATAATGCATCCCAATATTAAAGTAATTTTTATATTTTTCCTTTTTTTTATTTCTTAAGCGTATTTAGAAATCTTTATCAACAAAAATAAGTAAAGAAAGGATAGGGGTAGAGATAGGAAAGATGTTGGAAGGTTTTTTTTTTGTAGTTATAATTAGTTATTTAATATTAATAGGAGTAAATCCATATGGTTCTCTCAAATTGATTTATGATCTTGGGCTCTATGAAAATATATTTTCAACTAGTTCCCTTATGAAACCACAAAAAAATTTGAACTGTATTCCTTTGGCCATTGAATTGACAAAATGGATTATGCAAGATAAACAAGAAAATGCATTAAAAGATGAGCTAGACTCAACACTGTCTTCAGAACATCCTATATCTTCAATTTTAGGAAATATTTCAGTAAACCCTTTCGAAGAACATATGGATCTTTTAGGAGGGGTAAAAAATAATATGATTCCATGGCTTTTATCTATTCTTATTCCTTGGAAAGAACAATTGGTAAAAAATAAAAAAAGAAACGTTCAATATTCTTCAGTTATTGTTAGAGAAGGACTAAAAATGAGCAATTATATTGCTAATATTGTTGATGATAGCTTTTCTTACTTTCAAGAAGCACAAAAAATATCAATAGAATGTATAAATGGAATAGAAACTCGAGTATCTTTAGGCAAATTCTTCCTTTTAAAAATACGTTATGTTTTTAATTATTTTAGGATGTTTTGTTCGTCTTGTTAAGAAAAATTGGCCATTTGCAGTTTTTCTTGGGTTGATTGATGAAATATTAGCATCCTTTTTACCGCAAATGGATAAATTAGAAAACAAATACAAAATAAAAAGGTCTAAATTAGAAATAGAACATTTGTTTGATGAAAAAAAATCCATTTTAAATCGATATCAATCCCTTCTTGATAAAATTCATCATGAAAATCTCCAAAAAGCATATTCTTTGCAACCAATTGTTAATGTATTTCTAGTACTTTTTATTATTTATATAAATTGATATGCTTAGGGCCATATTCTTTCAAAAACATTTGGACTTAAAGGACCTCAGATTGGTGTTGCACTTGAAAAAGTAATTCTATGGCAATTAAAAAACCCAGAAGGTACTCCGGAACAATGTCTTTCACAACTTAATTTAAAATATATTTAACTGTATATTTTTTCGATCATTGTACAAATTTTAATTATAATTATCGTTTTGTACCTGAAGATCATATTATCGTTAGTTGGTTATAGATTAAAAAGATAAGATTGTTGATTAAAATTTGATAAGCCAAATTTCAAAAAAAATATAAAAATAAAGACTATTTATTATAGAATATTATCTCAGATATATTGGAAGAAGAAGACAATAAGAAATTTGAAATGGATGAACAAACAAAGTCAAGAGGTTTTAAAACAATATCGAACAATATTGATTGGACGATATTAGCAACAGAAATACCAATAGAAGGAGAGGAGATATTTCAGGTAATGAATAGAGAGTATGCAAAATTGCTGCTCTATTTTTTTCTAGAAAAAAAGTTTTTTATGGGTCTAGAAAGTTGAAAGAATGAAACAAATTCTCTATGTCTTAAAAAATGGATCTGTAAAGGAAAATATAGATGTTGTTGAATTTGAAATTATTAAAATTGTTGAAAAGATATGTATAGTTATGCGTCCTATAAATGAAATGAGGCAATTTGATGCTTTAGGAAAGTAATTTAGTAAAAAAAGAAATATTTAAGAATTAATAGATATTAGAAACAGTTTCTAAAGATATTCAGCAGGCTTATCATACATTAGTAAACATTTGTTTAAAATGCATAGATATTTTACTGTCTATTTTTACTTTTTTAATGGAAAATCCAAAGATTAATAACAAAATAATTCAAGCATTGGCAACATATCAAATAAAAACTGACCCATGGACGTCTATGAAAAATTATTCTCTTTCTTCTAAGATTTTAGAAGATATTATGAAAAGAATAACATTAGAAGAAATTTTAGATCATATTTTAATGGATGATATTCGTCCATATTTTTCATCTCAACCAAATAGGTTCACTTATGATAAAAATATGCCTCTCAAAACAAAAAAGCCTCTTCGTAGACCTTATGAAAATATTCGTGGATTTTCGGGCGCATTTGGAACAGAACTTTGGAAGACAGAAAGAATAGAATGCACATCTATTCTTGAATGGACACTTTTTGTATGCCAAGTAAGTAGAACAGTTTTATAAAAATTATTAAATTTAAACTTTAAAAGAAAGACACTGCTTTGAAACATATTTATCTTATTATTTCTTTTTTAGTAATACTTTTGGAAGATGCTAATCCAAATTTTAAGCTTAAAAGTTCTCGTTGTTTATGCCATTTATTACCAAAATGTGATCCTACTCTTATGAAAAACACAGGAATGGGTGATCTTTTTTGGGAATTGGTCATTCAATGTCTTTCATATCATCCTCCTTCAATCGATATTTCTATTTCTATTCCTTTGTTAAGAACATCATTGAATAATTTAATTACACTTGCATCAAAAATGCAACCTGATCTCAAAGATCAAAGGGTAAAATTATATGATGAAATTGTATATAATGGTATCTTCAATGGCATGTTTTATTCAGGTGAACAATCGGATATGGTTATCCTTCTTATGGAATACACAGAAAAGCTTGTTAATATAATGGGAATTTATGCTGTTAAGCACATAAAGGTAATTTTATTTTTTTTTACTATTTTTTAATCTTTAGAAAGATGTTGATCTCGCTTGTTTCATCTGTTTTAGAAAAATCTTTTCAAACAAATCATCCACAGCGTTTTCTTGAAGCAGCTAAAGCATTAAAAACAATTATACATGTTTGTTGGCCAAGAATAGAACATCACCATGCTACAATATTACAGGGAATTTGTTTTTGTTGGTTAAATATGCAATCACAAAAAGGCGAAATTATAGACGAAATAAAAAAGCAGTTGCATTTTTGCATAAAATCACTTAAAAAATTGATGGGAAATACACTAGATAATGACATCAAAGCTCTGATGGATGTAGATTCTAATCTGGCTTTATTTTTTAAAGACATATAATAAAAATACAAATTATTACAAAGCTGATATATATATGGTTAGGAAAATCTAGGAATCAATAATATGCATCAATTACTTTATATATATATGTGAGTACTTTCATATATACATATATAACTGGGCATGTTTTATTGATGAAATCAACGATAAGCTGATAACAGATGAGTAAAAAATAAATATAAAAAGCTATATATTTTGAAAATTTTTGTTATAAAAAAATATGAAAATTAGGACAGAAAATGCAGCTGATGTTTCTTTTCTGGTGAAGTTTACACTTTATGAGACAAAAACAGTAAAATCAAATAAATGGATATTTTCTGAAGAAATAATAAAATATATAGAAATTTTTTATTGTTGGTGAAGATTATAGTGGAACAAGCTTTCAGGTACTTAAGATAGATCGAATGGTTGAAGATGAGTTGGATTTGATTGAGGATGAAACAATTTATTCAAAAAATGAAATTTCGAAATTACTAGTTACTATTAACGAAGGAAACCGGAACTGTGGAGGAATTTCAAAAGTATTAGTTGCATGGGGAATATGTGGTCTTTTTTTTTTTAAAAAAAAAAAAAAACAAGGTTGATTTGGTACAGGATTTATTCGATTTACTTGTGGTTATTATATTTCATTTATTACAAAAAGAAGTACAGTTGCTTTGCTTGGAGGACATTATATATATCATATTAATGATACTAAATTGGTTCCAATAGCCCATTCATCAATTTTATCTAAGAAATCCCGCTCTGTTCTTGTTGAGGAATCACGTTATTTAAATATATTTCAAACACTTGATTTAAATAAAACATTCTATTTTAGCTATTCATATGATATTACTCATACACTTCAACATAATCTTACAACACATTCATGTTTAAAGGCAAGAACATTAGATGACTATAATGAAATGTTTGTTTGGAATTATAATCTTTTAAATATTGCTATAAAATGTCTTAAAAACGGATCAAAATGGTGTATTCCAATTATACACGGATTTATAGATCAAGCAAGTATAAGTGTATTATGTTTTGATTCAATCATTTATTAATTATCTTAAGATATTTCAGTATATGGAAAATCGATATATATTACATTAATTGCTCGAAGATCTAGGCATTTTGCTGGTGCACGTTTTTTTAAAAGGGGCGTAAATAGTAAAGTAAATTGAATTTTTGTGTTACTGCAATAATAATTATGTAATAGGGTTATGTTGCTAATGATGTTGAATCTGAACAAATTGTCAGTGAAATGTTAACTACATCATTTTATACCAAAGATATGAAGCTTAATCCAAAATATACATCATACGTTCAACATCGTGGAAGTATACCATTATTTTGGAGCCAGGATCCTAATAATATGAGTCCTAAACCTCCAATAAAACGTAATCTTAATTAATTTTCTTTAAAAATAATTAAATATTTTAGTTGATATAATAGATCCGTTTTTTAGTGCAACTGCTTTACATTTTGATAATATGTTTAAGCGTTATAAAACTCCATGTATTGTGGTAAACCTTATAAAGGTAGATTACTTTAGTGCGTAGACATTAATTGAATCCCATAGTCCAGGGAAAGGGCTAGAAGAGAATCTATTTTACTCGAAGAATATACTCAGGCTATTTATTATTTGAATCAATTTCTTCCTGAAGATAAAAAAATCAAATATATTGCTTGGGATATGTCAAGGGCATCTAAAACGTATAAATAAATTCATTTTTTATTTATCATTTAAGAATATAATAGAAGAGGTCAAGATGTAATTTTAACACTTGAAAATATTGCAGATGAGGTTTTAAAAACTACAGGATTTTTTCATAGTAAAATTTTGAATGATCAATCTCAAAATATTAAAAAAAAATTGAAATTGCAAGAAGGAATATGTCGTACTAATTGTATTGATTGTTTAGATAGGACTAATGCTGCTCAATTTGTTATTGCAAAAAAAGCTTTAGGTTATCAGGTTTTAAATGATACTCTTATTTAGATATTTTTATAATATTTTTAAGCTTTTTGCATTAGGGATTATACGAGAACCTATTCTAAATTATGATACTGATGCAATTAATCTTTTAACAGAAATGTATCATGATCATGGTGATACAATTGCATTACAGTATGGAGGATCTCATTTAGTAAGAAAAAGATTATATCTATGCAATTGTAACATGTAAAGGTAAATACAATGTCAACGTATAGGAAAATTAATCATGTAACAATTCTTTATATTAAATAAATTATCAACATTAATTTTCTAGTGGACAAGTCATTCAAGAGATATAATCGAAAGCATTAGAAGATTTTATACTAATTCGTTTGTTGGTATATTTGAACTTAATTTTATTTATATTCTCTTAAATATTTTTAGATGCACAGCGCCAAAGTGCCATAAATTTATTTTTAGGCATAAAATTGCCTAATAATAAACATATGTTATGGGATTTAACAACAGATTATTATTCACGTCATACTCCTCAATTAAATAATATAAGAAGAAAGTAAGATGATATTCTAATTTTATTTTTTTAAAATTTCTTTAGTTATAAATATTGGTATATACCACTAAATATAGACTCTTCTTTAGATGAGAATTGTCTATCTGAGAAGTTAAAATGTAACAAATGTACTGATTCTGATGAATATTGGTCTGAATATTATAAACCGAAAATGTTATCAACATTAGATAAAATGTTTGCATATAAAATTAATTCAACATTAAGATATATATCTTTAAAGTGAATTTATAAACTGTTTTATGATATTCAATAACATTTTTAGGTATTCTTCGCCTAAGTATTTTGAATTCAGTCCATTTGTGATTCGTTCTCTACATGGAGATGTATTAGAAGAAGATTCCTCTAGAAGTAGGCCTTCAAATAGAGACAATTTATCTTACAAGTTATTTTTTTTTTATTAAAATATAATAAGACTTATTTGAATTAGAAAACATAAACGTCAATTTGCTATTCAAAAGATTCTTAGAAAGGCTGAAGATAAAAAAATAATTCGAGATACACATGAATATAATAAGGCTCAAAAAATGGAAAGATTTCATGGATTAGATGCAAAAAATGGTCCATTTTTATTTCCTTTGCCCTCACAATATGTAGAAATTAATCATTTTTCAACAAGTTCTATGATGTATAAGAAAGAAGAATATAAGAAGTATTTCTTTTTGATTTTTATTTAAATAATCATAATACTTTTTAGTTATTTATATCGTTCATATCATATCGAACTCCTTCAGGAAGAACTTTCTTCAAGAAAATCAGAATATAATCAGTGGATTAGTCTCACTGATATTTCTTATATCGATAAGGTTAAACCTAGTGATAAAGATCTAGATCTTTATATAGAACATTGTGAATTTCCTGAAACTTTATACCCTATGAAAGGTACTTATTCTTTAAATAAAGAAACTATACAGGAAGCAAAGTATCAATAATGGTTAACACAAATACAACATTAAAAAAACAGGAAAATATTATAAATCGTCTAAATATTATTTTTTTAAATAATCAATCATATGAAGTCATCTACAACCTCTATACAGTAAATCTTTAGGAAATATTATTAAAATAATTAAGATTGTTTATAGCAAATTAATTACTCAAAAATATAGACATATATTTATACTTATTTACTTTTATATTTTTTTAATTTTCTTCTCGGTTTTAGAAACTTTTAATATTTATACAAAAAAAATATTAGAGGAAAAATGACAATTTCTATCTATGATTTAATTGAGGATTCTCCCCCTGGAGAAGTAAATGATGTTTTTAATGGTAACTATATATGGATATATATGTTTTTAACCGATGAATAGATATTCGTATTCTTGTCAATAATGACAAGAGCTTTTTTGAAGAAATTGTGCCTTGTCTTGCAAGATATAATAAAGAACAATTTACAAATATTAGGATTCCTGGTTCTGAGAATGAAGTTTTTTTTATTATTATTTTTTAAAAAATTGAGTATTTTAGACAATTATTAGTCAATATAATTGTGAGGATGGACGTTTTTTTGATCCTATTTCAAAGAAATCATTTCTATTTGACCACTTGAATCTTGTATTTTGTTTTTTTTTCAAAAAAATAATTGTTTTAATGAATTATTAGCAAGTGTCGGATATTCAACCTTATGAAATAGATGAAAAAATATCTGAAAAAATGTCAGTGTTCTTGTTTTTCTTTAAATATGTTGAGCTCCTTATTTATAAAAGATATAGAAATGATCTTTTAAAGCCTTTGTTAATTTATTTATCAGAACATTTTCCATCTTCAGTAAATTATGGAATCTTTCCAGGAAAAAATGACACATATTATATTCTTATTGTTGGGAATAAGTATAATCCTGTTAATTTCTGGTAAAAATGATTTTTTTGAAAACCAAACCTGTATTTAATTTGATATAGGAATGGACGCTGGCGTTCTTTTTACCAGTTTTCAGAATCATCGCTTGTCATTACAGCAACATTGCTTATTGACGTTCATTATTATGAGGACGGGAATGTTCGCCTAACAACAAATCATAATTTTTCTTTTGAAGCTAAAAGTGCTAACAGTTCAGATATTATAGCAGCTATTGCAGAGGAAGAAAAGAAATATCAGGAAGAATTGAATATGACGTTTCACGGTTTAAATGATCATGACTTCAAAAGTCTTAGGCGTCAGCTGCCAATGACTAAACAAAAAATTAATTGGGAAAACATAAGTAGTTTAAAAATCGGGAAAGACATGGCCGGAAGAAATCAAACATATTGATTCTAATAATATATGTCATTTCAGACAGGAAATCTGTCTATAATATTAAAAATATCCACTAAGAATCCATAATATTATAAAAACTATGATAAAAAAACAAACACATTTGAAAATGCTTATTTTTGTTAAAAGAACACGGTTTAAACGCAATGCAGAATTATGAACGTCTCTTGTGAGTCTTGAAATCGCCTGTTTCTGCATTTTCTATCAACTCTATATACTTAGATTTATATTCTATTTACACTTTGTTCAATCATTGTCATATCCGATGCTTGTTTATGAATATCCAAGGTAATCTAAGAGAAAAATATAAGCAGACCTAGGGAAATTCACTAATACGAATACACACATCTTTCAGCATAGAAACCTTAGATTCCTTTGAAAAAAAATATTAATCTTAATTTATTTACTTTGTCATACTTACCAGCTCTTTTAGTCGTCGATCATTTTGTTGCTCATAAATAGGTATAGAAGGGATCATTTCATTAGATATTTTAGGCGAAAAGGCGCTGTAAAATCCTTCAAAACCTTATTATAAATTGATATTTTTACTGTGGCTGGCAGATGGAGATCTCGGTTACTCACGTGATTGGAAAAAAATATCAAAAAATATAATGTGAATTTTATATTGAAATAGACATAAGTTGATTGATAAAAGCTGTCAAATTAGACTAAGAAATGAGATAATGCATGAGACGTTCATAAATAAAAAAAGAAGAGGAAATCTGCCATATAAATTAATGATATTGCTTTTGTATAAGCTTTGCATACCATAGGAATAGCCTATTTGTAAATATTTAGTGTTTATTTGCAATTTAAAAATATTACCTTAACATAACTAATGGTTAACCCAACAAAAAATCCTCTATAGCCAGATCTATTCCATATTTCAAGCGCAGTTGCGTATATACCTTTTTTTTTATGTATGTCGTTAATATCTGATACTTGCATTTTGCGTCGAATTACTTCTAATGGGTATGCGACGGTTTGAGAAAATAGTCCAGCCAATCCACCTGCAGTAAGTTCAGCCCAAGCCTTAAGTGGAGTTCGTTTATAGCGATAGCCCTGATGTAGATCGAGTGTATTTTCTAAGGAATAGATCTCTTTTGAGGACATATTACTTGTGTCATGAGCAATAACAGTATGTTTTTGAAATGTTTTACTTCGAAAAAAGTCGACAATAAAGTCATGTGCCCAGAAAGAAACACCAGAATAAGGAAGCATTCCTATAAGCGTAGGTGTAAAACCTCTGTAAAAGTTAAAAAATCCCATGGATGTGTTAAAATAATATTTAAATGATTTTTGTACAGGATCAATATTAATAACAGAACAATCAGACCCTTTAAAAATACTTCTACATATTCTTTTAAAGGAAGTATGCTCTCTTGATCGTATTTCAAACGCTAAACGAACTCGTATAATATCTAGTGGGTATGTAAATAAGACAGAAGTTAAGCCTATAGATTCAATTTTTTTTTAATAAACAGAAAATTTATTACCAGCAAGAGATCCAGATGCAAATCTTCGTAGCCCTGTATCACAATTTATGTTGGGAATCAAAAGATTTCGATATTTTTCATAACTGAGAAATTTGATAGCTGCATATGGAAAAACACGAATAAGAGTCACAGAGTGCCCTTTAAATAATCCGAATATTCCTTCATTCTTCCATATATTCTTCCCTGCATGCAAAAAACCAAATCTCATTTTTGAATATTCTAAATAATGTGGATTAGACGTTTGAAATAAAATTTTAATCCGATCAAGTGGTGCAATAATAGTTTTTGCCTTAAAAACATATTACCTCATATTATACATGTATATTAAGAGACATACTACACATCCTGAGACTCCTCCTGCGATTCCTGTATTAATCCAAAAGTTTCTGTTATTTTCTTCATTATCTTGTTTTTTTTTAGCCATTTTTTCCAGAAAAAAAAACCCTTTTCCTATATATTCTTCTATTTTTAACGGATTACAGAAAAGCATTTCAAAATACCCTTTAGATCCTCTCTTTTTACATGCTTTTAATTCTGCACAAAATTCGATGTTATTTGCCTGGATTAGATGTTGCTATGGACCGTTGCTATGCTACAACTATTAATGAAGAAATATGTATGAAAGAATGAAGTAATGTTGAAAAAAATAAGGATACGAATCTCTAGAAATAAAAGAAAAGATGGTTTGTTTTTATTTTGTATTATAAAGTGGATTTCTAGATAAATTGTGTCTCTTTTTTAAGCCATTCGTAAGCTCGAAGATCATCTTCCAATAGTGGACCAAGTTTTTCTAAAACAAGCTTATGATAGCTATTTATCCATTTCTTTTCATCTTCTTGTAAGAGAGTTAGATCAATAAGATTAAGGCCAAAAGGACACTGGAATATGAATGAGTTAAAAATAAAAAAAAAATATTTAATACCATTGTTAAATATTCAAAGCCATAGAAAGGAGAATTTCCAAAACAATAGGTTGTATCAGTATTTTTTACAGCAACAATACTTTCTATACGCTGTCCATAGCTTCCATTTTCATAAAATCCGGGTTCTTATTTAAAGTTAATGAAAATACTAAAAATATAAAAAAGAAAAATAGATAAAATCACAAAAAAAATCATATTTTTCTTCTCCGAAGTTTAAATTACTTGTTATTGAAAAATATTGTTATTTTATCTGTTTTCTTTTTATTAAAACTAACCATCTGAAAGTACCATTCCAGGCAAAAGTGCCATTTCATTATATAATTGTCTTTGTGCGATGCCTATAGGAGGCTCATGTACATTTAAGAAACTACCCACACCATGCCCTGTTCCATGTAAATAATCAAGACCAATACTCCATAAATATTGGCGAGCAAGTATATCTAAAATATATCCAGTTGTCCCCTTCGGAAAGATGACTTTTGCAAGAGCAATATGGCCTTTCAAAACATAGGTAAATGTTTGCTTTTCTTTTTCTGTAGGAACACCAAAATGATATGTACGTGTAACATCTGTTGTGCCATCTCTGATCATTGAATTAATTGAAATAACCAGATAAAGTATTAAAAAACCTATATTGTGCCCCTGAATCACATAAATAAATACAATTGATATCTATAAGAGAACATGATGCCTTTTCTGGTTTATAATGAATAATAGCACCATTTTTACCACTAGAAGAAATAGTAGGAAAAGATAGGCCTACGAAGTGAGTTTGTTCCCTATTTCGTTTAGAAATGGAAAATATAATGCTTATTGCTTTACTTTCGATATGATTCTAATTGATCAGCTGCGTCTACTTCGTCTAAAATGCCTCCATTTTTTAAAAACTCTTCTAACCAAGCAAAAAACTTTACTAAAGCTACTCCATCTCGAATATGACAATTTCTCATACCTTCGATTTCTTTTTCATTTTTGATAGTTTTTGCTTCGGAAATAGGACTTCTTATTATTTCAATATTTGTTTCTCCCAATGCAATAGCTACTGCCCAACTTGCTGTGTCAGATATAAGTATTTTCTGTCCATCAATATCATCTCTTAGGCCTGCTAGTTCCATAAAAACGTTATCATAAGGCTTGATTTCTACACATTTCAAATGTTTCCTAACATGATTATCTAATTTTGAATCATCAATATATAACACAATTTTATCATGTGTTATTAATGAATATGCAAAAAAAACAGGATTATAAGGAATGTCTGTTCCACGAAGATTAAACAGCCCTACTTATGTTACTTGATTGATACAAAAGAGAGGGGGGAATACAAGCAATATCATCTAACATAGATACAAAAAAGGCATACGCATTCCTTTTCTTCAAAAATCCACGCACTTCACAAATCTTTTCAGAGGACTCTTGACCTGATTAATTATTAAAAATAAACTTAAAATAATATAAAGTTGTTCCTGAAAATTCAAATGGATGAACTGTTACCGGATAATTCGGTCGTTCAGGTCTATTACTAGACCATACCTCATCTACAAGATTTGTAGATATGCTAATTAATTTAGCATTTGATTCTAATGTAAGTCTTCTTGAAAGTGATATAGTTTCATCTATAAAAATACTAATCTCAGCAAAATACTTCTAATCTTTCATATTCTTACGAAATGAAATCAATGATGCATCCACTCCCACTGTTTTACCGTTTTTTGCTTGTTGAACTATCCAATCTTGCCATGTAGGAAAATTATGTCCGAGTTTCATTAATGTCCAATTTTTATCAAGCTGCTGACTAGCTTGCAAAAAATATCTCCCATCCGTAAAAAGACATGCTTCATCCTGAGAAATAACCGCACATCCTGCCGATCCATTAAATCCTATCTCAATCAATCAATTGTTTTTCCTATAATATTTTAAGTCGGACCACTAATAAAAGCACGACGTGCATCACAATCAGCAATATATTCTGAACAATGTGCGTCTCCTGATGGAACGACTATATTTATCAGATTTCATATATAAATATCATCATTTTATCTATACTATAGATATCCACATTGTTCTCCATCATTAAGTCTCGAAGTTTCTCCAAACGTTCCCCTGTAGAAACTGCTACCATTTCAAACGTCATATCTTATTTGTAAAGGTTATATTTATAGAAAAATCCTTAGTTTTTCTCTATTGTCACTGTTTAGAAAAAAGTAGAAAAAAAAAAGCGTTTAAAGTCATTTTTTAAGAGTTTTAAATGCAACAAAAAAGGACAAATAGAAAATAATAACTAACCTTTAGTTAAAATAAGTGTTTCCTGTTAATTATGAATGGTATTGTCTAAAATATCTGGAATTTTAGAGAAAATACTTTTTTATGAGGTTGAAAACGGACGCTTTGGAGTTATCGGGCAGATAACCTCATAAAAAAAGGCTGAGCAGAAAATGGGGTAAAATAGAGAGAAGAATGGCAGAAGAACTCCATATTGAAGAGGTATCTTGTTCTCCTTGTTGAGAGTATTTGAATGATAGTTTTTTTGCTGACAAAAAATGGTTTTTTTAGCTTGTAAATAGGATTTATTCTTCGGAAAATGCAAGTAATCTAAAATTGATAGATGAAACGCATAGAATACTTGAAAAGCTTCAGGGATCAGAGAGATCACTTGAATATGCTAATAAATGTATGCAAAGTTCGAATTTGAATGTGCAGTTTTTCGGGGCTTTGACATTTTATGTAAAAATAAATTTGTATTGGTGATTGGCCTTATATTATGTAAAAAGAGGTGTTTATAGGTTTTTAGGAGTAGTTTGAAAGAACATGAAGTGGTTTCTTTACTATATAATCTTTTGAATTGGGTAAAAATCTATATTAATGGACCTTCTATTGTTATTAAGAAATTAATATCATCGTTGTCAATTTTTGCTTTAAAAACAGTTCCTATGCTTTGGAATCGACCTATTTATTGTATAATGATGTTGTTGAAATCTGATGAAAAAATTGAGCTTGCTAATATAATTGCTACCTCAGATATTAATCAAATGTTTTCACTTAATTGTAAGCAGAAAAGGGTATTAGTATTATTTTTATTATTTTTTCTGGAGGAGATAGAGAAATCAGATATTGTTCCGTCAAGGAGGTGATTTAGTGTTTATTATATGTCTTGTATAACGTTTTAAAGGCTTCAATTATATCAATCTATTCAAGACTCTTCTAAAGATATCGGTTTGTTATTAAAACATTGCTTTGAAATTTCAAGAAATAATAATGAGAGTATTGAGTTAATTTGTGATGCCATACGTTGTTTTCAGGTTTGTGTGTTTTATAGTTGGGATTCTAATTTTACACTACAAAGTATTTTATTGTATGTTATTTTTCTTAAAATATGAATTTTAATTGTTTTTAGTGCTTCAAATGATATTTTCGAGTCTGTCATATCCTGTTTATTGTATAAAGAAACATTTTTGGTGGCAGCAGAAACTTTAGATGAAATTATTAATCATTCTCCAAAGTTATTGTCGGGAAAATTAATGAATAGAATTCAAGAAATAGTATGGGATTATTGGAAAAATATAAATTTTATGAAAAACTTTGACGAAAACGATGGATTTGATCAATATGTTATTATGCTTTCGCGTTTAATTATTAGTTTATGTGAAGCCAATATTGAGTCTATTTTTTATCACTTGGATAATGAAAACTCGAAAATATTTATTGAAATAATGCTTAGTCTCTTGGGGCTTCCCGTTTTTGCTGTATTTCAGGAAGATATTAGTATTTTAACTTTAGAATTTTTTACTTTATTCATAGAAATGTTTATTGATCCTTCGCATCAGGAGAAAATAACTAGGGATATTATTATCTACGGGAAAGATATAGCAGAAAAAGTACTTGAAAATTGTTTAATTAAGTTGAAATGGCCTCCTTCAAATTTATTAAAAGATTGGCCCAAGGATATTTGTGATAAATTTGTAGTTTATAGGAAAGATATTGGTGATTTATTGGAAACCATATTCTCGTTTTTGCAGGCAAGATTGATTGAGAAATTGGCAGATCTTTTAGAACAATCTTTAATTGAACCCTTAAATTGGGAAGTAGGACATTGCGTACTGTTTTTTTCTAATTTATTTATATTTATAAGGATATAGAGGCAATTATCTTTTCTCTGACCTATATTTCAGAAATTTACCCAGAAGAACAGTCAGAATCTGATAAATATATGTTAAGAATTTTCGATAGCTCTTTTTTTTCCGTATTATCTCTATCATCACAAACTTTAGTCAAACATACTGCTTTGAAATTTTCAGGTTCTAGTTAAGCTATATTGATTGTTGAAAATTTATGATAATATAGGCTCTTATGGAACTTTTATAAAAAGATATCCTTCAGTTATTCCTTGTGTTTTGACTTTTTTATTTAATTCTCTTGAGGATATAGAACTTTCATATATTTCCTCCAAATCTATATATAAAATATTTTCTGATTGTCGATCTTTAATCACTAAAGAACTTTCTACTTTCTTATATGTTTTTAAAACAATGTCTGATACTTTAACTTTTTCGTTTGATGTAAAACAGAAAATTTTTGCAGCGATATCATGTGTTATTCAATCATTGCCTGATAATGAGCAGATAGTGCCACTGGATATTTTGATTCAAAAGATTATCGAAGATCTTAAATTAGCCCAATCTCTTAAATTCAAGGATTTCGATAAATCGACACATTTAGCATTGTCTTGTGCTAACTGTTTAGTTTCTATTGGAAAATCAATGACTTCACCTCATTTAGTAGACACTGATAATTCTAATAAACATATTAGCAATTCGGCTGATTTGATAAATAAAATTATCCTACAACAACGTTTAATGGAGATATTTATTATTATAGAAGAAATATGCAATTGTAGTGAAGATGCTATTCAGGTTAGTTACTTATTATTTATTTTTATTTTTATTTATAGATAGTCTATATGTGATGTACTTAAATCTGGATTCCTTGAATATTTTTTCGGTTCCTTTTTAAATATTGAAATAATTATTTGTTACTTATTTGAAAGATTTAAGCTATATGGATATTCTTGTTTAATATCATCTGCTTCTTATTTAGTAGCACATAAGAAATCCTATAATATTGCAGATAATGCAGATATATTGAAATCTACATTATATGAATTTGTATCATTATTTATATTGTTTTTGAAGAAAAATGGTGTATATTTTCTTTTATTGAAAGAAGTTACTAATTGTTTTAGAAATTAGTAATGCTCCAGATGTATTGCACGAGTTTTTTGATTTTTTAAAGATATACATATATCATAATATTGATATTTTTATAAATATACAACCTTCTGGTATTTTTGATAGTTTAATGACGCTTATTATTAATTCTTTGTCTTCTGAAGATAATTTAATTCAAAAAGATGCAATAAACTTCTTGGTAATTATTTTGTTTATATTTAATTTTTAAAGCTAATTAATAGATTGATTTTATTGTATTTTGTCCAAATAACGAGGAAGAACATAATCTTATCTTAAATGTAATATTGCGTTATGGGATTTTTATAGTACGAGAAGTTGTAATAGTAAGTAGTATTAAATAATTTTGATGGAATTGATTTTTTTATAAGAATATTGGTGGAAAATCTTCAAAAAATTTTTTGGTTTATTTTTCAGATTTATTGTATAAATTATCTTTAAAAATCCCTCGGAATACTAGAGATTGGTTCTTAGAAGTAATAAATGAAGAAGGATTTCCTTCTTTTAATTTAAATAAAGCTTACATGATTGATTTCATTAATCGATTTTTAAGGTATATTTGCAAACAAAATTACTAATTTTATTGAGATTATTATAGAATTAGATCTTCTCAAAAAGCCAAAGAGTTAATTAAAGAATTTTGGTTGAGAGCACAGAATATGGAAAGTGCTTAAAATATATTTAAAGACATTATGCATTAATCAAATTTAATTATATAAAGCATTTTGATAGTTTATTGGATTTTTTATCACATTTATTATGTTTTTATATAATTTTTAATCATGATCTATGATTTCTAAGTTTATCAATAACATTCGTAATTTTTGGTGTGGCATTGATTTTTAATTGCTCGCATATTGAAGGCCATATTACTTCTAATGCAAATTGTATTTGTTTTTTATTTTTTGAATCATTGATTAATTTAAATATTAAAATATAGAAATTTTCATCTTTTTGAGGTTCTCTTATAGAAAGATCTTTGAATCGTCTCCAAAATACATCCCAAAGATTACATGATGCTAGTACTGTAAATCTAAGCTTTTCGAACTTGAAGGAATAAGGTATTTCATGTAAAACCATTAAATCTTCTATCAAAAAAGCTCTTGGGTCTAAAATTAAATTTGCATTGTTAAAATTTTGATTTGCTAAAGATAATATTGAGTCAGTAGTATATTCTAATACCTCAATTATTGAAGGGCAACATGCTAAATATAATGCATGAAATATTTTTTCCTTGTTAATATTAAAATCTATTTCATTATTTATTATTTTTACTACTTCCAATACCTTTTTGATACGAACAGTAGTGTTTATAAATTGTGTTTCTTGACAATAATCTGATCCTAATGGTCTGAATTCTGGGGAAACTACTAAAGCATAAATAACCATAAAATATATTTCTGGAGGCGGCTTTAATTTTGATATTTGAATTTGCAATAATGAATTGATAAGAAAAGAAGAAGGAAAACTGAGAGAATTTATCTTATTTGCTTTAATATAAAACTGAAGTATAAGTTTCCAATGAGAAATAGTTGGTACTTTAGGAAGTGACGATTTAAAAGAATCATAAAAAAAAGTTGTTTCTGAATCATATTTTGGAAGTAATTTTTGATATGAATTTTCTGAAGATGTATTAAGAAGTAAGTTAAGATGCGTCTTGATTAAAAAATATGATTGATCAATCATTCCATGATCCAATTCCCTAAGTAATCTTAAGACTTTATTCATAGTAAATATATCCCCTTGTTTTGAAAGATTCTCAAGTAAAGGTTCAACATAATATTGAAATTGCTTTAAATCATCAGTCGAAATTGAAGAAATATCTCTAGAGGCAAATCTATTGCAATTATTATAATTTTTTTTCTCTATATAGTTTTGGATATCTTGTATTATGTTAGAATATTTATTTCGAGTTTTTGTATATGATCTTTGGAAGGTTCTGCTTCCATATATTTTTCTTATTATTTTAAGATTTAATATTTCATTCCAATTTTTATAAATAAAATTTTGATTATTTTCTAATGGATAAAGACCTTTTTTTTTCCACATATCATGTATATTTATTTCTTTTTGAATTTTTTTGTTAAAAACCTCCATATTGTTATCATTTATATAAAAATTTATATATGTCCAGCTTGGAAAACAGACATTAGGTTGATAAAATAGAAAAAGTTTTGAATTTTTCTGACAATTTGTTTTACTATCTAAATTTTTGAATAATATCTCGCTATATGATTGTTTATTAGATAATATCTCTATCCATTTTATAAAGTTTTTATGAAGTAATATAAGAAAAATTTGTTTTATTCTTCTAAAAGTAATTGATATATTGTTTAATTCAAATTTTTGATGATATTTAATAAATATGTATTTTAAATATTTATCCAATTGTATCTTAAAATTGCCCTTTTTAAAAATATGATAATTGCTCCATAAAAAATGAAATAGTTCTTTCAATATATGTAAATCATATTGATTTTCAATTTTATTGAATTTTTTAAGCAATAAATATCCAATATCTTTATTTTTTGGAAATTTGTTTTCTAAATGATAATTTTCTGATAATTTCTTTGTTTTTATAACATCCTTAACCTTATTGCAATCATTATTGTATTTGTATATATGATTTAAAAAAAAAAAAGAATTTTTTCCTTTTTTTTGCAATTTCTTTCTAAAAAAAAACCCATATTTTCTATTTAAGAAAGCTTCCATATAATAATATCTATTTAGACCCATAAACCTAGCTGTTTGAGGCCTGTTTGTGTATTTTTTTTGAAAATATTTATATTGATTATCAATCAGGCACGTGCTTATCAATATTTTTTTCTGCCAGAGATATATTGAGGACAAAATAGACGGTCTAATAGGCTTTTTTTCTAAGTAAAACTACTATGAATGATGAATATGTCAAGAATATTAAGAACTTTGTTTTTGAATCAGTTTTAAATGAAGGTTCGTTGGTATTTATAGTAGAAAAACCTAAGATCATAAACTAGATTCTCGATTAAAATATATTACGTTACTTGGTCATATTTTTGATACAAAGGCAATCTTAATTATTGAAAAAACAACATTGGAGTTAAAAGATGCTATGCTTTTTATAGAGGAAAATGGATTATTTTTTGAATTAATTGAAAAAAACGATATTTATCATTTATTTTTGGGAGGAATTCCATTTTATGATAAAAAAAGTCCCTATGCTAAGATTACATTGATCTACCCTGCATCTGAAATAGTATAAACATTCTTTTTTTCAGAAAAAAATAGTAATATATACAGCATATTAAAAAATATTCTAGACAATCCAAATGTAGGGTTCAAGAAACACCAGAAATATATGAATTATATGTAAAACCATACATTGAAACAATGAAAGGACCTAGAATTAAATGGTTGGATTGAAATATCTATATTTTGTTTTTTAATGGGTCAGGGTTTACAATATATTGGATCATTTAGCCGAAAAAGAACATATTCTTTATGAATATCCAGATAAAGAAAATGGATTCATTATTATACCTGACTTGTAATATACTTATGTTACATGATTTTTCTTTATTTATTTCTAGAAAATGGGATCAAAAAACAGTATCAACACTTTATTATGTTGCTATTGTTCATCGGCGAGACATTTCATCCTTAAGAGATCTAAAAAAAGAACATATCCCACTACTTCTTCATATAAAACAAGCTGCACTTGATATTATTCCAAAAAAATTTCAAGAAATATCACAAGATCAATTAAAATTCTTTATTCATTGTTTATTTTTCATTTTTTATTCTTTTACTAATTATTTTCTATAGATCATCCTTCCTACTATCATTTTCATGTACATATTTCACATATTGATTTTGATTCTGGAGATGGCATGGATGTTGGCAGGGCTTATTTATTAGAAGACATTATTAATCAATTAGAAACTATGTCTGATAATTTTTCTTTTATTCAACGAACACTTACTTTTTTTCTTGGGAAAAAAAGCGATCTTTGGCTTAATGTCTTTTCAAGTATCATGAATACTTCCTGAATTCATCCTTTTGTTCATCTTTTTATTTATTTTTTTCTCCAGATATCTTTTTTAATTCTTTTAAAAAAAATGTAATTTTTTTTTAAAAAATAGGTCTATTCAAATTCATACATTATATATCGCTAATTCCTTTAGTCTGAGAGAATATTTCACATGTTTTTTATAGACTCTTTTTAGGCCTGCTTTATCATCGCTTTTCTCACTTGTAGGACGTGCAGCGAACGATGGAGCTTTCTTCAAATCAAAAGCCAGATATATCAGGAAGAAAGCATAGATGCCCCGGGATTCCGTCTGAGATTACAGAGGCATTTCAATATTCTCCATTAGCATCACTCGTTAGCTTAGAGCCATGTAAGTTTGAGAGTTTGAATTAGAAAAATTGATAAGATTTAGTATTGCAAACGATTCCGCAATTGAAAGTGAAGTCATGTGTAGAATCGTTATTAAAACTGTCAGACAGAGAGAAACAGATGCTAGATATGCAGCTTGAAAGTTGCAATGGTTTAGGACCTGATAAAGATAGTAAAATGCCTTCTTCAGTATTACAAGAGATATTAGAGCCATTAAAGGGGATACAAATAAGTAAATGGTATGATTTGAAATGCATGTGATCGGTAAAAATGTGATTATTAGGTCATTTAAGGCACCAGGAAAGATAGAACGTTATATGACAGAAAATCAGGCGGAACCTTCTAGATTAGATGTATTTTCACGTGTATTGGTTGATAAATGCACTGTAGATATCATATGTAAGTATTAATGATGCATATATATGGTGATTAATTACTAATATGCGTGTAGATCCATCACCAGTGACACCGACAGCGCATACAGGCCGATTAAAAGAGGAATTTATCTCAGATAAAGAGGGTTTCTTTGAAAAAACAACGGTTGGGTTTGATTCGGAGGAAATTGTAGAGGAAAATGTACAAAAAGAGTCTATATCAGTACAACCATTAACACCACAATCAAATATAATACCATGCACACCTACATCTAAAAATAATACACGAAAAATGCAATTGTCTGGTGGATGCACGAATAAATCGAAGAGATTTGTTGATATTTCAGAGAAAGATGTATATCCTATTGCTGTAGATGATCAATTGAAGGAGGAAAGTGCAGTAGATCAGTTACAAAAATTAATTCGATTTATTTTTGAAGCAGAAGATGCAATGGAATCAGATGGGTCACATTTAGAGGTTGAAGAGTCGTATATTTCATGCTGGTGTAATGGAACGGTATCTTTTGATGGGCTTTGCTTAAATATGGAAATGTTAAGTAAGTTGGATCTTTGTATTCGAAAAGTTTGTACGATGGGTTTAATTAATACGTTACCTATTGATCTATTACTACGATTTCAAAAAATATGTGCGCGATCTATTGATGAAACTCAAATTATAACATTGACAAAGCAATCGTTTGAAACAAATTCGTATGAAGAAAATTTATCTATAATTACGAAAATAGGGATATCTGTTTATTCGATGACAATACTAATGCGGATTTTAACATCAGAGCAATTGAGTAAACAGGTTGGTTTTATATTTAGATATTTCCTATCTTATATTGAGATAGTTATATTCAGAGGAAATTTTAATAGATATGGCTTATTTTTTAAAATCGACGTTAGATAATGTCATATATGTCTTGATTGACTGTAATAAGAATTCTCTTTGTATGTTTTTGTGCTTATTTATTTTAGTTGATGTTTCAAAAAAATCTGATGCATTAAAATTTAAAAAATCGTTAAATATGATATTTTATAATGTTATAAATATTATAGAATATTTCTGTCATTTGATTAGCCTTATTGAAATCCCTGATGGAGTTATTACACGTCTTGAATTTCTTTCTATTCCTGCTATATTTGTTGAAAATTCGGTTTCGATTAAAGATCAATTATTTAACAGTCAAGGAATTGAAGCCTTGAAGGTGGCTTCTATGGGTATGATTCAATTGGTACTTTTTCTTGAGAATACATGGTTTTTGTTTAATAATCATAGATTCATACCAAATATCCAGATCAGCGTACGTTTATATTAGATGAAATTTTAACTGGTCTTGTTAAATTACCAATAAATAAACATCAGGCACGTAGATATAAATTAATTGATGGAAAATCTATACAGCTTATTTCCGCTTTAATTATGAAATTAGTACAGTCATGTGCTAGTTCATATAAGAGCGATAAAGGAATGAATATATATGAGTTTTTAGAGAAAGATGCTAATGATATGAGAAATAATATTGATTATGCCATGAATAGTAAATCTAGTGCGTCTGAACTTTTAGAAATGGTATTTTATCTTTTTACTTTTTAAATTTTATTAATATACAAAGATTTTTGATGCAAGTTCTCAATTTATGGATTCTGTCACAGCGAATGCTAATCATGTCGTATCATTTTTGCTCTCTAAAGCTATGAAAATATCAAAGATTACTAATGATTTTTCTCATAAAATATTACTAGATATTTTCATAGAAGATCTCCTTTTAGTCTTACCATTACCTTCATGGCCATCTTCTGAACTTCTTTTAAAACTCATAGTTACTAAACTTGTTAGTTTATTCATAAAGTGTTTAGTCGTAGAATAATTCTTTATAGTTAAATTATTTGGAAAATGATAAAGAAAGTTCACATATAAAAGGGCTATCTCTTGATTTTTTAGGAATTATTGCTTCAAAAATTCGTCTTTTTTTTAAGAATTCTACAGACTTTTCAAATCATTTATTTAAAAGTGATATTCTTTCTCGCATTTCTTCAATTTTACAAGCAGGGAATTTTTTTTTAGAAAAATTGGATGATTTGAAAGATTTGTTTAAACTACATTTATTAATTATTGAATCTCTTAATCTCAGAAACATTGAGGAATCTAAAGATCAAGTAAAGATATTTTTTATTGCTTATTTATTCTTATTTTATTAGAATATACTGCAATATTTATGGTTACGATGGATATATTTCATTAGATCTTTGAGACAGAAGTATACTTTGAATAATTCTACTGTTTCTGATGATTTTGCTTCTGAAATTCTTAAATTAGTATATTATATAGATTTTTCAGATAATAAAATGATGTAAGAGTGTTCAAATATTATTAATTTAGTTTAATTTAGATAACAGTGAGGATGATTCTCTTTCTGATCAAATTTATCGATTATATCTTTTAAATCTATCTATTTATTCTATATATCAGTTATTTGATGCGATTTTATCTAGAATCCTACGATGCCTTGATAGTAATCAGATATCTATAAGGACTAAAGCTCTTCGTTCTTTAGGACTAATTGTAAATAACGATTCTTCCATTCTTTCTAATATTGGAGTAAGACAACATGTTGCTGCACGTATTGCAGATATATCATCTCAAGTTCGTGATGTTGCCATAGATCTAGTAGGAAAATATGCTATCTTTCAGAAAGAAATTGGACAACAATATTATTCAGTTCTTAGTGAACGTATAGCAGTAAGGAGGAAAAGAAAATATTTTGCATTTTAATATAATCAGGATACTGGTCTTAGTGTGCGTAAACGCGTGATTAGATTTTTAAAAGATTTTTATACTATATCTGATACTCAAGAAATCCAAATAGATATTGGGAGAAGATTAATTCAGCGTTTATGTGACGATGAAGATAGTATTAAAGTATGAATGATTGTTTTTTTAAGTTATGTCATTAATAATAATAGGATCTTTCTGCAAAAACTATTGAAGATATATGGTTTTCTGTATCGGACGATCAAAATGAGGGAAACATAGCATTAATAAAATTTAAAAAGATTCAAACAGAAAAGATTTTAGTTCTTCAAAGTATCATAGAAACTCTTCGAGATGAAGATAGATTTTCATTTAAAGTATTTCTTCAAAAAATATCTAAATCAAAAAATATGGATTCTTCAAATTTTATACTTACTTCGTCTATAAGTTTAATGTTTGATATACTTTTAGAATATCATCAAAATCAGGATATGGTAATTTAACTATTTTTAGATTAAATAATAATCGTAGCAGAAAATGCTTGAAAAATGCCTTAATACTATTGTAATTTTTGCCGAAGCATGTCCGAAATTATTTTCTACTGATCAATTGATAAGTATTCAGCCGTATTTAAATGGGTTAAATTCTCCACAAGAACAAGTTATATTTTTTTATACAGTTATTATCTATCGCAATGTTTTACCATATATTCCCTCTATATCAAAAAAATTTTTAAATGATCTACAAAAGATGCTCCTTTCTCAATTAACAAGGCTCCCGGCTAAGGTATTTCTTTAAAAATAATTATAATAGATTTTTATATTGTTTTCGTAGATTCTAAATGAAGTTGTTCCATGTCTTTCGGTTTTAGCTAATTTATTTGGAGATTATGAGCGTGTTGGAAAAATTATTTCATCTTGTATAAAGGCTATTGAACCATATAAGATAATATTGCAAAATAAAAAACAAATTAGTGATGATAAAAAGTTAATTCTACTTTTGCTCCTTCTTGGTTTATTTGGACGTCATTGTGATTTAGATAATCATTTTCAAGATCTTAATGTTTTTTTAAAATTAAAACCAGATACTTCAATTGCTAAATTTTTAATTAAAACCATATCGATATTTTGTTCTTTATCATCAAATATTCATATATCAGTTCAGAAGGTTGCTTTGCATAGTATAGGTAAGCATTTGTTTTATTATTATTTATTATTATTTTAAATATTAATTAGGAATTATTTGTATTTCACACTCCAAGTTTTTTCTTTGTGACCAAAACTTAGAAATTATGAGTAATGTTTTTGAAGGCACGTCAATTGAACTTCAAAATACTCTTCTTTTGGTATTTTATGATTTTCTTTCTCTTGAAGAAAAAGAGTTTAGAGTTTTTGAAAAAAATAATCATTCAATAAAAAATAAAATCGCTGATGTAAATATCTTAACAGGAGAAATGAAAAAATTTGAAAATGATGGGTAATTTGCAAGGTTTTTTTCTGACTGATATTTAATTAACGATATACTTAGCACAAGCATTTCTTTAATACAAAGATATTTGCCTCAAATTCTTGAAATGTCTATGAATGAAGATACAGCATTATCAATTACAGCAGTTAAAATTTTAGAAATTATTACTAATAATGGTATCGCAAATCCTAGAACGGTATGTTGTATTATTGTATTATTTAATACTAAAATGTTAAGTGTATTCCGACTATTATTGCTTTACAAGCTTCTCCTAATAAATTCATTAAAGATATGGCTATGAAAATACATCTAGGAATGCATGAAAAATACGAATCTTTGATTGAGGGATGCTATATCGATGGTATTAAAATGGCATTTCAATATCAAGTTCGTATGAAATGTTTCACTTCAAGTAAGCTTCTTGCAGTTTGATCATGATTTAATTTTTATCTAAGATGATTCTAATCTTTTATTTGTTTTTCCGTACAATATCATTAAACAAAATCGGCAAAGTCGCAAAAAATTTCTAATTTCATTAACGAAAATGCTAGATATTGATATGACACAGATCAGTTTGCATGAAAATATCATTTTTTCAAGATTTCTAGTTCAAAATATGGCGTCTTTTGAATATAGCACAATTGAAGAAATACAATATATTATTTATATTGCTGATAGAATTCTATCAACTACAGGAATTTCTTTGCATCAACGAATTGAAATAGAAGAATTTAAATTCCAAGATCATGATATTATTAAGATTGCTATAGCATCTGTTCAAATGTTAGCATTAGTTTTATTAAAAAAGTATTTAAAAGAGAGTTATGCGCTAACAGAACAAAAATGTCGTTCCTTTGACCCTAATAAGACTGGAAATTCTAAGGATACTAAACTTTCAAGCAAGCTGCGTGATGTTCCATTAAATTTAGATTCTATACCAAATATTACTGATTCCATGATAACTAGAGACGTTGCTGAAAAAATTATACAAAACGTGAGTAGAATCCGATCATGCCTTTTCTTTTTATTCATATATACAAGTTTTACGATGTAATTTCAAATGACGATACCAGTTATACTGAATTCATAGAAACGAATGAACACAAACAAACTGAAGAAAATGAAACAGAAACTTATAATGATGATGATGAAATAGATGAATTGGTAAAAACGAAAAAAAAACATAAGAAAAAATTAAAAAGAAAGGGGAAATCTTTCAGAAATGGCATATCAAAAAAGAAATATAAACAAGATATTAGTGATAGTGATTGAAATATTAATAATATTGACCTCATGTGTTTACAAACAATTATATTATACAAATCAGTTTTAAATCACTGCATTATAGATTGTATAATTATTTATAATAAAATATTAATGAAATTTATATGCAAGAGCACATAAACTAAATTGAATATCTTTTTCTCTTTTATTGATGTAGTTTTTAATAATTTGAATAGTTTGATTTCCTAGTATGTCATTATCATTTAAAAGCCCATGATCAATAGGTCCCAAAGGGTTACGACCATCAAGTTCATACAGATGTCCATCCACTGATGATTTTACAAAACATATATAATGAAGAGAGATGTCTTCCAAGGCTCCTGGAGGCGTTGTTTCTCCTTGAGATGCAAATTCTATTTTAAGAAAATATAAAATAAAGTAGTTTTTTTTCTTACTTTCATGAATAGTTTTAAGTTGTGAAAATTCAAACATGTTTGAAAGTGAAGATGAACTTAGATATTCAATTTTTTTTAAAAGGTTTGCAAGTAAAGTATTAGGAACTAATAAAATAATAAATTTATATATTATTATAGTATTATACATACGTATAAAGTTTTTGGCGCCGCCATTGGTTGTAGCATGAAGTAAAGCAATTGCTCCACATGAATTTCTGACTGTTTGTTTAAACCATATAACATTTTTTTGATTTTTAATTAATATTTCTTTAGTTTTTATAGAATTGCAATTTTTATCTGATTCTTTAACTGGAAAAACAAAAAGAAGGGCATAAACAGGTCTCGGAATAAATTCCAGCATCTTTTCATCATCAAGGGTAAAAACATCATAAAATTCTAAGTCCTTGCTTATGCCTAATTCCCAAAGGTATTGTGTAAGTATAAAAGGATTACCTAATAATTTCTAGCCACTTTTTTTCAAGAGTTTATATAATATACATTCAAGAGGAATCCATGAATCCTATTAAAAATAAAAATCATTATTTTTATTAAAAATTTTATATTATATTTTTTACCATTATAGAAAATATAAAATATTTTGTTTGAAAAAAGTAATAAAGCACCTTTATATAATAATAACAGAACTTTGTCCTTTTGAATATGTTAAACTGTATCCCCTTGTTTTTGCTTGAAAATATCGTTTTTTTTAGATTAAATATACATTATGTCACGTGTTTTCGCCAACCTCAAAAAAAGTATAAAATCAATGGATAATCCTCAAGAAATAACTTTAAATAATAGTATTCCCCCCTGTAACCTTGTTTCTAATATGAATACTATTATATCTTTATTAAGTCTGGATCTTCAAAAAAATATCCAAATTTCTATTAATATTCTTCGTCAAGCACTAGATAAATATGGGTTAGCACTTTTTTCAAAAAAATAATATTCTTATTCGTCTAAGCTTTAGTGGTATTTCTATTTCATTTAATGGTGGAAAAGATGCACTTGTTATGTTAATTTTATATTTTTATACACTTCGTCAATATAGTGGTGAAAATGAAATAAAAATGAAGAAAATACCTGCAATTTATATTCAGAATCCATATCCTTTTTCTGAAATAGAATGTTTTGTGAAAAAATGTTCTGAAAACTATGTATTAGATCTTGTTTATAAGAAATCTCCCATGAAAACTGCATTAAAAGAATATTTAGATGAACATTCAGAAATTAAAGCAATTCTTGTAGGTTCAAGACGTAATGATCCTGGATGTTCTATGTTAAAACATTTTAATCCAACAGATTTCGAATGGCCTTCCTGTATAAGAGTTCATCCAATTATTGATTGGTGTTATTCCAATATATGGGAGGTAAAAGCATGATAAATGTATTTTTCTATAATTAACAAGTTATAAAAGTTCCTAAGAGGCCTTAATATAGAATATTGTTCATTATATGATGAAGGGTAATATTATAAAAACCATATTTGATCCATATTTATTGAAATATTTGATAGATATACTTCTATTGGTGGTATTCAAGACACTTTTCGAAATCCGGAATTACAATTAGATCATGATAAATTCAAACCAGCATATGAGTTAATAGATGGACATAAAGAACGTTTAGGTCGAAAATACCCATTAAAAAATTATTAAATATACTAGAAAATATGACGCTTTTTCCTTTTTTGGATACTGTATATATTTTAATTCTACTATGAAATATTGCTAAGAAACTTTTAAATATAATATATTGAAAACGTTTTAGAAAAACATGCATTTTTCAATAAATTTCAATTAATGTTTCTTTTTAGATGGTCGTGCATTCTTTTGTTTTCTTTTTTCTTTAAGGCGTCTAATTTTTCTGATTTCCATTATATTTTTCAATTCGCTTTTTACTCTTTTATTATCTCCATAACCCTTTTCTAAAGCTTTTTGAATACGCTTTTTTCTTTTTTTATAATCATCACGATATTTGTCTGCTGCTTTTGGAGCTTGAAGCTTATTATGTTTATATTTTCTTCCATTTGGATTTACATGCAAGTTTTTAGGTGTTGTAAAATTTTCACAATTTTCTATTTCACCTACTTTTTTTTCTGTAATATTTTTAGAATTTTTCCATATTGTATATCTAAATGTATTAATATATAATTTGCATATTGATAAAATTACCTTCCTGTTTTATAAGTTGCAGGAATTTTTGTACCACTTTCATCTTTAATTATTTTTGAACCTTCTTTGGAATTATTATAATCATTTATTCTGTTAACAAGTTTTTTTTTTTTAAAACTCCAGCGAATTTTATTTGTATGAGCTCTTGCTTGATTAGTAAGATCTTTATCATCACCCATAAGATCGAATATTGCGTTTTTGGCCGCTTTTTCAAATGAATAGTTTGATTTGTTAATATCATAAGCATGTTCTCGCATAGATGAAATAGGTGTATAATATGACATATAATTCTCTTTATCTTTATAACTATTTCCCTTATTTTTAACTCCGTTTTCATGTATAATTTCAGATCCAAATTCTGCATTATTTTCTTGAAAGTTATTTATATTTATGATTGTATCATTGTTTGTTTTAGAATTCTTTTTTTTATTGAATAAGGACTCAATTAAATTTGATTTATTAGTTTTAATCTTAGATGTTCTAATCTTTTTCATTCGTTCATTTATTGCCTTAAGTGGAACATTACTTTTGAAGTTTTTAGAGTTTTCAAAGATTGTTTCATGAGGAGAATAATTTGAAATTTTAGCTAATAGAGCTTCTTTTGCAACATTTTTTTCAGAATTAGTGTCAACTATAAAGTTAAATATTTTTTATATCAAATAATTATATATATACTTAGCAATGGATTAATAATGGACCATTCTAAACTTTTTACAAGTTCTTTTGCACGTCTATTACTTTCTATACTTGCAGATCCTGCTGTTTTTGAATACAAAATTTCTCCCTTTTGCATTACTTGTTTAAGAGAGTAACATTCATTGTTTTCTTTTAATACATGTGCAATCCATTCGCAATAATATTCAAGCTTATGTCTTAAAAATGTTCCTAACACTATATTCTGAACATAATCCGGGTCTTGGTCGTTAGATGATACTATTTTTTTTCCCAAAAATAACTGTAACTCAATTAAATATGGTGCATCATCCGTTTTAAGAAGTGAATATGCCCAGCCTTTTTGTCCTGCTCGTGCAGTCCTTCCAACTCTATGAATAAATATTTTAGGCTTAGGGGGGAAGTCATAATTGATTACATTTGATAAAAGAGGAATATCAATACCTCGTGCTGCAATATCTGTTACTACTAAAAGAGTGGTTTTGCCGGCCCTAAAAGATGCTATTTGATTTTTTCGAGCAGTTTGATCTAAAGATCCATAAATATGAGAAACTAAATATCCAGATAATGAAAGTAATTTTGTTAAATATTCTACATGGTGTCTTGTAGATGTAAAAATAATGGTTGAATATGGTGATATGGTATTTTGATTGTATTTACAAGTATTATCTTTCCCATTTTCTTCCAAATTATTATCTTTTATTCCTTGAATACTTCGAGGAATTTTAATAATATCATGAAGAAGATAAAGTAAAGCTGCTTCTTTTTCTGATGATTTTACTGAAAAAAAGGCTGACTGTAAATCCTCAGAAACCATTGATTCAACATCAAGACGAACTAAAATTGGATTTTGAAGACCTGCTTTCGCAAAATCTACCAGAGATTTTGGAAGAGTAGCTGAAAAAAGTGATGTTTGTCGTGATGATGGAAGATAACGAAGAATTTCTGACAATTGCTCAGAAAATCCCATTTCAAACAGTCTATAGATAATCAACATTTATTTCATTCTAATCCATTCATAAAACCTATCTGCTTCATCAAACACTAGATATTCGATTGTTTTGAGATCAAGATCCATTTCTATTTTTAAATGTAAAAATCGACCTGGAGTTGCGACAATTCTATAGTAATTAGCAGAATTTTAACCTAGTTTTTTTCATGCATGTCCGGATTTGTCGACATCATTTCAAATTGTTCTTCAAGACTCTCTCCTCCTACTAAAAGTACTGCTTTTAAGTTTGTTCCTCTTTTTAATTCTTTCACAACTTTGATCGTTTGAAGAGCAAGTTCTCTGTTTGGCGATAATATTAATGCCCTTGATCCAACCTTTTTTTCTCTTTTTAGTCTAATCTTGCCATTATATCTCTTTTTTCAAAATACCTTAGTTTGATGTGTTTTTAACCGTTCAATCATTGGAATGACAAAAGCCGCTGTTTTACCCGATCCTGTCCTTGCCATCGCAACAACATCCATATGATCTAGCAATAAAGATATTGTTTTTCTTTGGATTGGCGTAGGAATTTTAAACCCTTTATATTTAATCGCTTTAAGTGTATTTAGAGATATTCCTTTAAAATTAATTCATTTCTATCGTATAAATAGCTTCTACCCATTGATTCAAAGCTGCTAATATTGGTTTTTCTTCTTTTTTTATCCTTTAATTCAGTTTTTTTCCAATTTTTTTCGTCTTTTTTATCTTTTTTTCTTGCAAAAAAAACTTCCAATGTTTCAGGATATTCTAAAGATATTTAATAGATCTTAAGATATTTCATTTCCTTACCTTGGCCCTCTATATTATCCTCATCTATTTTTAATTTATCTCGCTTCATGATTAGTTTGATAAGAAAAATCTCGAGGTTGTAGAGAGTGTAAAGAGCTTTATATAATATTAGAAATATATATAAATTATTAAGAAAAATAAGATAGAAATTATTAGAAAAAAATATAGTATTTATTAAAAGCATTGTATCTTTTTTGTTTTTAAGGTTGAATAGTACTTTTGACCTAAAAATAGTGAGTTGAAAAAAGAAGAAAAAACTTACATGTTCATCATCAATTGTTGTATAAAGCAAGCCATCATTAGTTAATTCTTCAATCGCTCGTTCTATATTACCGCCTCCTATTGTTTTTGCGAGTTGATGAATATTAACACCTTCATTTGTATTAGGAGCAGCGTGAACAGCAGCCATAACCTTTTGAAGATAAGGAGAAAGATTTCGTAAGGAAAATTGAGCTCCTAACATCTCATTTATATTCATTGGATCATGAATACCATAATTTGAGGAGTTTCTATCAATTGTAGTAAATGGTTTTGAAGAATCATTATTTTGAGGTGGACCTCTTGTAAAATAAAGATGAATAGCGGTTGTTTCTAAAATATGATACTGGACCTCATTTAAATCCGAAATTGGACGTATGTGATGTGCATAAATGTGTCTTTTATTGTTAAAAGACTTTAATTGACCAATAACTCGAACATATGTATCAGGACTAGATAAAAAATATTTAAATGAAAAAATCTAATTAAATGGCATACGTAATGTCAATGTTTTTTTTTGGATTATCATCAGTAATAGTCTCCATTTCTAACCATTGTTTGACTTCAATTAAGCCTGTTCCATCTTCCATACGGTAGGTAATATTAGTAGATTGGATAGAAATGTTGCGTACAACCGCAACAAAAGTAAGCTGTTTTGTTGAATAAATAAGATAAACTATGTTAGAAGCACCTGACCAATCTCCGTCCCATCAACTTTAAACTCTGCATCTGGATGTTGTTGAGATGCTTCAAGAATTTGTTTAATCATAACTGGACGGAGTGTATTTCCACTTGAACGCTTTATAATTAAGTGTTTTTCTTGGAAAAAAAGGTGAAAATTACTTTGTTTGAGCCATTGTTTAGTTCTTTGGCTCCTTGAGATCCATAATTCCCTCCAATAAAGCCTCCTCCACTTTGTAATCCATATGATGTTCCATATATATTATAATTCGTTATTTCTCCATAATCTGTGCGTTTCTATTAGAAAAAAAAGCGATTTCAATCAAAATTTGTCTTTCCGTTCATATTTTCCGTGTTTTTATGTCTTTTTTCCTGAAATTAGTGCTCTTATTCTTCTTTATTTCTTTCTAGTTTGTTTCTTTATATTTTTAAAAATTAAAAAAAAAGAATTCCTATAACATAATTATATGAAACGAATAGAAAAAATGTGTAGAATACGTCGGTGCCTAAAAATCCTTCAAAATCTCAATATATAATGTCCTTTTTCTGGAAAAAATAATTTTTAATTGAGCATCGAGGTGTAACGTCAGACATCGAAAAAAATCTATACTTACCATAAAAAAAAAGATAAAATAGTCATAAAATACTATTTTCTCATCAGATCTATGAATTAGACCTTGTTTTTAAAGAGTTAATTAGTATTCTCTGAAAAAACCGCTTTTTTTTCTGACATTTCCTTGGATATTTAGGGATGAAATTTATATCATGCCTAATCAGTAATTATTTGGTTTAAGAGATAATAAAATGGATTTTAAAGCGTCACAGATCTTTGACACGATTGCTGAAAGCCCTTCATAACCTTTTTTCCTCGTCAGAAATACCTCAAAAGCTTCCCTCTGAAATCAATGATAAAATATCACAATATTTGAAAAATCATGATAATCCAGATTTTTTTGAGATCCAAAAGCTGCAGGAACAGCTTCTTGATCTTTATCATATGAGAGTAGAGCACAAGAATGTGTCTTTTCAGGGTCTTTTTATTTGTTGTTTGCAGAAATTTAGATCATTATTAATTGGAAAAGAATATACAGAAATATGGTGGAATATTATTGTTAAACATGTATTTAGTTCATGTCAACAGCAGAGGAATACGCTTTTGAACGCAGAAAGTATTCTTTTAAGTATGATGGTTTTAGAAGAGGATACTAAAGATCGTCTTCATAAAGAAAAACAGGAGTCTTCAGAAATGATAAAGAGATTTTTATTTGAATTTTATTTAAATAATTCTAAAGAGGTGTTTTCATCTGTTTTAAAAAATTCTTTTATCGAAGATAAAAGACGATATATTTCTGCGAATATAGAATCTATATTGATAGGTTATGCAAAACAACGAACAAAAGTGAGTATTTAGAGGATTTGTATGTGTTTTTTACACTTAGGAGGCATTTTTTAATGATATTGATGTATATTTTGTTCAGAAAAAATATAGACTTCAAATTCTAACTCTACTTTGTGCATTTGTGAGGTTACAGGGGCCTTATTTATATACTATTTTTGAAACGCCATTATTTGAGAATTTATTACATTGTCTTGAAGTATTTATTTAATATTATATTATAAAGTATTTTAAAAATATTAGAATGATAGTTCTACAACGGTTATATCGCTATCTCTTACTATTTTAGTTATGTTTATGCCTCATATATGTAATTTACTTGGGAAATATTTACCACGTTTATTTAAGATTTATGTAAGAGTTCTTTGTTGGGATCGCTTTGGAGCTATTCAAAAACATTATGATGTTTTAGATAATGAACTTGAAATCAAAAATCAAGAAGCCCTGCAAATATTTAGTCAATCAAATATCGAATGGGAGAAGCTAGGTATGTCTTATTTTATTTTTTGTATATTTCTTATATATTAGATTCATTATTTGATATATCGCCTACTATACCGCCTAATTGTGTTCAGTTTTTCACATTTATTTATGGTTTATATCCATTGAATTTCTTAAAATTTCTTCATAGCGCACAAACTTATCTTAAGGAAAAAAAGGATCAATATTATATGTATTTTGATGATGATATGATAAGGTCTAGGAGCGAGGTTTATCTATTTATGTTAAAAATAATGTCTAATTTTTTATAGTCTCTTGTTAAAAGACATATAATTCATCCGAATCTATTATTGTTTACATTTGAAACAGAAATAACTGATCAAACTCGTTGGATGAAGTTAGAAATTGCTGATATTGTTGCTAAATGTGTTAGTCTTGATATATTTAATACTCCACAACTATCTTCAAGAAATATTGATAGACAATATAAACAGAAGTATGTTTTTTTTTCTAAAAATGTTTTTAATATTTATTTTTAAGTGAAAATAATTTGTCTGCTTGTTTTAAACCGGCAGAATCAGATACGGAACAATTAAAGGATTCTATATTTGATAGAAATCGGAATCATTTAATGTCACATATATTTTTCTCTAATCCGGAAAATATTATATCATCTCATTTTGACTCAAATTTAAATCAAAACATAGCACCCGTTAAAATAGATGATATGTTGAAACTATACGAACAATTAAATTCTAATTCAGATATATTAGCAACAGGTCAAATAGATATGTCATTAAATAATCTTTCTCTAGAATCAAAAGAATCTTTAGTTTTGAAATCAAAAACAGAAAAGTATGTTAAAGATTCTGTTTCTTCACCTTTATTTTCTAAAACGTTGGAATCTGACGCTACAGTTGCATCATTAAAGAGAGAAATCCTTCTTTTGCAAAATGAGCTTAATTTTGAAAAGTATCTGAAACTTCAGCACTTACATCATTTGAGTCGCCTTAAGAGGGAATATATATTGGATTTATCTGTAGAAGCGGAACGACAAAATTTGTATAACACGACACGAGCATTAAAATCAAGACTTGTTAATCTCCAGTCAACTCTTGATAGATTAAGATCAGAAGCAATAACTCGACAAAATCAAAGAATTAAACGGGAAACTGAATTAAATACAAAATTGAAGTTATTACGTGAAGAACAGAAATGTCTTAAAAGTGATTATGATATTATGAGTGAAAAATTGGAAGAATCGCAGAAAAATATATCATATCTTTCTATACAATTACAACATAGTAATTCTGAAAGGTTTAAATTAAATCAAGAACTTAAAGAATTGAAAGCAGAACAATTAAAAAATAAAAAAATGGAGGTATCTGCTTATGATAATAATGAACAAAAAAAAATACATCTTGAAGAATCGCTTAAGAAAAAAGACGAATTGTTGGAGAGTGCAGATAAAACAATCTTTGTATTAAATCAAAGACTTCAACAAAAAGAACATGAATATGATATCATAAAAAGGTATTTTTTATCTAATAATTATTATATTTTTAAAAAATTTTAGTCAATATAATCTTCTGTTAATTAAATCTATGGATATTCCTTTTCACCATATAGTTAATACAGAAATTGCTGATTCAAATACTTTTCAAGAAGATCGTTCTCTAAAACTAAATAACATATTATTGGAGGAATTTAATCTTCTTGAAAATGCTCATCAAAAATTATTATTGGATTACAGAGCTATTCAGTCGGAAATGATTTCTAAAAACTCTCAAATAGAAATTTTGCAACAAAAAATTGCTCAATATCAATCTCAGAATAGCTGAATATTAATTTCTGGTTATTTTATATGGGCCTCTAAAACTAGAAGAGCGTATATAATTTCTAAATTCGTTTCTTTTTGGATTAAAATTGAGAATGTAAAATTCAATTAACAATATCTTATTTCTTGAATATCATATATATAAAATATAACCAATTACTGCAACATATTGATTGGAATTTTATTAATAGTTTTTCTTGTATTTTTTTTATAATTCATAAAGCAAATAAATTATCTTGCTATTGCATTTTTAACTTTTCTAAGTTCTTTCCAGATCTTTGGCTCACGACGTCGCCTCCTAAATATCTTTGATTGTGTCCATAATTGAAGTCCATCCGTATATCTTTTATTCCACCTGTTAAAAATAAGATTTAAGAAAAATTAAAAAATATTGTCTACGGATCCAAATTTTCCGGTTCTTTAGGATATATAAATGGCTCTTTCATGTCAACGATAACTTTCTTGAACGACGGTGTCCTCTCAAGCATCTTTGTATAATCTTTTCTACGAATTCTCTTGCGATAACATATCATTGATCTTACACGAGTAACCTCAATCCGATATATATGAAAAAGATAATCCTTAACATCAAACTTGTTAACTAAAACAATATTTAATACTTTATTAGTAAAATGGTTATAGAAATAACCCGTTATTGGGACTTTAAAAGCTGCTTGAGTTGGTAAAAGATAAGGACTCCGCAATAAAGTAAAAACAATATTTGGCAAATAAACTGGTTTTTTCCCTAATTTAAAAGGCGGCTTCATAGATAAGTAGATCTACTTTTTCATGAAAATGATGTTTTAATGACCTTTAGATGATATTTTCGAGTTATTTTTTATACGTCGATTATATATATATATTTAGGGTTTTTTTGAATCTGAAAAGTAAAAATCATGATATATAAAAAGTATCTAATGTAATAGTTAGAATTACCTGTCTTGATGTCCAATATTTACCGCTTGAAAATCTAGTATTATTTTTTTTAGTAAATATTTTATAGACCTTATGTAAATTATTATAAATAACTAATGAACTTATTAAAATATCAGAATGTAATAAAATATAAAGAATGATGTACCATATAGAGGGTTATTAAATGTGTCTGCACTTTTTGAAAAAAATTATAGGAAAATGAATTAGTGGCCAGTTTGTATGTAAAAATATATGAAGAAACGGTTTTAATTCTTGTTAAAAAGGCCCAAATATCTTTTTCTATCTTTCTTCCCTTTTGCAGGAGAATTTTTTGTGTTCTCATGAGTACTGTTATCTAAGGTTTTTTTAAATGACGTATTATTGGAATTTTCAACGCGATTATGATTTGAATGGTTAGAATCCTTGGGTATTCTTTTAGATCTGAAAGAAGATCTAGAATGTATTCGTAATGAGGGTATTCTTGATGGAAGCTGATCAATAGGAAGACCTAATGATTCTCTTGGTAATTTTAACATTGATAAGTTTTGAAGCCATTTTTTTGTCGTTATCATATTAGTAGTTATGAGGATTATATCTCGATCATGAGTTTTAGATAATTCATAACAAATGCGACTTTCACTATATGTTGCACCTCCTACAATAAAAATAAGTATTCTTTGAGCTGACTCACTAACAAGATCATTTTTTTTAGCCCATGTTGGTTTTCCTGTACGTAATGAACCGTGTATTAAAGATATATTTTGAGTTTTTTCGCAAACATCTTTTGTACTTGGAAATAATGCATAGCTTAAATTTCCATTAATATATTTTTCTATAAGTGTTTTACATAATGGAGTAAATCGAGAAAGCTCGTATGAATTTTCGTCATTATTTTTTGTTTCTAGTATAGGTTTTCTTCGAGGCTTTGTATCATTTAAAGGTTTTATTACACGAACGCCTAAACATTCTAAATTTTTTAAAACTGAAACATCTTTTGGTGATAAATTTGAATGTTTTGAAAGCTTATCTAAATCTCCCTCGAAAATGCCATTTTTGTATATTATATATAACATTATAAGCCGAATTTTGTCTGTTTTTCTAGAGGAAACTAAGTATAATTGAAAAAGATAGTTCTACTTACGAAAGAGATGAATCATCTAAAAGAGGAATCATTTCTTCCAATACAGTCTTAGGCACTTTACCCTCTGATGTTAAGCCAGTTGCGCAATTCTGATACAAATTAATATATTTCTGCATATCAAAAAAAAAAAAACCTGTTCAATAACACCAACAGAAAAAAGTTTATGCTCCTCAAATATTTTCATACATTCATATACTATAGATATGTGTAATGAATATTTATCCCTCATTTCCTGGAAATGAGGAAGACTATATAACATGTTCTTCATATCACTTAGACTTGTATTTTTTTTGCTATTAATTATAAGTCCTAATTAAACCATGTAAATTATATTACTTATCGTTGAAATCAGAATTTTCTGCATAAAATTTATTAAAATCTCCCATTAATTTATCTATGGCATCACGTATATGCTGATGCCGTATTTCTGCCCAAATAGAATCCGTTTCTGTAAGAACAGCTTCTTTAGTTTCTGCTTTTTCGGAGTTATTGATTTGATATTTGTATTGTTTTCCATTCTTTATAGGAAGAAGATCATTAGCCATTGCCTGGTATGTAAATTCATGAACAATCGGGGCACAAATATCAAAAGTTCTATCAATTATAAAAAGAACACTTTTTGGTCGAGAAGATTCTCGTGGGAAATTATTATTTGACTTTTTATAGTTATCAAGTTGTTCTTGAAGTAATTCTGCAATCTTTGTGCAAAAATGAGGATTGGATGAATTGGTTGAAGGTTGTGAGTAATATCGAATAGTAGGAAGTTCTCCAAGAGTTATACATACAGATGCAAGCTTTATATAAATATCTCAAAATACAAAAATTACAAAATATTTACCTTCTTTGCAAGATTATGTGTTTCCATATTAATAAGCTCTGTACAAAAAGGATTATAAAGTGTAAGAAATGAAAATGAATTACGAAATGTAACTACTTTTGATTCAAAAGGATAAAAATCAAGATACATTTCATTGGTCGTCTTAATAGGTGTTGTTTTTGATGATTCTGTTAATTTCTTTGCTAGTTTACCACTTAACCCTTTTAATTAATTATAAATTATTTGTTATTTAGAGCTTAAAAATCCAAACCAGATATAAAAAATAAATGTATTGCACTATACATTTTTTCCTCTTTAGAAGTATCGTTCAAAATGTGTTTAATTGTATCATACTTTGGCGAAACAAAGTATATTGCTTCAAGTGTAGCATTGGCTTGTCGTTTTTGTTCAATAAATTCAACCGCTTATCCATATTAATAGCAAAAAAAAAACATCTCTACCCTTACATGTGACATTTTCTTCAAGGAAATCATTCAGATTCATAACATTATTAATAATTTCTGAGCTTTCATTGTCTACAATTACAATTTTCCACTATATGTATTTTAGTCTTAAAAATAGTCTTTTTTTCCAGAAAAAAAGAGATATACCTTTATCTTTGGCTGTATACTCCTCAGTGATACTATAAAATCTAGAAAAAAAACGTTATTTTATCTTTTTTTTGAAAAAAACTTAAACTCACGTTCTCGAACAATATCAATCAATGACATGTATTTAAAAATCTTTTTTTTAACAAATATATCTAAATATACTGAAATATCTTAAATATATTCTTTATTCTGTTAAATATCTGATTTTTTTGAGATATTCAGACAATCTTTTATTTTATAAATTTTGTAGTTAAAACCGTTTATCGCAAGATTAGATCTTGGACCTACAAAAAAGATATAAAAGGCAAGATCCCCCCGATTTTTTGTTCAGAGCTAATATATCTAGGAAGGAAGGGTTTAATGAGTATTTTATTGGTAAATATGGCTAGAAAGATGTTTTAAACGAAGAATTAATGCTCATTAATGGTTTCTTTGTGTTTATATAAAGTTTGTCCTTTTTTTTGCGATTTTTTAGGGCTTCAGAGAGGTTTTATGCATGTTTTTTTGAAGAAAAGGGATATTTATGGAGTTTGGAGGTTTTTTTCTTTTAATTCGGGGGCATATATAGGGAAAATATTGAGATTTTCAAATAATAGAAGAAAAAATGCTTTAAAACCTATAAAAACTAAGAGATATTGGAATTTTTCTAAGTTATTAAGAAAAAGAATTGAATATTTTGTGCATATACGTCTTTTTGAGAAGTTAATTGATGGAAAATCAGAGTTTCGGGGAGAAATACATAAATTACCAAAGATTTTCTCGGAAAATTTGTTAAAACAGTTAAAAAATACAAAAAAGGCGATTGGTGTTGATAGTTCTCCGATAATTTATGATTTGTGGTTGTCATATGTTTCAGAAGGTGTATTAGGAATTGATAGAATGTTAAAAAAAAGTTTTTTGATGTTTTTAATGGTCAGAAATTTAAGTGTTGGGGAAATTAGTCGTCAAAAGTTATTATCAGACATGAGATATCCATCAGAATGGTTTCCAGGGGCTAGAGCGTTAGAACGAAAGTGGTATTTACATATTGGACCTACGAATAGTGGAAAGACATATCAGGCGTTGAAAAAATTGGAAAAAGCACGATCAGGATGGTTTGCAGGGCCTTTAAGGCTTCTTGCTAGAGAAGTGTATGATAAGATGCTAAGCAAGGGTATTGTCTGTAATTTAATTACAGGCGAAGAGCGAATTATTATGGATCGAAATGCTGCAGTTCATGTTTCAACAGTTGAAATGGTGGATCTTAATAAATTAATGGATGTGATAGTTGTAGATGAAGTGCAAATGATTGCAGATTCTCAGCGTGGATGGGCATGGACACAAGTTCTTCTTGGAGCTCAGGCGTCTGAGATACATCTTTGTGGAGAAGAAAGTTCAAGTGAGCTTATTTCAAGAATTGCAGAAAGTGTGGGAGAGGAACTTAAAATATATCGTTATGAACGGTTATCTCCTCTTGAACCTTTAAACCATAGTCTTTATGGTGATTTGAAAAAAATTGAGCCGGGTGATTGCATTGTTACGTTTTCTAGAAAAAATATATTTCTACTTAAGAAAAAAATAGAAAAGGCAACGGGTCAGCGTTGTGCGGTTGCGTATGGTGGACTTCCTCCTGAGACAAGAAATGAACAGGCACGTCTTTTTAATGATCCAGATAATGAGTATCGAGTTTTAGTCGCATCGGATGCAATTGGAATGGGCTTAAACTTGTAATTATTAAGACATGCTTCTGTTTATTTAATTATTTTAGGAATATTCGTAGAATTGTCTTTCAAACATTGGAAAAATGGAATGGCACAAAATTTTTACCGGTTTCTGTTTCACAAATAAAACAGATTGCGGGACGTGCTGGGCGATATAAATCTATTTCAGCTAATATGTTAGAGGCATCAATGTCAGGCTATGTTACATCTTTGGAACAAAAGGATATACGACCGTTGCATACTGCGCTTTCACAACCTCTTCAAACTCTTAAAAAAGCGATACTTTTTCCTCCTTTACATATTCAGGAATTATTTGCTTCTTTTTTTCGACCAGGAACATCTTTAGCTTTAATAATTAGGAGGTTTCAAAAGTTGTCAAAGACGACTGGTCTTTATTCAATATTGGATACAACACAACAAGAAACAATACTTGAATTACTGGAGTCAATTAGCGATTTAACAATATCCGAAAGGTTAATTTTATCAGCTGCTCCAATCAATCTTAAGGATTCAGAAGTGATTTCAGCATTTCTGGCATTTGCTACAATAATTAGTTTGGGAAAACCGAGAACAATTCTTGAAATACCAGAAGTTGATCTGGAATGTTTGGATTGTAAAGTTGATTTGGATTTGAAGCAGCTAGAGCGTTTAGAAGTACTACATAAAATGCTTTTGATTTTTTTATGGTTATCGTAAGGATAAATATTGTTTAATAGTGATGATTAATGTTTAAAGGAATCGATTTCCTGCTATTTTACTATCAGGACCAGAATGCCAGGAAGTAAAAAAGACATGTGAGAATCTTATCAATAAAAATTTAAGTAAAATAAGTTATGTTCATGTATGAAAATGCATTTTTTTTGGAACTAGCCAATATAACGAAAAAATAAACCGATTTATAGTAATGATTTTATTATATATACACGTTAAATCTAAATAGAAAATAGTAATATTTTTTCATTAACAAATTTTTATTTAATAACCAAATCTCAGTTGTGTAGAATTAAAAACAGGGGGTTTCCAGTGAGCAAGACCGTTTGGATCTATTTTTCTTCTTTGTTTTGTTTTATATTTTTCATATTGTTGTTCAATTGCTTCAGATATGCATATAATGTGCTGTCCTTTCTAAGAAATAAATTAATGAGAAAATATGAAAGAATTATATTTATACATAATATTTAAGAAGACTAAGGTTTTGGATTGTATGTAAAACATCTTGCGATGTCATAGATGTCTTATTGGCAATTTCATCGATTGTTACTTCAACCCTTGTATTCATTAGAAGTTCAATAACAACATCTGCCCAAAATGCTCTGTAACTAAGTAAACCAAGATCTGATAAAGGTTTTTCAGGTGATCCTAACTTTCCTTCTTTTTTTGAAAGTTCATATGAAAATTCTATAAGTAATCTTCCATAGCCTAGTCGTTGATATTGTGGTAGAGTTAAAATACAAGCAACATTATAATTTTCAGAAGAATCTTTTTCTTTTGAAAAATAACCAATTAAATGACAGCCATATTCATCACGTGTTGTCATGCAATAAAATAGAAAAGGGTCTACATCATAATAAAGTGTTTTATGATCTAAAAAGCATTTTGATAATAAACATAAATTTCTACACCATGTATGTTGTTTTCGTCCATCAATTTCAAAGAAAGAAATGTGTTCATCGCGATATATCTCATTTCCCGGGGGATGTTGTAATGTACACTTCATCCTATGTCTTTCGTATTGTTTTTTGGATCCAAAATATGAAAAACAAAATTCACATATATAAATTAGATCGAGTTCAGTCAATTCAATAGGATATGGACTAAAATACCATGGTTCTATTTCGTGTCTACCAATTTGTATCATTGTAAGATTCTTAACACGTGAAATTTCATGGATATTTTGTGCCATAGATCCTGATGTTCGTAATTTTTCAATTTCATTTGTCTTTGAACATTTTTCCTGCCCCTTATTTATACAATTCATTTGATCACCCTCAACTATATCTAACATAATATCTTCTTTTTCTTCCTGTGCATAGCAACCTTCTTGGTTGTCATTTTTAGGCTTTAATGTAGATGTTTTGTCTTTTTCCTTAATTTCTTTTAATCCTGTCGTTGAAGCATCCAACGAAACTTCCTCTCTGCATATACGATGTCTCTTACTTGTTCTATCTTCTATTTTTGTTTCTGTATCGTCTGTTTTTTGTATATTTGACTTAGATATCTTCTTGGCTTTGTCTACCTTAGGAAACTCGATTTCTTTTGAAAAATCTATTCTTGAAAGAGAAACCCATTCATCTAGGCGCTATCATATGCCATTATAATCTGAAAGATCTCTTTTAAACGCCTTAAATACCTTATTAAAGCCTTGATAATGAACATAAAAATATGGTTGGTTTTTTCGTGTTTGAAGCGATAAAATCTCCGCTTTTTGAAAGGATTTATCTTTCCTAACAAATATCTTACACCCCATACTAAGTTTCTGGGACTTTAGGTCCTCTATCTGCGAAATATTTGCTGATACTTCTGATGACATGTTTTGTCGTGTTTCTGGTAGTTTTTTGGCCTTTTTTTTTCAAAAAAAAAGGAAAACTATATATTCCAATCTCCGTAATTAAATCTATAATGTTTTTTTCGTTTATTTAATGATTATATTCTTCTAATTTCTTTTTTTAAAAAAATTGACGTTTTTTTCCAGCCGAGATCAAAATATATAAATATATATATAATGTATAAAAAGGTCTAATATTGTGTTCACTAGCCAAGTAAAACACTGTGCAAAGAATATATGATGTGCTTAAAATAAAATATATTGTGTAATTTGTTGATACAATGAAAAAGAAGATAACCGATAACGTGAGATAAAAATGAATAGTATAGATAGAATATCTGATTGTTTTGAGCTTTTAATATGTCTTTTCTTTTTTTTTCCAGATGTTTTTGTGTATTTTTTGTGCCTTATCTGTAGGTCGTTTTATGAAAAAGAACTTATTGTTTGTTATTTTTGTTTAAAAAAAATGTGTGTTTTTATAGAGATAATATTATTTATCCCGTGTCATCTTCTATCTCTGTTACTGAATGAATCTAGAAAAAAGCATCAAAATTGTTTTAATAGTGAAAAATGTAAATTTACAATATCAGCTAAATTGATCCATTCCTTCAATGTCCTAATAGAAGTCCCAAACTCTGTATCATAATGAGGAATTTGTTTCCATATATTAAAGGCGGAAAAAGTGCCTATTTGGTGCCATTTTTTTGTTGGCACTATTGTTTCATTCAAATCAATATTATTTGTAGAACAGTTATCATTTAACTGTTCAAACATCTGAGAAATAGGACTATCCGTATTATATATAGCGCCTAGAATGCTAAATATTCCTGTATATTTCGACTATTGTACTTAAAAATATACCTTCATATGTTGATGGAAGAATAAATGAATTTCCTTCTAAACCACGGCCACGAAAAGTTGCATAATAAGTAGAATTATCTACTTAATTATAAAATATGTTATTATTAAAAGAAATTTGTTGAAAACCTGGCGTAGATCTTACATGAAAATATTTTGAAACATTTGCAGGTCCATCCCACTGAATTTGACAAGGTAAAAGATGTACCTTACAATCAAAAGAAGTCTGATAAGATGGGGTACTTTGATGTGATGATTTTGATGTATTTTTATCTAAAATAATTCTTACAATTTCTTGATTCATATTTTTAAAGATGTCGAAAAGTATAAAAGCTTTGTAAGTTGAAATAATCTGATATACATTAAAAAAAAAAAAGAAAAGCAGCATTTGAAATCCATTTCATTGCTTTTTTTAGACCTTTCTAATCATGTTGCATAATTCTGTTTTATATAAATTATTTTTTGAAATTTTGTATCTAAATTATCTTCTTATTTTTTGGAAAAAAATATAGTATTTTTGTTATTAGATATGATAATTCATGTTTTGATGTGTTTTTGAGTAAATGATCTTTGAAAAATTAAAAAATCATGTTTTTCTGATAATTTTCCATCTATTTCATATTATTAAAATTAACTATAGAGTTATTTAATATTAAGATATTGAAATAAAGAATTAAAATGTACTTTAGTTGTTTGAATGATTAGAAAAATTAATAATCCTTTTTCTTTAGATTTAATGAATAGCAAATGATACACGATCCATTTCAGACTTATAACGTCTATAAAGAAGCATTGTTACTCTTGCATCTTCTACCTATAGAATAATTATGAATTAGTTGTGAGAAAAAAATGATGAATATTGGCAACCGAAGAATGTGTTTTATCTTGAATAGATATATTTAAAATTTCTTTAGCTAATCTTTTTAATGATGGAGTTCTTCCTTTGGAATATGCTTTAAATGGCTTGAATCTACTTGTGTCTCTTCTGTAATACATTGTTATAATTAATATTTAATGAAAATCGGTTTTTTTACATGTCTTTTCTTGGATGTGATAAAAAAAGTACATCAAGATCATTTTTTATTGCATGACCAATTAGTATTCTATTTTTTAACAAGTCTGAAACTTTTCTTTGAACTTCTTCGAAACTAGGTGCTGTTTTTTATGTCAAAAACACTCTTAATATTGTTTTTTTTACCCTTTTCTAAATCAGAATGAGTAACACCACTAATCCATGTTTTGTAATCTACCACCCGTTCTTTAGGTTTAACGAATGTGTCTAAAATTATATTTCCATGGTAATTGACGATACTAATTCTTGCTAAAACTCTATCTTTTCTATCACAAGGTCCTACTTGAACCATTTCACAATCTAATGCAATATAACGTCCAATACTACTCTTATAAGTATATATAAATATTACTTCATTCATAAACCGTGTTTTTTGTGTATTATTTGTTTCTTTTTCTGACTGAATTATATGTTCATCTGATAGACTTTTTTGTCTGCAAAAACCCGGCTTTAAAAAAGAAAAAAAAGCTTCTGAAGATTCCTTTATCTTTACATTATTTTTCAATGCCTTATTTCTTTATTTTTATTAGTTTTTCCTAATAAATATCATTTTTTAGATAAAATATACTTATTTGGTTTAATTGATGGGGTTTTCTTTGTTTTTTTTTGGATTTTCTTAGAATCTCCTAAAGACTATTGAAAATAATATTTATTTTTATAAGAAATCTTTGAATATTTACCTTTTGGAGGCTTCTCCAGTTACATGAAGGTGTATAGTGGTCAAGCTGCATCAAGTCATCGATAAGATTAAATAGATAAGATAAAAAATATATAAAACAAATGAAAAGTTGAAATAAGTAGAATTTATTTAAAGACTAAAAATATTAAAAGGTCTTTAAAGATTTTATACATTATGATTATGAGTTATAGATAGATACTTGCTTGGTTTTCTGAAGTTTTTTGTATAAAAAAGTGCTAGATGGTTTTATTTTTATATTTCTTGGACTTGTTTCGGGCAAATATAATCGAAGAGTGTCGATTTCTTGTTCATCATATAGCGTAAAATCTATGGTATGTTGCGATGGTTCAAAATATTTCGGTCGTTTTACAGATTGATGTTCTGTATAAACATAAGATGATGCAGGAAGGTTGACAAAAGGTTTTGTATCGTTTTCATCAATAATGGAAAGACATGACATATTAAATGATTCATTAGAATGATTTAAAGAATGCAATGAAACGTTGATTGCGCTTTTTGGATAATTTTCAAATTCTAAAGGTGAAATTGTGGTTACTGAAAGACCATCTTCTACATGATCTTTTGGTGTTTTAGAGTTAGAAAGATATGATGCAAATTTTTCATTATTTTGCGCGAAATTTCCTGCTCTGGCTAATTGTTCCATTACATCATCAAAAGATCTCGTTGATGGCCGTGTTGAATGGCGTGTAGAATGCGAACTATTTGTCTCAGGATGAATCACTGGTACTGAAGGTAATGTCGATGCGATTGTTGATGTTGCGGATGCTGCTTTTGTATTAGACGAACGTTTTAAAGAGTGTGTTGACGCTGTCTGTGATGTTCGTGTATTTTGTGAAGCATAAGATTTGGCATTGGAACGATTTGTGTGAATTAAATAGTCCGTAGTATTTGATAATTCTTTTGATGACAGTATATTTTGCTTTTCAAAATATTCAGAAGTTGGTGAATCAGTTTTTTTCGTTTTAGAATCGTTGTTCGATTGAACTGTTTCAGTTTGGGCCGCTGTAGGGAAAAACCGTGATGATGTCCGTGAATGAGATGGGCTAGATTTGTTTGAACTTTTGTTCGCTGTTAATGGAGCTGACTTTTTCTTTTCCGAAGTACAAAAAGGCGTACTAAATGAATCCAAAGATTCCTCTAATGCTGATGTATCTAGAGAGATGCATGCTTTATCTGATTTTTTTTCGGAAATATTTGTACGCTCTTTTCTCCAGTTATCATTAATATTAGATTGATTAGATGTGTGCGATGATTTCAAGCATTTTTGCTTTGAATCTATATGTGCTTGTTTATTCGCTTCTGCTGATTTTCCATTTTTTTCACTGTGTGATAACTGTTCTAAAGAAATAGTTGAAGGCTTTTTTTTTAACATTGTTTCTGGCGTATTATCTACATTTGTTTCTGAAAAACATGATTCATGTATGTTCTAGAAATGTTAAAGACTTGTTCATTTTATTTTATGATCATACCATTTCAGGTTTATTCGGCCTAGTTATACTTTTATGTGTTTGTATAATAGCTGTTTTTGTATGTGAATGAGATGAATTAGATAAATCTTTTTTTCTGATATCATATTAAAATTTAAAAGGAAAAATAGAATAAATATACCTTTCTAGCAATTTATTAACTGTTTTTAAATCACTTTGTTCTGAAGTAAAGGATTCTTGTTGAGATGAAACTGAAGCAGCTATAGATGCGTCGTTTTCTTTAGATGGTACTGTTTCTGGAAGTTTCGGTTTTTGTGCAAGTTTTGCTAATTCTTCTGCTTTCTTTCTTGCACGTTCCTGTTGCATTTTACGTTCCATCTCTTCTTCTTCACGCCTAAGACGTGCTTTTTCTTTTGCTTCAATCATAATTGCTCTTTGAAAGGCTTCAATATTTTCAATCATAGGATCAAAAGGCTGTGTAGATTGAGATAAAGCTGGTTTGGTTGTGCTCGTTAATCCAGTTGTTGGAGCTGAATGTTGAGGTAAATTTCGAGACGATGAATCCGAATCTTCTGATAAGGTTAGCGATTTTTTCCTTGATTCATTGCCAATAATAGAAATGGGTTTATATGGTTTTTGCTCGCATGTTTCCATTGTTTCTTCCTTTCTTAATTGAGTGGATGCTCGATGACGAGATAGGAATGATATATTGTGTCCTATTCTTGTCTTACTATCTGTACTTGCCCTTCTTCCAGCTCTTCTTCCATTTTTTGTCGAATCATCTACTATATCAAACTTTCCTGTATTAACATTATATATTTGCGGCACAACTGGTCGTTGTGAGTTCCAAGACCGATCATAATGTTCTTCGCCAAATCGTTCTTCTTTTGAAATATGTTTATCCCATGTCTCCTGGGATGTTGTTTCTGTTTCTACTGTCTCCGATGTTTTCGTTTGCATGAATGATGGTGTCCATACAGGTAATTCTGTTGGCTCTGTAGGTTTTGTATGTGAAGTAGATGTGCTAACAGCTTCTGATTCTATAGACAACTCTACAGGCATTGATGATGCTGTATGATCTTCATGAGGTAATGTAAATTTTGTACCATCGGCAAATTCGATCGTATCGCTCCAATCTGTTTCGTCATCATCCATCTAAACAATGTAAGTATATCAAGACTTTCTTAGCGATAAATTTACTTCATCCCATTTCCCTGCCTTATCATCATCACTTGTTGCTGAAAGCCTATGTACAAGATGAATTCCATGCATCGAGGATAATTCCTCATCAGTATATTCACGAACAGGCGCTACAAATCACTTAATATAGTTTAACCTATATTATATAACATACGCTTTCTATTCCTACCCCATACTGGTGCGCTATTATGACTAAGAAATCCTGATGTTTTTGTTGTTATCGATTTTCCATCTAATGACTTTATAGATACACTTTCTTGATGTCCACCAAGACTATAGGGTGCTGGCGATGATATTTTTGTTGCTAGACGAGGTTTTCCCGGGTTTGTTTGAATTGTAGTCGATGTCGATGCTTGTAAAAATGATCCACGTCGAGAAAAAAATGCTCCACTTTTTTCCATTTGTGTTGCTGAAATCTTAGGAATACTTGTGGTTGGTGGAATAGGCGCTTTATTAAGAAATTTTCGATTAATTGATGCTGATTTAAGTTTAGGCTTTTTAAAAGCAAAAATATGTGGAACTGTTGAAACATTTGAAAGCGTAGATGACTGATTCTCTCCCGATGTACCCTCTTCGGGTATTGTTTTCCCCGTAGATCCTTCTAATGATTTTTCTGCTAAAATCGGTTTTTCTATAATTGTTTTGCTTTCTTTTGCTTTAATTGTCTCATTATTTAAATCACTCATTAAACAACTCTCCCCTTCCAAACTTCTACTATTCTCCGATACATTATCTATCTCTTTTGTATCTAATTCCACATGTATATTTAAAAAAATTTCTTTTTCTTTAAATGCACCTGTCTCCACTTCGTCTGTCACCTCCGTAACCTCTGTTCTCTTCGGTATAGAAGATTCTAATCCCTCCACAACATCCGATGCATGATTTGTCTCTATTTTATCTGTTTCTTGCGTTTTTTTTATATTATTATTTATTCTTTCTTTTAACGCACTTTTTAAATCATTCTTTAATTCTTTATTTGATCTATTCTTCTCTAACAACGAATTAAACATTTCATCCTCTATCACATAATCTTTATATTCTTCTTTTCTTTTTATACTAGATGTATGCGTTATATATTCGTCTGATGATTTCGCTAACATTTTAACTAATGTTTCTTCTAATTTCACTTCCCCTCCTCTCCTTTCCTCTTCTTTTAAAGATCCCATTGGAGCACTGCTCTCCCTATTAGCAGAAACTTTTACTGTCTTATCATCTTTATCATCCGCTGCTTCTTTCGCAACATTTGTACCTGACCTCATTCGTTGTAATAACTTAAGAATTAGTTAAAACCTATATCTAAATAAGTCTTCATCAAAATACTATAAGATTATCTGTTTTACCGCGATCTGTCGCTTATTTTCAGATGAATGTAAACTACTCTGTACGAGGTTCCGTTAATACTTGAAATGAAAGCACGTGATGATCACGTGTATTACAGTTTGGTGGATCACGTGACTTGAGTAATAAGTATAAAGGCTGAATATTGAGGGAAAAAAACAAATATTATTTAAAAGATATAAATCTATTATTTTTTCTCTTAATAAGAATATTTTTATTCATGTATTGAATGTTTATGATAACCTAAAAATAATGAGTTATGCCTTAAGATATGAATTGAGCTTACGTAAATGAAAATAATAGTCTATGAAATGTATTAATAAATGTATTTTTTATTAAAAATCCTAACCTAAAATATATCCAAATATAACAAGCCCTCCGATTGCATGTAAAACAGGTTGAGCCTTTCCTCGGCCATTAAAATAAGTTTTTTTGTATTGTTCAACCCAGTTTCGAGGGGATATTGTAGGAGCAGGACCTCGAGGAAGTCGTGCATAAAAATCAATTATACGACGAACACGTGATGCGTCCATAAGATTGAGATTAGGAGTTAATTTAGGCGGAATCCAACGATGAAAAGGTATATGTTGAAGTCTCATTGTAAAAAGAGGTTTGTCAGTTTCTTGGGATAATTATGAGTGGTGTATGCGTAGTATATGCGTTATGTATGTGTTCTATGTGCACTATATGCGTAATATACACATAATATATGTGCAATATATACACTTTACACTGCTACTTTTTTTTGAGCCAAGTTTTTTTTCTTTCGAAGACTACTATAAAAATTCCTTAAATACGTTAGATTAACCCCATATAAAAAATAAAAAAAACATAGAAGTATATTCTATACTCAAATAAAGATAAAAAAATCTAAGTTAATATCTTTAAATACGTTTCAAATACATATAGCTCGCATATAACGCTTATATAACGTGCATACATTACGCATATATAGCGCATAGATAACGCATAGATTATAAATATATACTAAAATGAATAAGGATTTAGTTAGATCTGTTCGTATTTTTCGTCCTACAAGGACTACTATGCAAGCAGGTGCTCGTCATCCTGAAATATGGCGTCTTGAATGGGATCTTAGTTGTTCTCATCATTGGATGAATCCTATAATGGGATGGACATCATCAGGTGATCCTCTTCAAGCAATTCATCTTAGTTTTCCTAGTCTTAAAAGTGCTATTCGATTTGCTGAGAAACAGGGTTATTCATATCATGTTGAGCCTGATTCAACCCTAACTAAATTTGCTGTTAAAAGGTATGAGACCTAACCCTAGTGTTTAGGGTTTAATGATTTTATAGTTATGCAGATAATTATCGGGCGGAAACTATGAACCCTTCCAAGTATGTTTTTTTGTTATTTATATTATACAAGTTAATTTATTTCATTCAGAATATCTCATACTAAATAAAAGATATATATATGTATTTTATTTGCTTAGGGATGGGTTATAAATGACGTTTGGGACACGCGTGTGTCCTTTGGTTATATGAGTACCACTCGAGGAATTTAATTTTTTATGTCTCCAGAAACATCTGAGCAAGCGTTAACTTTAGCTCGTCTACTTCGTCATCAAAGTTTACTGAAGCATCGTTCTGGTGTTTTGAATGGTAAACGAGTAGATTTTTTTAAAGGTTTAAATATTTTTTATTTTTATTTTTTTTTTAATTGTTTAGCCAAATATATTTTCCGTTTTTTTGAAACATCATTTTATGTTAAAAAAGCAAAGAAAACACCATCTTTACCATCAATTAAGACAGAGGAAGATGTAGTAAAAACTATTCGTTTATTAGTTGATCATGCTTTAATTCAAAGGGTTGATAAATTATCATCTCGTAAAGATCGAAGAGGTGTTCGTTCATATCGCTTACAAACATATGCATCTCAAGAAGAAATAACGCAAGATGCTTATTATGCATGGCTTTATGATTTTGTTCCTATGAGTACATTTTTTCTTGGTTTAGGTACTCTTATCCTTATTTTAATAATTATTGTGTACCCTCTTTGGCCATCTAAAATGCGTCGAATTGTTTATTATTTAAGTTGGGCTGCATTAGGATTAATTTCTTTATTAATTGTTATTACTATTTTACGTTTGATTTTTTATGTTATAACTACAACTTTTTTACCTCCGGGTATTTGGATCTTTCCAAATCTTTATGAAGATGTTGGATTTGTTGATAGTTTTAAGCCAATTTGGGATTGGCATCGAGAAAAACATAAAAAGATTCGAAAAAAGGAGTAAAAAGATATTGTTATAATATTTTTATTTTTTTTCGTTATCAAAATTCTTGAGATATTACAAAATCAATTTTTTATAGGAATATATATGGAGGTTTTTTTCAAGATATTTGTTATGAATCACATTAATCTACTTTTCGAATACTCATAGGCAAAGATATTAAGTAAAATTGAGTTATTTGATTTAAAAATATTATTAGATAAGGTTTATTCATAACATTAGATATTTTTGATAAAAATAATAAAAGTGTGTTATTTTTAATTAAAGATATTTGATTATTTTGGCGAAAGATTAAGTTTTTTAAGCATAATTTCTCCATCTATTTTTTCGTAAATGATTGTTTATTATACTAGAATAATTTTGAATGAGACTTTTAGAATGAAACGAATGTTTTTTGTATATTTTTGTTTTATTAAATGATATTTTTGATTTATAAAAAGATATGGTCTAGAGATTAATTCTGACTTTTGATTTGTGGAGATTAACTAAAAATAGCTTTAAAATTTGTATTATAATTGTTTTTTATAAGATAAAATCTGATGATTTAACACCTTGACCCAACTAATAAGTAATTTATTTGATATTATTAACAAGACAATTTCTTTTTATCTTTTAAAGAAATAAAAAAATTGTTATTTTTAATAAAGGAATAGCACGAGGCAGTAAAGCTGTGTATCTAGCCCTGATATTTCGTTAAGACTTGCTATTTTTAATACCCATTTCGACTTTATAAAATATCCTAAGATACAAATATTTATATCATGGCGGATTGTAAATATATGCTTTTGTTTTTGTATATCATTATTATATAAATTATATCGTCTAAGTGCGCCCTATATTAATACAAATAAGCCAATTTTTATCTTGAACAAAGATAGAAAAGAATTATTTAATCTATTTAATTGTATGAATTGATGAAATACATATTCTTCTTGGTAAGAAAAATGGAACTGTTGATATGAGAAATAGGAGTTCTATTGCCAAAGAAATGAATATATGAAAGAGAAATGATTTTAAATATAAAGGATAGGAATAAACTTGTGATTTTTTGAAGTCCGGATTTTGAATTGTTAATATATATTTCTGGATTCTTGACTTAACTTCTTTAGGATTCAATAGTTCTGTGGCAATTATCTGTTTTCTCCGATTTTCTTTTGTTTAATCTTCTAAAAAATATAAAAAAAGTTAAATAAATTGTTTCGAAATATTGAAAAACGTTTTCTTGTTTTTATTGAGAAAAAAAAAATGTATTCTTATTATTTTTAAGCCAGACCCAAAGTTTCCCTGAATTATATACATTTTTTACTGTCTTCCTAACCATCTATATTTAAAAGAAATATAGTAAGTTATTTTGATAAAATTAGAGATGATCAAAACGCTTTATTTCTAAAACAATGTAGTTCACTTGTGATTCTTTTTTCCTCCTAGTATACAGTTTTTATCAAATTATTAAAAAGACGAACTTAAATCATCCAATTGATTTTTAAAGATAAAATGCTATTATAATAATGCATTCTTTATCATTAGTACCTTTAATAATTCAGAAAGAGTTTTCGTAGAAATTTTGTTGTCTTTTTATTCCTTTTTTTCCATGGGTTCCCAATGAAAAACATTTGCTTTCATACCAACTCCGCTCATGGCATGTTTTTTTAAATATGCAAGCCATATTTCAACCACACGTGGATGTCCATCTTTTATTGTAATAAGACGCTTATGTGTAATGCGTTCAAAGTTTTCTTTGCTCTTTGTATGGATAAAAGGACCTCTTGGAACAGTCCAGCGTTCAATTCTCTTAGGTAATGGCACTGGTCCAGATGCCGGGAGTCCTAAATAATATGCTACTCTCATAGAAAAGTCTGCAAAGAATGCTAGGCGAGGCACTTCAAAGCTTCGCATCTGTAATGAACATGTAATGATTCCATAACGTGCTGGATGACGAAGAGGTTCAAGATATGCTGCTTGAACATTTTGAGGAAGCTTCGATATATCCTCAATAGACAAAGAGGCTTTAAAGGACTTTGTTTGAAGTGTTTCATTGTTTTTTACTAGATGTATTGTTCTTATAGAATGTAAAATGCCTAATAAATTGGTTGTTTTATCCGTGTACTTTTTTCTGACGATATCTGTTATCTCGCTAATATTACACGTATATATTGAACTACTTAATAGACTTGATATGTGTATTTTATTTAAAATATGCATTTTTATATGATCCGTTTAGTTTGTTGTTTGTATTGTATCTTTAAAAAATATTTATAAAAAATCATAAAAACATAGAAACCGATTTAAATGAATTATTTCGTTGATCTGAGCGATTGATGTTGTGTTTGTTGTATTTATTTTATGTATTATTTCAACTAAAAAATATAATGACCAATTTTCGATTCCGAAATTTGATATTAATATAATCAAATTATAGAATAAAAATATATAAGAATATCCATTTTCAGTTTATTTTTGATCTTTCTTTATCCTTCAGATAATATATATCTTTCTTATATGAATATTTTATGATCTTCAAACTAAATAGTTTTGAAATAGTTATTGATATATTAATATATTTCTTAAATTTCCTAAAAATAACAAGGTCTTTGTCCAATGCGACTTGATCTTATTTGTTTATTTTTGTAGTGTTAAAACGTTTTAATTGCTAATAAGTAGTTAGTTTATTTTAAGATAATAAAATATAATAATTAAAGAAATATTAATTTTACCTGTAAAAAGGACTTGCTGTTATGAATGTGATCGCTTGCAAGAATAATACGAACACCTGGTATATAAAGATTAATTTCATGAACAATTCTTGCTTCAGTATAGGTTGTTCCACCAACCATATAGACAATGATATCTTGAGGCTTTTCTTTTAACGTAGTACTTTCTTCGATACAAGGATGGGTTTGTTCTCGGAGACGGCCTTTAATTAGAGATGTAAGTATGTTTTGTAAACGAGGTCGATGTTGTGTATATACATTTTCAACGTCATTTAATCCTTTAAACCCACTTCTTGCTCGTGAAAAAATGCTTTCTAACTCGTATAAGTTGTCCAGTCGTTTACTTGATCCAGCATACTCGAGAAGTGTATTGATAATCTTTGGTTTTTAGAAATATTTAAATAAAAGAAAAAAATTACAGAAAGTTCCTTTGGTGTCACACCAGCTTGTGCTAGTGATAATATAAGAGATGAGAGTGTATTATTTTTATTTTTTTCATAGCGCAAAGCGTAAAGAAGTACTAGTCGAATCTTGTTATTGTTTGAAATTGGACTTTGGATGAGTTTTTGTAAATTCTAAAAATTATAAAAGTGAGAATTCGTCTTTATATAATTTTTTGTTCTTACTTTTAGATCTGTTGAATGGGAATCGTTACATGCTAAGCTTTGTTCCAGTTCACTAACTTCTAGCAAGGATTCTTTATTTACTCGAGTACTAAGTTCACTCATCAATATTACATGTTTACTAACGTTTCCAGATAATTGCCGAAATTCTGGATATTCCTCAATAAATCGTTTCATATCTGACACATTCTGGATTTCGATATTCGATTTTGTTTTTGAATGATAATGATCGACATACTCTTTAATTCGTGTTCCTAAATCTCCGAAATTTAGGTACATATTTTCCTTGAAAAATGCATCTTGTTCAGGAGATAAAATAATTTCCTATAAAAATATTTATGACATCGTCTTTAGTAATGTATTCATACTTTAAGTTTTTTTTCATAGATCATGTTCGAAATATCAACACGTCCATGCTCAATTCCTACTAATTCATGAACCATTGCCTCGTATGTCCATTGAGTCAGTAATGGTGTCACTGGATCGTTGCAACGATCTAATATTAAAAGAATTGGCGCTGCATCCATACGATAAAAATTAAACAATTGCTCTTCTTCTTCCATCATCTTCTTCACTTCATTACCTAGAACCTTTGCCATATTACTGTTTCTTTCATAACGAATTATTGGTTTCTTCTTCAATGATAATAGTATAGATAACAATCCGTCACGTGACTTTTGTAATGCTATTGAATCCCAAGTATCCCATCTCTTATTCCAAAGATTATGTGTTGAAATTGGTAAATAAAGAGCTGCTAGATCTGAATGTACTGCTAAATAATCTGCAAAAATTTCCTTCTATATTTTAGCTAAGATTTATTCATATTTAAAATATAACTTGTAATGATTGTACAACTTCATGATCATCTGAAGCCGCTAGTATTTCTAAATAGTTTTTGTTAAGAATATTCGTAAAATCTTTTATTTTTAGAATATATTGTTCATTTTTTTTCATCTTACAAACAAAATAACGCCCATATTTTGGTGAACGAAGTTCTTCTGATAAATGCTGTACCGATTCAAAACATGGCTTAATAACACAAATGCATGTCAAATGACGTACATTTTCTCTCTTAGAATTCTCTAGACGGCTATCATTTGTTAATATTCTGCCATATATACATCTTAACACTTTCTCAATCAAATAAATTTCTCTGCTTAAAAGAAACGATTTAGTCGTTGCCATAGACATCATAGGAGTCTAGAATAGATTCAAAATCAGATATTTCTTCCATAAAACATGTATATTATATTATCCAATATATATATATATATATATTCGTTTTCTCTAAAAACCATTTATATAATATTCACTCACCGTAGATGCATCTAGAAGCATTATTTTCATTCCCTTCGACAGACTTGCTATTGTTTCTATATAATTCTGAATTACCTGAATAACGTTCATTTTTCAGCAGCTGATTTATTACTTTTGGGAGGTTAATTTTAAAGAAATATCACGTGTTTTGGGTGTTTTATACTTGTCACGTGATATCAAGCAGGATGTCACGTGTTTTCGATCTTCATCTTTAACTTCAGGATTTCTTAAGAGGTTAAAATGGCTATGGATACTGGTTTATTAACAGCAATTACCTTGGGAGTAGTACTTATAAGATATCCTGTTGATCTTCCTTTATGGATTGACTGGTTGATTGGCACAATTGCGGAAGTTATTGGTATTTCTATTGATAATTTTAAGCTTCTTGGATGTCTTATTTTTTCGTATCCTTCAGCATGTTTTTTGAGAAAATTGCCCTCTAAGAAGCCTTATTTTAAAAATATATTCAATATTATGTATAAATTGTGTTTTTTTTCTTAAAAATTGATGGGTTTTGCAGTATTTCTGTTTTTTTTTTGATTGTCTTTAATTTTTGGTATGCTTTGCAAACAGTCCTTATTAGTGCAACTGGGACGTATATTATTGTTAAATATATCAAGGGAAAATATATGCCGCTTATTGCATTTATTTTTTTAATAGGACATTTGAGTGTTAAGTAAATTTGGAAGTGATTTAATTTTATTTTTGGCTAAAAAATAGTCATTTTTGCCGTCAGTTTTTTAATCTTGATCCTGGAATGGATGTTACGTCTATCCAAATGGTTCTTTGTATGAAGCTTACAGCATTTGCATGGAATGTTTATGATGGTCGACAAGATCTATTAGTAGAATAAATATTGTTTACTTGAACATTGCTTATTTTTGCAGACATTAACTCAAAAACAAAGAAAATATTGTTTAAAAGAACTTCCATCTTTGTTGGATTATCTTGGTTATATATTTTTTTTTCCATCTTTTATTGTAGGACCTTCTTTTGACATGGCTGATTATTATCATTGGTTGACAAACGGTACTTCAACTTATGTACCTAAAAAAAAACATGCCGATAAGCTTAAAAAACGGTTATTAAGGAAAGATAGATATTATGCATTAAAGAAATTTGTTTCTGGTTTGTTTTATCTTTGTTTATTTCAATTGATGTCTTTATATTTTTCTACGGCTTTTGTTCTTAATGATGAATTCCTTGAAACAACTCGAATTTACAGGTAGTTTGAAAGTAGATGTATTTTGAAGAAAAAGAAAATTAATTGGCATTAGATTTTTATATCTTATTCCTTTGTCAATAACACATCGTTTAAAATATTATGGTGTTTGGTCAATTGCTGAAGGTGCATGTATTTTGTCGGGTATAGGTGATGTTACAAGAAACCATAATGGTGATATTATTCATAATTCTCTTGAAAATATCAATCCATATGATGTTGAAATGGCACAGAATACTAAACAGTTGTTTGAGGCTTGGAATAAAAGTGCAAATCGATGGTTAAAATATTATGTTTATTTAAGAGTAATATCTTATAATGATAATGCAAAATTTAAAGGCTCCTTTGTAACATTTATGGTAAGTGCTTTATGGCATGGGTGTAAGTAATATTTAATTTATTTTTTTCCCTTATTTTTATAGTTTATCCGGGTTATTATTGTAAGACACTCCTATATAATAGTTTTTAGAAAATTATGCTTATCATCTCTAATTTACATAGTATCTTTTATAACTGGAGCATTTGTACAAATTTTGGGAAAATATTTTAGAAAACATATTCGACCTCTTTTTTTAACTAAAGACATGAAACCAACTAGATACAAAATATTTTATGATGTATTATCGTTACTAACCATGCAATTAACATGGGGATATATTGCGCAGCCTTTTGTTATTCTTGGTTTATGGGATTCTTTACGTTTTTGGCAACGTTATGATGTATGTTATTTTATAAGTTTAATCATACTCATTTTTTTTCTAGTTTTTTGTGCATTTTGGAATTCTTGTCTTGTTCTTACTATTTCTAAGTCCTTTGAAGGCTTTGGTATATTAATTTGACATTTTTATTAAAATTTTCATATTGAATTATAATGGCTTTTTATACATTTTTAATGCGAAAAAATGGCTAATTAATAAACAATACTATTTTTATTCAATATAGTCTTTGACACTTCGAATATAAGTGTTTTTGTATCATTTTTTAATACATTTTATCTATATTTTCTCGAAATTCCGACGGGACACAGATTCTTAAGCATGTCTTTAACACAAGATAAGAATATTATTAAATTTCAGAAAGTGTATGTTTATTCTTTGTAAATATTTATTATTGATGTGAATAATAGTCTGGATGATAAGCAATATTATGAAGCCCATCAGTTATTACGGACGATAGTAAATAGGTATAGATTTATTGCAAAAAAAAAATAAAAATAAATGATTAAAGATATGTTAAAGCATGTCAATATGTATCGTCTATAGATCTTCTTTATAATGCATCTAAACAGTTTTTTAAGGAGGGTCAGTTTGCAAGTGGAAGTGATTTAGCGCTATATATGATTAAAATTTATAATATTATGGAATTAAGGCCAAATACAACTAGTAAATGTGTTTTAAACGATTTGCATTGAAATAATAAATTGAATAATCTTAGCTCGACTTCTTGATATTTTATATTTATATGGATCTTCAGAACCTACAAGAAAACGATTTATTAATGAAATATTGGCGTATGTTCTGCAAGTATGTTATATATAAGCTAAATATTTGTCCAAGATGGTCTAGTAAATGGGGGGAAACTCCTGTAGGAGATGCGGATCTTCACCATAATATAGGTGTTCTTTTAGCACAAGAGGGAAATCTTTTTGAAGCAGAAAAACATTTAGTGCTTGGAACGAATGAAAGTGTAAAACCCTTATTAAATCTTCTTTGCGATTATTTTTGTGAAGATAATCTTTATATGGCTCCTTTTTATGCATCGCGAATCGTGTTTCCTTATCTCATACTCCATAACATTGCTTGCGCTATTCGAGGTTACCGTGGAATAGTTGATTATTTAGTCGAAGAGAGAAAAGTTATGACGCATGCTTTATCATCATCTGTTGCTGATGTTATTTTGTTTCCATCATTACCATTGATGAATTTTCTATGTTTTCTCATTTTAACATGCCAAAGAGGTGCCGTTGATTTATTTCATACATTAAAAACACATTATGCAGATATTTTGAAGGAAGCGCCTTCTTGGCAACCCGTAAGTCGCTATATTTTCTGTTTTCTTTTAATTAAAAAATTAGTCCCTTGAGAAAATAGGTAATCTTTATTTCAATATTCCGGCACAACATTCATCAAAAAGTATCTGGAGCGATCTCATGAGTCAGCTATTTAGCAATGAGCCTGAATCTCCTGGCGAACTTCCAGAGATTCTTCATGAAACACTTGATTAAATTATAAGGTTTTCTATTTTTTATATATTTACTCCACCTTGATCACGTGAACGCCGAGTGATTAAAGTGGAACAGGATTCGTTTCTTCTGCTTCAAACATCCAATCATCTTCTTTTAAATCTTGAATTATACGTTTCAGACTCTCTCTTACGGCTTCTCCGAGTGCTTTATTTATTAGCTACTTTATTTTTTTGAAATATTTTACCTTTATGTTGAAACTGTTCACTTGTATAAATTTTTCGTAACGCTTCTGTCTGCTTTGTTTTTTCCACTGTTTATTATTAATTAATTTATATATAATTTCGTTTTACTGACAAATTTTTTGATCATGTTCTTCTGTACCTGGCACTGGTGTTTCCAAGAATTGTAAAGTTGTAAAAGATGATGGATCCATTATATCTTCATATAAAGTTGATGCTTCCTGTCCAAAAACATTTGTAATAGAAACACTCGGAATCAACGAAGCTCTAATACCAAACAGTTGCCGTCTAAGCGGCTTAGATGACATGCCTAATTCTTTTACTTTAACCCTATAATATTATAAATAAATGTTTATTTTGTCTACCGATAGACTGTGTGTCACGTGATCAGTGCCCTAAGATTGTTTATACTTTAATAATTATTTTGATAATAAATATTTATATCTAAGTAAATTTCATTGGAAATTTTGCCATTTGGTTGTTGTAAGTACTTTTGTTTTAGATTTCTTTTTGATATACATGTTTATATGAGTTTTATCAAAGTCTACGATCCGTCTTTAATTATTATTTTCCATCAATTCTTTTATACTGGCTGTCTTCCCTATTGAACCGCTTGCACGGCTGAAAGGATCTGTTCCTATTTTTAAGCAGCCTGTTGAACTTTTTTGTTTTAGTTATGATGAACAACGTCATTTAAGATATGATGCTTCGTCTTTAGTAGGATCTTTTTTGTCAAAATATGATCTATTTATCTTTAGATGTATTATTACCCGCCGGCGCTTGGTGCAGATCTTTCGAATGGTTTTGATAAACGTATTGAACGAGATGAGACTATTAATGAGCATCTTGATGGACTGTTACTATCATTGTGTGAATATGAGCGTCAACATGGTTTCCAACGTACTTTTGTTGATATTTTGACATGGAGAGGTCTTGTTCTATAGATATTTTTAATAATATTAAAATGATTAGGTATTCTAACACGATTCCTTTGTACTCCATTTGATCGGTGTACTGCCTGGGCTGTTAATATTGTTCGTTTTCAGGTCAGTAAAAATTGTTATCTTTAAATTGTTTAAATATCCATATTTTTTTATCCTATTACTTGATTGACAATCTTTAGAATACTATGTATATTTCCTTATTTTTTCATATCAATTGAAATATTTTTAGCTTTATTGAAGATCATTTGGAAACTATTTCACTTCCTACTGAACAAGAGGCACGCATGCGATTTTGGGGCTATAAGTTTGAGAGTATAATGTTAACTCATGATTAATTAGTATTAACTTATTTTTAGCACTTTCGACTCTTCCAGACACTTGGGATAATTGTTCTCGTGATCAAATTGAACACCGTAATGATATTATTGTTAATAATCACATTCAATATTGTTCTGTTGTTCGTACCAGTCTTGATAAAACAACTCTTGTTATGGGTGGTGAAGTAGATTGTGCCTGGGATGCTAAACCTGATCCTCCTGAAAATCCTGTTCCACATTATGTTGAACTTAAAACATCTCGTTCATTAACAACACATTCAGCTCGAAAAACATTTGAACTTCATAAATTGCTTAAATTTTGGTAAAAAAAAAAAAAAAAAACGTATTTTTCTTTGATTTATTTTATCTTTTTAAGGGCTCAATCTTTTTTACTTGGTGTACCAAGAATAATTGTCGGTTTTCGTACTGATGATGGTTATCTTGAATCAATCGAAGAATATAAAACACAAACAATTCCTTCAAAAACATCTTCTTTCAATGGTAATCTTGCACTTGCTTGGATGTCTCAATTGTTTTATTTTTTAAAAGAAAAAATTCCTGATCAAGAAGGTGTATGGAGACTTTGTTATACTCAAAATGCAGATATTGTTCAGCTTTATAAAATAGAGTCTAAAGGCTATGGATTCTTGCATCCACAGTTTATTTCATGGAGAAAAATAAATATTCAAAAGTTCAATGATCCTTCTGTATAGTAAATGTTGTTGTGACAACCGTTGCTATAGTGATCGGCTTCTGAGATGCTGTTAATTTTAATAATTTTAAGAAAAAAAAGCTATTAAGACGTTTTATGCCATGGATCTAAGTGCTGATGATACTTTCTTATCTAATTTCCCTCCTTTGTCCCATATATGTATTCTTCATTGTTCATTTTCTGTATGGTACGCACGTTATCGTTCTATTACACCTAAAGCGAGAGTCATTAAGCCTTTACCTTCAACGTTTATTGCATATTTGAATCAAGATGGCATCGTTCTTCCTCATGGAAGGTATTTTTATGTTTTTTTATAATTTTTGTTAATACTGTATGTTGAACAGTGATAAAGATTCGGTTAATAGTTCAATAGATGAATTAATAGATTCGGAAATGGACATTCCAGAAGTAATCTATAGGCTTTTAATAAATGATATTACTAATTTGTTTTGTTAGAACCCAGTTATTGCTTTTCAAGCTTTAGATGACGAAATTACTCGTACGATTGAATCACTTAATGGTGCTGTTTTTCCAAAACTTAATTGGTCTTCGCCTAAAGTTTTTACCTTTATTTGTAAGTTTAGATCTCATTTTATAGGACGCTGCATGGATTACACCTAATCGAAATCTGCGTTGTACAAGTGCTTCAGATATTTATCTTCTTTTTAAAAGTTCAGATTTTATTGCTCATGATTTATTCCATGCTTTTGATGATTGTATACCGTCTAGTGATGTTCATGTTGAATATGAACTTGTTTTGAAACAATGGTTTACAATAATTCCATCTATGGAATTTCGTTGTTTTGTTAAACAACGCCGTCTTATAGGTCTGAGTTTTATATTGTTACATTTCTATTAACTTTAACTAGGTATTTCTCAGCGTGACTTGAAATATTATGCTTTTCTCGAATCATTGAGACCTATTATTCTATCTCTTACTGTAGATTTATTTAATTCTCACTTGAAGGATACTTTTCCTGACGAAAATTGTAGATATTTATATATTTTTTTTTTTACTAATATTTTAAGTCATTTTTGATATTTATATTCCCCCGTCAAAGTCCAAAGCATGGCTAATCGATATTAATCCTTGGCATTATAAGACATTATCGCTTCTATTTTCTTGGGAAGAACTTTTAAGCGATTCATTGCCTTTTAGCAATGATTCCCCTCAACTCCGTTTTGTAGATGTTGATAGTCAATCATGGGGCCCTTCACAATTTGCATCACAACGGCTTTCTGAAGACATTTTACATGCAAATACATCTGATTTTGATATAGAAAAATATATAGAAAAGCTTCAAGATATGAATATTACTACAAATGCTACTAACAACACGATCATGACAAAATGATCTTTTATTTACTATAATAATTATAAAAATTGTTGAAGGGTTATAAATTCCACTATTACAGAAATGCTTTAATACGCCAAACCAAACCAAGCGTTTATAAAATAATTATTCCAATAAAGAAAAAAATTGCAAAACTTTAAGATTTAGAAAAAATGTTGAAATAAATATTTAAAAAAAATCATAAAAATGTTTGTTCTTCACGGGTACACCAGGGTGCTCTTGACCCGACAGGAGGAAAAAGCCCTAGAGTATATAAGTAATGGATTGATGCGTAAAAGAATTATACCGATCTGCTGAGCACTTACAATTGATCTTAATTTCCTTCTCGGATTATTAGGTGCAGGAAATCTAGATAAGGATTAACATGATATCTAATCTCTTATGTAAAATATACTCTTGTTCTTCCCCTGTTGCCGGACCATGTGAAATAAAGATTTTAGGGCGGTAAGATGGATCTTCGTCCATTACACAAGAATTACGAAATTTCTCAATAAGACATTCTTTTCCCTGACTAATTGAAATTTAGCCTTCTGGACAATAATGATAAACAGATATACATATTGGCGTATGAAATATCACAAATTTTATCTGAATGAAACCGATTCCTGGAAATCATAATTTCAGAATAATGTTTATTTGTACTTTTTATATATTTACCATTTTGTCCCAACACGAGCTTGACCAAAAGTAACAATAGAAATAGGGTCAATGAAATTTACAAAAGCATAACCTAATAATATCAATTTTTTCCGATAAAATGACAGGATGAAACGAACCAACATTACAACGATTTCTAAAGTCGATTCTTAAATAAAGGAAATCATAGGTTTTCGAGTTTGTTGCATCAATATATTCTTGCAACATTTGCTATTTGTTTATAAATTGATTGAATGGTACTATAATGAAAACTTACCTGTGTGAATTTATTAGGTATATTTTTGATCATAATAGTTGTACGCATATCTAAACCTCGAGTGATTCTATCATAATTCACTTTATTTTTTTCCGTAATCAAATTTGCTCTAGGACTGGAATTACCAGCCATTTTTAATACATCAAAAGAAGGATATTTTAAGTTAAGAGGCAAATGTTCAGTTATTAGCGGTGAATGTTCTACCCAGACTCCATCATGAGTAATACTTCGCTTCATATTTGCTGAGTATATTTGGCGTTGATTGGAGGAATCGTCAGCAATAAATGTTGGATTAAGTGATTTTACTTTGGCTTCTTCAAGCGCCTCTTTTACTGCTGAAGAATGAAGATAATTATTTATCTTGGTATATCGATCATTTAAATGAATGTATGTAGTATTATCGTTTATTTGAAGATTAGTGGGTTTTCGAATATTATGCCTGTAATAATCTATATTATTAGAACCATTGGATATTGACTCTGTATAAGGTAATTTCTCATTTTGAAGAAAGTAACACGGAACTGAATTTGATCGATCCATAATAGGTCCATTAGAACCTTTTTTGTTCAAGAAAAATTCTAAAGGAGGAGAAAGTTTAGGACGTGAAATAAAAATATTGGTTGGTTCATGATTTACTAGAAATTCATTTGAAACATTATTTAAATCTTCGGAAATATCTAAAGATTTAAATTGATCTAATATGACATTTTTATCTTGTAAATGCTGCAATTCATTCGATACTATTTTCCAGGAAATAAACCCCGATTCATAAAATGTGGCATGAAGTTTATTATCCTATAATATTAAGTGTTACAAGTAACCAAAGCATTGAAATTTGATTTTGATTTACCTGAACTACTCTGCCATTTAACTCATCCACAGCTAGCATGGCATCTCTAATATCAAAATACTCGCAAATAACTGTTTTTTTCATTGTTGTAGAAGGTGATTTAATTACACGAATATCACCGTATGAAGATAAAAGATTAAACAAAATATTTTTGGATAGATCTCCTGATCCTTGAAGAGAAATGATGATTTCTCCTTCATTTTCTGAAAGAAAGGGAAGTGATGTGCCCCCTTTTGACATCTATAATAGCAACAAGATAAGCATGAGTTAATACATTAAAAATAAGGAAAAAGGGAAATAGAGAGGAACACGTACAGCTATTAACGTCGTTTTGGAACAAAATTGTGCTTCTAAATAACGGTCATTGAAAAACCGATAATGACGAAGTTGTTTTTGAATTCTAATACAATCGCGAACATCGTAGAACCCGACAATAACAGATCCATCACTACGGAGATTTTTAGATAATATTCCCTGTATATCTCCAAATTTCTAGAATACTTGTTAGCAATAAACCTCTCCTCCTCTCTTCCTAAACCTCAAAAATTTCCTTAAGCATCCATGTTTCAATCGTTTTTGGCAGATTCGTTACTTGAAGATATCTACTTGGAATAGATGCCCATTTTTCAGAATACGGCCCACCCGACGTATTTGTCGCATCTTCCTGGGAAGATTTATGCCTTGCATAAGATCCTAAGGACTCTGTAAACGAATAATTGAATAATTTCGTCGATTTATCCGTCTCTTGCGTCGATTCAAAATTATTTATCTCCGATTCACGATATTTTGATATACTATTTGAAAATCCCATTGCTGAACCATTATGATTTGCAAGTGTTTTTGCATTTCGCGCTGTATTTTTTTCTATTGTAGATTTCCCCACTACATACGTTGGCCGATTTGTTGTAGGATAAAATGACCCTAAAGCTATACCATTCCCCACGAATTAGTTAAAATTCCTTATTTTCTTCCGACTACCCTTTTTAACTAACCTGATACATCTTGCCATAATTTAGGTGATTTTCTTCCTAACGATGTATTTGATAAACGTTCACTATGAGTACGCTTAAGCGTTTGATTTTCTGTCCCAGTTTCTCTCCCATTCTTTGACACTGGTGAATCAAACAATGTAGAAGGAATTGCTCCTAATTCTTCTAAATCTTGATCCTTATGACTAAATCCATCTGAATATTGAGTTACTGAGCTTCGAAATGGGCTACTATCTAATTCTGGTACCGAGAATTTTGTTTCATCAAAACTAGCTGTACTATCTTCATATGTTTCTCCTTGATATTCTTCTACTAGTTCTTCTCTTCCTGACGAACCTTCTTCACGTGTTGCGTCTTCTGACGCATACATTTTATGTATACTTGATTTTTTAAACCATTGTCCTATATATATGCGTTTCCTTTTTATTATCTTATGATAAAGTGTCTTTAGATATTCTTTTCTTCCCCCTTAATGGAGGATTCTGCATCTATTTATATTTTTTTATGCGGCCAAAGCATTGACCACGCGTATTTATATGCTTTTCGATCTTTGGATATCGTATAACGCTTGAATCAGGGGGAATAACCTACTCGTTAAATTTGGGTGGTGAAATCACAATTGAAATGGATCAATTGATGGACAAAAACTGACTAAGCACGTTGAACAGTATACAACGAATTCTCGGGTTTAGACAAGGATATTACGATTTATATCCTTGAAAGATTACTAGAAAGAGGGGGTAAGAAAAAGTGTTTATTTTTAATGTCAATAAATGAGATGGAAAAAAGGAGAAAGGTACAGTTAAAGAAGGGTTATGCTTGAATGTTTAAAAGGGGAAATATTTTATATATGCAAAATATTTTGAATATATTTTAGTTAGGGGGTGCTAATGGTTATTTGTATTGTTAGGGTTAAATAGATGTATATAATATATAGGGTAGTTATTTAAGTTATAAGACAATAGTAGGGTTGTATGGATAGTCTAAAGGATAGTATAGGGTTAATACCTATAGATATGAGATGATAGTAGGGTTAGGTATATAGTGATAGAGTAGGTATTGGAATTAGGGTTAGTAGTAAGGGTAGGTTGTAAAATAGGACTGGGGTTGCTCTGTGATAGTGTTGAAAACGACATTAATAATAAAATATGGTTAAATTATACATCGATATATGATATAGATAGATAAGAGTTGAATCGACTAGATAATATAAAAAGTTTTTTTTTGAGAAAAATTCCAGTTTAAAACCCTTTAGATATTTTAAAAATATGATTCATGATTACAATGATTTAAAACAAAAAATCAGTCCTATTGTAGAAATAAAATCTACTAGCTTTTGATTATTAGTTTAAATAATATGTCTTATTGTTATTTATACCGAAGAAAGAAGAGGAAATGAATGTATATCTGGATCAAGATTATATTTCCAACATAATTGTGTCAAAAGTTCGCCTAAAAATAAAGATATGATGACCTTTTTTATATAAATATAATCATTTATCTTTATATACTTGTATGTTCTTTAAAACTTACCAGTATTCCTGTTATAATTTGATAAACGAATATAAATGTTAAATTCATTGATAATATTTTTGTTTGGTGTATAATTATAAGAAATCCTACCTGAAAGATAAAATTAATAAAAAAAAGAGTTGTAATTGTTATCCATTTTATTTCTTTATATTGTTGGTTTTTCATTTGTAAAGAGGTGCTAACACGTGAAGCATAAATACAACCGATATTACCTATTATTGTAGATAAATTTAAAATCTCGCAATAATAATATTGTATACCACTAAGTCCCTGAGAAATAGGTATCATAAAAGCAATACCACTGTAGAAATAAATATATTTTTCAAAAAGAATACCTGAACCACTTAAAAAAATGAGTTTTTTTAGTTTATATAAAGAGTAAAAAGGTATACCATGTAATAAGTAAAGATATAAGAAGAGGAATCCAAGTAGTTGGTGTGATTGGGTATGTATTGATGATATTAGTGATAATGAAAATGGAAAAAAGTAAAATTAGACTGAGAAAAAAAATAAGTGTGTAAAGACCAAAAAATGAAACAAAAATAACAGAGACTAAACAAAATATGCTAACTGATATTAGGTCACCAAATGATGATGCAATAGGTGTAAGAATATTATCTTATTATTAAGTAGAAAATTCTAAAAAAAAAAATGGATATACCTGGATCCACTCGAAATTTTAAAGCAAGAATAACAAGTATAGAAATTAAGGCGCCAAGAATCGCTGAAGAAATACAACCCGTCATAATTGAACTCGCAATAAGTATAAAGAATTTAAAAAGTGTTTTTTCTTGTAATTTAAATAATGTTAATTTTTGGTCGGAAAATCCATGTTTTTCTAATTCATTAGACTTATCATGTACAAAAAAATCTAATTGTGATTTCTGCTTTAATGATGGTAAAATACATCCAAAAATAAACGCTATAATTCCCGATAAAAGACCTGCGCCAATCGATTGCATTTGTAATATAATCAAATTTCTTTTAATTATTGTTTGTTGTGCTTCCAATGTATCCAATTTTCCTACGACTTGCGTATCAACCTTTATTTCATGTACTTAAATAAAAAAGCCTTTCACCCATATTTGCCTATCTCAATTATTAAAAAATATTCGACTTAAACTTTGTGTAAAAGCAATCACACTGTATTTTTTCAAGGATCACTTACAAATGTGCTTAATCTAGATGTTAAATTCATCTCCAGGCAGCCAATTAAGTTTAATAAAATAGGAATTAAAATAAATAATATAGGAAACGCTTGAAAAGAAATCAAAGTCTGTAAAAATATTTACATATTAGACTTGTTTAAATCATTTATTGGGGTATTTAAGTCGGGAAATTTCCTGCCTTGATATAATTCAACATTAACCCGGTTAAAAAGGATCCAATAACTGAGAAAACAAGAGATGTTGTAGATTGTAAGATGAGTTCTCGAATAATTTGAAAATGATAGTTTCCGTTATTAATATAGGGTGTTTCGAGAACAGAATGTCGTTCAAGTAATTCATATGTAGCTTCATTAGTGTCGGGTTCGAGTCGATCCATAACGTATAGAAAATGTTTTTAGAAAAAAGGATAAGGATTTCAAGAACTTCGAAAGAAAAAAAAAAGATTTTTTTTTGAAATTTATAGTGAAAATTAATTAATAAAAAGTCAGAAAAAATGTGTGAATTTAAAGAAAATGATTTTGAAGAGGTAATGTTTTAGAAAAAAGACATATAAATAGAGGGTATAAGAAGGGAATAAGAGGGTAATAATGAAATGTAAAAATGAGTTAAAAATAGTGAAATTTGAATGAAATTTGAACAAAAAATGATAAAAAATAAATATATAAGGATTTAACTAATTATGAGATTAGTTGATTGAACAGTGTGTTTTAGGAAGCAGTTATGTTGAAGAATTTATGCCGGTTTTAAAAAAAGCATGTGAATCAGGCACACAAAATGATTTATTACAAGTATGGACAATATGTGCTTTGCAAAAAAAAGAAGAAGTTGAACAAACATGCTCAAAATACCATCAAGTAGAAGATAGAATAAGAGGGAATGAATTTCTTATTGTTTTAGATCTTTGTTGAGTCGATTGAACGACTTTTGAATGTGCGTCAATCTATATTGATGTTAACAGACCAATTACATTATTTAAATTGGGATATTCAACGTAATGTAGCAGGTTTAGCATCCAAGGTAGGATAAGAATGCTTTAATAGGGATAGAAAGCCTTAGTTGATTGTTAAATAATGAAATTAAATGTGTTTTAGAAACGTGCATTAGTTGAAGCACGTCGAATGAGTCAAAATATGAAAGAGGCGTCGGAAATGATTCGTACGTGTTTAAAAGTGTTACGTTTGGTTAATAAGATTCATGAATGGATTGGAAATAGGGAATTTTATCGAGCTTTGAGGGTTATTTTGGATATTTTTTATTGAGTCTATTAAAATTTGTTTTAGTCGCTAGATGAGTTACAAACAGTTCATTTAAAAGATATATTAGAGTTTCGTTTTGCTAAAAATATATGTAAGATGTTTATTATTGAATTTATAGGTAGAAATCATCTTTAATTTTGGTTTAGGTGATTCTATTCCAAGTATAAAGCAACGAATACAGGATGCGGTAATGAGGAACTTGAAAGAATGGCTTCTGACGTATATTTTTGAAACTTTTTCCTATTATTAATTGTATGTATTAGTTTGCGTATAAGTTCGACTAAGGTGGGTCAACTTGCATTTCAAAAGACTCTTGAAAGACAAAAAATATGGAATCGGCGTATTAAAATGGATCCTCGTTTGCAATCTTGTGAGTTTAATTCCCCTGTAGAATGGGTATTAAGTGAATGGGATGATTGTAAGGTGTATATTCTATATTTTGTATTTTATTAAGATTTTTTAGTTGATGTGACATCCAACGAGCAAATTCAGATAGATTTTACATGTTTATTTGAGTCTTTTCACATTTATGATGAACTCGGGCTTCATGATGAGTTTCGTATGAGTTATGAAAATGATCGTAGAATGCAGAAAGATCTCTTGATTCCCTATTCAATAGTAATTCAAAATAAAGATATATCTGCTATTCGTTCGTTGTTGCAAGATATCTCTGGTTTTGTTATTATAGAAAAGAAAACATTGACTAAAATAAGCGCTTTGCGGTCTGAAGAAGAGGTTTTTGATATTTTTTTTTTTGTTATCTTATTTTTTTTAGATTGATTCTTTGTGGGATTCTCTGTGTGATAAGTTAATTGAAAATATTTCAAATAGTATTAAGGATGTTGATGATCTTCAATTAATTCAAGATATAAAGTTTCTTATCTTGTTATTTATACAAACAATTGAGGTAGTTTTATAGCACAGATATATGATTTTTTAATATATTCAATAGACATATGATTATTCTATGAAAAAGCTATATAATTTTTCATTAAGCTTGTTTGAAACATATTCAAGATTGTTAAAGGCTCAATTTAGTAAGGATTTTGAGCAGATTGTTGCTGACGATGATTATATGCCTATTGTTATTAGTAATATGGAAGATTATCAGAAAATATTGGATGTTAGTTGGTATAAGCCTAACAACTTTTCTGATTCAATCAAGTTGTTTTCATATATGATAATGATAGTACTTATTTAAAATAGATTTCCTGTTACTCTTCCGTTTTCTCAAGTATATCCCTTGTGTTGTGTAGATATTCGGAATTTTGTAAATAAATACTATAAATTTGCTGAGGGATATTATAATCATTGTCATGATATTGATGATATTTTAAAACAGGTTTTTTAAAAAAAAAAGCATGACTTTATTCATACTGATTAAAAATATTAGATTTTGGATGAGCTCTTAGTTGGACATGTTAAAAAGAAATTAATTGAACGATTAAGTTTAAATAATTTATCACAATTAGTACAGATTATAATTAATCTTGAACATTTTGAAAAAGCATGTGATGAATTAGATTCTTTATTATTAGAGATACAAGCTTCTGATAAAGCAACTAATTTGAAATTAAGGGCTAAATCGGAGTTTTGTGATGCTATTAAGGATGCTGAAAAACGAATATTTGGTATTTAATTTTATTTTTTTCAATATAACTAATATGATATTTTAGAGTTGGTTAATTCTAAAATAGACGATTTTTTGGAAATTTCAGACTATGATTGGTAAATAATCTATTCAAATTGGCTCTTTTAATTGATTTTAAAGGCAATCTACAACGAAGCAAAAAGAACCAAGTTCCTATTTACTTGAAATGGTTTCATACTTAACAACTGTAATGAATTCTACCTTGCATAATCTTCCTCATTCTATTAAGACATTTGTATATTTTGGAACACTTGATCATTTTGCATCATCCATGATGGTTATTTCTTATATTAAATTATATATTTGCTTACTTTTATTTAGCAAAAATTATTAAATAAAAGTTCAAAAAAAATTAATCAAAATTCTATTTTCAATTTTAATTTGGATTTACAATATTTAGAGAAATTTGTTCAAGATCTTAGTGAACCAAGTATTTCTTATGCAGATACTTTTCTAGAGTTACGACAGAGTCTTAATCTTATTTTGTCTGAAAATCCTGAAGAATATCTTAATAGTGATATACAACTTAAGAAATATAGTCGTATTAAACCTCAAACGGCTATTCTTCTTCTTGAAAAGTATTATTTTTTTTCTTTTTTTTTTATTTACTTTGATATTAGGCTTATTTTATGTGAAACAAATAAACCTTCCGAGGAAAGGAGGCTTTCAATTATTAGATCTTCTGAAAACGTCATTAATTCACTTGTTAATCATCGTTCTTGATTTGTTTTTATCAGGTTTTTTAAATTTATTATAAAATAATATTAAAATTATTTAAGTTTTATATTTCATATGGTTCTAACTGGGGAAGATATGCTAAGAGAAGATCTTTAATAATACTTTCTTTTTTTTTTTTTGAAATCAGTATATACATACAAAAAGGTCTTCCGTAAAGAAAAATCTACGATAAACGACTTAGTTTTTGTATTTTGGATAAAATATTGAGATGAGTTCTGTTGCAGAGATTCAAGTAAAGACAGACTATTTGATTAAACCTGAAAATCTATCGGGCAATGCCGATACTTCTACTTGGCCTCTTTTATTGAAAAATTACGATAAATTGGTAATACGGACAGGCCATTATACACCTATTCCTCATGGTTCATCGCCCTTAAAAAGGGATCTTAAGACGTATATAAGTTCTGGAGTCATTAACCTTGATAAACCGGCAAATCCGTCGTCTCATGAAGTACAATTTATTTTTCTTTAAGATTTTTTTATATTTTTTTTTAATAGGTAGTTGCATGGATTAAAAGGATTTTGCGCTGTGAGAAGACAGGCCATTCTGGAAGTAAATATTATTTTTTATTTATTTTTGTTTTTTTTTTCTGATTTTTTATAGCTTTGGATCCTAAAGTAACAGGTATTTTTTTAAAAAATCATATATTGTATATAAAAATTGAGTTTGAAAGGATGCTTGGTTGTCTGTATTGATAGAGTATCTTGTGGTTACATGTGAAGTTTTAGTTGAATGATATTTTTAGGCGACAAGATTGGTTAAATCTCAACAAGGTGCAGGAAAAGAATATGTATGTGTAATTCGATTTCATGATGCTTTGTCTTCGGAAAAAAAGTTTGCACAGTCTCTTGAAACTTTGACAGGTGCTTTATTTCAACGTCCTCCTCTTATTTCTGCTGTAGGATTGTGTATATTTTGAAAAAAGTATACTTAATACGTTTTTAGGTTAAACGTCAGCTTCGAATCCGTACAATTCATGAATCTAAGCTTCTTGAATTTGATAATGATCGTCATTTGGGTGTATTTCGTGTGAGTTGTGAGGCAGGGACATATATTAGAACATTATGGTATTTTTATTTAAAATTATATTTTTGTGTATTAATGTTTATTAGTGTTCATTTAGGTCTTATATTAGGTGTGGGAGCTCATATGCAAGAGCTTCGTCGTATACGAAGTGGATGTCTTAGTGAAATGGATGGTATGGTTACGATGCATGATAGTATTTAACATTATTTTTATATTTTCTTTTTTAATTTTGAAAGTTCTCGATGCACAATGGGAATATGACAATACAAGAGATGAATCATATTTAAGGCGTGTTATTCGTCCTTTAGAATCTCTTCTTGTGTCTTATAAAAGAATTGTTGTTAAGGATAGTGCGGTTAATGCCATTTGTTATGGCGCTAAATTAATGATTCCTGGTTTACTTCGTTATGGTGTGTTTATTGGTTTATTTTAAATTGGTTGATGTTTGTTAGAGTCAGGCATTGAACTTAATGAAGAGGTTGTACTTATGACGACAAAAGGTGAAGCTATTGCTTTAGGCATTGCCCAAATGTCAATGGTAGAGTTGTCGACGTGTGATCATGGAGTTGTGGCCAAAATTAAACGATGTATCATGGAAAGAGATACGTATCCTCGAAGATGGGGTTTAGGTCCTCAAAGTATGAAGAAAAGAATTTTGAAAAAAGAAGGGAAACTTGATGTTAATATATTTATTTATTTGATATTTTATTAAATGTTTCTAGAAGTATGGAAGAATTAATGATGCAACACCTGAGGAATGGAAATCTACATATGTAGATTATAATTTACCATCTGAACAATTATCTACTCAGGTTAAAAAAGTTGCCGAGGCCGAATCAATACAAGACAAAACAACTTCTATAAAGACAGATATTTTGGTAAAAGAGAAAAGAAAAAAGGACAGAATGGATGAATCGAAAGCTTCTGATAATTCAGAAAAAAAAAGAAAAATAGAGAAAAAGAAAAAAGATAAATCAAAAATATAACAGTTATTTTACAGTAGGGTTATATTATATATCATTTTTATAATGTTGATATGTGCATTTTATGCGTAATGAAAATCTAAAGCATAAATAATAATGTTTGATTCCGTTGCTTTTACCCTTTTTACTGAAACCCCATAGAGAATATTTAATACATAATAAAATTATACATTAAAACATTTCAGAACTTGCATTTGTTTAGGAGAATATTTGTTTGAGCGCAGTTTTTTTCTCAGGAGAAAGTGTGGTTGGAAAGGCGACTTTAAAAACAACAATTAAATTTCCGCGTGTGGAAGGATCTTTTGAAAGAGGCATGCCATGACCAGGATAACATACTTCATGATTAGGCTGTATTGGATTGGCACTTGTGACTTTTAAATGCTTGCCATCAATGGTAGTAATCATTTTTAGAAACCCGGTAAGCGCCTCGACCAGAGTAAGATTTAACTCGGTGATCAAATTATCGCCCGATCTTTTAAATACCGGATGCGGTTTTTCCTCGACAATGAAATGGACATCCTGAACAGTACCATTGGGCTTTTCATCACCTTCTTTGGCGAACTTGATTTTAGTACCGGGCTTCCATCCTCGTTTTATTTGAACTTCTAAAATACGTTCTTCTTGCCGTACTGAGCCAGTATGATTGTAGACCTTCCGTTTTATTTTCATACGTTTCGTCGTACCGGTGAATAATCTAGAATTGTAAGAAAAAAATAAGAAAAAAAAAAAAACAAATACTTACTCTTCCAATGTTAATGGAAGTGCCTTTGTTACGATTTCTCTTTCCGGATCATCCTTTTTTCCACCAAACCCCATATGATTTCCATGTACTCCTGCACTCCCTCCCATATTAAATAATCTTCCAAAACCACCGGACATTTCTCCCATGCCGAAATCGTCCGAATCCCCTCCAAATGCACCACCAAAATTTTTCATAAAAGATGCAAACACATCATCCGCCGATGACGGATGAAATCGTGCTCCTCCATCTGGTCCGCCTGTGGAAAAGAAAAACGATTGTCCATTACTTGTTCGACCGGAAAACCCTTGAAATCCTCCCGGTCCCGCCGAAAAACCTGGTCCTGCTTGAGGTTGACCTTCTGTCAACCCATATTGATCATATAATTGTCGACGTTTTGGATCACTTAAAACCTCATATGCAAGACTAATTTCTGTGAAAAAAAGATAATCAGATACGCCAAACGTAACCCATTCTTCCCAAAACCTTTAAATCGCTCTGTACCCGATGGATTTTTGTCCGGATGATATTTTAATGCTAATTTCCGATATGCTTTACGAATAGCATTTTCATCCGCGTCCGGACCAATTTCCAAATATCGATAAAGCTTTAAATCTTTTACCATGTTTATCTCTATATATCTTTACATATCTCCATATCATAAAATATGTCCTCTCCAAAACCTTAAAATTCTAGATTCTTGGCTATTATTTATTTCCGGGGGATCGCCCGCCTTTTTATAAACTTGAGGTCCGAGTCTTGATTTTCGAAGATTTCGAGAAGTTTCTAGTCACGTGATAAATGTTGATAATATAGACTTGAATGATGATATTTTGGATGAAAAATGTATGAAATGACTGGGAAATTATAGTAATTGAATGGTATGTTTATGTTGGATCGTCGCCTGTATTTCCATTTGCATTAAAAACCATGTTGATATAATCGTCATTTTTGGAATCAGAGTGTGTCTCAATAGAGCCATTTGCAATTGGATCGACGCACAATGCGACGGCCAGCGTTGTATTGGGATCGTCCGTAAGTGCCTGCGTATCAGGATTTTTCTCAAGGGAAGGATTTATTTGTTCAAGTAATTGTATTTCAAGGAAACCACCACGTTCGCTAATCCAACATAACCATTCGTCAATCCAGCATCGTACGACCCACCAAGCGCCAAAGGATTCACCACCAGCTACAGTAATTTCTCTTAAAATAGCTGTTTCAACGGTTCCTGCACATAAAAGAAATAATTTTGGTGAAACGTTTGGAAAACGACTTGGTAAGGAGGAAAAATAATCCGCCCAGCGATTTAGAGAACCATCTAAAGTATTTGTGCCATCATTATTTATTGAATGATCTGCCTGTGATGTATCTGCTGATGAAATTGATGAAGATCCTACTTTATTTGTTGAATTTTTTTTAGGGATATTTAATTGATTTGATCCGTATAAGAGTTGAATTACATCGTCAAGAATTTTAACGGCTTCATCTTCTTTGCAAGGGAGTTCTCTATTTACGATTGCACGTGTGTCAATATATCTAAGCCAATCATTTCTCATTAATTCTCGATCAGCTGGATTGGTTAAAAATCGTGCTGCTGCATGTGCTGTATCATTAACGCGTAAAAGTCTTGATAAAAGTGCAGAAAAAGCGACTGCTGGAACAACCTTAGCACGAACAAAATGCTGAGGATGGATAGATAATGTATGCGTAATATGATTAATCAATGTTGATGAAAGAACACGCAAAGATGAAAGAATTTGAGGTGGTACTACTTGTAATGCAAGGGGTGACAATAATCGTATAATTTCCTAAATGAAATAAGGATATTTCATATCTTGGAAAGAGCTAATTCAAATATTTTACCCTATACATTTCAAAATCTGCTCTTTGAACCCAATTTGCTAAAAATGGTGATGAAAGAAGTTTTTGAACCGGAACCGTGAGGGAATTATGAAAAGAAGATGTAATCGTAAGAAACTATAACAATTAAAAAAAGCGTTTTTGTTGAAAAAAATTACCTGTTTTAATCTCATATATCGAATCGATTCAATTAATGAGCTACAATGAGATGTATATAAAGAAATAAGAGTATTCTTTGTATCTGCATCAACATCAGGCGGAAGATATTGATTAATATCGGGTAATGTAAATGATGCCAAAGGAGACATTGCACTAGAATTAGATGTCGATGAATATGATGGAAAATAAAGATGTTTTGATTTAAAAACAAAGTTAATTAAGGGATCTGTTGACTTCTCTGGCTCAACATTCGAATGTACCAATAAAGGATCGAATGCTTTGAGAAATGATGATGTATGTACGGATTCCGTATATCTATTTTCAACATTAAAAAAAATACAACAACACTACAATTTACGTAGGATTTTCTTCATGTGTATTCTTAAGTTCCGATTTTGACGGGTTAATATGTGTTGAAAGATGATCGTCACGAAGTTTCATACCACAATAATGATATTTCGACTGTCCTCGTACTCCTAGTCTTCTCGTTTTGATATCCGGATATACCATTCTTACAAGCTTTCCAAATGACGCCGGATTTAATGGTTTTATTCTTTCGTGTGCGCATACTGAAACATAATGTGCATAAATACGATTTCGAGGAACAGCTACATCTGGAATAGCTTCACAATTTCTCATTAACCTATTATCTTTAGTATATTCTTTTTGTCTTAATAACCCTTCTAAAACCAGCTAATCCCAAACACTTGTCTATATTTTTCTGATTGTGTACCACATTCTTCTTCCCGAACTTTATTTGCTAATTCTTCCATAGAAAGCGAGATGTTTTCAAGTGTTACTCGCCGTAATTCTTGATGATCTGCATCTGTCTCCAATACATTTGACAGACGACCATTTATAAACGGATCTTCTCCTGTTTCTGACGCAAATCCGTAACGCATAATATTATAGCGTTCGTAAGGACGTTGTGAGTTCATAAGATCGATACAATACGTGGTTTCGAAGAGGAGGCGGAAAAAAAAATGCTCACCCTAAAAGATAAGCAATAAATTAAAAAATAAAAGAATAAATACTTTTGAAAATGATGTTTGTTTTAAATGTTTGAATAAATTTAGATATATCTCAAATCTGTATATTTTTATTATATTTATAGGGTTAGGTTAGGGTTTAAATGATAAGGTTAGGCGTCAGGTTAGTTCTCCCTTCTTTAGGTCCCCTTTAGTAGCACCTTTTGGTTAGGGTTCATAGGGTCAGGTCTTCCTAATTAGGTCTTCTTCTAGTTAGAGTTAGGTCTTTTTTTCTAGGGTTATTTTTAAGCATTACTCTCCCGGAAACAGTCCATATTTTTAAATGTCGTTTCAAGACAAACTTCAGGCTCATGTTTCAAGATTAGATAAAGAGGTAATAATTACAATAATATTTTTATAAATAAATTAATAATAAATTAAAACAGCTAAGTCAATATTCATGTTTAAATCAGTTTGAGCGGCAGTGGGGTATTAAAAAAGTATATTTGTATATTTTATAGAGTTATATTTGAAGAAAATAGGTTTATGCAGTTGGAGGAATTATAGGAATATATTTTTTTCTTATTTTTGTTAATGTGGGAGGCCGTTTTTTATCGAATGTATTAGGATGTTTAATTCCTATGTATTATTCGGTATTAGCTATTGAATCGTCGAATAAAGCAAATAATACACAATGTCTTTCGTATTGGTAAATAAAGAGATGGTTTGTGAATATTTTTATATATAATTAGGGTTATTTATGGATTTTTAATTCTAATTGAACATTATGAACAATCTTTGCTTTATTGGTTTCGTAAAAGACCTATTTTTATATATAAAAAAGGTTAATGAGTGTTTGGTAGCATTTTATTATTTTTTCAAGTCAATTTTTATTCTTTATCTTTCACTTCCTCAGTTTAATGGTGCACAAACTATATATTGGACATTTTTTCATCCATTTTTTATAAAATATTGTTCGAAAACAACTCTAGTACCAACGCAGGATGTATCTAAGGTTAAAGATGTATCTAAGGTTAAAGATGTATCTGAGGTTAAAGATGTATCTGAGGTTAAGGAAGATATAGCAGCTATATCTGAATCAGATTTGCATTCTCATTCTCAATGACATAAAAATTTTGTTTATTTTTATTTATAAAATGTTTTTTAATAAGAATTTTTTAATAATTTAAATGTTTATTTTTAAAGATTAATAGTTTATGTTTTTTTTAGGATTTTATATATTAAGATATAAAAAATTAATTGCTTTTTTTATCAGTGTTATAAAATTCGAATATTTATACAACGATGATTTTGTGGGTTTTTTATATATATTGATTAAAAATTTGAGTTTATGATTGATATAATTTTAAAAATTACATATATTGATATTTTATTATAAAAATTATTTTAAATAATGATTGATATTATTTGATATGAACCATAAGATATAATTATGATGATTTTTTTGATAATTTGTGATTTTAAGTCTAATGATATTTGTTTTTCTAATATTACAAATAAATTTATTAAAAAAAAGGTTTTCGCTTTTCCTTCAGTTTTTTATAATATGCCTTTTTACCCGATGTTTTAATTTTTTGAATATCTTGATATTTTCTTTTAAAATATTGTCGTTTATCCTGATCCTCTAAAATTTCATCCAAAATGGTATTAGTTTTTTTCTTAAAAAAATCTTCCATAGGTGTATTTAAAACATCATCAATTGTTGTTCCTATTTGAAAGTATTTTGGAGGTTTTTTAGAATTATCTTTTCTATAATGTCTTTTTGGATCCAAAACATTTCTCATTTTTAATATTTGTAATTCAGTCTTTAAAGATTGTGTCAATTCAGGTTTAGGCATATAAAACCAATCTTTTCCTGCTGTTTCTTCTTGTTTCTAATAAACGTTAGTTTTTGTGATAAAATAAAATACTGAATTATAAAATAAATAAAGAAATGTCAGTGTAACTATGACTAAAAAGTTTATTCTACATCGCAAACAAGTAATTAATAATAATAATTTGAAATATTCGCTTCAAAAATTATTTTTCATCATATTATTCCATAATAAATTAAAACTAATAATAAATAATTTACCTTACGTTTTTCTTTTTTGCTTAATAATGGTTTGTGTTCAATTATATGATTTACATCATCATAGATCACTTTATAACTTTTTTCAAAAACCGTAGAATTTAAGGAACTAACATTTCCAACTGTTGATATATACTTAGGTTCAATATTATGATGATCTGATAATGCAGCAATGCTACATTTTATTAAATTTGATTTAATATTATTAATTTTTTTTACCTATTTTGAATATCTTTAGAATCTTTTGTTTTTTCGGAAACAGGTAATTCCTTTGAAAGTTTTTCAAGGTTTTCTTGAGCCCTCTTTAATAAATATTCAATATTTTCTTGAGAATGTATTTCTAAATTAACCATTTCTGTAGTTTTTTTTTCAGAGATATTTGAATTATTAAAAGAGTTTAAAAGACTATTTTTCAAGACATCTAGGTTCTTTCCATAATATACAACTTCATTTGACATGATTTTGATTCCGGAATATCTAAATTATTTATTTTTGAAATAATATTATAGAAAATGTTAAAATCATTAAAAAATATAGTATTATTATGATTTTAATAAATAAAAAAACTAAAATATTTAAACCCCCCTAAGAAAATGATTTTGATGTTCTTGTTTGTCTTTCTCTAATTCTAAAAAGCTCAATATAATTTTTTTAAAATTTTATCTATCTCGTTTAAACACCGAACAAAAGATTTGATTATTTATAGTTTATTAAACTATTTGTTTTTCAACATATCTTTTCGATTAAAACTATTGTTTATGAACTTTTTTGTTTAAAAATATTCCTGCTTTTTCTTTTTAAAAAAAAGAAATTCTTTTTTTAATATTAAATTTATTAAATAACCCTTTTTAATAAAAAATAACCCTTGTTTTATATCTTTATCTATATTTTTTTTCAAATTTATACATATTAGCAGATAATTTATAGTTTAGGATTTTTTTAGTATTATTTAATTCCTTCTAACAAACACATCGATTTAAAACAACAAAATATCCTTCAAAAAATATATCTCCTGTACATTTTCTTTAATTCTTTTTATATAAACCTATATAAATCGTTTTTGGGTATGTTTTTAATGCTTTTCTTCTGATTCATGGTTCTTGCAAATAAATAAGCATTTTTTACAAAATTTACTGGAAAAAATACTTCCCACGGATTTTTAAGACCCTATTTTACTATTAAATACAAAAAAATCTCATAAAAAACTTCTTTTTACTAAAATAATTGGTCCATCTTTCTTCATTCTATAAAGCATAAAAAACCACATAGAAGCACCTAATAACTGAGAAATAACAATATAACTCTTACAAAATAAGCCTATTAACCTCAAAAATATATCTTACTTTGGGTGGCGGATGAAAATGAATCCCATTTGTGCCTTTCATATTTCTCTCTAATTTAAGGTCGTCTTGTCTTAGCAACCCGTTGCTAAGACAAGACGACGACAAAAAGTGAAAATTTTAAAGTCTCCATTGAAGCCTGTATTTGCTAGAAAACATGCTCGATATTCATTATTTTCTTGTTGAGAAGGGGGGAGATCCTGGATTGATCAAAAAGTCCCAAAAAAAACGGGGGAATTCCGTTGAAGTTGTCGATCATATTATTGCTTTATATAAGGAATGGACAATAGGTATGAAGAGGGCTTTTTTCCGGTTTAAATGGGCTAAATATGATTTTTTTATAGAGAGATTTAATCTTGACGCTCTTAATAGGGATATGAATATTATTCAGAAGGAAATTTCAGCTAAAATCAAGGTTTCTGGATATTGATGATGAAAACGATTAAATTTTTGCAGTTAAAAGAAGATATATCATCTCTTTTATCAAGAAAAAAGGATGTTGAGGAGAAAAGGAAGCATACTGAGGCATTGGAGGTAGAAAAACTGTGTACTTTAAAGCAAAAGTTAAATACAGTTGGAAATATTGTACATGACTCAGTTCCTGTGAGCAAAAATGAGGTGATTTCTTTTTAATTGTGTTTGGATTTGAAACGGATTTGTATAAGGAAGATAATGAAGTGTTACGTACATGGGAACCGGAAGGGACAGTTGAAAAAAAGAATTGTTTATCACATCATGAACTTTTAACGAGGTTAGATGGTTATGATCCTGGAAGAGGTGTAAAAATAGTGGGTCATCGAGGATATTTTCTGAAAAATTATGGAGTCCTTCTTAGCCAAGCATTGATTAATTATTCTTTAAAATTTCTTATAGAAAGAGGATATACTGTTTTGCAGACGCCACAGATGATGAACAAGGATATAATGGCTAAAACAGCTGAACTTAGTGATTTTGATGATCAGCTTTATAAGGTATTTATATTTTTATATAAAGTTTTGTTTATTTTTTAGGTGATAGATGGAAACGACGAAAAATATCTTATTGCAACATCTGAACAGCCTATTTCTGCTTTTCATTCTGGCGAGTTGTTTGAGAATCCTTCTGAACAACTTCCAATAAGGTAGGATTTTGATTATAAAATATAGATTAGTGTTTATCTTGCAAGATATGCGGGAATTAGCACTTGTTATAGAAGAGAATCAGGCGCTCATGGAAAGGATACTTGGGGAATCTTTAGAGTTCATCAATTTGAAAAAGTATTTGCCTTTTATTATTAATATTTTCTAATTGATGGAATTTAGGTTGAACAATTTTTGATTACTTCTCCAGAATCTTCTTGGGTTTTATTTGAAGAGATGATTAATATTGCAGAAGAATTTTATAAATCTTTGCGTATTCCTTATAGAATTGTTTCCATTGTTTCTGGCGCTTTAAATAATGCCGCTTCAAAAAAATATGATTTGGAAGCATGGTTTCCATTTCAAGGCGAATATAAGGAATTGGTGAGTTGTTCAAATTGTACAGATTATCAATCTAGAAATCTTGAAATTCGATATGGAATTAAGCGTTCAGGAGATAGAGAAAAGAAATATGTACACTGTTTAAATTCTACTTTATGTGCAGTAACAAGAGCATTATGTTGTATATTGGAAAATTTTCAAACTTCGGATGTAATTTATGTTTTTATTTTCTATTATTGATTAATGTTTTATAGGGCATAAATATTCCTGAACCTTTACAAACTTATATGGGAGGGAAAACTTTTATTCCTTTTGTTAAAGATTTGCCTAATAATAAAATGTGTCAAAAAGAGAAGGTTTAAATACAATTTCTTATAAAGCGAATAAATTTCAATATGTTTTATGAAATATCTATTTTTATTTTTTAAAGATAGGTTTTATTTATAAAATAGGTTTAATAGTTTTATTTTCAATTTTATAGTTATTTTATATAATGAGTATTTTCTTATAATGTATAAAAGCTTTGTATATAAATTTACTGTTAAAATGGTTAAATATTTTGCATTTTTCTATCGTTTTATGGTTAGGGTGGTTAAAAAATGCAAGAATTAGGTAAAAAATAGTAGTAAAGTATATTTGTATGAGTCAAATTTTAATTTATACAGTTATTATTACAGGAAATATAAGAAAGTTTGAAGAAATTAAAGAATTTTTTGGAACAACTGTAAAATTAACTCATATTTCTTTAGATTGTATATTTTTATAAAATAAGCTTAATGATATTAATTTGTTAAAGTGCCAGAAATACAAGGAGAAATACATGAAATAATATTAGATAAATGTAAAAAGGCCGTAGATATTGTATATTTTTAAAAAAAAAAATAATAATTTTAACATCCTATCAGGTTAAAAAACCTGTAATTATTGAGGACACCAGCCTTTTTTTTACATCATTTAATGGACTTCCCGGACCATATATGCAAGTTTTAGATGACAATCTTATTTGTTTTTGAACTGATATAGTAAATGGTTTTTATTAAGTCTTGGATTGGATGGTATATATATATAGATAGATAGATTATATATATCCAGAGTAATAGTAACTAATAATACGCAAGGATTAGTGCGTCTCTTAGAAGCCTTTCCTGACAAAACAGCAGAAGCTGTATGTTTATTTGCATATTGTAAAGATCCTGGAGATACTGTTCATGTTTTTGAAGGAAGAACATTGGTATTTTTGAAACTAAAATAAATCCTATTTATTCATTTTAGGGATCTATTGTGCCTGCTCGTGGACCAACTGTGTTTGGATGGTATATTGAATGTGTATCTATATTGATTAATCATTTGTAGGGATGCTATTTTCCAGGTAATGACAAACCATTTAATGGCTTTGATTAATCTGATCTTCTTCAATCATAATAGCCACTCGATTGTGATCAAACGTAAGGCATATATTGTAGAAAAGTCAGTTGTAATGTTTTAGATATGCTGAAATGGGTCAAACATTGAAACATAAGTTCAGTCATCGAAGTAAAGCTTTAACAAAACTTTTAGCATTTTTGAAACACGCCAATAATGATGTATAAAGGAAATATTGTAAAAATAAGCGTATTTTTGTTATTGAACAAAATAATATAATTGTCTATAGTAATAAGTCCTTGATTTTTCATTCTTTATTTGGAAAATTATGTGGTTTCCACTGTTGAATCCACATGCTAATTTGTTTTATATTTTCTTCCACTTGATCTAATGTATCACTTGTTAATACCATCACTCGTTCTGGTCCAAACGATGTGATTGCCTCTTCTAATACAATTTGCATGATTTCTGCTTCATTATTTTCTTGTATTTTTCGGAGATTATATTTCCTGTTTATATGTTATTTTTAATATTTTATATAAACATTATATTTACCTTTCAACTAGACGATCCCAAAGTATTGTATGATTTGTACGTAAAACTACAACTAGATCTATCCAATCTATAGGGAAAAAATTGCACGTATGCCAATCAAGTACAACTCCGCCATATATTATATCTGCTTTTAATTGTTTTAAAAGCTATAGAAAAAATATTAAAAAAGAGTTAATAAAAGCCATTATATAAACTTTTCTTTCATTTACAATATAAGCATCCCAAAATTCATCTTTTCCTTCATGGCAATTGTTTTTTTGAACAATATCACCAACTGGAAAATGATTAAGAGAATGAAGTCTACAAAGTCGCAGTGCGTGTGTTGTTTTTCCTGTACCAGGTGTGCCACAAAGAAGAATATTTGGACGAAGTCGAGAAGTTGTAGATAAAGTAGAGGTAGATGATTCAAATGTATCTTTTGAATTAAAGGATTCCGACATACAAATGTTTAGTTTTTAAGCATTGAGTATATCGATAAATGTATTTGTCTGCAAATCAAATACATATGACTCAATCACAATATATAAATTTTAGCGAAAAAGTGAATATTGATTTTCCCAATAGATTTGAAAAAAATGTATTTATAGTCCAATATATTTTATAAAGAGTATTTAAAGCATCCATTTGATATATATATTCCATATATTTCAAAGTTTTGTAAATAATCGTTGTTGAAAAAGTAATAAATATTTTAGTGCAAAAGTACGTATATAGAAGATTAGGCGTATATAATTCAGTAGTCTAAGTATTTTCTAGTATAAAATTTAGTGTATTTAATCCGTATATACAACGTATATATTCCATTATTTAACATGTTAATTGATCAAATTTATTCTAAAATATACTCATTTTTATTTTGACTCTTGAAATTCGCTGGTCATTTTTAATCAAATCTCTTTTATTCATTAACTTTTACCTTAATGATCGTATAAATTGATCTAATGTTAATTCAAAAAGCTCTACATTTACATCATCCTTTGGACATTCCATATTTCCAAGTGGATTCTTTACAACATATTCTACATATAAACTTATATAGATTTGCTGTAAAACATGTAGTAAATTACTACAATTTGGGTCTGTCAATAAAATAAATCGAATATTACTTGCTGTTTCATAATAATGAAGCTTATATTCTGATGTTTTGTACGATATAAACGATTCATCTCTATTTATTTTTCAATATAATATAAAAACATTAGATATATTTGCACGAACGGTCCTGCAAGTTTTTTGCTGATTTTCTGCAGAGAATATAGCACTCCAAATATAAGTTTAGCATCGTCTTCTTCACTTAATGTATCTTTACGTGTACCAAGTAATGATATCTCTGTATTTTCTGTATTATCCGTATGGTTATTGTTCCATGTTTTATGGTATATACATTTACCTAAAAAACTATGAAAAGAAGCATAGAAAATAGATTTCTTACAAGATCTATTGAATATAAGGAGCTTATATATTGTCATGTGTTCCTTTTACTTATACAATTGACTAAATTATGAGGACTGTAGGTCTTAAAGCTTATCGAGGCCTGTAATATCTCAGCACGTTTCTGATAGTAAACGTCAAAAATAAATAAAAAGAACTATATATTGATAAAAAATAGTGGAAATATAGTATTTCAGTTTATTTATGTGATTTTTATATTTTAAAGGTTAATAATGTGTTTTTTTTGTGAAAAAAAAGGCTAAAAAATGGGGGAAATTAGAAATATTTTTGATGTCAAATAATTCTATAGAAAAAGTCAGAAAAAAGGCTGGAAAACGGTCATCTTCTACGTCGGAAGATCGTTTATTATTGTTTAGAGAGAGTGAGAAAGTCCTTGGTTCTTTTAAATCGTCTTTTAAGGTTTTTTTAAGAGGAAATTAAGTGAAAAAAGTGAATTGTTTTAGGAGACATTAGATGTTTTTTTATCTGATGATGATGGCTTCAATAGACTTAATAGATATGATATTAAGGATCAGATTGGTCATGGTTCTTTTGGCGCAGTAAATCGATGTATTGATATGTTAACCGGGGAAGAATATGTGGAATTATGATTTGTTTTGCAACATTTTAAAACTTATTGAAATGTAGGCAATTAAAGAGTTTTCAAAAGTGCAATTGAAAAAGGTTTATGGATATTCACGTTTTTCGCATTTCAAGTCTGAATCGGACTCATTTATATATAATAATGATATTTCGTCTTATTGGCATGTAAAAAATAATTATGAGCAAAATAATAATCCTTTTTTCTATATCAAAGAAGAAATAGATATTATGAAAAAGATAAATCATAGAAATATAGTCAATATGATTGATGTTTTAGATGATCCTAATGGAGACTCTATATATATAGGTAAGATGGATAATTTTTCTCATGATTATCAATAACAAACAAAGTTTTGGAAATGTGTGAAAAAGGTGCTCTTATGGATTTGGATTTAAACAAAATAGCTACTCCGTATAGCGAAACAGATTGTCGAAGATGGTTTCGCGATTTGATGTTAGGCGTTGAATATCGTATGTATTATTTTCATTTGATTGCTTTTTTTATTTGTATTTTTTTTAGTTCACTTCAATGGAATATGCCATTGTGATATTAAACCTGAAAATTTGTTATTGTCCAAAGATGGGATATTAAAAATAACCGATTTTAGTATTTCAAAAATGTTTAGAAGAGATGATTCATTTAGAAAAATCAAGGGAACTCCCGCATTCATGGCTCCTGTAAATTTCCTATTTTTTCATGCAATTATAATTTAATATATAGGAATTATGTTTTCCTGAGGGCAACGCTGTTTCTTGTAGAGCTGCTGACATTTGGTCTATGGGAATTACTCTTTGGTGTTTAAGATTTGGTTGTCTTCCCTTTTATGACTCAGATATTGTAAAATTATATGATATGATTAAAACTAAAGAGTAATCTATTTTTTGGCCATACATCTATTAATGACTTCAGAATAGTGATTCCACAATATATTTCTCCATCCTTGAAGGATTTGTTTGAGAAGATTCTTGAAAAGATTCCTGAAAAAAGGATTAAATTACATGATTTACGTGTACTTTTTTAAATTAATTTTGCTTTTTTTAATTTATTTGAAGAAACATAGCTGGATAACTCAAGATGGCATTGATCCCTTGATTACCTATGAAGAAAATGTAATGGGTTCTACTGCAAATTCTACTCGCAATTTTGATTCCTCATCATTTCTTTAAAAAAACAATTAGGTATTTATATAAACTATAATCAAAAACATTTTAATAGTTATATACAGATCAATTATATATTCGATTTTCTATTGTATTTGTTTTTGTTTACATTCTCGCTTTGTTATGTATTTTATACAATAATTCAACATATCATTCAAAGAAATGCAAATATTGTTTACATTAAATCTAAGGATTGTGTCTCTCAATATTGCAGGTATTTATATATATTTATAGATATTCATATTATTTTTCTTGGGATACTTTTTCGTACTTGATTTACTTTTTTTGGCTCGTACGGTCGTGAACGTCTATTTTTTGTACAAAATCTTTAGCAGGTTTGGGGCAGAAATATGGCCTGAATAAGGGCCTAAAAGGGGCCTTTTAAAGGAAGGACTTTGTTTTGGAGGGTTTTATATTAGATTGGGTCGATTAATAATTATAAAGCTTTGATTATATGAAAATGGAAGTTGGCATAAGAAATCGAGATAAAGAAATGCTTCTTAGTCAAAGAAAGATACATGATTCATCAGGTTTATTTTTAGGGAAGGTAATTATGGGTAAAGAAGTGAGTACATCACTGATTATGGATTTTTCTTTGCAGTCAATGACACATGTTTCTTGTACTGAAAATAAAAAGAAAATAGAGGAGAGTTATAAGAAATCAAATGAAAAGAAAGGCCTTGAGGATAGGGGAAATTTGAAGGAAGAAGTATGTATAGCGTCATCTGTACCAACACAATTAAAAAAAGCCACGTTGAAGTTTCATCGTATATTTTCTCTTCTTGAACGTGAAACTCAGGGTCATAAGGCTAAAGAAAATGATAAAGATAAGATTGAGAATGGAGACAGGGAGCTTAGTATGTTATTAAAGGGTCGAGATATAAGTAAAGATGAACTCGATGAAAAATCGCAAATATCTAATTATAATAATGAAAACGTTTCCGATTTTTTTACACTTTGTTCTGATGGTACTCATATTCATACATTTCGCAAGGTTTTTCGGGGACATAAGTTTCGTTTTCTGCTTCGTGATTTACTTGGAATCATAAAAAAAGGTCGTGCATATGCTTTGGAGAACTTTACTCCAAGTCATTTGAGCTTTATTAATAGATGGATTGATAAAATGAAGCCAGAAAGATCTAATTTATCCAGGAAGGGAAAGAATTTTGTGAATTCTAACTCTAGTTTGGCTGAAAAGTATGGAGATTGTCATGAAATTATAGGAAAAGGTTTGTTTTTTTTTTTGCAAAAATAAATACTAATTTATTAGGTGCTTTTGGTATTGTGCGTATTTCATATAAAGTAGATCCAAAAAATGCACATGCTGAGCAGCTTTATGCTGTCAAGGAGTTTCGTAAACGACCTACCGAATCTACAAAAAGATATACAAAACGTCTTACATCTGAATTTTGTATTTCTTCTGCATTGAGACATCCTAATGTTATTCATACTCTCGATCTTTTGCAGGATTCTAAGGGCGATTATTGTGAAGTTATGGAATTTTGTGCTGGAGGCGATTTGTATTCTTTAATTCTTTCATCTGGAAAACTCAACATAATAGAAGCTGATTGTTATTTTAAACAGCTGATGAGGGGTGTAGAATATATGCATGAATTAGGGGTTGCACATAGGTTCTTATCATTATCATTATTATTGTTGTTATTTATGTTAATTTAAGGGATTTGAAACCGGAAAATCTTCTTTTAACACACAACGGTGTCTTGAAGATCACTGATTTTGGAAATGGTGAATGTTTTAAAATGGCTTGGGAGAAAAAAGCTCATTTGACTTGTGGACTTTGTGGTTCTGTCCCATATATTGCGCCTGAGGAATATATAGATACAGAGTTCGATCCTCGTGCTGTTGATATTTGGGCAACTGGTGTTATTTACATGGCAATGCGTACTGGGCGTCATTTATGGCGTATAGCAAAACAAGATGAAGATGAATTTTATCGAGAATACCTTCAAAAAAGGAAAAATAAAACCGGTTATCGCCCTATCGAATCTTTACTCAAAGTATTTCTTCTTTTTTTTTCTTTTTTATTTCTTATCTTTCTAGTCATGCTGTAAGAATGTAATATATTCCATTTTAGATCCCTCTCCAGAGTGTCGTATTACTGCTAAATATGTACTTCGTTCCGAATGGGTACAACGGATTTTACTTTGTAAAGCTGGTGAAATTGGTAACTTTTATTTTAGTTTCTATATATATTTAATCTTAATAGGTTTATGAAACTAATTAATATTTGATTTCTTAATAATCTCGTTTTTCTTGCATCTTAGATTACTTTTATATTTCACTTTTTTTTATTAACTTCAATTATATTCATAAATTTAGAATATTCTGTTGATGATATGTTATGTTATGAATTTCTTGTTTAATATTTGTATCTTTGTTTAAATATAAGTTTTTGACTTGTATCGAGATTTTCTAATCTTAAACTAAAAATAAGTATAATAGAGATGAGTTGGTATTTTTATATTATTTTTCAAGGAATGTCTTAATATCTTAAGGTCTGGGTTTAAAAAAGCCGTTAACCGTGCTGGTACCCAAGTAAGAATTGTTAATATTTGAAGCAGTAAAGGTCGAATATCTTTTATGAAAGATATAGAAGATCTTTGATTTCATTAGAAAAAATACTGCGAAAAGATGTGTTTTTGTTCAGTTCTTACGTATTTAGATGATGATTAAGGCTGGACATGTTGAGAAAGTTGATTTTTTTGAATATTTTATGGGTTTTTTTGTAATATTGATAAACAGACGGTAGATCGTGAATTTGATATAGAAGAACGACGTTTTCATACGTAAAGAAAATGGATAAGGTGGTTAATATGGGGGTTGATCTTTTTTTAGAATGGAGCAGGCGGTTTTACGGCTTCAACGTGAAGCAAAGAATTATTTAGATTCGTTAAGATGTATATTATTGAATGATAGATTTAATATTTGTTATTTATGTTTTTCAGCTATGTCAGCATCTCAGTTGAGAATTGTGGAGGCTATGGATGAATTTTATACGGATACATATCATAAGGATCGTGCTAGTAAACATTATAGACAAGCAGCTGAGGATTTTGATTCAAGAACTATGAAAGAATTAGTAAGTATCAGTAAAAATGAGTGTTATGGGTCTTAGTGATTTTAAAAGGATGAAATATATCGGTTGACTGTATTAGATCCTATATCTAAGTTTTGTACGTATTTTCCAGAAATCAATGCAGCGATTACCAAGAGAAATCATAAATTAGTTGATTATGATGCAGTTCGTGCAAAGGTTAAACGACTGACTGATAAGCCATCGGATGATATTAGGAAGTTGCCTATAGTAGGATATTTTATGTATAAAAAATAGATGTTAATAGGAAAAAAAGGCTGAGAAAGAAGCGGCGCAAGCAAAAGAATTATATGTGTCATTAAATTCACAACTTTTAAAAGAATTACCTGAGTTTATTGATCTGCGTGTGCCATATTTGGATGCATCATTTGAAGCATTGGTAAAAATACAATTTCAATTTTGTTATGATGGGTATGAATGAAATTTGAAAAATATTTAGAAATTTTTAATAGCAATAGATACGATCGTATGTCAAAAGTACAACAGTATTTTGCCTCGAATGTTCGAAATCAATATAGTACTGGTAATTTAGATCAAAAAATTGATGATGTACTTCAAAAAGTTAAAAATTTGTCTATTGCAGGATTAGGTTCTGTATAGACATGGTTTTATCTGAAATGTTATTTTATTTAAATAATTAGTTTTGCTTTAGGTTTTCATATATTTGTTTTTAAAAAAAAAAATATATCTTTGATTTGTAATTTTTAGGGATTATATTAACATCCTTAAAAATATGTTGAAAAGTTTCCTGATACTTTTATTTCTTGTTTCCGTAGATTGTTTTCAATATACTGATAGAATATTGCTTTCTAAAATTCGAGCACTTACATTTTATAAGGTATTTTGTCTTATCATGGTTATATATGAATTAATGAAATTTAGGAAAAATATACAAAATCTTTGAGATTTAGACCCTCTCCTCAGATGGTATGTGTGGGAGGTGATGCAAAGGTTTTTTTATAAAAAAAAAAAGACAATTTCTCATCTTAAAAAAGGATTTATATGAGTTGAATGAAATTCAATGTAAAAATATAGGAAGTGAATATGATCCAGAAGATGTTCAATGGAGTTGTTCCGTAAGTTAAGATCTTTTGATAACTATGTTTTTTTTAAAAAAACATAGTCTATTTTGCCATCATTTTATAAACTTGGAAGAACAAATGTTGTTTGCGAAGTAAAAAGGCAACTTTTTTACACAAAATCCTTTTTAATGTCTTTTTATAGGGTTACAGTGGTCCAAATGATAAATACGTTCTTAAAGGAAGCTGTTTGGTAGAATATACACTTCATTTAACAGAAGAAGGAAAAATATATTATAAAAAACATAGATATTTATTCTTTGATACAAAAAATGTCTTGTATACGCATGCTAATCTCTTCCTTCGCTACTTATTAACATTTTCGATTGTTTATATTCTTTATTTATTATTAAAAAAGGGTAGAACAGCATTTCAAAATTGGTAAATCTATATAGTTCATGTAAAATTTAAAAATAAATTTAAAAAAACAGGCGTCCAGGAAACTGGTTTGGTGGAGGTGGTGGTAATTATCCAAGAGGTCCTCCTCCGCCTTATTCAGGACCATATCATGGCAAAACTTATCAATCATCTAGATTTCCATGGACACCAGGATTCTGGAGCGGTCTTTTAGGAGGAGCTGCTTTAAGTTATATGATGCGTAGTTCGAGGGAACGCTATTCACGTCCTAATGAGTTTATCTATCACAATAGATTTTGGGAAGATGAATATACGCGTCATGATAATGATGATATAAGACAAGATACAATTAATTATACAATGAGAAGATCTACAGGTTTTGGTGGAACAAGACGTCGTTAAATTCTAGGTATATTTTATGGATATTATGAATACAAAAAACCGAATCCAAATGTTGCAGCAAAGGATGACTTTAAGTTAGTTTTAAAATATAGTGTTACAGATTGCCTACTTTGAAAACAATGTTTTTAAAGAGAAGTTCATTGGCGATTTCTTTGATACTTTTGTTTTTTTTATGCCATATTTTTTGAGAAAAATATAGAAACATGTTCCAAGGTTTTGTAAAACGGCGAAAAGATCCTGTCTTTAAATATTGATAAGTAATTAACAAAACAATAGATTAGGGAAGAACCCATGAAACTAAATAAATACCAATGAATAAAATAATGGCGAATTTTCCTATGTGTTTAGCTAAAACTCCTGATAAAAATCCAACAAGACAGCCTGCACTTAATTGTTGAGCATGGGATATGTTTTTTTTGCAAGAGGAAGATGTATGGGTTATTTTGGAATGGTTTATGTTTTTTTCAATTCCTAAATTTATATAAATAAGACTTATAAAATAGAGAAAAGTGACGGTTCTGGCAAGAAATAGGATTTATTTTTAAGATACCAATATTACTCTTCCAATTTAGAAGTGTATACGTTAAATAAGTACATATGCAATTTGTTATTTTATATGACATGATAATTTTGTTTTTTTTTTCAATGAATAACTTTTAAAAGGCGATTAGATAACATGTATATCTATATGGGTGGCTGGTTTAAAATATCTATATAAGCCTATGCATGATATCTTAAATATATTAGATACTATATTAATATTTTAAATAAATATTAATGTTTTTTTATAAAAATATTTAATTAAATCATTTAAAAATAATAAAAATTATATATTTGTTATATTTAATTTAAATAGATCTTAAGAATAATTTTAAAAGTTTATTTTTAAAACTCATTTAAATAAGTTGCAAGATCATAAGTAGTATATTTAACTATAATATTGATAAAATGTTTTTTTTAAATTTTATATTGATTTTAATAAATATATATCAAACAATAAAATCTTAATATTTTACAGCTTTTAAGATTAAATAATATATTTCATGACAATAATATATATGATTCTAATATAAATACCCTATTGAGAGATCTTTATTCAAAAATTTTATATATCTTAAAATACATTTAATGATTTAATATAAATATAAAAAATTTACAAATATTTTACATAATTAAACTATATTTTTCATTTTAATTACTGTGAATAAGAGTTATTTGGTGTTTTATAAAAAAGGTATGGTTATCTAAAGTTTTTACAGGGAATTAAGTGACCGATCTTTAAAGCCTTAGAACGACATAAAATTTTACTGGTTTTAGATGGGTAAAAAAAGCGTTGTTTAGGGGGATTTTTTCAAGAAATTTGCATGAAATCATGGGAAATAGTTATTCGCAGGAGAATTTAAATGATGGTCTGAATTTTCCCCTTTTTTTTTTGTTAAAAATACGTTTATATTGATATGTTTTTATGATTAGCTAAGGATCCATTATTATATAGTTTAAGTGATAAAAATGAAGGGTTAGGAGATGGATTATTTAAAAAAGACATTATTCCTCAAAAAAATCCAAGTTCAGATGTAGAAGATGACTTTTCTAGTGTTAATTCAGAAACTGATAAAGAGCCTCTTAATCTTGATTCCTTAAACGATTTAAACAAAACAACGTTTTTAAATACTTAGATCTATTTATTTCTTAATAATTTTTATTTAGAATTGAGGACGAAAGGCATAATGTTCAAGATAGTTCGATTATATCACCTACATGTGAAAATATCGAACATGATGTTAAACAACAGAATAGAGGTTGTTTCTATTATGTGAATTAGCTATTATATTTAAAAAAATTTTAGAAAAATCAGTTCCTGTTTTTTTGCATTGGAAGGGTAATCATCAGAATGTATATGTGACAGGAACATTTACGGGTTGGGGAAAGAAAATACCTTTAAATAAGAGGTAAAATTCTAATAATTGCAACTAGGTATCTATATTTAAATGCTTTAGTGTAAATGATTTTACTGCATTGATACATCTTCCAAAAGGAACACATAGATTCAAGTTTTTGGTTGATAATGAATGGAAATGTTCGGATGAATTAGCTACAGCTACAGATTCTTCTGGGAATCTTGTTAATTATATAGAAGTCAATGACGCATCTTTGTCGTCTATGTTTCAAGCTGATAAGCAAGCATCTTTAACAGGTATATTTTTTTTTTAAATATTTCATTTTTTTTATTAATTGTAGAACACCGTGTTAGTAAACCGGTAGAAACTTATACAAATAGGATTCCGACATTATATGATGAAGCATTAGAAAATAATACATATCGAAATTTTCAAGAATCGAGTGTACCGCCTTCACTTCCGCCTCATTTAGAAAAAGTTATTTTAAATTCTAATTCGACTATGAAAGATGACCAAAGTGTCCTTCCAAATCCAAATCATGTAGTTTTAAATCATTTGGCGGCAAGTTCAATTCGTAATGGTGTTTTCGCTGTGAGTGTAACAACAAGATTTCGACATAAAGTAAGAATATTGTATAATTTTGATTTTATAACTAACTGTTTAAGTATGTTACAACAATTTTATATAAATCTATCAATATATAATGCCTCCAAACTATGTTATCTTTCATGCTTTGTCAATAATTTTATAACCATGTATTTTATTTAATAGAAATCAATTATTTATGATTATTTAGAAATGTGATGTTTGTTAATATGAATGATCCGAGATGATTTTTAAATAGAAAGAAATATGATATTTTTTAATAAATAAAATACCTTCATTTATAAATTAATAAAATACAACCCTTTTATCTATTTTTTTCATGAATATGTTTTATTAAACCATGCTTTTCGTCCTTTGCGTGTTCCCCATTTTTCCTCGCATGTGACTATTTCAATTTTATTTCTATATGCATCTACAGCCCGCTGCAAAAAACTCGGTCGATTTTCAAATAATCTTACATTTAACCATGCAAGTTTCCAGCCAATTTCATTTAACATTTGCTCTTTTTTTGCCTCTTCTGTTTGAAATTCCTGTTCATATGTATTTATCGGTTCTGTCGAAGTATGCATTGGAATAAATCGACGAGGAAATACACAATGATCTCGTCGAAATGCATCTGGAATTTCTTCTAAATTTATCTCATCTAACCCTACACGAATTCTAACTCGGGTCTTTTTCCTCATATCATCCAATAAAATGTATTTTGGTTTTTTAACCTCTGTATTTAATGATTTTCCTTTCTCTTCTAATGTTCCTGGAGCTGCTCTGTTCGTAATTGTTGATGTAACTTGCCGAAACTGCGGCGGCAATGGAGATTCTTGATTTGACGCATGCAGAACATGACGTGCTTCCCGTATACAATGAAGATTATTTAATGCGACCATTCTTCTAACTCTTCTGCTACGAAGACTTGGTTCTTTATTACGCCATGAATCTACTGCACGTTGAATTAATCCCCGTTTATTACGAAGACAAGGATTTAATTTAGCAAGTGCCCAACCAATAGAATTACATTCTGTTTCATATCTATGACGAGTTCCGGTATATTGTTCAGGTGGAACACGTGCACGTGGATAAATCTGTTACAAATAAGAAATTAAGTCTATAAAATAATATAAAGAATAAGAATTGTATTTCTTACACAATTTTGCTGTTTAAATTCTTCTGATAGGGTATCTAAATCAACAGTTTCTACGTCGCCACGGATTGTATATTCAGTTCGAACTCGTTCTCGACTATAAGCAAAACTAATCCAATCCACTCCTTTTGAGTCTTTATAAATACGCAATGGATTCGCTGGAATTGGTCCACTACTAACATTTTTTTCTTTTTTTATTGTATTCCATTCATTACCATAAAATCCTCCATATGGATAAACAGGAGGATGAGAATGAATGCCCATATTGCTTCCTGCATTTATCATACTTTGTCCTAATGTAGAATGTGTAATTGATGTCCATGGATGATATAAATATGTATCATGAATAGGAATTAAATGAGGGTTCTCTTGAAATGTTGTTGATATTGGATGAGTATCATGCATTGTCCATTTTACATCAGGCATGTCCTGCACGGCATATGTGGTTATTGGCCAGTGATACATTGAAACCCATTTGGTAGTATTCATGTTCGAAGGGTCAAGAAAAGAGACACCTGAATGAAATGGCTCCATAAAAGGGAATCCTGAAAAGCAATTCAATAATCCTGGACTTTTTTAAAAAGGAAACCTAATGATGAAAACTAGACGTTTGATAAGGATTCGATTTTTTTCCGTTGAAAGAGGGTTGACGTGAGATGTTATTAGGTGTATCCTTGCCTTCAATTGAAAAGTATAGTTAGGAAGTTTCCATTTCTTTTTTTTAATATTGTTTATATACCCATATATTTGTAATATGGTATATGGTTTACCCATTTTTCATTTATGCTTTTTCTATACTAATTTTTCGCCAATTTATTGATTATTTAAGCGACATTCTGGCTTGTTCTTATCATAGAAGGGTTATGCTGGCTCTGACATTTTTTTTTTCCTCTAGTTTTAATGTATACTTATCAATTTTAACTAAACTCGATATAGATAAATTCAATAGGGTTAAACGCTCGGATATCTTAAAAACCTGGAACTAAAAAAGCGAGTTTGACTAAAAAATAGGGTTTGAACTATAAATGAATATGATTCAATCTTGAATTTCAAAACTATAAAAAAAGATTAATAAAAACAGAAAAGATTGATATGATTACTAACCATATTGTAAAATTGCCATTTGTTAAATATAATCCTTTAGTAATAATTAAGTAAAAAGATTAAGAACAGTTTTTTACTGTTCTTAATATTTGTTTATTTTTTTATTGATTTTTAGTTTTTATAAAAATAATTTATATCTTTTGAAAATGTTTAAGTTTACTCTTGAAAATTGGATTTTGTTATCTCGACAAGTATAGATTGTATTATTTTTTTATTTTCCTATTTATGAGCCTATATGAACGAGCAGCTCAAATTCTTGAAAACGTTGAGGCGAAAAAAGGGAGTATTTATTCACTTTCTTCAATTTATCCTGATGCACGACGTCTTTGTGCACTTATCTTTGAAACATTAAAACGTAAAGCTAAATTTTTTTGGTATCGATTAATAATAGTAGATAAATCATTGCTTGAGCAAATTATTGAACGATCAGGATTTTGTTCTTGTGAAAAAAAGGTGAATCCATTGATTTAGTGTATTATTTATCATTGTTCGAATGATCCGCTTTTAGGTACCACGAACTCTTGCTTTGTTATTGATTCATGATTTGTTGTTGTCAAAAAATGGTCTTGTTAGATGTCGTAAATCTATTCGTGATGCTGTATTACGTCACAAAACTCGTCTTCATGCAGAACTTGTTCGTATTCGTTTGAAAAATATTACTCCTTTTAATTCTATTGATCCAATCGGTTTTGTTTTTTTTCCCTTATGAAAATTTCAGCTTATTTGATAATAGTTATTCGTCCTCGTTGGGCACGTATTAATACACTGAAATCAAATTTATCCGAAGTACTTGATCGATTTTCTCATTTTTCACATTCATTAATCGATACACTTTTACCTAATACATATGCTATAGATATCCATATCCCTAATCTTCTTGCATTTCATCCATCTACTATACTTACTCAGCATCCTGCATATCTTGATGGATCTCTCATATTACAAGATAAAGCCTCTTGTATACCTGCTTTTATTTTATCTCCTCCTCCCAAAAGTCATGTTATAGATGCATGTGCTTCACCTGGTAATAAAACTACTCATCTTGCTGCAATTATGAAAGGAACTGGGCATATTTTGGCATTTGAACGAAATGCTCAAAGACTCGATACGCTTAAAACTATGCTTAATAAGGCTGGTGCTACTCATTGTATGTATTTCTCTTGTTATTGTTTTTAGCTAATTTCATCTAGTGGTAACGACTATTTGTCTTGATTTTACCATGACAAATGTATATGATCCTATGTTTCAACATGTTACACATATTTTACTGGATCCAAGTTGTTCTGGTTCTGGGCGCCAAAATAAAGAAGATTTTCTTCAAAAAAAAGATACAGCTGCTTTAAACGAGCGTCTTCAACGTCTTTCGTTGTTTCAACTACGTCTTGTTATACATGCTATGAAATTTCCTTCCGCTTTGAAAATTACATATAGTACTTGTTCAATTTATTGCATAGAAAACGAAAGAGTAGCAATTCATGCATTAAAAAGTGAAGTTGCTCAAAAGCGTGGTTGGCGTATTGCTCATATAATGCCTGGTTGGACTACCCGAGGAAAAATAGATAATTCTTCTAATAATAAAGCATTAGCCACAGAGGTTGCTAATTCATCTATTCGTTGTGATTCTAATGAAATGACTGGATTTTTTGTTTGTTGTTTTGTAAGAGACGTTGAAAATGAAAATATTGAAATAGTTTAAAAAATACATAAGTGCGCTTAAATCCCGTATAAAGCAGATATATACTGTATAAATAATGCATAATATACCCTGTAAAGTAAAATTTATCTATATTATTGTTTGTTTAATCTGCTCTTTTGATCTTTCTTTGTGACATGGTTCAATATTTCTAGCTTAAACATGCCTTATCTCTTTATTTTTGCTTGGGTATTCACTGGTTTCTGGTGCAAGCATTACTTCAAGAGCAAGAATTCGTTGTCGTGATACTTTTTGTCTACAAATAGGGCAAGTTGTACCTGCACTTGATAATGCTTGATGAATGCATGCATAACAAAATAAATGGCCTAAATATCTTAGTCATCTCACTGTTAATCTCTCATATCATTCACCACATGGAGTTGCACTCAAATCTTTTGGTGAATCAAGACAAATAGCACATTGAATTGAGGATAATGAAGATGTATTTTTTCTTAATTCTTTTTCGTCATTTGTTAAGTCAATAATCATTTGCTTATTTGCTTTTTTTTTAATATTTTCTATGATCTTAAATATTTTTATATTCGATTTCGATTTATTTTATCATTTTTTTATTACTGTATCTTCTTGAATGGCAATTTTAACTATTCGTTTAATCAGATCTTTTACATATCGAGTTATTAAGTATTTAGTTTTATGCGAAATTAATCTTGAAAAAACAACAGTAAAAGACCTTCAGACACTTATTTTTAATGGTTAATTCTATTTTTATATAAATTTATTTTTAATATAGAAAAGAAATTTATAAAAACCCGGAATATAAAGCTTATCAACTACCCAAATTTGGTTTTAATAGTGTTTTTTTAAAAAAAATATTTATTTTCTTAGATACACTTAAAATATATGTTCATTCACAAAGTGCCAAGGTAAAATTTAATATATTTGTATAAAGTGATTAAATAATATGAATAAATAGACATCAAATAGAATTATTAATTTGGACCATGATGAATGGATACTAGATCCATGTATGACACTTGAACGTTGCGGTGTAGGTATGTAATTTTTTCAAATATATAAATAACAGTTATTTCTTGCTAATTTAGAGAATGAAACAGAATTATCTTTCTTTAATCGATCAGAATATGAACAGTTTAAAGCAAATCCCCAAGAAAAGTGGTGATTAAATAATGCAAGTTAATAAATTCGACATAAATAGATGAATATTACTCTACACTTATTAATATTATATTTCCCGGCATCATTATGAATAATTATTTCTTTTTGGATTAAAGCAAATATGGATTGGAAAAGTTGGATATAAAATTGTCCAAATGCTTCTTATTGAATATTTTTGCTATAGTGAATTGTTATGTTAAAATATATCTTTTTTTTTGTTGAATAAAAAAATATAATTTTTCCTATTTAATGTCTAAGATGAGAGAATGTTTTTTCGCGGTGTAGAATGTTCAATGAATTTAGATAGGGGGATGGACTCAGGAAGAATTGGTGATGAAATACTTTGTTCTGAGCGTGTATCTTCATGAAAATAAGAAATTGCATCTTCGATAGTATCATCGAAATAGTCGGAAGAAAGAAATGGAGTTTGCTATTATTTTTTGTTAGTTTAATGCCCTTGAAAAAAAAGGTATTTTCTGTTTAACTTACTTTGATATTGCATTTTTTTTCATGGGCATGTAAAATCCAAAGTTGTCGAAATGTCATATGACATGCTTTGCAAGAAAGTTTTCGTTGCCGTTTTCCCACTCGAAATGATGGTGTATTTAATACATCACTTCCCAGAAATTCGTCTAAGCCTGTTTAACACCACCATTAAAAAATAGACAAACTCCTTTCAAAAAACCTACCTAAACCTACTGTACGTCTTTTATCAATTAATTTCTTCATTGCCACACGTGCATCCATAATATCTTCTTCATCTGTTATATCATCTCCTGAACTTTCCCATTGACTTTCTGGGCTTAATAAACTCTGAATGTTCATCATTTCTTGTCCTTTAATATCCATATAAAAATCCGAATCCATAGGCGTTGGAAGCTGAGGTGATAAAACTCCAGTTAATGGTTCTACACGAACATACCCTTCTCTATTCGTTATAAATGCTAAACTATCATTCGGTCGTTTATATTCCGCTTGATAAGGTATCCCATGGGCTTGAGTCGAAAGTACACGTTCCATTAATCCTGTCCCATTACGTACATTTGCTTGTGGTGCTGAAACTACCACATCTATTTCTTCTTGAACAACCCGTGCAATTCCGCTTTTTCCAACCACTAAACTAACACTTAATCCTCGCTCTTTATGTGATAATGGAGTTTTTATTTGTTTTTGTTTTTGAGTTAAATTTTCTTTTTCATTATTTTCCTTATTTTTACTTGTTTGAATCTCTTTTAATTCCTTCTTTGATGCTTCTATCATTCCTTCTTCTGTCTTTATTTCTTGTTTCTTGGACGGCCGTCCTCTTTTCCGTGGTAAAGAAGGAAGGATTGATGATGTATGGGTATTTTTAAGTTTAGATGATCTTTATATATAAGTTTCTGGATATTTACACTGATAGACCTACTTAGCTGTCCCCATTCTTCCTTGAACTGAGGCTGATGTAGCTTTTTGTCGTAGTTTCCGACGCATCGGCGTTTGTTTTTTAGATACAAGGTTTTGATGAACCTTCGACGCGCTACGTAAATTAAAAATAAAGCTCAAGAGGCTTGGCTGATACGATATCTATTTTAAATAGCAGAAATACCGTATAGATAATAATGAATAAAAAGTCAATATAATACTAATAAATAAGATATATATGGCTTAAAAAAAGTTAATATTTTCTTAAAATACACCTTATACGTATTTTAATAAAAATAAAATAGATTTGTTATATAAATATTACTTTATAAAGGATTTAATTGTTATGTATGCGCACTTTCTAGATTAATTAACTACACGTATTCTAGATTAATATTGAAATATCGATAAATTATATTATTATATATACAAATGTCTAGACAGTTTATATATGATATTTATGTATTGTATGCATAGTGTATTCTTATATGCGTCTTGTATTTACTTTTAATTGTGTCTAAAATAATATCAAAAATCAATGGGGTCTGAGACCTATTTCGCTTTTCTCCCTTTATAAAAAAAGTATAAAAAGACATCCTATAAAAGAATTGTTTGGATACTCTGAAAATATTGAATGGATCGATCTATTTCTTCAGGATCTGTTCGATTCGAATCTCAAGGTTAAAAATTTGAGGAATTTATTTTAAATGACATTTATAGATGTATCAGGCGATGTCGAAAAAGATAAAATTCAAACGATGATTCTTAAAACTGTAGTAGAAATATCTGGAAGCCGTTGGAATGATGCTAGTCGTATTTTGTGGGAAATGACGAATTGGTTAGTGAATAAAGTTATTCATGAAGGTTTATATAAGTGTTATGTATAGGGTTAGGGTTAATATATAATTTAGGTGAAGCTATAAATATTACTCTTGGTGCTTGGCATTCTTTGAATGAAGCTTGGTTGTATTTTTTATGTCGAACGGGAGAAGAAATTAAGACAAATACATGTCATCCGTCAATTACAGAAGTTCATTTAGAAATGCTTGGACAAGATATTATTGGATGGTGTGATCAATTAGAAAAGTATGGATTAGTAGATTATGAAATGGGGTTTTGGGAAGAACGAATTCTTGAAGGTTTAATAGGATAAAATTTTATGTATTAATATTAATAATAAAAATTAGTAATGCGTTATGTCTTAACACTGTTAAAAGCAAGAAAAGTAGGAGCTGGAACATAAAAATTAGATAAATGAATTAATATAAAGTGGAATCGAGTGCCATATTTTTTGTAACATCCTAATTTCAATCAATCGAAAATCAATAAAAAAAGTACAGTAATATACTGTATTTATAATTATTTGTGTAAATTCTTCAAAACTAATTTTTCCATCTTTATCTTGATCTGCATCTATAATGGTCTGTTTATTAACAAAAGGAAAAATAAAATAATTTATTTTTTTACTTTATCAACGATCTATATTATATTAGTAAATTAATTTAGTGATTTTTTATTAAAATATAAAATTTTTATGAATAAATAAATAAACATATAAAATTATCTTTCTATTCCTCTTACCTGCTGCAAATGTAAATCTTTTATATTATTTCCCGTCATCATTTTAAGAACAAGAAAAAGCTCCCCGTTCGAAATATATCCATCTCGATCTATATCATAAATTTTGAAAGTAACTAAAAAAAAATTTGAATAATATAAAGGAAAATATATTTATATACATAATAGTTTTTCCCTTTTATGCCCTTTACTTGAAAAAATGTTTAAACTTTTTATAAGTTCTTCAAAATTCATATTTCCATCTCCGTCCTCATCAACTACAGCAAAAAGACGTGTTGCTAGTGGATTCTTTGCAATTTGAGGAATTGAAAGAAACTCGCAAGCATTAATAGAACCAGAATGATTTGCATCTAATTTCATAAAACATTCATGTATACGATTAATTTCTTCTTGATTGACTGGATAAAAGATTATTTATTAGTTTAAGGAATTTAAATATTAAGACTTACAATGAGGTAGATTAGATAATGCGTCTATTAGTTTAGAATTCTTATAACCCATTTTTTTTGAAAAAAAAACGGAAAGGGTTAAGATTAAACGTGGGTTGATATTAAGTTTTAAAAGTTAATAGTTTTAACAGTTAAACGTACTTAAGAATGAATTGTAAGTTATTCTTTATAAGATATATTATTGTTTATTCATGTGTTTTTTTATATAGTTTCTCAGAGTATTTTGCAACATATTGGACAAACACCATTAATCCGATTAAATCATATTCCAGGAGAAGAACTGCTTGAATGTGATATTTGTGTGTTTTTTCGAGTTTTTTTCTTTTATTAATGATTTTTTTGGGATTAATAGTGGCTAAATGTGAATTTTTTAATGCAGGAGGGAGTATTAAAGACAGGTTTGTTAAAAAAGGATTGGGAAGGGGTCTGATAGGCTAAAAATAAGGATTGCTAAAATGATGATTGAACAAGCGGAGAGGGATGGAAAGTTAGTTCCTGGATCTACTCTGATTGAACCTACAAGGTAGATTATAGATGTGAAAATATATATTGTATAAATAAAAGACAAAAGTGGTAATACAGGTATTGGATTATCATTAATTGCGGCAATTAAAGGATATCGTATGATTATTACACTTCCAGAGGTTATATAGAGAATTTTTAGATATTATTAATAATGGTAGAAAATGTCACAGGAAAAGATTGCTATTTTAAAGGCATTGGGTGCAGAAGTTGTTTTGACGCCTTCGGATGTTCCTTGGGATTCTCCAGAATCTCATATTGGAATGGCAAAGAGGCTGAACAAGGAAATTCCGGGATCTGTAATTCTCGATCAGTATGGAAACTCTAATAATCCGAAAGCACATGAGCTTTATACAGCAACTGAGATCCTGGCGCAAACAGCAGGTAAAATAGATATGGTTGTGGCGGGTGCTGGGACAGGAGGGACTATTTCTGGTCTTGCAAGAACATTGAAGAAGTATAATAAAAATATAGAAGTAATTATATATTATTAATCTTTTTCTTTATTCCTGATGAGTGTTAGATTGTTGGCGTGGATCCAGTAGGATCAATTCTTGCTTTGCCTGAGTCTTTAAATACAGAAGTAGGGATGTATCATATTGAAGGAATCGGGTACGATTTTATACCAGGTTGTATTTATAGAATATTTGTGTTTAGGGCTAATAAAATTAGATGTTCTTGATAGATCTCTTGTGGACCGTTGGATTAAAATAAGTGATAAAGAATCTTTTTTAATGGCTAGACGGTTGATTGCAAGAGAAGGGCTTTTGTGTGGTGGAAGTAGCGGTGCTGCAATGGCTGCCGCAGTACTTGCTGCAAAAAAATTAGGAAAAGGAAAAACATGTGTAGTTATTTTTCCGGATTCTGTTAGGAATTATATTAGTAAGTTTTTGGATGATCGTTGGATGTTTGATTATTCATTTCTTGAAAACCCTAAAAAATTAACTTTGGATACACTCACTCTAAAATCAATGAATCTTAAGTCTCTTAGACCTATAGATACATCTTTTACTTGTCTTTCTCTTCTAAAGATTATGAGGAATAATTCACTTGAGGTATTTCCAATTGTAGACTTATCGAAAAAATTGGTTGGTCTTGCTTCTATACGTAAGCCTAATAATCTTTTAATCTTTCTTTTTACATATTATAGGGGGTATCTTATCATCTGTAGCACGTTCTCTTTCTTCTTTCCATGACTCAATTGCTACCGTAATGTCGTGTTTTCAAAAACAACTTGAAAACCCTATTAGCATTGAACAATGGTTTTCTTTAAAATCTTCATCTTGCTTTGTTTCTCCTAAGGAGCGGTTTGTAGTCATTACACTTGACACTCCTGTTCTTATGCTTATGGATTTTTTGAATAGCTATAGATATGCTATTATTGTTACACCTTTATCTGATACTTGTTTTTTTACTCCAAAACATGTTGTTACACGAACAGATCTTTTGGATTTTATTTATAGGAATGTTTTGTGATCTAATTGCCTCTATATATTCAATTTATATACTATGCTTATTTACATATCCTTTATTTGATCACGTGATAATATATACCTAACCCTACACATTACTGAAAAAATTTGCTCTGCGAGGATACTCGTTTTTTATGAGGACAAAAGAACATTAAAAAGACTGAATTTGCCATAAAACAATAAATAATATATGTTTCGTCTATATTTAAGGATTTGATATGGCTTTTGCGTCAGTGAATACGTAAATAAATTGCTTTTTTTTAAAGTGAATTTTGAAAGGATAAAAGCAAAAAAGGGGATAATAAAGAGACCTTAAAGGCTAAAAGAGGCTTCAAAGCATTTAGGTATTTGGGTATTACGTTTGGGAATGATTATTTCTATTTATAACATATTTTAGTTGGGAATTTCTTTAATTTTTACTCCGTTGACGAGAAAACTCTTACAATTGTTGATTAATATTGAATTAAAAGATGGCAAAGGCTACAGGTGCTCGTTTCCGACAGCGGAAGATTTCTATTAAGGCTCCGTTGCAAATTTACCGGGCAATTGAGATCCCAGATTTAGATGAAGAAATATCGCTTCAGCGGAGTGTTCCTCTTGTCGAGACGGTATATATAACTTTGGACGGGATTTAGAAAATTTGAGTAGCTGATATTTTTATAGGGGGTAGATAAAGATGAAGAAGATGTAAGTTTTTTTTCTGTATTTTTTTTATATTTCTATACTTTTTTTTTTTTTGAAGGAAAATATAATAATGAATAACTGATGGTTTTTTTATATAGGAACATCATTTACGAACAGCAATTGCTTCACAAATGTCTCTTAATTCAAAGCAAGTTTACATTCCTACACCAGATGCTTCTAAGATTGTTGATAACTATGAAAAATTATATAAAAAAACATTTATAGAACCGTCTACGTTTATTCGCTTTTCAATGACAGTAGAAGATTCTGAAGGATGTCCATATAGTATGAATGAGGAAGATAGTGATTGGCTTTTGAAATTTAATGGTTCTAAGCGTTCGAGGGAAAATTATTGTTCAGAAGATGTATTTGAGCTTATTATGAATCAATTTGAAGTTTTAACAAATGAAAAACAATGTCTTTATACGGTTTTGAGAAATCTTTTTTTTTGTGTTATTTATTATTTATAGGATGTTTCTCAAATTTCCGATTTTTCTGAATTTGAATCAGCATTTGTTAACTCATCCATTTCATCTTATAAATATTTTGCTAAGCAAATCTATCCTTATTGGAAGCATAGACGGATTTCTAATAATGGGAAACAGCTTATGCCTTCTTTGAGAGTAAAAAGATAATTGAAATTTATGTTAGGATCTGACTAAAAAAATAGTTCGAGGAAAACGAAAAAGATGATAATGACCCATACATATGTTTTCGAAGACGAGAGATACGACAGATTCGTAAAACTCGAAGATCAGATGCTCAGAGTTCCGAAAAATTGCGAAAGCTTCGTTCAGAAATGGAACAAGCACGTAATTTAATAGAATTGGTTGTTAGAAGAGAGCAATTGAAGAAAGAATCTATACTTTTGGAGCAGCGTATTTTTAATCAGCGTTGTCATGTAAAGGAAATAAAACGAAAACTTGGAATTAAAGATGATGATGATGATTTGGTTTCCCATAAGGTACTTGTTCTTTTTTTTGAATATATTAAATATGGTTTAGAAGAAAAAGACGCACGATAATGGAAGTTCTACCGTTCATATTTCGGTACCTCAAACAACTGGTTTTAATGAGGGCGATACCTTTTTTCTTTTAGAAGATTATCAAGCAGAAAAGGCTGCTGCTGCCCATTCTGCACTTGAGAAAGCTCTTCGTCAGAGGCAACTTTCGAATGTTGGCTGGAAAGATATTACAGATGTATTTTTCTTCTTAATATTTATAAATACTTTAACTGTATTTAGAATCCATATTGTCCTTACCCGAAATTATATCCTCTTACTTTCTTCAGAACGATTACTGCATCATATTGTTTAAATACGAAAAAAGCGTCATTGGGCTTATCCTCTAAAGAAGATTATTCCTCCCTACCTTTTGATTCGTCATCTGTTTTATCGCATTCCACTAAATTTAATACTAGAAGACTTTTTTATAGGCAACGCATTGGCAGAGGTGGTCGAATTATGATTGATAGAAAAAGCATTGTTCGTTATATTCATAGTCCTTTATTAGATCCATTGGTTGTTGATCGGTATAAATATGATCATGATGATTTTGATTCTGAGATAGAAATAGATGATATGAATGAATTGTAAGGTATTTTTTTGATTCTTCATTATTTAATTTATGATTTAGGTCTCTTAAATATCGTATTGGTTTATTGTCGGATGAGCATAACATATTTGATCAGACATCTACTTGTAATAATGAGGTTAAATCTACGAATAATTTAGATTAAAAGAATATTTCATGATATCTTAATGTATATGTGTAATATATTTTAATAGTGTACAATATGTTAATGAAAATTTAAATAACTATTATTTCGACTATTGGTTTTTATATCTTATTTTTATTATTTTAAAAAATGGCAATTTAGTCTATATTTGATGGTTTTTTATTTATAAATTAAGATCTCTATGATTTTAATTAACGTGCTAATATTTGATTTTTAAAGTTTAAATTCTAGAAAAAAAATCGATTTGTATAGAGTTATGAACTTATTAAATCTGCATTTAATTTTAATGGTAATTCTACAGTTCTGTTGAAAAATATTTATGAGTTTTAAATATTAAATTACAATTATTTTGCATATAAAATTTATTTAAATTATTAAAGATTAGAAAATGGTTGGATAAATTTCCAATTTTATATAAAATATGAGGTTAAAAATATGAACATCAATAAGTATAATATATAAATAATATTTATTTTTTTATGTTTATCTACAAAAAAAATATTTTTAATGTGCTAATATGTATAATTTGTTTATAATTGATAAGATGTATAATTTGATGGATCTTCTTGACTCAAGGGAATTGTTGAAGCTTGTAGATTATCTTGGTCTGTAGATATAAATTCAAGTTTAGGACCTTTACAGCCTAATTCATTTATTTTTTTTATAATTAATAAACCTTCTTCTCCACCTATAGAAATAGCTTGGTTAAGTTGTTCTTGAACCATGATAATCTGTTTTTTCATTGAAAGCCTATCTAAATAAAGCTGTTGTCTATGTTTTTCTAATTCCTGTCGTTCTGCTTCAAGAATTTGTTCAAGTTCATTAAATTGTTGTAATTTCAATTCTAGTTTAGATAATTGTAATTTTATGACTTCTGAAACAAGTCTAGATATTTCTCGTTCTTCTTGTGATACCAAAATTTGTGCTTTTGCTGCAGCCGCCCCTAAGGCAATTGATGCAGCCTTTTCGATTGTATTAGATGGAGATATATTTGCATTTTTCAACATTTTTGTTGATGTTAGATCTTTATGTTCATCGATATCCATTTCTTCTGATTTGGTAATTTGATTTATATCACAATGTGTGGAAGATTCTTGTTTAATTTCCGATTTGTCTGAGTCATTTTTAAAATCAATATCATGTGTAACATTTTTATCTGATTGTTTATCAATATGTTTTTTTAAAGAATGTGTTAGCTCTTCTAATGATGATTGTGCTGCAGCTGCGGCAATATTTGGATTCACAACACCAGCAAGAAATGCGACAACGCTCATGATAGGATTATCTGCTTGTGAAAATGGAATACGGTTGTATTGTAATGGACCTAAATCCTCTGTTTTAGACTCTAAATATGGATCTTGAATAGGCAATTGCAGAAACCGAAGAACACATTGTTCTCGTGTTCGTGTACCAACATGTTCTGCAACTAAATTCCAATCATCGTCATACATTTCTAACCCTTCCAGTAATAAAAGTGTTTCTTGATCAGACCAGTCTTCTTTGCTTCCTTTGATAGGCGTCTCTTCCATTTTTACAAAGTCTCCGCTAAAAAAACTTGCTGGAAAACGTCCTTCTGAATAACAATTAGGACAAAGTTCAAATTTTTTTGTTTTTAAGCTATGATAAAATAATCTAGAACACTCTACACCACATGTAAAACAAAAATATTGTTTTTTTAAATCTAATCCGCTTTCTGTTTGCTTGCTACCGTTTGTCAATATATTATCTGATTTTCCATAGATAGAATCATATGATTCCTTTCGAAGTTCAAGATGATAACTCGTTTTTGTTTGAGATGATGATGGCTCTGTTAAAGATCTTCCATGTGAGGTCATTGAGCCCGGTCCCGGTTGAAATGGTTGAAGTCCCCTTGGTGTATCTGCAATTACTCTAAAATGACCTGTAAATGGTGGTCCCATACTCGATGGTCGAGTTTCTAAATCAATCTATCAATGTATTTAGCTAATTATGGATATTTAACAAAGGCTATACCTGATAATTAATTAATCCCCATTGTTCAAGAAACGCATGTACACGCATGATGGCACAAACATCTCCTGCAAGATTACGACGACATGCGGTTACTGTAAGATATTCAATCGGATTTAACCGATAAATGTTAATCATAAAATCTCTATAATCCTTATAAACAGATGGTGTTTTAGAACGATTACGGTTATTAAAGAATTCTGGAAGCGATTTTTTTTCAATTTCATTAATTACTGACATATCAAACCATGCTGCATATGATGGAATGATCACTTCATGGGTCTGTTCTACAAGAAATGCACGTGCTGCATCCTCAAGACGTTTACGTTCCACTTCTGGGTCTTCAGTTTTGATGATTTCAAAGGGTTCCGAACTCGGTGCTACACCGCTTAGTTGATCCATTGTACCGTCTGAAGCTTTCTCAGTTATTTTGCTTTCGAAAATACTAGTTCAGATCTGAATCTGTAAATATATTTGTTATATATGTTTAGGTTTGATGCTTTGTTTTAGATGTTTTTTTGAAAGGTTATAGTTTGTCAGTTACTTTTAAAAAATATAACGGAAGTGCTTTGAATTAAATTTAGTTCCTATATTTTTCCAAAATTCCCTTATAATATGCTTTTTTATTTGCTATATAATATATATTCTTGTATATATATTGTTATATATATTTATATTATGTCATATGTGTATATCACGTATTTGGCGTATCCACGAAAGACTTGGTATAAAATAAGTAAATATATATAAAGGTCGTTTGTTAAGGGTTTATTGTAAAAGTATTAAGAGCAATTTTGCTATTTGTATTTATTTGTAAAAATATGGATGAAATAGTTTAAAGAAGTGATTAGAAGATTTTTGAAGAGAATTGATAATGTTGAATTGTTTATGTAGATAAAGGATTTGCAAAAATCATGTATTTATATAGGTAATATAATATATCTCAAGGATATGTAATAGTTGAATTATCTGCCAATAAAAAGAATATATAAAAATTAAAGATAATGAGTTATGCAAGATAAGAATATTCATCTTTTCCGGATCGTTTGATGTATTCTTTTTCAATTAATACATCGATACAGCGTTTAATATCAGAAATTTTTGGAATAAATCGTGATTTGATTTGACTAATGGTTTCTTGTATCAATACAACGTGTTTTAAGATTTTTCTAGCTTTCATGATACGAACGATTGTAGACTAATAAAATTAAAAAAATAATATTTGTTAAAATGAAAATTTACCTGCATTAAAAGCTTTCTATCTTCTTCTATTGTTTTATGTGTTTCGTCACTTTCTTGTTTTTGTTCAATTTTTGTAGGCATATTAAGATTTACTCGAATTTTTTTACTTTTAAAGTTCATATTTAAATCATATCTAGTATTACTATCGCCCACTGCCATATCTGGAGGGAAAAGCAATAATACTTTTGCTTTTACTAATATACTTAAAGATGCATCCAAAACGTCTTTGTTTAATGCTGTTATTTCTTGAAGTTTTTCATATGATAGTGATGTAGAAGTATTATAAGCTAAAAGAATCCCCATTTGGTATGTAGAAACCTGAAACGTATGCGCAACTTTTGTATTTGATAAATAATTAACTTTTAATTCTCCTTTAGACAATTGAAATAACCAGTTAAGTTTGCGACCATTATGTTTTTTTTGGTAAAATAATTGGAATTTTTCATAAATATCAACTAATTCGTTCGGAATATTAAAGGGAGTGGAAGCTGGTTGTAGAGGCCAGAATCCTGTCCCAAGAACAATAATATAAAAATTAACTAATAAAAATTAATGATATAAAGATATATATGTATATATTACTAACTTTGGGAATTATAAGGATCTAATGTTTTTTTTAATGATTCTTTGAATGATTCTTGAAGGTCTTTAGATACACCTATATCTTGAAACATTCTTTGGAGTTTATTTGTATACTCGAATCCACATGCTTCTTTCAGTTTCGATATCATACTTGTTTCTGCGTCATCAGATGCTGATGTCCCATTAATTAAGCGTTTGGCTAGCATTTTTGAATAAAATTTTTGAAATACATCTTTATCTTCAACATATTTAAAAATAGTCATCTATTGGTAGTTATAACGGTTTTTTAGAGAAAAAAATAGTTTACAATGTTGATAAGTGTATTTTCAAAATCACTTTCTTCCACATATTTGGAATTTTTTTTAAGTAAAGAATCACAATATTTTGCAAGAAGTTCTGGAGATTTTGATGAAGATAGGCGGCAAACCTTATTACGGTTAATAAATTCATGACAAGCCTAGAAATATTAGATAAAAAATAAGAAAATTATAATGATCAATACATTATCTAATGCTTTTATAAATTCCATATCTCCTTTAAAAGCAGTTGCTACTAATGTATTATATTGTGAACGAATTTCTAATAATGCATCAATATAAGATTTAGGGTCCTAAGTTGTGTTATATTAAATATGAAATTATTCAGAATTACCACTGAGTTAGTAGAATCATCAACTATTCTTTCTACAGCAAGTAATCCTGCTTTACATACGTGTGCTTCGAATTTTACTTTCAACGGATTTACTCCATCAGGAATACGTGAAAGAAGTGTATACATTCGAGTCATATCTTCTTGTCTATCAGAATCAAGAATATTTTGAAATTCGTCTTGAAGAATCTCTGAATGGTTTTGTATAAAAACGTGATCGCAAACATTCATAAGAACCTTAGTTGTATTTGGGTGAAGATACAACTGTATACGAGTCTTTTCTTCATTGAATCTTGCTTCAACCTTTATTTTTTAAAAAAAAAAAGAATGATAAAATGTTCAAACCTTTTTCATATAATCTGTAATGCTATTTTCAGATATATATTTTTCTGCTTCTATTCTATAATACACTTCGGTAGAAGCTATAAATGGTTTTTCGAAGTAATTGTTATATACATCGAGCACTAGTTTAGATGAATCTTTCTCATCAAGCCCAAGAGAAACATATGAGTTTATCACATTTTTTAGAAGAGATGTATTTATTATTTCTCCATTTCTTTGCTTTTCAATAACTTTCAATAAAGTTTCAGTCACTTTTTCATGGATATCATCAAACATATCAAGTTTCCATCTAACTAATGCAAGCTAATTTTGTTAGTAATCATGCTTATTTTAAAATAGGATTAAAACAGTATAAACATTATAAACGCCTGTTTTTCCTTCATCGATTTTTCTTTTTACCCAAAAGTTATTTAAATACTTAAATATATGATGTATACAAAAACTAGCACTTGTATATTTTGACCATTGGTGTGAATAGAACTGTAATAATGCCTCATCATTATATTTTAATGATTCCTAAAATATAATAAATAGATTTTTATGTAGAATTTCTTCAAACAAACATTTTTAATAGATTGCATATGAGATGATAAGTAACGAACTAAGTTATAATAAAGCTCGTTGCCTAGTAGATTTGCACCTATAATTTTTATTTAGAACTTCCTGTTTATAATAATTTTATTTAGCTATGCCTTTTGACGACTCATTCATAGATATATCTGCATTAGTTTTGGGTCGAGCACAATAGTTATATACGACACTATTGATGATAAAACAATTTTTTAAAAAATATATTTGTTTTACGTATAATTTTCCATATACTTGGAAAAACTTAATCCCTCTTCCATATTTTCCATAATCTGAGAAACTCCTTTCTCAAGGAATTTCCATCTATGTTTTCTAGTAAGTTTTTAAAAATTTAGTAAACTTACGTTCCTTCAAGATCATCACTTCTTGGTAAATCTTGCATAGTTAATGAGCAGTTTATTTTTATTTATATTAAATAGATGTCCAATCTGCTCCTATTTTACTGATGTTGTGTTTAAATATTGCACAATATATTTTGCAGTGAACATGAATTCGAAGGTTTATATCGATAAAAAAAACTTAAAAACAAGATAAAAATGTTTTAAAAAATGCAGCAATCTTTGCTATTTTTTATAAAAAATGAGATATGATTAAGAAATTGGATAATTTTGATAAAGAATTGTGTAAAAATGAGAAAAAGATAATAATTTCAAATGAAGTTACTAGTAATGAAAAGAAAATGGATGGATTTGTACGTTTAAAAGGATTATTTCGACGTAGATCTATGTTTCGTATGACAGTATTTCGTAAACGTCGTTTAAAATCACGTTGTATTCCTGAACATATTAATCCTGTATATTTGCAGCTTTTAAATCAAACAATTAAAGAAATTGGAGAAGATAGGGATGTTGGAATTATGAGGAATATTTTAGAATCATCTGAAATTAATGGTGAAATATGGACTTCATTAGAGAAAGAGCGATTTTTTAAAAGTTTATCTCGTAGAAGTCGTCATAATCCAGAAGATATTGCAAGAGATATAGGTAGTAAAAGCGTTATGCAAGTTATAGGTTATATGAATATTTTGGATGAAGAATTGAAGGCTTTTCGTCTTTTTTGTGAAGGGAATGGGAAGGAGATTGTTAGTTTCCGGCATATTCCTGCTGCAATGGAAATGAGTGATGAATGGATTAATATTGAAGAAAAAGAAGCTAAAAAAATACAAGAATTTACTGATAAAATTCAAGAAAAACAGGAAAAATTAACATGGGGACCTGAGTGGTCTTTTTTGGAGAATAAAAAAACTAATGAGATAGAGATAGCATGGGATTATGTTAGTGAATCGTTTTCTTCTATTCAAGAACCTTTATTAAAAGTATCGCCCGAAATATGTTTTTTGCGTCCTAAATCGTTTATTGAACTATCAGAGAAGTAGGGCATAATGTTTTTATGATTATTTATAATATTTTGATAGATTGTTTTTTAATAGAGATACAGAATTTTTTTCTAAAGAAGTTGTGTTATATAGGACAACTTTAGTGCATATGTATGAACTTGCACGTAGATTGACTCAACGGCTTGTACAGATGGCACATTTTATAGCGCTTTCTAGACTTCGTGCAGAAAGATCTTCCAACTTTCATTCTCAGTATGTTGTGCGTTCAAAGGATGTACTTGTTGCTGTTGATATACTTGGAATTAATAGGAATTCTGACGAATATTGGCTTAATCTTCCTAGAAGAATTGAAATGACTGTATTGAATGAGACTGGTCAAAAGCTAGATTTTGATGCAATAAAAAACAAACTTTCTAAAATTCCTTTGAGTACCATCCGAAGACGTGCAAAAGGGGTGCATTTGTGTAATAACTTTTCTGGTATCGAGGATAATTATATTCATTTAGAAGATAATTCATCTGCAATATCTTTTATATCAGATAATTCTCAGGTTAGTAATAATGAAAATACTAGTTCTGATATGGATGAGTTAAGTCCAATATTGAATGATCAAGAAAATGTATCTTTTAATACTAATGACGATTCATCTTTTGTTGCTTTGGAAAATCTTGATGATGAGCAAACTGAAGAGATGCTAATGAAGACAGAAGATAATTTTTTGGAAGTTTTGGATGCTAGAAAAAGTGCAGTTGATGAGCGTGAGCTTTGGAGAAAATTGTCATATTTTTATAAATCTAAAAAAAATAATGTTTCGTTAGCTAATTGCTCTTCTCAGCTAGAAAAATTAGAAGCAATTTTGAGATCTATCTGAACGTGTTATATTGAAAACAAAAGAATTTATGAAAGTGGGATTTTAATTTTTGATTTACGTTTATTTGTATTTAAGATTAGTTAATATGAATTAAAAAATAAGTCAGCTATTTTTCATTATAATAGAAAAATAGGATATCAAATATCTAAATATCTCTATTACTTGAGAATGTTTATAATGAATTGTTTTGTAGAAAATATATTATTAATTTTGAAAACATATATAATTTATTAATTATGATAAATTTTGATTTATTTATGGGATGCAAACAAGAGCATTCAGATAATATATTGATTTTTTATTAAGTATGTTTTTGAAAATTTACGTTTTTATTTTTTTATAAAATTAAACTTTTTGATTTTTAGGATATATTATGATTTAAGGTATTAATTTTATTAACAGAAATTGTTTTTATTATATTTATATTAATAAATATTATGAATTTGCTATTTTCTTTAATATTTTTTTAAAATATAGTTGATTTTATAGTATTTTATATTTAACAAGTAATTGATTTTTAAAATCAGTTTTTAAATATAAATGCATGTAAGTTTATTTTATTAAGATAAAAGTAGTTTTTTTTATATAAATATTTTTATTGAAATAAATTCTAATATTAAAGAGAATAAGAAATTTTATTAATACCTTAAATTTCAAATTTATGATATTATGATAGTTAATTTTTAGAATATATTCTTGAATAATAGATAATTGATCGTATTTTAAATTGTTTTGAAAAATATTGATAAAATTTGTTCTTTTTTAAAACAATGAATAAAAAAATATTAAAAAATATATTTCATGTTTACAAAATAGTTATGTAATAAAAATACTTTATTTAAATACATAAAATTATTAATAATAGTATTTTTAATACATATATATTTAGATCAATAGATTGTAGATGGTCTTTTGGCCAAAAATACTGTTCTTTTAGTAAAAGATTTAGGATAACGGTGAGGTAATGGAAATTTAATTTTTGTATCGAGAAATTGACGAATATATGATCTCTTTACATCACAAGTCTTTTTAAGTTCTACTACTCGAATAATCTAAGTAAAAGATCAGAAAGGAAAAGATAAATAAAAATAGTTCAATTACTTGAATAGATCGAAAACGCAAGCGATGACGTGATGCCATATCTTGATAAAGAGCATCTACTGCTGCTGTTCGCGAGACTTCCCTGTATTCCTTGTACATATTATGTGTCCCAGAACGTGAATCAAATCGAAGCCATATTCCATAATTTTTTACTTTACATGGTCGTTTTTCATAAATCTTTTTAATTAGTCACAAAAAAAACTAAAAAAAAATACATACTACATTCAATGATACAATTTCTCCTGCGCTTTTCTTGATTTTTCGAAGTTTCTTCAAAAAATACCAAAATCTTGATTTTGCAACTACTGTATTGGGTGCAAAAATCCTCATACGATATAACTTTGGTACTGGTTCTTTTTCAGTTGGAAGACGTCTTCCAATAACCTTTTATAATCATTAGAAGCAGGGTATTCCAATTTAAATTATATAATTACTTGATACTCAGTAAAATGAGGCTTAATTGTCATTTTGTATCTTTTTTTAAAGAATAGATTTTTTGTCGATCCGTCGCCGACTTATTTTAAAAGCTGTCTTTGAAAGTAGTGAAAGTTAAAAATACAAGAATAAATAATTAAAAGACAATATGAGGAAAATTCTTCTTATTGATATTTGAATTTTATTTGGCTGTTTGATTTTGCTTTTTTTTTTTGCTGTCTATTTTTAAATGGTTTAGGTTTTTTTAATTATAATTAGAAATTAAAAAAATAAAGTTAAAAAGTCATATTTTTAAGAAAGTCAGTTATGGAACTTGCTTCTGGTGATGAGAATACTCAGAATCTGTCTTTAAATAGTAAAGAAAAAAACGTTGAAAAAAAGAAGAAACGGAGACCTGCTCGTCGTCAAGTTGAGGGTCGTGAAAGAACAGGAGAATTAATGCCTCCTCAGACAGGACAGGTTTTTAATGTAGGCTTATACCAGTATTTTATTTTGTTTTAAAGTTTTTTTTTTTGTATAGATTTGGTATGGAAAATGGGCAGGTGGAGATAAAGAGGATAAATATATAAATAAAAATAAAAGTGAAACAAGATGTAATATTAAACGAGATTCTGGATATACTAGAGGAGATAAAATCAAAGGCGCATATTTTTGTTTATTTTTTGCTAGAGGAAGCTGCAGCGATGGACCAGATTGTACATTTCTGCATCGTTTACCAAATGTACATGATATATATTCGCCTAATGTAGATTGTTTTGGTCGTGATAAGCATTCTGATTATAGAGATGATATGGGAGGTGTTGGTAGCTTTATGCGGCAAAATCATACATTATATTGTGGACGTATCCATGTAACAGATGATATTGAAGAAATTGTTGCACGTCATTTTTCCGAATGGGGAGAGGTTGAGCGCAGTGAGTATAATGAAATGAGATAAGATTTTCTTAAATGTTTACTAGTTCGTGTTCTTAACTCAAGAGGTGTTGCATTTATTACTTATGTTAATGAAGCAAATGCTCAGTTTGCTAAAGAAGCAATGGCACATCAATCGCTTGAAAACAACGAAGTATTAAATGTACGTTGGGCTACACAAGATCCTAATCCTGTTTCTCAAGCACGTGATGCTAGACGTATTGAAGAACAAGCGGCAGAAGCTATTCGACGTGCTCTTCCTAAAGAATTTATTGCAGAACTTGAAAATTATGGTAAAAAAATCAAACGCGATGATTTTGGCTTAGATGGCTATGATGCTCCTGATGATATATGGTACGCAAGAGGTTCTAGTGCTGTAAATCCTGCTGGAAGGCCATCACACATTCCCGTTGAAATAAGTATTGAAAATACTTCTGATCCGTCTGTTTCGGAAAATGCATATGATGAAGAAACAAATGAAATATTTTCACGTAAAACGTTAGATACACTTCAATCGTTAAATGCTGTATGTACAACACATTTGAGTCTAAATAATTCGTTAGGGCTGGTGGAATATACTAGTGATGATGAGGTATAAAATAATAAACTTTGATAAGTTGAAATTTTTCTTTGAATGTATAATGCGTTTAATATTTCATTGTTTCGATAATGCAAAATAGTGTATTATTTATATATAAGCTAACTTAGTTTCGATAAAAAATATTTTTTTAAAGGGCTTAATTTTTCGATAAAATTACTAAAAGTGTATATCGAATAACGATTGACAAGATAAAGCAGCTAAACTTGAAAAGTTCAGATAAGCCATGAAAAAATAAAATTGAGATCAAATTAGTATTTGAAAAAAAAGAGAAACAAATAGAGTTGACGTAAAGAAATTTTGTTATAAATTGACGAGGGGTTGATTTTTATAATCAGAAAAATATTGTATTAAAATATTATTTTTTTAAGTTTTTAAATAAGATGTATTTTAATGGAGCATTGATTATGGGATTGCTGAGTCTAAGCATTGTGCCTATTCAGTGTATTGGATCAGCTATATATTCTTACGATGTAAGTTGGTTTTAATAATTAAGGTTTAATATTGATAATAAAATAGAGCGCACAAGTATTAAATCATAAAGAATTTAATAGACAGCCATTCGTTAACCACATTCAACAAATTAATGAACGATGGATTCCATGGTTTGGACGTCCTATCGATAAATGAATATGATTCAGAAGGATTTTTTTTGTTTTGAAATAAATTTAGTATGTTTATTAGGATATAGAAGATTGATTTAAATGTTTTTTCTTTAGAATGCTTATGTTTTTATCCTGTAAATTGTTTGTAGCCTTTTAAGTATTAATATTAAAATACAATAGTTAGAAAAACATTTGGTTAGATTTAAAAATTATCTAGTATATTATTTCCAGCTAGTATTAAAGCCTAATGATTGTAGATCAAATGTAGGAAAAGGATGTGCTTCAGTATTAAAGACGATTTTGTCTAAAGGAAGGACATCATCTGGACTAAACAATAAATAAAAGTATTTTAGGGTTTCTGCCTATATGATATTAAACAAAATATTGCAATGATAATGACCTTACTAGCCAAAAACTTTCCATATTATCTCCTAGAATTGGAGGGTTTACTAAAACGTCTTGTACAGATGTATATCCTCCATCTACTTTAGTGTATTCTTTAAATGCTTCAAAAATTTTCCATCCCCATTCTCGATAAGTTATATTTTTAGTAATTCTCCATAAAACAAAAAGACTTTCAATAGTTTCAGGACGCTGAACATTATATTTATCTAAATTATGAATGATAATATCTTCTTTATTTTTATCTTCAAGATTAAAATATACAATTTCTGGCGAAAGTTTAGATGCAGTCACATTGTACATTTCGAAACATGTTCTAGTTAATTCTTCCGAGAGTTTAAAAGTACTTTCATGCTGCTCTGTCCAATTTTGCTGCTTTTTTGTTTTAAGATCTAGTCCTTTTGTTACTCCTAAAGCAAGTGTTGCTCCTAAAAAGCATGCTAGGTGGTCCATTTTAGGAGAAATATAATTGCCAATTCCATTCGGCAGTTCTGCTACGAATGTAAGTCCTGATGGTTTAGAATAATTTACCATATGTTTTTTAATTCCTTCAACTGCTTCTTCAAACATTTCCAAGTATACTTTTTCTTGTTTTTGTGTCAACAAATATTGTTTAATTAAATATTCATAATATGAGTCTCCTCTAGATCCCAAGCTTATATGACTATTTTGGAATTTCCCATTTGAAGTACTTTACATATTAATTTATATAAATACAATAGAAAATAACAAACTCTAGAAAAATAGGTGCAAGACCATCTTTAAGATTATTATCTTTTATAACCTTCATTACTTTTTCAGCTTTTTCCCAATGTTGTTTGCTTTTTAGTAAATATGATATATATTTAAATTCTAATTGCAAAGTAGCAACTTCTGCAGTTGAAGCATAAACATACCCTCCAAAGTCATTTACATTTCCAGTACGTAAATTAACACTAGGATAGGGGATTCCACTAGGTGAATTAAAAGCATTTAATATTCGATTAGATAAGTCAGTTGCCTTATTGAGATAAAGATTATCTTTTGTTAAGAAATATGCAGAAAGAAGCCCGCCTAACATACGAATAGTTACCTCAAATGTGCTGATATATTTGTCTTGGTTAAAATTTAATGAAGATTCAACCCAATTCCTAGCATCTTGTAGTTCTTGATCCAATCCCATAATATATAAAGTATCTAAGCTATCTACAATAATCCATCCTGCTCCATTAGGTAAAATAGAATTGTATCCTCTCTCTAAAAAATTAATTGGTATATTAATTAAAAACAATGTTTTAATATCACTTGAGATTGGACTATATTGATCCTTTCCCCACCCGTACTGTTTATATCCATTCCAGCTATGAAGAAAAACTTGCTTGACAAGTTCTTGTTTTATTTTCCAAATGTCTTCTTCTTCAAACGGTTTTTGTTTCCAAGTTAACGCTGGATTAATAGTTTCATTCTTAATAATTATAAAAATAATAAACAAAAAAATGCTTAAAAATATCCAAATATATTTTCTATAACGCCATGATTTTTTTTGTAAAAATCTAAGAAAAAAGAGCCTTTTTTTGTGTTGAAAAACAGGATTTATATTTTCTGACATTTCTATGGAAAGCTTGATATTTCAGATGTAATTAATGCTTGATTTTTGAAAGAAATAAGATATTTATTTAAGATATATTTATATTGTTTCTGAATGTTTAAGTTTTATATCTTAATGTTTAGAAAATATGTTAGGGTTATAAAGTAATTGATAAAAAAAGCATTTAAAGAAAATATAAAAATATATAAGATTTGAATTTATTATCTATTTTTGATAATACATATTATATATTAAAAATAAAATACAATTCAGAATTTTTTAGTTAATCTTCAATCATTTCTTCTGAACTTTTAAGCTCTGCTATTATAGTATCTACTATGTGTTTTGGTACTAATTGATGTTGTCCTTTAGTTTCTGTAAGACCAATCCATGATACTTCAATTTCATACTCTTTATCTTTTGATTCATTGTGAGTAGAACGAATGCTAGATATTTTAATTTATTTTTTTTATAATTTTAAGAACTTATACATTTTGATAGCTGCTTTTACAGCTTCATAAAGAGATAACTCATCTAGTTTCAGTTTTTCAATTTCATTTTTTACTTCACATTGAGATTTCCCTATTGCAACACCATTATAACCCTGTATTTAAATTAAGTTTATAAAAATGATTTTAAAGAAAAGTACCCAATAATTCCCACTTGGCTCAATCATATAAAGTTTTGGAGTACTATTTTCTATGGAAGCAATGATACAGGAGGTTCCAAAAGGTCTTACTGATGAATAAAGAGTATATACTTGTACATAATTTCCCATCCGATCAGTTAAAGACTAATTCATTAATTTATATTTTAAATATAAAAACATGATACCGATGATGGGATTGGTGTTCGATATATATCTCTCCAATTTTTTGCTTCTTCTCGAGCACGATTAACGAAATGTTTTCCATCTGTATTTAAGCCAGCAATTGCCTTTAAACTAAATGTTAAATTTCAACAATATATATAGGTACATAAGTGTTTACAATTCCAATATGCTCATCAACAGTGTAAATTCTTTTATTGGATCCTGGAATAAGTAATTTAGACTGTACTAAATGTTCTACTGCTAAAACAATTCCATCTTTAACCTTGATTCCTAAGGCTGTTCTGGGCTCAATTTTAGTATTTAATATCATCTATAAATTTTTATATGGTACCCTGAATTTTCTATAGCTTTATATGCATATTCTACTTGAAAGATTCGTCCATCTGGGCTAAAAGTTGAATTATTTAAATCGTATCCTGTGCCTTTAATCATTTAGAAATATTCGATATTTTAATCAACAAAATCACCTATAGATGTCTATAAAATCAAAATGTTAGATGATATTAATTAGTGTTTGGGATATTTAAACCATTTAAATTTATTTAAATTTTTATTATACGATTTTTTTAACTTCCATAAAAATTAACTTAATGGAAAAAAATAATTTATAAATTAAAGAAATATTAAGAAAATAATTAGGTAATGGCTCTTAAATTAATCTATTAATTTTATGAGATATAAGAGTAAGTTGTTTCTTTTATTATGAACTTTAAATAAAATAAAAATAAAACTATATTAATAGGTTTATAAAAAAACTATGGAAATAACCATTTAAATTTAAGCAGAGAGGGGAATAAGCATGTTTCCTATAGAATTGTCATATTTATAAGTTTATGTAATATTGCACTCTTTAACGCTGCACTTCTTCGTGAACATACGATGTTTTAAAAAAACATAAAAACGAAGGGTTAAGGTCGGAGAATCATCCTCAGTTGTTGCTCGTGATGAGCTTAGCGCTAGTATGTGCTTACAACTGCATTAGAAAGATACGGCTTAAGTTTTATATAGCCTTGAGAGGTCAGTTGTGAGGATTAGACGTGTTAATGTCTTTAAGTGCAATGTGCAGCACCCCTATTTTGGAGACAACTCAATTCCGACTAGTCTTTAGAGTGCAGTATATATGAATTTATGATTGTGAAGATTCGAACATGCTTAATCGCTTTAATGATTAAATTTTATTAATGATTTTTATATATATGATAAAATTTAAATTGAAAAAAATATGTACAAATATGGTTAAAAATTATATTAATGATGAAAAAGTCGGAGACTATATATGTCAGAATTACGTAATATAAATTAGATTTAAGGTACTTTGTGTTAACAAAAACCATTCCGAATTGATCAGCTGTTTCAAATATTTCTTTATCTTTAATGCTACCTCCTGGCGCACTTATATATTTGACATTATATTTAGAAAGTTCATTAATATTATCTGGGAACTGAAAAGTTAGTAGATTAATAATGATATTTATGAAAGATTTTTACTGGAAAGAAAGCGTCGCTTGCACATGCGACATCGTTTAGTTTTTCCATAAATTCTGATATTTCTTTATCTGACAATGGTTCCGGAATTGTTACAAATACTGACTCCCATTGTTTTTTTTCTGGCCCTGAATTTGGAATTTTATTCTGAATATATAAATCTATTGCATTTGATTTTTCTGGTCTCTTTATATACGAATGGAAATTAAATTTAAGAATTTTTGGGTGATGTCTTAACCACCTTTAATTATGTTATTAAGGTATTTAAATTGTTAGAATAATACCAGTTTTTTGTTTTAGCTCCTGCCAATCTAGTACAATGAATTCTACTTTGTTGACCAGCACCTAATCCTATAATCATTCCATTTTTTGCATAGCTAACAGAATTACTTTGTGTATATTTTAAAGTAATCGTAGCAACAATTAAATCAATTAGGGCATCATTAGGAAGCGTTTTGTTATTGCTCACAATATTTCTAAATGTTTCTTCATTGATTTTGACATCATTACGACGTTGTTGTAATGATATGCCATAAACTTGGCGAGTTTCAATCAATGGAGGCTCATAATCATAGTTCATTTGTAATATACAATATTTTCCATTCTTTTTTTTTTTAAGAATTTCTAAAGCATCTTCTTCATAAGCAGGAGCGATAACTCCATCAGAAACTTCTCTAGAAATGATCCTGGCAGTTGGTAAATCTACTTTGGCTGATAAAGCAATCCAGTCTCCAAAACTACTCATTCTATCTGCTCCTGAAATAATTTTAGTGAACATTAAAATTGGTAGTTAGAGTACCTCTTGCTCGAGCATAAGCACATGCTAAAGGTGATAGATCCGATATATCTTCAACGAAATATACTTTTTTTTCTATTTCAGAAAGAGATATGCCTATGGAAACACCTGCAGGAGACACATGTTTAAATGATGCTGCTGCAGGTAAATTAAGGGCTTCTGACAGTTCTTTTACGAGAGGCCATGAGTTTAATGCGTCAAGAAGATTTATATATCCTGGAGATCCACAAAGTACTAAAAAAATATTAAATTTAATTGAATGTAATTATTTCATAAAAAACCTTTAAATGGAATATTTCCAGAATGAACAAATGCTTTTGAAGATGTTTGATATGGATTTATTCCATAACGAAGAGATAATTGCATTTGATTAGATGTGTATTGTTTTCTAAAATAGTTTGTTATATCGATATCGTATTCAGATGTATATGAAAAAGCCTATAAATTTCCGTATTAAACTAAATGAGAATCATATATAATGAAATTATATGCCTTCAATGCAAATCTATTACGAGATTCTTGAGAAATTCCCCCTCTTCTTAATTCTTCTAGGAAAGAAGAATAATCATTCGGATCGCTTAATACTGTAACTCTAATATGATTTTTTGCTGCTGCCCTGAGCAATGTTACACCACCGATATCAATTTTTTCTATTGCTTCTGCAACTGTTATATTTTGTTTTAAAATTGTTTCTTTGAATGGATACAAATTACATATGACGTAATCGATTTTATCAATATTAAACAGTTCCAGTTCTTTTTCGTCTGATTCTAAATCACGAGCAAGAATTGCTATATATATTCTAATACGAATTATTATTTTACTGAAGAAATACCTCCAAATATGAGTGGATGGAGTGTTTTTACTCGTCCTCCAAGAATTTCTGGATAATTGGTAACTGAACTCACTTCACTTATTATATAACTTAAAAATACTTTTTTGAATTTACTTATAAATTTACCTGATATCATATCCTGCATCTCGTATCATTTTTGAAGTTCCTCCTGTTCCTAATAATTTGATATTCTAAAAAGATTCAGTTTACTTCATAAATATTGTTTAGATTTACATGTTGTGTTAAGCCTTTTACAAGATCAAAAAGTCCAGTTTTATCATAAACACTTAAAATAGCTAAAATAGTAATTATTGAAAAAATCAAGTAAATGATATTTTTTGTACCTATCTTTTTTTTCTCCATTAAATGTTCTTGAATATATAAGAATATAATGAATTATATGATTTAATGATATTTTAAAGATTTTAGAACATAATTCTGAAAAAAATATCGAAAATTTAAAAAAATCAACGCTTAAAAAAACAATCTGAAAAAGCACCCTTTTGAAGTTTGATATTTTTTAGTATATCAGGCTTAGGAAAGCTGTGGTCGTAATATGATTGTAAATATATCATTTAGTGAAATGAACAATTGGTGATGGGTGAACTTTTAAGATAAATGTTAGATGAAAAAAAGTTCAATTCCTGATTGTATATATTATTAAATAATATTCATAAGCACACGTAATTTTTTAGGGATAAAGTATATATATAATATTTTCAGTGTAAATGAATAATATAAAATGTTTTGAAAATTAGAAAAATATATTTTTTTATGATACATGTTTTGTATTGTATATTACATAGTTTTACAGAAATAGTTTTATTTAGCATATTTTTGAATGTCTTGAGTTTTTTCCTTATGTTATTTGTGCTTCATTACGTTGTTATGTTAAGTATGTTTTGGTTTTTGCAAAATTATAAACTCTTTTAATGCTATGCTTCCAAAGAAATCTAAGAAAAACAAAAATAAACGTATCTGTCAATCTTGCTTGTGGAATGTCATTAATATCTAATAGCCATTTTGTTCCATCAGCGTTAATAAAATATACGGAATTATCAGGCTCCACAATAAATGTTTGTCCAGTTTTTTGGTTTATGACTTTCCTTCTCCCGGAATTAGATTTATATGTCATATTACGTCCACGTGCTGCGTATCTTGCTGATGAAATATAGTATTTTATACGATTTCTATTACGTGTAGCGTTTAATTTGGAAGCTATATACTGAAAGCTTGAAAAGATTATAAGAAGGATTAAGAGAACAAAACTAAAACCGGGTCTATATCTGGAATAATAGTACCCACTGCCTTTCCTAAATTAAAAAAAAAAAAAAAAATTAGAGAAAAATTGTATTTTTAATAATTATAAATTTTTACCATTTTGGAAACCCGTTTTTATAGAAAAAGTCATATCTTTTTTTACTTTCATCATTTCTTAAAATGTTTGCAATTAATCCTAGCTTTGAAAATCTTTCTTGTGAAATTTTGTAGGATTTTTTATCTTTAATTTTATCTGGACTATATTTGGTTAGATTGGAAGGTTAATTAGAAAGCTATAGATAATGATTTGAATATTTATAGCTTTAATGGAATACTTACTGCAATTCTAATGCTTTTTGACGGTATGCTTTGTTTATTTCATCAATTTTGGAGTTTGGGCCTTTCTTAAGATCTAAAAAAGAATAAAAAGTTGTTCCTTTTCCTTCTGTTTCTTCCAAAGAAGATACAATATTAAAAATTTCATAATCAATATTAGACCATTGAGCATTAATTTTAAAAATGTAGATTGAATGGATTAAAAAAACCATATATATATGAAATTTCATATCTTTCAAATATTTGATCAATTTTCGAATGAAAAAAATATGAGTAAAATTTAAGTCTTTTGGTTAAAATATGAAACATTCTATATAATCATCTTTGTTATTTTCGAAGATTTATATGATGATCTAATTTTATAAGAAAATATATATTGATTTTTAATTAGAATCTGTTTTTATATATTGTTTTAAAATATTAAAAAAGGTTTTATTATAAAAAGTTTATAAAAAATAAAGTATTGTATATTGATATAGAATTGTATTAATTTTAATTGTCATATATTTAAATGTTTAATTTTATTGTGAAAATTTAAATTTTTGGTCATAACTATTTCGTAATTTGGTAGAAAAATAGTTTAATTTTTGATTATTTAAATTTTTTTTAGATTTTTTTGATTAAATGTTCTATGAGATGCTTCTTTTGCTTTTATTTGTAGAAATATTGAATATTATACTTATCAGAAGTATACGTATATAATTTTATATAATTTTTTTATTTTTATTTATTTTTATTTATTTTTATTTATTTTTATTTATTTTTAATATTTTTAGTCTTATATAATTTTTCATTTATTTTAATTTTATTTTATATATTTAGAGTAGCCGCTTATGTGGTTTATATGTGGATGTATTTTAATTGTTAATAATAAAGATTTTTGAAGTAGAATATTTCGTGGATAGTTAGACGTATTATTTTTGTTGTGTATTTAGATAAATTTGAATTGATAGATTTCTAATAAATTTAGCATTGTTTTTAAATAGTATTGATAAGAATAATTCTAAAATATTGTTGAGAAGTGTGGTTTTAGATTTTATGTATCTTAAAACTATATTAATGTTTTAAATGTATTGAAATTCGTAAAAAAATGTTTTAATTTTATAATGATGATTTTATATAGTTTAGAATTAAAAAAAATATAATAGCATGAAAAATTGTAAGATATAGCAATGTCAAGTAAATAATTAATATATGGATATTTTAGATAAAAATTAATGATATATACATTAACTTCTAAGCATCTCCGTCTTCAAAAGCACATGCCACTGGAGGTTCTAATAAAATAGAATGACCTATGATAGTTATACTACTAGCACCAATAATGGAAAGAATTGTTGATATAGGAGAAGCAATAAATCCAAGGGGAATGGCAATAATAAGTAATGCTTTTGAGATTACTAAAAAGAAAAATAAATTCAAATATGATATTTACCTGTATATAGCTGTGAAGGTGTTAAATGAAATGATCCTATGTGAAGATTTTGACCATTAAGGCGGTTTATGCCAAATAGGCCACCTGTAACAAATAAAAGAACAAAGAGTAATAATGGATTTGTAAGCAAAAAGTAAAGAACAATTAGGCCAAAGCAAATAGCATAGTTAGATGAAAATCGTGAAAGATTATAACGCATACGCTATTGATGATATTTATAACACTAAAATATAAAGAAAAAATTACCTGTTGTACATCAACAATACTTCCTGGCCATGCAAGTCTTCGGAAATCAAGAAATTCTATATGTATGTATAAGGCTTTGTTAGGAAAAAAAAAGTAGAAAGACCTTTGAAGGACTGAAGATTGACAAATCTTTCTTTCTAATAAAGCTTAAAAAATCTTTAAATAAAGGTAAAAGTATACGTGAAAATTTTGCAAGCTTCCTATGTGATTTCTAAATATATTCATTCCAAAATCCATAAATTTCTGTTTAGATAAATAATATTAAAAATTATTGAATCAAGAATAAATTTGGAAAAATGTAGGATTAAAAAGAAATGTAGGAAATATAGTCGAATTGTATTTATGTGTATAATACAATTTAAGTAACTTAGTAAATAAAGATGTTTTGAATTTTATAATTTTTCTTAAAATTTGAATTGTTTCGGATTTCTTGAGCTTTTATATAAAAATAATGTATTTTATTAATAAATAAAAAGTATAAATATATCAAATGAAACCTATATTGTTTATACTAAAATGAAGATTAATTCTTTATGTTGTTAAGAATAAATATTTAGATTTTTATAAAGTATTAAAGGAAATATTGTTTTAATAATAAAAATTAAGTTTCTATATTAATCGAAAAAGGGTAGTTTCAAGGAATACTAAAGTGCTAAATCAGTTTAAGTTATTAAGTTTTAAGCTTAAGCAGGAAAATAAAATTAGAATCCCTTAAATAAATTTTCTTTTTAGGAAATAGAGAATTAATTGGATAAGTGTTTTCTATTTAACTATAAAAGGAAAGTGATAGGGTCTCAAACGGAAAAAATAATGAGATTGAAAGATTTTCTGATTAATCATTTTTAGGGGTATTAATTGTAAAAGTATATTAATATTATCTTAAATAAAAAGGTTATTTTTAAATTAAAGAATATTAAAATTTTCGAGATCTTTGTTTAAAATATATAGTTTTTGCACTTTTTTTATTCAATTCTTTTAGCTTTTGTTTCTTATACTATCAATTGAATTTCATTGGTAAATTATTATTTGATAGTACAATTAGGGTTTTTAGTAATTCATCTGAAATTGATCTTGCCAATTCTTTGGATTAATTTCTTAGTAATAAATCGTTTATAATGCTTCAATTTAGTGTATTAGCTTTTTTCATTGGAGGTTTAGTTAGTCCTACCATGGTAATAAATATAGGATATATTTTAATGGAAATCATTTTTATAAGAATATACATTTTGAATCGGATATAATGCATTTATTTATTAGATAATTTATATGTTAGTTTCATATATTTAAATAAGTATATATGGATTCTTATTAAAAAATCAATAAAAAAAAATATTTTTATTTCTTAATTTATTTCGTATATGGAATATAAAGACATTAAAATATTCTGTTCTTATTTTGTTTTATGTAAAATATAGTTAATTTTGATATTTATCTTTTTGTATTTTGACCTGCTTTATATTGCTAAATGATTAAAATTAATAGTTTGTATAATGTATTTGACTAATATAATAAATCAAATTTTCTTATATTCTAATTTATCTTCAAGACGTTTGGCTTCTGCAACTTTTCGGACAGCCTTCATAAGATCATTTTGAATGATATAGTCTCTATCATCACGAATAGCAAAAAAGCCTGCTTCTGTAATAACATTACGAAGATCTGCGCCATTAAAAGAATCTAAGTTATAAGTATAAATTAGAAAAAAAATATAGAAAATACCTGATAATTTTACAATTGCCTCATAATCTATTTCGCCTTGTTTTTGAATATCTTGTGCATGAATTTTAAGAATTTCAAGGCGTCCTTGTTCATTAGGAAGAGGTATCTCAATTTTACGATCAAGACGGCCAGGTCGAAGTAAAGCAGGATCAAGAGTATCAGGACGATTAGTAGCCATAATAATTTTTGTTTGCCCTGAAATGTTAACAATATACAATGAGAATTTATGTATAAAAGATATACCAAGATAATCAAAACCATCCATGCAATTTAGGAGCTCCATGAGAGTTCGTTGAATTTCTCGATCTGCCGATGTGCCTTCTGAAAATCGACGGCCACCAATGGCATCAATTTCATCCATAAAAATTATACATGGTTCATGTTCTTTTGCATAACCAAACATTTCTCTAATTAAACGGGAGGATTCGCCTATATATTTATCAACAATAGCTGATGAGACAACCTTTAAAAAATTTGTTTCTAATGATGATGCTACAGCTCTAGCAAGCAGCGTCTTCCCTGTTCCTGGAGGACCGTATAATAAAACACCTTTAGGTGGTTTAATACCTACTCGGCGAAAAAGTTCCGGGTTTTTGAGTGGTAATTCGATAACCTAAGTTTAATGTTAAGACTTTAAAAAAATATTAGCAAATAAAAACCTCTCTTAGTTTTCGAATTTGTTCATCAAGCCCACCAATATTAGTAAAATTCATTTTTCCAGGATCCTCGAGAGACATATTATAAACAAGAGGATCTACTTCACGTGGTAATATGCGCATAATAGTAAGAGTAGTCATATCAAGAGAAACCCGGACCCCTTGCTTCAATTTATCTTTACAGACACTTGTCCTGCAACTGACAACATATCGTGGTCCGCTAGATGCTTTTACAATAAAACGTTCTATTTATATTAATTACATATATAAAATGTTTCCGCTATTTTCCTTCATCTAACTGTTTTAGAACTTCTCCGATTATTTGGCCAACTGACTGTAATGCTTTAATGTCTTCTTCTGTTTTTGCATAAGTTTTTTTTTGTTCTCCGATTGTTTTGCGTACTTATCTCATTAGTTTTTTATTAAAATTTTAATTTATTTAGGAAAATTCATACATTTTTTCAGCTTTGAATCCCATTCTTTATGTTCTATAAGTTTTTGTTTAAATGAATTTATTGCTTCCTCTTTTTGTTGTATGTTTTCCATTAATTTTTAATAGTATGAAACATCGAACCACAAAATTTAGCTTTAAAATATATATTAAATTATTATATAATTCCATGAAATATAAGTGTCAATTTTTTTGTATTTGAACTTTATATTGACGATACAATCAAAATAATATATACATAATTTGTATTTTTAATAAATTTCGTTTGTAATAAGAAAATATTTATTACAAAAATGGTTAAATTATACTGCAATTTTTAAAATAAAAAACATTTATATAGTTTTATCAAAGTTTTTTTGGTATTTTTTATTTTATTATAATGATATTTTTAATGATTATTTAAAAAAATAATAGAATATATTTTTTGAAAATTTTTAATACAAATCATTTAAAATAATTATATTAAATGTGTTTTATTCCTGTCACTATGACTTTCACTTTTCAATATGTGGAGAAATTAGTAAAATGTTTTATTAAAATATGAAATTATGATATTCATGTTAAATGATAAAATGTTTTCATTAAAAATAATAATATTCTGTTTTGGTTATATAATATTTGATATTTTAGTGATTATAATGTTGATTTTTTAACTTTGAAATATAATGAAATAAATTTTAATTGTAATTTAGAATAAATATTTGAAGATATTATTTAAATATTTTTTATATTTTGTAAACAATTAAAATAGATTCTCGAATTTGAATTTATGAATCATGATGTTTAAAATTTATGAAATTTACCATAAAAAAATTATTGTAATATTAAATTTTTAAAGTAATATTTTTCTATTCAGTAAGCTTTCGAAGCAGTGTCTCCGTGGCCAAGCGGCTAAGGCGTGGGATTGCAGATCCTAAGATCGTTGGTTCAAATCCGACCGGGGACTATTTTTAACGATTTGAAAACGTAAGACTTGGGAAATTTAGTGTTGGTTGAGTATAAAAGAAAATAGTATATAAATGTAATTTGGTAAAAAAACACTACTTATAATATTTATTAATGCTTTTATGTAATTATATTGTTTTAGGCATTATAATCTTAAAATTATTAAAACACAGTTTTTATGTTGATAAATTGAAATGTACAATTTATTAATAATAAATGATATAATATTTTATTTTATAATTTTACTATGATTGTAACGAAAATAAATACATTTTTAAAAGTTAAATTATTTTTTTTTTAATATTTTCTTTGTATAATTTATAGTTAAAATTAGTGAAATATAGTGATTAAGAAAAATACCTCCAATTATATTAATTTCCAAGATATTAATACAAGTTTTTATTAATAATTCATATTTTTATGAAAACAATTTGATGGAATTGCAAAACATTAATCATATTGTTTTTGATTTTAGGTTATTTTAATTTTATATTTTATTGTATTAAATTTATTTTATCTATAAATAAATAGTATGAAATATTTAAGACAAAATATTTAATAGCGATATTTTAATGTGTTAATTTTTTGGATTTTTTTACAATTAAAAATATCGCTGAAAATTAAAACATAGTATTATTAAAAAAAGTTATGGGAATTCTTAAAATTCATGCAAGATCTATTTATGATTCACGAGGTATGGATATTATATTATGGTTTGATTTTTTTTAAATTATAATTTTCTAGGTAATCCTACTGTTGAAGTAGAAGTGACTACAGAAACAGGGATTCATCGGGCAAATGTACCCTCAGGAGCTTCAACAGGAATTCATGAAGCTTTGGAATTACGTGATAATGGTTCTTCTTGGTGTGGAAAAGGTTTTTGATTTTTATTTTTTTGATGTATGACAAATTAATAGAATTTTATAGGTGTTACTCTTGCGGTTTCTAATGTTAATGATATCATTGCCCCTTCTCTTTTATCTGCAGGCATTGATGTTAAAGATCAACGTTCTATAGATAAATTTCTTAATGATCTTGATGGTACTTCTAATAAATGTAATTTACAAAAATATTTTGTTTTTTTATTTATATGTTTTCAGCAAGACTTGGAGCTAATGCTATTCTTGGTGTTTCCATTGCTATTTGTAAGGCTGCTGCTGCTGAAAAGGTTTACGATTGTTCATCATGTATTGCTTTATGTTTATTATATTTTTAGGGTGTTCCTCTTTATCGGCATTTTGCTGATATTGCTGATACTAAAGAGCCATTTATTCTTCCTGTTCCATATTTTAATGTACTTAATGGGGGATCACATGCTGGTGGAAGGTTAGCTTTTCAAGAGTTTATGATTCTTCCTACTAGCGCTGTTACATTTCAAGAAGCTATGCAGCAAGGCTCTGAGGTCTATTCTGCTTTAAAAAAGCTTTCTAAAAAGAGATATGGACATTCTGGTAGGGAATTTTTATTATTTTTTTTTTTTTTAAATTAGTATTGTAAGCTGGAAATGTTGGTGATGAAGGCGGTGTTGCTCCAGATATTCAAACAGCTGATGAAGCCCTTGATCTTATTGTTACTGCTATTGAAGAAGCTGGTTATACTGGAAAAATAAAAATTGCATTAGACGTTGCTGCTAGTGAATTTTATAAAAATGGAAAATATGATTTAGATTTTAAAAATCCTGAAAGCGATCCTTCTCAACATAAAACTTCTAAAGAACTTGCAGATATTTATTTAGATCTTTCTAATAGGTATCCTATAGTTTCTATTGAGGATCCTTTTGATCAGGATGATTGGAATGCTTGGATTTATTTATCTAAACATGCTACGTTTCAAATTGTTGGGTAATATATTATATTTTTTGTATTTATTTCTTTAATATAATAGTGATGATTTGACTGTTACAAATGTTTCTCGAATAAAGGAAGCTGTTGATAAAAAGGCTTGTAATTGTTTGCTTTTGAAAATTAATCAGATAGGAACCATTTCTGAAAGTATCAACGCTTGTAAAACAGCTTTTGATGCTGGTTGGGGAGTTATGGTATTGTTTATATTTTATTTATTAATTTATATACATATATTAGGTTTCTCATCGTAGCGGCGAAACTGAAGATACTGTTATTGCTGATCTTGTTGTTGGTCTTGGTACTGGTCAAATTAAGACTGGTGCTCCATGCCGTTCAGAGCGTGTAGCAAAATATAATCAGCTTTTAAGGATTGAAGAAGAGGTATATTTAAATATATTTATTATACTGGCTAACAATTTAGCTTAACCATTCTGTTTATGCTTCTGTGAATTACATTAAAAATATTAAATAATATATCTATTATTTTCTGTGATTCTGATACATTTTTGTTAGATAGAATGATATAGATATATTAAAAACTATGTTTGTGTTTTTTGTCTTAATCTTTTGATTTCAAAAAATTTGATTCCATTTTTTGCATTTTCATTTTTGAACCATCTCCCTAGTCTGTTTTCTTTTCCTATAGCCGCGATAACCCTAATTCCATTTTCTGCTTTTTTTCCTCTTTCAGTTACACATAATCTATTTATAATACCGTTGATTGGTAGTATATTTTCTGTTATTAAAGAAAAACTTTTCAAATCGGATGATAATTTCCAAAGTTTAATATAACCATCCCATGAACCTGATAAAAATATATCGGAGTAAGGAAGTGAAGTTAATGAAGTAATCCATCGAGGCTTATGAAAAGGAAGAAATGATGTATCAAGCTCCGCTGAATATTGAGATGATTTTAAAGAATCATAACCATGAGCACAATATATAGTAAAAATAGGTTTTCTTTTATAGATAGACCATAAACATATGTTTCTATTAATATAAGATTAAAAAAAAAAAAAAAAAAATTACCCATTATCTGATCCAGTTAAAAAATGATTTTCATCAATCATTGTGACACAGTCTATGCTTCCTTCTTGAGATTCGTTATTTTTCTTATCTTCTCTCTTAAAAATCATTTGAGATTCTTCTGCAATTTTCCATAATCTTGCAGTTCTATCTCTAGAGCCAACACTTACGCATCTTTCTAAAGAAAGTGATGCAATATCAGGAATTGCTTCCTGATGCCCAAAAAGTGTTTGTATGTATGCCATTTCATCAAGTGACCAAAATTTAATTGTTCTATCTGAAGAGCATGAATACAATTGATTTGTACCTTTACGAAATGCTAAAGCCTGTATATTATTTGTTTAGATTTGACAATAATAAACGTTAATATGACAAACCAAAACAGAGCCTCGATGATGTTTAAATGTGCAAATGATATTTAATGTTGATGAATTTCTTACAACAATGCGTTTATCCTTTCCACATGTAACAACACAATTACCATCACCACTAACTTTAACATCTGTAATTTCTGAAATATGCCCTTCAAAGGATTCATCATTTCTTTTTCCACCTAATGCATATGCAAGCTTTTTTGGGTTATTAATATCAGATATGTCCCATTTTTGTAAAAGACCATCTTTAGAAACAGAATAAATATAATTCTCATAGGTATCAACCGATGTTACTGAAAGTTTATGTCCTTGAATAAAATTAGATGACGGTTGTTCATAAATTTCAAGATCATCTGCAATATATAGATATATCTTTCTTTTATGTTCTATCTGAAGATAAATTATTAAGATCTATTTATATAAATTATGAATACTATATTCTCGTTTAATCTTTCAGATATTAAATCCTTATCAATATTTTTTGCATCAAAATCATAGTCTCCTAATTAATATTATAAATACAACATTTAAATTAAATTAAGAAAAAATACCTACTTCTGTTTGTATTTTTTGAATATATTGTTTCGCTAATTTAAGGCGTTTTCTTGTAATAGATTCATCATCTGAACTTAAATACTTATTTATATTATGTTCTATATTATTTTCTAAATTAGTATTTTCATTTTTTTTTTTATTTTCATCTGAATCATAGTTTTTATTAAAATATCTTTTTTTATTAATAGTTTCTTTTTTTTTAAGATGCAATTTCTGCCAAATATTTAATGATTCCATAAAAGATGAATTATTTCATAATTTATAATTTTCTATAATATTTTTTTAAAACTTAATTTTTAAATGTTTCGGTCAAATATTGATAATTTTACGAAAAAATACTTTTAAATGATAAAAAATGGATTGTATATTAGCATTGAAGGGAAAAGGTATGGGAAAAAAATGCTGCTTTTTGATGATTTGATATTTTAGAATATGTGCTTACAGCGTCGAACAAAGCATTTGTTCGGGGAATTACTGTTCTTAATGATTCAGACGATAAATCAAAGTGTTTAAATCTTCATAATCTTCTTTTATATTCTGGAATGGAAGGTGATGTACTAAATTTTTCAGAATATATTCAGGTTTTTATATTATGAAATAATTTAAGTGTTATTAATTTGAAGGCAAACGTTCAGCTTTATGAAATGAAGAATGATATTGAATTAAATACTAAAGCAGTTGCTAATTTTATTTGGAAGGAGTTGGCCGATAGTTTGAGATCACGTGTATGTTTTTTACTAAAGTTTGATGATGATTTTGAAAAAAAATAGAAGCCATATGGTGTTAACCTTCTTTTAGCTGGATATGATATTGTTTCTAGATCGGTACAACTTTATTTTCTAGATTATCTTTCTACTTTTTCAACTGTTCCATATGCATGTCATGGTTATGGGAGTTATTATGTATTGTCTTTATTGGATAGATATTATCAACAAGACATTACTTTAGATGATGGATTAAAATTATTAAAAATGTGTTTAGATGAAATGAAAATGAGGCTTCCTATTGATTTAAAAGGTTTTGTAATAAAACTAGTTGATAAAAATGGTATTTCTATTATCGATGATTAAAGAAAAAAATCATTATAATCCAATATAAAATATTTAACTAAAAATGTTGTTTTATAACTTTTAGATTAAATTTATAATATGTAGTATATAAATTAGTTATATATTTCGTAATGATATATATGTTTAAATGCACTTGTTTTTATGAGCTTATGATTTTTTTTATTTTTTGAGATTTTCATTTTTTTTGGATTACTTAATGGTAATTTTTCTACGTTTTATTTTTTTGTATAATATATTTTATTGCTTAAGAATAATTATTTAGTATAAATGTTATTCTTATATAATATTGTGTTTATTTGTATTCTGATGATATAATTAAATCATTTATTAATGATAATACAATTGCATTAAGATCTGAAATAATGTTTTTAATGTTAATACCATTGTATTATTTATATATACGTGTATATGTAATCATTATTTAAGCTAATAGTAAATATTTTTAAAGTTCATTTGCATGTATATGATATCTTTGAGAATTTGTAAATTGTAAAACTATGTAATCGAAAAAATAGTATTTGTATTTAAATATTATGAAATTATATAAGGATTTGTAATTAAGAATGTATATTTTTTGAATCTTTATATAAATTGTCTTTTTAGTTTAATCATAATAATTGGTTAAAAAAAAATATATATTCATGAAAATAAATATTATTATATAAAGAATGTAATAGGAATTTTGAAATGAAAATAGAAAAAAATATGGATTTGTATTTATTATGTTTTTTTATTTTAATTTCACGTTTTTTATTGTCATAAACGTTTGTTAGACATATTTTTTATTGTTTTTTTTTCTCTATAGTTTTGATAAATTATATGTAATTTTACCTAAGAAATATAGTATATATGAAGTGTTTGATTTTTATAACCCTTATTGGGATGTTTATATTCCAATGCTTTGCAGCAAAAGGACCTTTGATTACGAATATGTAAGTTTTATGTTTATAAATACAATATTTAGTTTTGAAATTTAGTGTGTTTTTTGATGTTGAGTATGGTGGAAAATATCTTGGTAGAATTGAATTTGGATTATATGGAAAAACTGGTTTAATTTTTCGTCTTGTTTTCATATGTTTATGTTTTTGCTAGTTCCTAGAACTGTAGAAAATTTCAGAGTACTTTCTACTGGCGAAAAAGGTTGAATTTAATAATTCTTTTCATAATATTTGTTTATCTTAAATAGGATATGGATATCAAGGATCTAAATTTCATCGTGTGATCAAGAATGTAAGATTAATTCTTTTATATACATGATATTTTTAATTGTAAAAAGTTTATGATTCAGGGTGGTGACTTTACTCGTGGCGATGGTACGGGAGGTAAATCAATTTATGGAGGTTTGTTTGAAGTAATATGTAGCTTGTAATTAATCATAGTTGAAAGATAAATTTTCGGATGAAAATTTTAAATTGCGTCATAGAAAACCCGGTATTTTATCTATGGTTATTTGTAATTGCTATAAAAACTTCTTAGTAATATTTATTAGGCTAATGCTGGAAAGGATACAAATGGCAGTCAATTCTTTATTACAACTGTTGAAACACCATGGCTTGATGGGAAGCATGTGGTATTTGGAGAGGTTATTAATGGTTTTGATATTGTTAAGAAAATCGAGGGCTGTAAAACAACTTATAATGATAGGCCAGAAGTTGATATTGTAATTATAAAATCAGGTGAACTTCATGTAAATGAGCCTTTTCATAGAGAATTATAGTTAATCTGTCTATCATTCTATTGTATTTTTTTTATAAAAATTATGGGAAATCATGAATTTTAAAAAAAAAAAAAAAAAAGTTTAATGATATAGTTTGAATTTTGGCTGAATGTGTTGTATATTTTTTTTTTTATAAACGGGCTTTTTTTTTATAATTTATATGATTTATTCATATAATTGTATTCGTAAGTATATGTAATTATAATAAGACTGTATATATAATAGAATCAAATTGAACATTGTTAACTTTTCGATAATATGTTGTATATTTTTGTATATTTTAATAAATAGATATATATATTTAATTAAAATATAAAAATCATATAAAATAATGATAAATATATTGAAAATGTATATTTTTGCTGCTTATGTGAAATATAAATATTATTAATTTTTAATCATTTTTTGTATTTAATTTTATCGTTTATTTTTTTGATTTTTAGATAAATAGAAAAAAACTTTATTATTCATGATAATTTGTTTTATAACCTGTAAGTTTAATATAAAGAAAAAATCTATGATTATAAATTTAATAATTATTTCTAGAATATAACATTAAAAAAAATCAAATATGGCAAAAATGAAAAAGACAAGATATATATCTGTAAAAAGAATGATTAGCTCACATGAACAAAGTCTGTATGTGATTTTTTTTGATTTTATTTATTGATGTTTACTTTTTCTACTAGAAATAAATCTAGTAAAAAGAAAAGTGAATCTGAAATATCAAAAAGCGATTTTATTCATGAGATGTAAGAAATTATTTATGAATGGAAAATAATAATAATAATGATAGCCCACGAGTTTCTTCATCGTTGTTCTTTCAATATAATAAGTCTTTAGGCCCTCCTTATCATGTTTTAGTGGATACGTAAGATAATATGTTTTTGAATTATTTATTTAATAATCTAGAAATTTTATTAATTTTTGTATAAAAAATAAAATAGATATTATAAAGGGAATGATGGATTGTTTATATGCAAAATGTATTCCATACATCACTGATTGTGTTATGGGTGAACTCGAAAAACTAGGTAGTAAATTCAGAATAGCATTAAGGTTAGTATTTTGTTTATTTATAAACATTGATAATTATGTAAATAGAATTGCTCGTGATCCATGTTTTGAGAGATTACCATGTTCTCATTTTGGTATTTATGCTGATAATTGTATAATTTCCAGAATAATGCAAAATAATTGTTATATCGTTGCTACTAATGATAAAAATCTTAAGGTTCTTATACGTAAAATCCCTGGCGTGCCAATTATGTATGTTGGAAATCATAAATTAAAAGTTGAAAGACTTGTAGGTCTTGATTAGTTTGATATATATTATCGATTTTTTATTGTCAATTTTTTTATTATAGAAATAAATATTATTTACATATTTAATCCAAAGATTTGTACAATTATTAAATTAAGCTTATTAAATAATAAATATTATTAATAATAATTTTTTAAAATTTAAGAAATATATTTTAAAATTGATTGTTTAAAAATCATAATAGATATTAAACAATAAAAATATGAATGTTAAATACTATTATCTATAAATTAGATAATGATAATAGTTCATTAGAATATATTTTCTATATTTATCAACTTTGAATTAGCATTTAATAAATATAAAAATTAATATTATAGAAATATTTTGATGTTGAATTATAATTTTAAATAAAAGATTTGCATATAAAATGCATAAAATTGTATTTTTTTTTAAAAAAAATATAACATATATATATATTGATTTATAAAATCATTAATATTATGTTTTACTATAAAGTATTTTTTGGTTTAAAATATAATCTATATAGTCCACTAATTGTACCAATTGCTGGTTTTCTTTCGTTTCCATTGATTAACATTTTTTCACGTAAATTTTTTAGCATTTTTTCTCGTTTGGATAACTCAAAACTTTCACCTGATTTTTTCGAGTTAATTATAACATCAATATTATACCCTTTTTCTAAAGATCTTGTAGCAGTTCTAAGCCGATGTTTTATGTCATGCTCATCTATATTCCAGTTAATTTGTAAAACTTTTACAATATTCCGACAGTTTTTCACTTTGACTTTTTTAATAGATTTATTTTTTTCTAATCTAGATAAATTTATTTTTTTATACAAAATTTATAGATTGGTGATTTAACATACGAATTATTATATGGTAAACTGCATTTTGATTCATCATAATTAAACACATCCTTAATTATTATAGATTCGTCTATTTTTCTAGTATTAATATGTTGATTTTTTTTAAATATCATATTTTGGGTAAATATATTTAATAATTTTGAAAATGTAAATATATATCTTTTTATATAAAAAATGTATAAAACTCGTGTACAGTTAGACATTAGATTAATATACATGCCTAATGTCACAAAGGTTATTTTTATATTTTTTATTTAATTTTTAGAAATTGTCGAAAAAATATATATTATCTTGTATCGATTAATATTTTAATGAAATTAAATATATTTATATAGTTATAGTCAAAAATATCTAATTTAGAAATCTAAAATATTCTAACGAATATTTCTAAAAAAAAATGTATAATTATATTTATATCATTTGAAATATATATATCATATATTATATGATATTTAAATCTTCTAAGAATCTAGATAAACATAATTATATTTTGAATCATTTCTATTCAATTATATTATTTTTTAAAAATATATATATAAAATTATTGCAATATAACATTTTGAATTAAAAAAAAAAAAATATTAATAATTTAAAATACTTTTATTTTTTAAAATACAAATATTAGATAAAAATTACATATTTCACAATTAGCATAACTTTTAAGAAAATCTATTATTAATTATTTATCCTAAGGATACTATAATTATATTTAATTTTAGTTTTACGTTGCAATTTTTAAATTTAAAAAACGAAATATATTATTTAAATATTAAAAAAAAATACGATACAAAACATCTTAATTATAAAAAATCAAAACTGCAAATATTTAGATATAATTTATAATAAAGAAAAAATAATGCCATCAGTTTTACCAGAAATTTTAGTAAATATTCAAAAAAATCCAGATCATATTAGAAATATATGTTTATTAGCACATGTTGATCATGGAAAGGAAAGAAAATATTTATTATATTATCTTATTGTAAAGCTAAAAATAGACCACATTAGCTGATAGACTTATTGCTTCTAATCTTATTATTTCAAACAAAATAGCAGGAACTATAAGATATTTAGATAATAGAGATGACGAGATAACAAGAGGAATAACAATGAAGGTATATACTGTTTCATAAATAATTCTATAATAGACTAAAATAAAAAGTCTAGTGCAATTTCATTGTATGCAAAAATAATAAAAAAAGACGAATCTAGTAAGCTCATTAAAGATTTAATAGATAATTTAATACTTAAAACCATTTAAAGATTCAGAATATATGATTAACCTCGTCGATTCACCAGGACATATAGACTTCAATTTTGAAATTTCAGCAGCATCAAGACTATGTGATGGAGCTTTAATTATCATTGACGTAATTGAAGGTTGTTGTAGTCAAGTATATATCCATTTCTATTTAATGCTATATTCACCATTTTTATTTAGACAATATCAATGCTCCGACATGCATGGACAGAAAAACTAAAACCAATATTGATATTTAATAAAATCGACAGATTTATTCTAGAGTTACATCTTTCTCCTGAAGAAGCATATTCAAATTTACTACAACTATTAAACCATGTAAATGCTATTATGAGCACATTTTTTACAGAAGATAATTTAAAAAATCTTGAAAGAAATGAACTATTGGAAAATCAAGAGACTAATAACACTAATAATATTGTTCCACCCTCATACGATAAGACTGATAAAGATTTGTATTTTTCACCAGAAAAAGGAAATGTTATTATTTCTAGTGCTATAGACGGTTGGGCATTTAGAATAAATCAATTCTCAGAAATATACGAAAAAAAGCTAGGAATCAAACAGTCCATATTAAATAAAGTCCTATGGGGATCTTTCTATTTGGATCCAAAAACGAAAAATATTTTGCAACCAGAAGATTTAAAAGGGAGAAATCTTAAACCAATGTTTGTTAAACTCATTTTAGAAAATATATGGACTATATATCATTCAATTATTTTAAATAAGTATAATTAAATCTTAATAACACTAATATTTCTTATTTTTCAATATAGAGATCAAAATAAAATCGAAAAAATAATTAGTAATCTTGAACTGAAAATTCCTCACCGGGAAATTATTTCAAAAGATTCTAAGTGCCTTCTTACATCAATATTTTCACAATGGCTTCCACTATCAACCTCAGTTATACTTTCTATTATTGATCAAATACCTTCTCCAAAAAAATCTCAAAAACTGCGTCTATCTCATATAATAGAACATAGCCCTAATTTTGACTTAGTACCATCTTATATATATAATTCAATTATGGAATGCTCTACTAATAACTTATCACCAGTTATAGGCTATGTCAGTAAATTAATCCCTATACCTATTAAAGAGCTCCCTAAAGATAAAAAAATATATACAAAGCTAGAAAATGAAAATCAAGAAATTCAAATAAAAATTTCAGAAAAGGATTCACCGCTATGTGAAACATATGTTTTAGAATCATCACCTGATTATATTTTAGAAAAGAATAATTACAACTCATTAGAACATACCAAACATTTTGAAAAAAACTATTTTATAGGTTTTACAAGATTATATAGTGGAATCATAAATATAGGACAGGAACTATATGTTTTCAAACCAAAATACGACCCAAAAACACCGGAAAAAAATATCTCTAAAATTATAGTTTCTAATCTATATTTACTTATGGGAAAAGAATTAATACAAATAGAAAAAGTTTATGCAGGTAATATATTTGGGATTGGAGGGTTAGAAGAGAGCATTATCAAAAATGGAACCATATCATCTCTACCTATTAGCTATAATTTAGCTAGCATTATAAATGACGCACCTATTGTTAGAGTAGCTCTTGAACCTACATCTCCTTCAGATATGCAAAAGCTTACAGAAGGCCTTAAATTACTTAATCAATCAGACCCATGTGTTCAAATACAGCATCAAGATTCAGGAGAACATATAATTTTAGCAACAGGTGAACTTCACCTTGAAGTAAGTTTTTTTTATGTATAATACAACGATAAAATTCTATAGAAATGTTTAAAAGATTTATGTGAAAAATTTTCGAAAATAAATATACATGTTTCAAAACCTATTGTCCCATTTCGAGAAACTATAGTAAAACTAAAAGGTAAAACAAAACGCATTTTATAAATTTTATTAATATATTTATGGATTTAACACTTTTTAAAGAAAATAATGTTCCAAAAGGCATAGTAGAAGTTTCAGTACCTTTAACTAATATAAAAATAAAACTTAGAGTTTATCCCTTACCTAAAGATATTACAGAATATATATATTCATTTTCGAAAGTCATAAAAGATGCATATTTATACATTGAAATTGCGGATTCATCAATTACTAATCGTCTAGACACAAATTTTACTAATAATTTTAAATTAGATAATTTTAAGAAACAATTATTTGAAAAATTGAATTCAACAGAAAAAACAGATATAGACTGGACAAAAGTATATGAAAGGTTATATTTCAAACGAAATTTGAAGTCTTATTTAACAATATTACAGAATTGTTGCATTTGGTCCTAATAAAACCGGACCAAACATATTGATTGATAATACAGGGAAATTAAGAAAACTGTCAGTTTTATAAGTATATTTGAAAATACAAGCTAAATCTAATCAGATTTATTAACAACACATTTATAGCAAAAAATTTAAATATTAACAATGATTTGCAAAGTTTATCATTCAATGAAATAGAAAAGCACATTAACACAGGGTTCCAGTTATCAGTATTACAAGGTCCATTAGCAGAAGAACCAATGCATGGAGTTTCTATATTTATTGAAGATATCGAATTCGAAAACATTAATATTAATCATAAATTAAAAATAGAACAAATTACTAGTCATTTAATTTCGTCATTCAAGGATGGAATTAAACAAGGATTTTTGGATTGGTCTCCACGCTTAATGCTTTCTATGTATGCATGTGATATTCAAGCACCTGGTATGTATTTTTTATATTTAAGGAAAAAAAATAGTTTATAATTTTAACAACCAGGTAATGTTTTAGGAAAAATTCATGCAATTATTTCTAAAAGAAGAGGACGTATTGTTTCAGAAGAATTAAAAGGAACTTTATATCTAATAAAAGCTTTATTACCTATTGTGGAATCATTTGGTTTTTCAAAAGATATACGAAAAAAAACATCTGGTGCAGCTAATCCACAATTAATATTCAATGGATTTGAGATTTTAGATCAAGATCCATTTTGGATATCTAGAACTGAAGATCTAGAAGATACTGAAAATATTAAAAATAAAGAAAATATATCCCAAAAATACATAAATGATATAAGAAAAAGAAAGGTAATTATTTAACACTATTTTTTAATTAATTCGGTTTATAATATTAGGGACTTTTTATAAATCAAAAAATAATTTTTCGGGCAGAAAAACAAAGAACACTTAAACGATAAGAAATAAATTTATATACTAAAAATAAATTGTAAATTAAAAATTCGGAAAATATACATTAATCAGCTCTTATGTTTCATTTTAAAATAAGCAATTTAGTTTAATCTACAATATTTATTCCAAAAATCAAATATTTTTTAAAAATTACGAACTTTTATCAGAAACAATATCTAAATAGACTAAAATAATTTAATTAAATCAATTTTTACTAATTTTATAATATAGACTAAAATTAATAAAATAGATTAGAATTTATTAAGTCATTTAATTAAAACAATACATTTTTTTTGATAACATAAAAGACTCTATTTTATTTAAAGCTAGTTCCAAAAGGGCTTTCTTTTTCTGCAAATCAATTTGTTTTTTAATTTCAAAATTCTCATTAACAATTTTTTCTAATTGCTCTGATGTTAAATTATAAATAAGTCTATTATCAAGATCTCGCGGAAACTAATAGTTTATGTTAACTATAAATTATAGAAATTAAGTTATACCTTATGTACAAATTCTGAAAATAATTCAACATCAAGAAAAGGAACTGAAATATCAACCAATTTCTTCACAACAATTTCCAAAAAAATTTCAGGACAATAATATTTATTAACAACGCTTTTACATTTTTTCGATTTCACAAATTTTAGCCTTGTATTTAAAATATTTTCCCTATTTTTTAAAAAAATTGCCTGTTGACCTAAAGTACATAAGTAATTATATATTAAAGATATAAAAATTTCGTTTAAACCTTTTTCTATTAAAGATTTACTACATTCTATACTATCATAATCATTTTTCCCAGTAATAATTAAATTAACAAT